ATTAGTACGTATTGTATTTGTTTATGTACATATCATAAACATGACAAACAAATAGAAAAGGATAGTATGGTAATTTTGTACTTTAAGTTCTAAATCTCAAACCCTTAAATTCATGATAAAACATCTCATCAAACAAATGATTGTTACAAATCCATAATGACTCAAATCCTTGATAAATCCTTGAATTTTTAAATTATAAACCCCTCATTTTTAAATTTGACTCAAAAGCTTGTTTACACCTACAAAACCTTAGAATGCCATTTATTATTATTATTATTATTATTATTATTATTATTATTATTATTTTATTATCAAGATAGAAAGCCCTGCGCCATGACTTGTTTTCTAAAATCAAGTATGATGTTATTGGCCTTGGGCTCAAAGTGGGCAGCCAAGCAAATCAGCCCATTAGGCATCTCGTTGTACCGCCGTCGGAGATATACCATCGGCGCAGGGGAGCAGAAACTGCCCGCCGCCGCGGAACTCAGATTACGATTATGAACTTCGGGAAAAAGGAGGCGCCATAACAAAATAATTTTCTTTTCAAGTCCGTGCTTCATCCCTCTCTCACATTCAGCGGCCGTTCTGTGAATCAAGTCCCAAATCTTCTTTTCTTCTTCCGCCTCAGATTCGAATCTCGATTTGTTCCCCTCGCGGATGAGAATTCGAACCCATCTCGTTGGATCTCTGGCAAACTCGCAAAGTCGATCGCTTTTCATCGGGATCTTTCCTGGGCATTCAGTTCCTCGGTCTCCGTCGTCTTTGCTGTAGCTAGGATTTTCGAAGAATCAGCTGATGCTTTGTTTCTCTCTAGATTGGATTCTTCAGTAACCATGTCGAGCTTGAAGTTTGAGGGTTTCTGCTAGGGCTTCTTGCCCCGAATTTTGGGAGATTTCAGCTGCTTCCGGTTGCTCCAACTTCCGTTGTCTTTTAGGGTCCGAGAACACTTTAAACTTGGTCGCTGGAGTGTTTACGGCGATTAAGGTGAGCTATGTTACCGTTTCTTCTTGCAGATTCCCGAGATTCTCACTACTGTGTATTTTTTATGAATCATTATGGTGTGGGTTTGGTTAAATGTGGTGAATAGGACTGAATTTTGGTGCTTTTCCGGATGGAACTTTGATTTTATGTCAGCTTTTGCTTGGTCTGTCTGAAGATTGTTAGGGGTTCAGATAGACTCCTTGAATCCACTACTTCTGCATGTTGATCCAATTCATTGCTTGCTTTCGTTGTTTCTTCCTGATGATTTCCCTGCAAAAGCAGTATACTTACCTAGTTTTGCTGTATCCTGGCAGGTGTTTGTTGGGCTCGCATTGTGACAAATTGGGCTTGTTTCGTAGTTGCTAACTGCCAAGTTTGAGGCTTGGTTTTGAAGAAATATGTATGGAGATTCTGATAGCAGTAAGTTAATTCATCTGCTGAGTCTCCATCATACAATAGACTGGCAAAAGCTCATTTCGGAATCGCTAGTACATAGGATTTCACATATAGTAACAATAACAATTACTTCATTTGAGAGTTTGAATTTTACTTTTTTTTCTTTTATTTGTTTGTTGACTGCAGGTACTGATGATGAACTTCCATCAGTTCCAAATAGATTCCAACCCGGGGTAAGGCCTGCTGGGAATGGAAGGTCTGCAATGCCTGGGTCTGCTCCGCTAGCTAGGATGCATGCTGATATGGAAGTTCAAATTCACGCTATTGAACAAGAAGCATATACCTCTGTTCTGCGGGCATTTAAAGCTCAATCAGATGCCATCACCTGGGTATCTATTCTGATTGCTTTGAAACCATTGTGGTCACTTGTATTTGTGAAACCTTAGAAAGCTTTTGTTGTCTTATGTTTCTCTAAAGGAAAAGGAAAGCTTAATTACAGAGCTCAGAAAAGAGTTGAGAGTATCAAATGAGGAGCATAGGGAACTTCTATCCAGGGTCAATGCCGATGATACCATCCGAAGGATGAGGTATAAATTTCATCATTCGATGTAATGAGTGTCATTTTTATTTTTGGAAAAGAAAACCTTATGCTCTGTTGATAATAGGGAATGGAGAAAGATGAGTGGAAGTCAACCAGGCGCACACAGTACTGCCCAGCTTGGACACGATCATGTCCCTAGTCCATCGGTTTCTGGATCACGCAAGAAACAGAAATTGTCACAATCAGTTGGTTCGTTATCCATGGGTGGTCCTCCTGCGTTGCACCCACCTATACAAGCATCTGCATCGGCCGTAAGACGAGGTCCACACCCTGCATCTAAGAGCAAGAAGCCCCAGCCTGTAAGTTGGTTTGTTTGTTTGGGCTCTAGTACCAGACTAAGACACTACCTTTGACATTATCATCACATATGGCGTATTCTTTTCAAAAGGACAATTATTGTACCAATTATTATACTTTCATTATGCTCCAATGAGTTATATTTAACAGTTAGCTTAATAATATTATTAGACGTCCTAAGAAGTTTGAAATTTTGTTCACAGGATAGTCTTATATTTTTTGGCATATCCTGAGAACGAAGTTTGAAATGTACAGTGCAAATATTGTCTTTCATTTGGTGTGCATGTTTATGTCACGCAGTTTGTGTATCAACACCATTAAGACCTTGGTTGATAATGTTAAGCTAACTGTTCAATCTAACCTAACAGATTGTGCATGTTTGTCATTTCCCAAATAATGTGTTACATTTGACAATAAAGTCAAAGTTATGTCAGTATTTGCCCTTCTGTATTTATAGTTAGGAAAGTTGGTTTGTAACTTGATGCAAGTGATTACTTTATAAGCACTTCCGCTCGTGTGTGCTTAGTGATGTGTGACTGGGTGATGGGAACTAACTAACGACCTGCTGCATTTGGAATGCAGTCTATGCAGTACCCATCTACAAGCTTAGGTTCTGGAAGGGGCCAAGTCGCTAATAGAGGACCTTCTGCTGCATTCCCGGCCAATGGGCCTGCAGAGGCTCCCAAGTTTAGTCCATTGATTGGAAGAAAAGTTTGGACTCGTTGGCCTGAAGACAATAGTTTCTATGAAGCTCTTATCACTGACTACAAACCAGAGGAGGTATGTCTTACTCTTTACCATGCAGTACTCTGCTAGATATGCTTTTTCGCTGCTATTATTCACCAAATTGTTTCCTATTGACAGGGTACTCATGCTTTGGTATATGATATGTACACTCCTGATGAAACTTGGGAATGGGTCAATCTCAAAGAGGTACAATTCTGTGGATTTCTAATGGAAGACTACAAAATTCGTACTGCTAATTATTCAGTTTCTTCATGAATTTGCCAAACCGTAGATTCCACGATAATCTCTCCCCTAGATGGATTGTGTGCCTGCCATCCATCAACACAATCTTACAATCATCTATTCAAACGACCTCTCAATCCCCTTACTGAATTATGCACATTTCAGCCCTTTCTGCATCTTCTTATGTCTGTGCTTCTGGAATATTGACAGTGCTGCAAACTTTAATCCTGTGCATGTCTAATCATCAGATACCTCCTGAAGACATAAGGTGGGAAGGCGAAGATCCTTCCATCTTCCGCAAAGGTGGACGTCCTGGACCTGGACCGAACAAGAAATCCATGCCGCGTGGTGGTGGTCCCCCTGGAAGAGGTAGAGGACCCACCACGAAGGGCCCTAAGAAGGATCATCTTCTGCCATTACAGAACGGCACTCGTAAAAAGGCTGTGGGCGATATCGAGATACTTCACACTGATACCCTAATAAAAGAGGTAATGAGGAAATGTTGCTGTGGTGGCTTTGTTCAGGTAAATTTTTGTGTCCGGTTTGTTACTAAATGGTCCCTATTTCCAACAGGTGGAGAAGGTCTTTGGTTCCAATTTTCCTGACCCTATGGAGATCGAGAAAGCAAAGAAAGTGCTTAAAGTAAATGCTCTAGTCTAATCCTTCATTTCCTCCAGTTTAATATCTACCGCATTTCTGCCAGTGTTGTGAGATTTATGCGGTTCTTTTATATGCAGGATCATGAACAAGCTCTTGTGGATGCAATTGCAAGGCTTGAAGATGCTTCAGATGGTGAAAGTGGTAATATATGAATATATATTTATATATTGATAACCAAATGTTCATATTAGTAGAATGGAGTTCAAAATAAAGATGTGCAGTCTTCTTGTTGTATCATCTAAGTGTAAACTTTTTGGATGTTCAGATTTAACTTGTAATATATATGCGTAAACGTTCTTTTTAGACTTCAAAAAGATTGTTGATCTAGGATCATTTTGCCACACTTGAATCTTTGTTCATTTATCTTCCATTTGTATCTCATCCAAACAAAGATGGAAAAACAGTTGAACTGTTCAGCAAATGTTGATGGCTACATTGAGTTAGAAGATGAAACAATGCGATCTTTGTTCTCATTGTGTTTATTGAAAGCAGATGGGGGAAGAACACAGGTTTCCCGTGGGCAATCAATGGATCAAGAGCGATCGAGAAAACAGGTGTACAACCCTCTGGAAGGGAACAAAGAGGGTCAGGGAGGGTAGAGTGCTGGATCATATGATGATCAGTAGTGTACCATAACTTGTACAATAGAGTGCTACAATTCGATAGGAACTAATCAAATACATGTGGCTCTAGCAATTTAATTCCTTACAGTACTCAACAATGGAAGATGTAACCTTTGATTTGAATCCCCCTTGTAATTTTATGGTCCTTGCTACTTGGATACTCAATTCCTTGTGTAAATTGCTCTGAAAGATTTGTACTTGTTAGTCCTGAAAGATTACTCCATTGTCCTGCTCTGTGTAATGGTACAGCAGATCAAAACTGTTACTTTTCGGGACAAGGTATAATGAATGCAGGGTAGCAAAACTGTGCAATGACTGCTATAAATCATGATAACACCACATTGATTTGATCACCGGAACTCGTTTGATTCAATTCAACAGGTCTCAGAGGTATCACAAACTGACCTACGTACTTGCATATGAACAATATAAACTGTCTGGGATACCAAGGTATACAGGTGATCAAACCGATATGATTTTATCACAGTTTATAGCAATTCTTAAATGGCTTTGCTATCGTACCTCCACTATACCTTATCGTTAGTCTCACGGGTTAAGCTTTGATGAGGTTCACAGATTTCTCCACGCCACCCAAAGTAGCAAGAACATGGCGATGGAAATCGCAACCTGAAACATCATTTACCACCATGATCGAACACACAGACTACTGCCACGTAGCATCATCTGTTGTTCACTTACAAAGAAGCCGCAAAAGTGAGGATGAGGTTGGCCATCTGAGCATCATAAGCAGGACCTTCCATTTGGAAATGGCTGGCCCCTTCAATGAGGTGGGTTTCGACTCGGCCAGCTGCAGACTTCAACTTGTTCTGCAGCTGTTTAACGCTCGTGAACCCATCCTGTGTTCCCATAATGAAGAGCTTTGGTTTCGTAGACTGTAGGATGGCCTTGTGATGCCTCCCGAATAGCACCGAGGCAAGCATTCCGAAAGGGTACCCTATGCTTGCATAGCCGACAACTTCCTCGATCTGATCAACGGAAGACCCAGCAATTGGTGAACCTGTATGAAAAGAGTAATTATCTATTACGAATCTCAGGAACAGCTTCAAAGGATTCAAGAGACTAGGCAGTAAAGGATCAAAGACGCAAACGAAACTGTACAGAAGACTATGCAAAGATCCTGGCTTCCTACATGTTTATAAGTTAATCAATCTGTCATACATATTTTTTCATTAGCACTAGTACAAGAAGAAACCAGCTTTTAGTTAGTTGTTTGTGCATAGGCACTCAATCAAACCCAAAAGAACATGTGCGCAGAAATTGACAAGGATAACTCCTTCAACCATACAAATTCAGCTTCTAGTTAGTTAATTGAGCATTGGCACTCAAATCAAATCGAAAAGAACATATGGGCAGAAGGCTATCCTTCTAACTCTTATGTGTAAACCATCTAGTTCTTCATTGATTACAACCAGGAATTATTGAGTTCTGACAAGACAAGACAAGACCAACATTTTCACAAGTAAATGATGGTGAAAATAGGAAGCCATAGCTTCAACACCACAAGCAGAGTTTCTCAAACTAGTCCAGATCAAACGAACAGAATGCTTAACACAAAGCAGAGATTCAACACAGAAGGCTACACTATCAGCAGGCTGAGAACATTAATTACTATGAATCTACAGCAAAATCCCAGCACCCATTTATCGCAGATCTAATCAATCAAGGATCATAGAATAATCAAAAGGGGCAATCCACGAACGACTATCCAAAACACTAAATCTTCATCCATCGGACGACCCAAAGTAAGGAAAACAGTAAGAGTGTAAGACAATGAAGGAAATGAAACTCACCTGCAGAGGAACCCACCAAGAGAATCCTTCGGGTGCCCAGATTCTCACAAACCCACTTGCAGACGGCGATCACATCCTTGATTTCAGCGAACCCAGTAAGGGAAGCCCGTCCCGTCGATCTCCCAGCTCCTCTCATATCGAAGGTCACAGCTTTATACCCTCTCTCGGCCAACCGAATTGCCATCCCTTTCAGTAGAGCTTGGCAGCCGCCCAAAACCGTGAATGGGTGCACGAGCACAATCACCAAGTCATCCCCGCCGCCGCCTGCTTTGGCTTCCGCTTCTTTTGGCTTGAAGAACCGGGCGTGGAGCTTGGCCGCTCCGTCGCTGGTCTCCACTGTGGTGGACTCGACTGTGTAGTTCGACATGACGGGGAATTTCGGAATGGAGGGAGAGAGAAGTACTGATAATAAGTAGGGAGGGGGTATTAATTAACGGTGTGGTGGAATGGTTGAGCTGAAGAAGAAGAGGAGAGGAAGGGGACTAGGGGTAGGGATGGCAACAAAACCCGAATCCACGGGTACTCAATTCGGTCAACGCGGGTAAAACCCATGTTGACGGGTTTTGGGCCGGGTTTGGGTTTAAATCCGCTACACTATTTATCGGGTCGGGTTGGGTTTGGGTTTAGGTAAACCCGCCCACACACATATAATTACTTTTTCGGTATATTTAATATTCTAAATAATATATCTTCCTTAAACAACTAATATTCTTTATGTTTGTTGAGACATGTATAATTTGTTCTTTCTAATTGTTTAGAATGAAGTTGATATTATGAAGTGGAGAGTGAAGAAACTTAGTTGAAGAGGAAGAAACTTTCAATTAATCTTATTGTTTATAGATGTTTATCTTTAATTTTGAACAATTTGTATTGATCATTTGCGGTTTGCTTGTATGCTCTAGATTGGTGTTTTTATATGAATAATTTGTATGAGAAAATTGATGTTAAACTTTTATTTTGAAAGAAACTTGTTATTGTAAATTTTTTACCACAAAAACCCACGGGTACCCATGAACCCGCGGATACCCAGCGGGTTGGGTTGGGTTTGAGTTTCTCAAACCCACCGGATTTTACCCCGGGTTTTTTTGGCGGATAAACCCATGGGTTTGGGTTTGGGTTTGACAAAATCCGCCCCAACCCGACCCATTGTCATCCCTAACTAGGGGAGAGAATGGAAGAAAAGCAGGAAATGCCAACTTGCCAATGAGAGCATTTGGGTCAGATCACAAGCTGCCATATGACTTTTAGTTAAAACAATACCATTTTATGAAAATAAACTTGTTATTGAAGTGTTGGAGATCAAGTTAGTCTCTAAAATCACTAAAATGAGATATTTTATGTTGGATGAGTTTTGATAATAAGACATTAAATTATAGAACTGGTTTGTGCACTAAATAATAATCTTATATTATTAGTTCTCATAAAATTATATCTAAACGAATTTCGATAAAAACTTAATACTATGAACTGATTCACCATAGTAGTCTAATTGTACTTGGAAAATCATGTCAGCTTGATTTTACCAAAATGATTTTTGAAACATGGCTCTTATAATTCAGGCCATACCCAAGAAATGACTATTATAAGGTCATACCCAAGAAATGGCTAGGCTAGTTCATAGTTGCTCCAATTGAGCCTTTTTTTTTATGAATAATCCAATGGAGCCTTGCCAAGGAAGAAAGAGCACTACTTTCTACAAGTTCTTCACCAACAAAATACAAAAACCCTCATCTTCTTTCTTCCTCAGTTCATCCACTTTAGCCACCCATTTCCCACCTAAATTAAACCTTCCAAAAGTGAAAAGCCTACCCAAAAGATAATAAATTAAAAAACCCGCCAAAAAAAAGAAGTAAAAAAAAAACTTTGGAAATTCCCATGCTAATTTACATTTTACAACAAAAATCCAATCATAATTAAAAAAAAAAAAAAAATCATCTATCTCCTTGCCCTCTTCCTAGCCCTCCCTCCACTTCCACCCCCTTCACCATCATGATCTCTCCCTCTCTTCCCTCCCTCCGCCGCGGCCGGAGTACCACCGCCGCCGCTCTTCCCGCCTCTTCCGCCACCTCTCCTCCCTTTCCCGCCCTCCTCCCTCCCTCCTCTGCCCCTCGAACTCCTCGTGATGGGCGGCCTCTCCCTCGTAACATCTCTAGTACCACCCCGACCACCTCGACTCCCCGTCTTACCATTACTACCCTTCTCCTTCCCAGCATTATTAACTTCCCTCCTCTTCTCCTTCTCCTCCTCCTCTTCCGACGAAGAGGATGACGATGACGACTCCTCGTCGCCACCGCCCTCATCGTCATCTTTCTCCTCCGTCGCGTCGCTGTTCTGCTTCATCCTCTTCAGGAAGCTCGCCGCGCCTTGCCTCTTCCTCACGCTAGTAGTGCTATTATTCTCGTCTTTGTTATTATTGTTGCTCCTCTCCGCTTTCGAATCTGCGGCATCGTGAGAGCTCAGCTCGTTGCCGCCGTACTTGTGTTTATTACTATTAACCTCTCCATTCTTGCTGGCCCCGGTTCTAACATTCCTCCGTCCTTTCGTCGTTGCCGTTGTCGCAGCAGCAGGCCTCTCCTTGGCCGTCTCCTTCGTAGTAGTCGGAGACTTCTTAATTGGCTTCTCTTCCTCAACAGCTTTAGGCGCCACGGAAGCCTCAGCCTTTTTCGGATTCGTCTTCGGCTTAACTTCCTCTGCTTCTTTATGTTTCTGCTTATTGGAAGTAGTAGTCACCACTTTCTTCGAAGCAGGCTTCTCCTTCTCCGATGTTCCTACCTTAAGGGACGAGCTCCGCTTGTTCCCGCAGGAGACCAGAGTAGAGGTAGACTTCTCGGGCTTGGCCTCGGGCTTCTCGGGTTGTTTTTGCCGCTTCTGAGCTGGAGCTGCGTCAGTAGTAGTACTAGTAGTCTTTACGTTCTTGGTCGTGGTTGCGGAGGGGGCAGGAGGCTGCGGTGGCGGCGGAGCAGGTTTGGATTGGGATTGAGGTTTAGAAGGAGGCGGAGGAGCAGGTTTACGCAGCTTGTCCTTCATGTTCTTGAGGACGAGACCTCGGAGCTCCCGGGCGGCGTGATTCTCCGGCGAGGTCTCCCGGAAGAAGAGGATGGCGTTGTTGAAGAGGAGGAGGAGGTCTCTGTAGAACTTGGGGATGCAGCTGAGGTACACTCCTTTGTCGAGCCGGAGCTGGACCGTCCGGAGGTCGATGTGCTGCCGGATCAAGCTCTTGTACCTCTCCGATTCCTGCAGCCGGAGAACACCACAAATGAGTAGTCTGAAAACGGCAAAGGAGGGAAAAGCCCCACCACCAATCATCGGGTATATTAGCCCAAATGATATATGGCTTTAGGAAGGAGACAAAAGAAGGCCCTATAAGAAGTCTTTTGGGCCTGCCTTGATAAAAAAAGCCTTTTTTACGTTAAAGACAGGATGGGCAGTCGCGGTCAAGCCGTTGGCGAATGTTCACCGTTGGATTGGAAGATCTAAACCAAAGAAGCGCGGGTAAAAAGAACTACGAAAGCGGGATATCAACGATACAAACAAGAATTCTACAACAACAACAAAAAAGCAATAAATTAAAAATTTAAATCAAAGGTCAACAAACTATGCGTGTTGGACTGTGGGATTTTAGCCCCGAAAGAAAGGATAAGATGCGCACTTATTCGATCTAAGCTTCCCTCGTAACCGGGCTTTATGGAGAAAATAACTCATTTTTAAGGAAAGAAAAAAAACTAACATGAGCCGGATGAGTTGAGCCGATTACTAAAGAAGCACCTCAGGCTGACCCATTAATTCCTCGTAGTCGGAAACATGTACTTATATCGTTTGACCGAACACATCAAATTGTAAGATATGTGGAATGTGAGCAAATAGCATGACAATCCATTTACTTTCATGCCCTTCGTTCACAACTATCGTAAATGCAAATCGAACGAATGACTGGGAGGCATACGCAATGTAAGATACACCTACCACATCAACATGATAGGAGCTTGGATTCAGCTCAATCAAGTAATTAGGCATTGTCTTGCATTGTGAGCAAGACTAATTATTATCAATTTAATTAATCATATTATTTTCGCAAAAACCTTAAAGGTGGGCCCTCCAAAAAACGAAGGGCCAAACGCAGCCCATATCCGCCGTATGATCCTACGTGGATCCGTATCAAGCGTCGCACCCTTCACCATATAAAGCTCGTGCCGCATAGCCCCATGCGATGAACCGTAGTAGAGACTACAGAGTAAAGTGTAACCTTTTTCCCCCGCCAAAATTACCGCTACTTTCCTTTTTTTTACAATCTCCCAGTGAAAACTATTTTGAAAAAGGCCGGGTAACGTGGCTAGTGGTGATTGATCCAAGGCCGGCCATTTTGTTGGCGATTTGCAAGATCAGGAAATTCTTCGGTTTTTCAAATTAAGAAAGGAAAATTTAAGCAGGGTGGAGAGAGGAAAAATTACCTGGCTTCGGAGCCGTCGTTCGAAAACAGAACCGAGCCTATGGGACCGGATGATCTCGAGGATTCTAACCAACGGTTCGGATTTCACAGCGGCGACCCGCTTCCTGGCGGGAGATACCTCGTCACCACCCTCGGGCTCTTCGCCGCTGCTGGTCACGGCGGCGACTCCAGCGCCTCCGCCGCCATCGCCATTTACTCCGCCCCTACGACGCCGTTTCTTCTTCCTCAGCGTCAGGCTCACCGAGCTCTGCACGTCACTGTTCTGTTTCTCCTTCTCTTTCTCCTCCCGCTTCGACTCCCCCACCGACTCGCCCAATTCGTTCGACTCGCCGACGAGCGGGGTCTGACTCGGTCTCGGCTTCGTCTCGCTTGGCGATTCGTCCTCCCGATTCCCTCCGCCTCCCTCCGATTTGACGTCGTAGGAGCAAATCCGCTCCTCGGCGGACGGGTATGAGTGAACCGGATCCGATTCGGACTTCGATGCCGGTTCGGGTTTCGTGTCCCCTTCTCCTTCCTCCTCCTCGCTCCGCTCCTTCGCGGCCGCGTTCACGGCTTTCTGTTGCTGACTCGTGGAATTAGACTCGTTGAACGACCGATCCTCCCCGGAATCGTAGCAGCCGCCGGCGGATTTCGCGGCCGACGTTGGCCGACCTTCTTCCTTCCCTAGATCTGCCTCCTCCTTCGCGCCTCTCACCCTCTCCTCCTCCAATCGCTTCACCTTCAATTCCAGAGACCTGGAAAACAACGAAAGACCGTCAGGAACCGCTCAGATCTTAATCGGATCTCCACGAAACAGATTTCTAATTTTTTCATTTATTATTAATTACTCGATCGAGACGTCCCGCCGCTGGACCTCACGTCGCAGCTCCTCGACGCGGAGCCGCCGGAGCTCGTCGACCATAGGGACCAAACTGGTCGCCGCCGCGGCCGGCGGCGGCTCCTCCCTCCTCGGAGGCATGAACCGTCGCCGGAGGTCATTGAACTTGTCCCTGCACTGCTGCGAAGTGAGGGAGGAGAGGCTGGAAGTCCGGTTTTGGACTTCTACGGCTATGGAGTCCCAGCTCTTTGTGCCGTGGCGGTTCACGGCGCAGGCCAGCAGCAGCTCTTCCAACGTCCCCCAAGAAGATATCGGGGTTGTTGGTGCGTTGCGCTCCTTAGCCATGGCGTTGTTTCCTTAATAACTCCATTTTTTTCTCCTTCTTACAATTTTATTTTTGTAGTCTTTTTCGGTTCTGCGATTTAAGGGGAATTAGGGTTTTTGGCTCGATTGGGGAAATTTGGATTGGAGAAACGAGCAGCTCGGCGTTTATATTCTTTTCGATGGTGGTGGACGACGAAGGGTCTTTTTTGCTTGTTAATTTATCGCTTTTATTTTTCATTTTTATATAGAGAGAGGCGCCCAGGGACGACGGAAGGAGGCGATGGCGATTGAGTGTTGGATGTGGCTCTTGTTGCGTTTCGGCCGATTCGGATTTGGATTGGGAGTAGGGGTTTCTTATAGTATGGAACTGGGCCTATATTTATGGGCTTTTCTTACGATAGGATAGGCTTTCAAGCTTTGTGGGCTCAGTGGATATGGTGTTATTGATGTGTATTTGGATGTATATGGGCTGGGCCTGGGCTTCATTTAACAGTGCACATTTAATATTGTGGTCCAATGTCAATGTACTTTCGATCCAGGCTATTGTAGTAGTCCAATCTTCTATTTCTCTTGGGCCATGGAAATGAGATCCTGTTATATTCCTGAGCTGAAACCTAATTTTCCTAAACAGCAGGGCCCACTGGATACGTTGGGCCAAACAGATTCCATGAACCACAGAGTGAGTCCTTGCAATAGCCCATGGGGGGAAAAGCTTTGTGGTTTTATAGTTGTCAGCAACTCAGCATACCGTGCTCGATCTGTAGCAGAATGTATATATAACATTATTTTCTTCTATCTCTTTCAACAACTCTAGATATTGACTATAATTTTCATTTTGGTGTGGTAAAGCTTAATTGTGATGCTACCGTCTTTAGAGCGGGGAGGTGTGTTGTCCTCACATCATATTAGTGGAAAGTCTGGGAGAAAATACTATTAAATGAACGATTTGTGGAAGAATGTGTTGAAGAGAGGGCGATATATCAAGAGCGGGGCAGAATTTCGAGACCGGGGGGAAATAAATTAAAAATGTAACCAATGTGGATCAAACTCGGGTGCTTTAAGACACAAGTTAAGCTTGGTTACCATTAGACCACAGAACTATTACATGACACAATTTACAGAACAAGTTCTAGCTATAGAATTTGTACTAAATATCCTTAAGGAGGGTCGGGACCAATCTGGGGGGGGCACCCCGCACCCTAGCTACAATGTAGCTCCGCCCCTGTGATATATAATAAATTTTTACCTTTTCCGCATCAGGCATTTCAAAAGAATAGTTCCATTGCCAGCTATCTAGTTTAAAGTAGTGGTATTGGTAAGCAACTCTTTAAGTGACCGCCAACACTTACGAAAACCCGAGTCGGTTTCTAACCATCGTCAATATAAACCGTTGGATCTAATCTGTGAGGCATGCAGTCTATGAGTTAGTTTGATTTCGTTTAAAAGGACATGCTAGTGAATGGTATAATATTCATTCTCTTGAAACTTTACTAATAGACTGAATTATTGTGATAAGTTAGTTATTAACGCTATCGCATTTTAAATATCTAATTTGGGTTTCGAGAGAAAAAATTTATAGTCACACACAACAAAGAAAAAATTTATACACGAAACATCTGAGTACATAGGTTATCGTCATTTATAGAAATAGATTTTTATGTTGTTAAAATTTCAAAGAAAACAAATCAGATCGTACATTACCGTCAGATCACTCGCATGACTAAACAACACAGATCAACAATTTAACCAAGTTTCACCCTGGCTCTAGATTAAGCCTCTACAACTTTTCCATGGGTTATATTACCGGCAGATCCTATTAGTAAAAACCATCTTTACCTCGACGATTCGTCCCTTCTTTCTTCTGCTTTTTTCATCAAGTAACCAGAGCGCAGGTCTTAGTTGCATTCAAGTGAAAGTAGTTGCCAGTTGGGAAGAAGTTAACACTGTACAAAGAAGAGCATTGAAAGCGATACGAGTTTAGAGGAGGGAAATGAAACAGCAGAGCTTAGGGTAAAAAAAAGGGGTCAGGTTTGGGTTAAACCTGCTAGCCAGCCAGGATAGCAGCAGAGGGTTCTGTTCAGGCGGCAGGAGGAAGAAATTGGGTTTTGATTTGGTTTGGGGAAGAAGACAAAATAGAATTTTTGTTACTTATTTCGGCAAGGAAATGGGTCGACGAGCCCAGACTAGCAACGGGGACATTTTTCGAACGTGTAACGTGCTTTACATATGTTTTCGGTCGTAGTTCTGAAGTCGAGAGGTCTATCAACTTTTTAAGTCGTGAATGACAACACTGGTATGTAAAAAGATTGTTAATTACAAACAACACTTCCTCTTTAATTTTGGTTTTACACACACCTCGGTATATTAAACAAACTTGACTGATAGATTCTTTTCTTATTAAGAGCGAGATAGATTATTGTTGTCATTAGACCAACCCCTGGTTCAAGACGAGGAATAGTACCACTAGACTAGTTCACAACTTTTCTTATAAATTCTTATGATTTTTATAGAATTGATGAAAGCCAAACAAAGAATATTGTCATATACATACACTCAATCAATTGGGTTAAAGTGTTCATTCTATTAAACCTTAAAAATGTGCATAAAACTCCAGAATATAGTAGAACTATGTACGTCTTTTAATCCAATTATGATCTTTGGAATTTATTTTCAATCCAATTCTACATCAATTTGGCAACTACAAGTCTACAACCACCCTAGTTAAAGTTACCATACCTATATGCTGTCTTTCAATCTTGTTATGAAAAATAAATACAAGGAAAGGAACATTGAAAACATTTACTGTGGGAAGAAAGTAAGAAACTCTAATCTGCTGCACAAAGATGAGATTGAGAGAGAGCTTTGTTACCTTATCCTTTCCCTTACATAAGCGCTCCCCAAGGCCCCATCCAATTTCCAATTTATGACTTCTTCTTCTTATGTTGTCCTTCTCCTTCTCTTGTACTTAGTACCCATATATGCACTCCGCTTCTTCGTACCATCCGTTTTTCCATTCGAAATTCAAACACAACAAATGTTCACTTAACTTCAATCTTTCTTTCAAGAATAACGAGCTGGAGAATCAAACGAGCTACAAAAAGTATCTTTTTTATTTGTAGTATTATAAATGACAATTCGATCTGATTTACTTTAGACATCTGAACAAGGTAATCATGTTTTAGATCAGAGTGGAAAGAGCCCACACCCCCAATCTGCAAAAACCTGTTAATTAACCCAAAAGAATGTCTTAAGTTTTGAATACAACCAAACAATATGATGATAACTACCACCTTAAGTACACATATAGCTCTACTAAAAGCGACACTTTATGACCAAATCACATTATGTTGTCGCAACAATTGGAATAAATTAATTCCATGATTGAAGCCTAAAGAATGTTTATGTTAACAAAGCTGGTTTAACCTTTTGCGATAGAAAACTGGATAATAATACAAATGAAATATATATATGTGTATGTTGGGTGGCGGGCGGGCGGGCGGGCCAAAAGTTGGTTCCGGTCAAACCTAAACCTTTTGGAAATTGGTTCCTTTTGGATTTGCCCAAATCAAGCCTTAATCCCATTGGGTTAAGGGCTAATGGTAGTGGTTAAAAAGCTTGCGCATAGGGCTTAGGCACATGGGTTAGTTAAAAAAGAGGCCACCTTTGGCGTTTGTTTGCTTGGCATGTCTGCAAATTTTTGTCACTTATAATAAGGACTAATGACATTTCTAGTCCCCCATACAATGTCAATTTAACAAACATGATCCCTGTATTATGATTTCATAAGCAAACAATGTTGTTAGTTACCACTGCTCGCTCGTTCCTGGTCAGATTGAACATGCTCGATATGAGTTCAGTCATAAATCTTGTTTGGAAATTAGCTCACGGTGAGACTGGCACGTTCTTAGTAAGCATGTTTTGCTATAATTAGAACATTATATAATCTAATCTGGATATTTGTCAATTATACAACTGTTCGAACTTAACAATATACTTATGAGTAAGCGAGATATATCTTTCTTGCTAAAATCTACGATATATTTGTTAGAACTACGTAGTATGGGGACTTGTAAACACCATTAGCCTTGATATATTGCCATACTATTATAAGTAGTTTGCCATATCTTTGATCTCAACATTTCCTAACTTTTGTTGCTGACTTCCAAGTTGGAGGATGCTGGCCATCATGATGATCATTGATCACTCTCTATCCCACAAAAAGGGGCACTTCACTACCAAACAAACTTTACCAAATAATGCTACAAAAATGATGGGCTGTTTTGTGAATGGAACTCGTCGATTGTGGACATCTATGGAACATTTTTTCTTCACAAGATGAGAAAGCTTGATCTCCAAACAAAAAGAAAGGGAAAAAGATGGAGGAGATGAAAGGAAGAGAAGTTGATAGTAGTGAACATTCGAATTTGATTTATAAAAAAGTTGTATCAATTTTAATGATATCACGCTTCTAATATAATGTTGTACATATTGAATGTATTAATTTATGAAAATCGTTTAATTCTTATGATGTCGTGTTGTTGATATGGTGCTATACATGTTGAATGGATATATTGTTAGAGAAATTATCAAAATAAATGTATACATAGGTTAAATAAAAAGATATTATGGACCAATTATAATTGGAGAAAAAGAGACCAGGATCCAATCATACAACTCATATGTAGACCCCTTTTATATTAAATAATGTAGACCACTTTCTTTTATACAAATAAAGAAGCTAGAAAAAGGGGGGAGATAAGAGATTCGATGATGTGACTTAGATAGTTAACATTCCCCACAATATGTTCCCTCAAACTCTCCACTTTACACACAATTTTATCAAGTAGGAAGGGTGAAAGTAACAAAGGAATTGTATTTTGAATAGAGAAAAAATAGAAAAGGTAAATATGGATTATTAGCCGAATTTTTTTTTATATTTTAAGATATTCGTCAAATTTTTCAGAATACAAAATATTAGTAAAGTGTTATCTTTCCGTTAGTAATTGTGTTCGTAATGTTGATTTGGCAACATGATACTAACTTTGAAGAGACACATGGAAGTCAACATTCCAAAAAAATTTAGTATTTTAACTAAGAAAATACTTACAAAAGATTTGGCTAACGCTTTGTATTTGGAAAATTTTGGTTAATATTTTAAAATGTGGGAAAAGTTTGACTAATAATTAGTATTTACCCAAAAACTAAATAAAATGATTGGCCCATGCAACTCTCTTTTGATTTGGCAACACGATACTAACTTTGAAGAGACACATGGAAGTCAATATTCCAAAAAATTTAGTATTTTAACTAAGAAAATACTTACAAAAGATTTGGCTACGCTTTGTATTTGTAAAATTTTGGTTAATATTTTAAAATGTGGGAAAAGTTTGGCTAATAATTAGTATTTACCCAAATTTAAATAAAATGATTGGCCCATGCAGGTCTCGAACCTGCGACCTTCGCGTTATTAGCACGACGCTCTAACCAACTGAGCTAATAGGCCAACTGAAATTCATATTTGTCAACTCAGTTCACACACTCCATTCGCTAGTGAGATGAGTATTTCGGTCAGGTCAATTCGGATTGAGCGGATTCATACGGAACTGAGCATTTTCTAAGAAATTAAACTTTTGAATTTCCTAAAACTTTGGTAAGTTTAAATGGGGTTGAAAAAATAAAATGGAGATATGTTTGGGACCAGAATTGTAAAACCTTACATGAACTTGTACCAAAAAAATGTTAGTAACAAATTTTTTTTTTTTTTTTGCTGAAACTATGGTGCAACCGTTTAAAACCACTAAAATCGTCTATTGATATCGGTTGAACTCGGTGTGTTTGTCTTGTGGCTCTGCTTATTTGCCGTCGAGTTTCCTCCTCTGCCCAGGTGTTTTTTTGTTATGTTTTGCTTCTATAGTTTAAAATCGGTTGCACACTCTCACTGCTCGGGGAGTGCTGCTCTTGACATTCTCTCCTTTCATTTAATAAAGTTCATCGATCACCATTATTAAAAAAAAAAAACCCACTTATACTCTACAGTTATATAGAAAGGGAGGGCCAGGCTAAGAACATATTGTGGGGTGACTCATGTTGTTAGTTAACCAACAGCAACAGCTAGAGAAAAGCAAAGCTCGAAATGAGGGGGAAAAGAGGAAAGCAAAGGCTGCAACAATGGCAACTATTTGGAACTTCCTTTGAACTTATCAATTCCTTGAGCGATTATGTAATTGGGATTTGGGAGGCATGATGATGATAATGAAGAAGAAAAGAAAGGAGTGAGGGGAAAAAGGTGTAACTAAAATAAGATTGGGAGGAGAATCTGCTCAGAGAAGAAGAGAACCGACCAGCTACTGAGAAAGACCAACGTTCCTTCCTTCATTCATTCATTGCTATAATATGCCTGTGGGCTGAAGTTGGAAAAAATCCAAAAATACAACTGTTTAAAAAAAAAATTCCAAAAATACCACCCAACCCCAAAAATTTCCAAAAATACCACCCTTTTTCAAAAACCGCCACCCCACCCTGCGGTTTACACGAAAACCGTTTGTCGGAGGCGCGGTTTTCTATGCAAACCGCGGGCCTAGGGAGCGGTTATAAAAAAAAAAAAATTTGACCAAACCGCTGGATGGGGTGGCGGTTTGACCCAAAACCGCCATCCCACCCAGCGGTTTGGTCCAATTTTTTTTTTTTTCCGATCAACTCCTAACTTTGGCCGAAACTTCAAACGAACGTAAATTTTCACTCGGGTATCCGATCGTAGCGATTTTTTTTTCATTTCGCATAACTTTTCAAGATCTACAACTTTTACTAGGATGAAATTTTCAAAACAGGAACTATTTGTGGATATACGGGACCTTGGGAATAACTTTACCTTTACTTTTCACAAATCCATGTATATTTTGAAATTATGATTATATTAAAAGTTGTAGATCTTGAAAAGTTATGTGGAATAATAAAAAAAATTCATGAAATTCGGATTTTGGAGCACAAAGTTATGGCCGCCTAAAGTTTGACGAAATCAAAAAAAGGCTTGTTCGGGGTGGCAAATGACGTTTTTTCGAGACGAAGGCGGGACCCGGCGATTTGTGGCTTGCAAGATCTCAAAAAGTTATTCGGATTCAAAAAATGGAGGCCCCAAAGTTTGACGAAATGGAGGCCGCAAAGTTATTCGGATTCAAAAAATGGAGGCCCCAAAGTTTGACGAAATGCGAGACCCGGCAGTATGCGGCTTGCAAGATCTCAAAAAGTTTGCGGCCTCCATTTTTTGAATCCGAATAAATTTTTGAGATCTTGCAAGCCGCAAACCGTCGGGTCCCGCCTTCGTCTCGAAAAAACGTCGTTTGCCACCCCGAACGAGCCTTTTTTTGATTTCGTTGAACTTTGGGCGGCCATAACTTTGTGCTCCAAAATCCGAATTTCATGAATTTTTTTTTATTCCACATAACTTTTCAAGATCTACAACTTTTAATATAATCATAATTTCAAAATATACATGAATTTGTGAAAAGTAAAGGTAAAGTTATTCCAAAGGTCCCGTATATCCACAAATAGTTCCAGTTTTGAAAATTTCATCCTAGTAAAAGTTGTAGATCTTGAAAAGTTATGCGAAATGTAAAAAAAATCGCTACGATCGGATACCCGAGTGAAAAGTTACGTTCGTTTGAAGTTTCGGCCGAAGTTAGGAGTTGATCGAGAAAAAAAAAAATTTGGACCAAACCGCTGGGTGGGGTGGCGGTTTGACCCAAAACCGCCACCCCACCCAGCGGTTTGGTCAAAATTTTTTTTTTTTTATAACCGCCCCCTAGGCCCGCGGTTTGCATAGAAAATCGCGCCTCCGACAAACGGTTTTCGTGTAAACCGCAGGGCGGGGTGGCGGTTTTTGAAAAGGGTGGTATTTTTGGAATTTTTTGGGGTTGGGTGGTATTTTTGAAATTTTTTTTTTAAACAGTGGTACTTTTGGATTTTTTCCGCTGTGGTTGGCCACCTTAACCAATTCCTCAGTCTTTTGCTGGCTCCCCTCTCTCCCTTCTACTAATTTCCCCATCCGTTGAATTCATCCTACGGATCTAACAATCTAATTAACTACCATCTAATTTGAGGCAATCCATCAAAATAGTGTAAACTAAACTATTGTCCGCTTTTACTAAAAGCTCAATTTTTATCGAACAAGACGTGTTTTTTTCTATATTTAAATATATAGCTCGAACAAATTAAAACAGATAATTACTGAGATGAACTCGTTCTCGATCGTACGACTAGGACGAATGGCAGAAGGGGGCAGGGGGGCTTGTATTTTTACGCTGTCACAAACTCACAAAGCCCTAATCCCCCACAAGAGGACAAAGTGAGGAAGGGAGTGGTCCAAGTAGAGAGAAACTGGTCAAAACACCATATCATTCAATAGAGGCCCCTTCTCAGGGAAAGAAATAAAGAGGAGATTTGAATGTGGGATAAATAACAATTAAAATTTTTTTTTTGAAAAAACCCAGCAATAGTAGTAGCAGCAGGTAGCAGGGGAAGCAGCGGCCAAGACAAACAGCCCGCCATTAAATAATGAATTGAAGAACAACACATTGAATAAAGAACGACTGAATTGTCAAAAAAAAAAAATAATAATAATAAAGAACGACTGAAGAGTGATGATATAAAATGGAAAGTGATACATCCAATCCAACGGCTACCTAGACTAACAGCCTAATGGGCTGAAGGGGCTATTAGGGGAAGGGATGCCCTAGATTTGTAGGGCTTCACCACCGCCCTAACCCTATACTATCCTACACAAAGGTCAGGACTCGAGACTCAGGAATCAGGGATCGGTGCTTCTTTTGGCTTTTTTGTTTCTTTTGGTGTTTGGTGTCTTGTGTTGTGAGTTGTGACCGGTGATGCCCCTTTTCAGTTTTAGGATTAGGCGCCCATCGTTTTTATATAGAATTATAAGTTTGATGAAAAATAGAACACGACTTAACGTTTAAGGAGGGTTGCTTTATCAGGATTCAAGCATCGAATTGCATGCTTTACACCATTTCTGACCGTGCAAACCGTTTCGGACCTTTTGTTCGTTACAAAGGGCAAATTCTTTTAGTTGCAGATTTCAATCATCACGGTCGAAGTGTGTCGTAGGATTTCCAACTTCATTTCACATTGTCTATCTAGAGCTACTTGAGATTGTCAAAAGGAACCCAATTGACTTACTACTCATCACTTTTTCCCCCTCCCATTTATCACTTCGGAACCAGAGATTGCCAGAGCATAGGCTCCAAGTTCAGTGAACTGAATCCTACCAACGGGTAAATATAGCACTTGGGGAGTTAAAATGATACCTCTCTATCCCTTTCAAATGCTATTTTCTCAAGAGGGAAATCTTGTAGGACAGAACCATCTACCCTCCAGCAAGTTAAAGACTAGAGAGGTCTTTTGCTTTTCCTTTCATTTTTCCCTGCAGTTGGTAATAATGATAAATACTATTAACTAAACACTATGGGTAACCTTCTAGCTCGCCTTTTCCCTCTATCCCCAAATCCCTCCTTTAATGCTCCAATAAGTGTTTTGACAATGCCCTAAAATCACAACCAGAAACACCACCAATGCACCAACCAATGGATTTGGTAAGTAAGCTGGATGGATTCCCCCTTCATGTCCCAAGACTCCAGCCACCATTAAAGAATCTGATGCTACCAAATAGTATTTTAGCTGTGACTGCTAGTACTTGCTTGTAGGTATAATAGCCTTGCCATAAATATGCTCAATCCAACTTGGCTAGTAGATTTCTCCTATAGTAAATAAACCAAATAATTGGGGCTAGATTTGGTGGTGGGCTTGTGCCTTGTTGTGGCCACTCATGCTATCAAATAGTATGTGGGTTCGATTAGGGCATTGAATGGGGCGTGGAAGCACGAGACTTGAACGTTATAGACCTTTGAATTTGAACCCTTCCGACCTAATCAACTCATCTAACATGCCAAACATCGTTGGCATTGGTCGAAAAATATGCTAGGAGGCTGATTGGTGTGCATTTGTAGCGTGATGATGTGATTTGAATCCTGTCCTTCCATGAACCATGATCTCGACGCTCCTTTAACGCTCACGCACGACCAGAAGATCACTTAGGAGCACAATTCAACAACACCATCACAACTACACCCCTGGCTATCCTCGCAAGGCAATAGCAATCGAAACAATTACACATCTAACTATCATGAGCGGATGAAATCAAGCACGGGCACGATTCGACGACAACATCGTCATGAGCAACTTCACCCCCTAGCCATCCTTGCAGAGACCATTGCTAAGTGCTAACTTCGACGAACAGCAACGACATGGAGCATGCAGCTAACTGATGAGATAACCCATTTCAGCTCAATCCCAAGCTTAGAACTAACATTTCATTAACCTCTAACTCATGCTAGATAGGAGAAAGAGAAGGAATATTTTCATATGGGCTGAGTTTTTGTTTCAGAGTGGAAGGGTCAGTAAGTAGTGTTTAGTATAGAGCCTCACATGTTTGTTCCAAAGGGTCTCACCCACCGACCACCACCAATCTTGTAGAAGATCAACAAAAGGGTTCTCCATCAAAAGGAGCTCCCCCTTCCCTCACTCCTTCCTAACTGGCAAATTGAATAATCTTTGATTATATTAATCTCAAGATTAACTGTCTAATTACACCGTATTCTAAGCATATACCCAGTAAAGAATATGGATAGAGAGCTTTGGGATCAGACTGACATGCAAAAGAAAAGATTTAATTCAATTCAGCAGAGAGAGAGAGAGCTCAGCTGGCGCCAATCTTTGGCATCATTTCCCAAAAACCCTCTCCCTCCCTCCCCACTACCCAACAAATCTCAAAAGAAGACAGAGCGAGAGATTCAGAGCGAGTAAAGAAATGAACAATGAAAAAATGGGGGTTTCAGGTTTCTGCGTTCTCTCACCGAAGGCAGACCATGAACAGGGAAAAACAGAGATTCCACATGTTTCAATCAAACAGGATGAACAGATGAAGATGAAGAGTAGAGTAGAATGGAGAGTAGTCCTACAGAGAAATCCGTTATAGGGAGGTATCTCTTTTTTTGTTTCTCTTAACATTAGTGTTAGCTAATAGCTCAATGCAACCACAAAGGAGTAGAGGAGAAGAACATGAAACTACAGTAGAGCAATCGAGACGAGTGGAAATGGACAAAGGAGACACCGAATATTTACACAATGATAGACGAATATTTACCAAATAACATAACCCAGAACAGAGAAATCTGCAAAAATGAAAGGGGTTTTGGTTAAGAAGCAGCTGGAAAATGGTTACTGCGGTGTTACCCCATCTCGCTTGTGAATAAGCTTGTGATCCACCATTGCTCGATTCCCTCTGCTAAAACTGGGCTGTCCTTTGCTGTTGTAGCTGACCCCGCCGCCGTCTCTCTTCTGGGGCGAGGAGGAAGAGAAGAAACCAAACACTGACCCGGACTTGGACGATCCCATGAGGGAGCAAACGGGGACGTTGAGAACGGGGGTTACCCTGACGTTAGCTGAATAGGACCTCTCCATTCCTCTGTGCTTGTGCCTTGGACCGCCATTGAAGCTACTTGGACTACTGGAACTCCTCTCCAAGCTCTGAAACACGATTTTACCCGACGAATTCAGCCGCGGGCTGTCTATTGAGACTCCCCTACTCTCGCCGCCTGATTCTCCTCCTGCTCCGGCGGTAGTAGTTCTCCGCATTGGGCTTCTCCCGACTCTGGTTTCTCCTCCAATTTCTGAGGCTCGCGGCTTCACCAGTCTCATCCTCGGCGGGTTCTGATTGCGGTTGAGGACGAACGGATTCGGACTCTGCAAAGGGTTGAATGTCAGGCTCAAATTGGAAGCGGCATTGGGCTTCTCCGAATCGAGGGAGAGTCTGGGGAGATCTTCGTGCTCGTGGCTGGATGACGAGGATGAGAGCGATAAGCGGGATGAAGAGAGGGAAACCGACGAGTCACAGTCCAGGTCTGATTTCAGCAATGGAAGACTCAGGGTACCATCGAGCGAGGAATTGGAAGAGGAATTGCCGCAGCTGTTGCAGGATTTCGAGCTTCTATGGAGGAAATGCCTCAATGATTTCTGGTTATTGTTGGAAGAAGACGACGAGGAAGAGGATAAAGAAGACGACGAGGAAGGAAACGACGCCGCCTTGGAGCTGTTGTTCTGGTAAAACTTCCTCAGCCCCAGAATCTCTTTCCACCGGCTCGAACATCGAGGCGCCTTCGGCGAGAACAAGTACTGGTCAGTTGTACTGTTGATCCCGCCAGGTAGCTCCATCTCCATCCTCCGGCCAGATTTCGCCTCCACTGTTGTCGCGATTCCGGCCAAAAACTCCGCCGAAGTTGCCGTCGACGACCAAGGCTTCGAGCTCGTGACCTGCATCGGCACCAGCTTCCCGTCGGAGAAGAGCTCGTCGGCGGGGAGCATGGCGACGGGGTCGTCGAGGCGGAACTCGAAGTCCGGTAGGAGATCTTGCTGCTGCTGCTGCTGCTCCGGTTGCGGAATCGCAGCCATCGGAGGCGGAGGAGGAGGAGAAATAGCCGGAGCTGGCTTGGAGAGCGGCGGCGGCTGTTTGTGGTGGTGGTGTTTGGACGAGGAATCATCCTCGCGGCTGAATGAGATGCGAGGACTCAGCCAGCCGTAAGAGGAGTACGTCCCCGGCGGCGGGAAGCTCTCCGGCGAAACGCTGATGTTGTTGACGCAAGCTGAAGCCATTTTTTAATTACCAAATGCTCATGCAAGAGAGAACAAAAATGAGATCCGGGTGGAGATTTGAATGAGTACTAATGAGGGCGGTGTCACATTGATCGGGAAATCTCGCCGGAGTTGAGATCTCGGCAGCGGGAGATCTAGAGAGAGGGAGAATTTGTTAGGGTTTGGGAGATGAACGGATGGGGAGTGGAAGAGGCTCTGAAATGAATTTTTCCGAAGTATGTGTTGTTTCTCGTGTGGGGAGCGTACTGACGGAGAGAGGGAGATCACACGGTAAATAAAAAGGAGCGGGATGAATTACAAGAATGATCACTGAACATTTTGGTCTTCTGTAGATTAGCCATCGAAGTAGAATGTTTAACAACATTGTCAATAAAGTTTGGAATAACAAAATAACAGTACCTTGTCACTTGTCAGCTAATTAATGAAATTATCAATAGCAAAAAAGAAAAAGAAAAAGCTGGAATAGCTCAGTTGGTTAGAGTGTGTGGCTGTAAACCACAAGGTCGGAGGTTCAAACCCTCCTTCTATCGCATTTTTTACTTTGACTTCTCCACATAATTTTTTCGTTCAAACAAAAAGGAAATTTATAATATCGACCATGTGGAGTATAATTTTGTGAATGATATTCTTTTTACTTCACATCCGAGCCCAATAATAATCGTGATCAAACTTTATTCCAACCACTTATTGTGAAATTATCATATAACTGTGTCCTACCCTTATATTATATATATTTGGACGGTTCATTTTTCATCCCCTTCCATTAACAGGCTTAAGAATCGAGCTAAACGTACCATGAAAGGTGAATCAAGGCGTTGAGTAAAACCCTCGACTATTGAACAAACTTTGTGTTTATCAACTAAACCATTCAATGTCATTTAAATCCAAAACACCAAGTTCGTACCAGCCCACCAAATTTAATAAATCCCGCCACGACATGATGAGGCGGGTGAAGTTGGATCATAATGCTTGTAACTCGACTTGCATAGCCTAATAATGACGACGTGTGACAATTGATGTGAATAAATTTGCACCAAGTAAACTATTATATTAGTTATTCCAAACTGGTTAAAATTCAAAGCTCAATGACCAGTTTGTTTTGGATCTAAACTTCAACGATCATTTCGGATATTTTACTCGCCGGGTCTGGGTTTGGGCACATGACTTGCGTTTATTGTATTCTTTTGCTTTGTCAGGCTTTTATGCGTTGCCCAGTGCCGACTACAATTGAAAAGAAATGGTTTCACTTTCACCTTTGGTTGAACTTTGAGAGGGGGTTTGGTCCGTTGAGTATAACTTTGGAGTTTTGTTAACATGAAATGAAATTTACTCGCTAATAATGCAAGAAGGCCATTAAAATCCTACAATCATATGCATCACGTTTTATTGACAAGAATTGAATAATTTGTTTTGCTAGTTGATTGACACATACGATAAGAACGGATTATATATATCATTGTATACTATAGATGCAGCGACCATTGCAATAAGAACAGATTGCATTTAACGTTGTATGCAATCGGTGCAATGATCAACCTACAGTCTACAGACCACAAATGACTTAAAATGTGAGCATACCAAAACCTACTATTAGAGTTTGGTCATTTAAAAATGTAGGGTTGGTGGGACTTAATAAGCTCTAGTCTAAGCTTTTAGATTTTCAAGTACAAGTTTAGGTTGGGGGACTCTATAGCTTAGTCGTTCTAACCATATACTCACCCACAATTCAAATTCGGCAGGACGTGGAAATGGATTTGGGTTGGCTAGTGTAGTTGATTCAAGATCTGTAGTGATGATGTGCACCAACTACCAAGCAACGGACAAAATTGTTCATTCGATCAAATCCATATATTTTTTTTATACATTTGAAATTGGCTCGATTTGATCACATCGTTAAGTTGGATCTATCACTACAATCATGTCATGCAATTTGTAGTTATATTATAATCGAGCAGTTACGATTTCTGTATACATGATCAGCTGACCGCTTCACATCATTACATCCTCACCGACGACGACATTGGTATGCCCTTTCCAAGAAGAATCGTTTAAAGTGACTACTGCATCTACTTTCTGAATAGCACCCATGGGAGGTTAGGCCCACATTCTATTTCCAATGGGCCGAAACAAAAACAGAGTCTGGAGTAAGAAAGCCCAGAAGCACCACATATCATCGAATTTGTCTTCATTTCCGAAGAATCTTGTGAAGGGGTGAAGAACATATATAATTTCACTAGATAAGAGGATCAAATGATCTCTAATGAGTACCAATGTCTCACGTTTTGTGCTTGTTTGGAGTATTATTATATGGTTATTTTGAAGGTGGCTGTCGCAAGAAGGGGAGTTCCATTACTCCTTAGACCACCTCTGCCCATGATGGCCATTCATTTCATTTGTATGCAGAGATTGCTACAAGCATGGAACAACAGTAATAATAATGTTGTTACTTCTACTCTTTTTTTGTTCCCAAGAAATGGCAGTGCTGCCCATGATCAATGTCCATGTAACATGTGACACAACAATGGAGGAGCAAAATAATGCAAGTGGAAGGAATGCAAAACAATATTAGAAGTATATCTACTACTACTCATGTGTCAAACAATGACATTTTTATATATATTATTAGATGCAATCCAAGATTATTTATATTTTGAGAATGACGATTCATGCTTATAAAAAAATGTTTATTCGTTAAAAACACGATTTCAAAGTTGTTTGCTTGTCAAAATCTCAATTGATTATATGTTTCGGCCTGTGAGATAATATTTTTTTTCGTTTGTTGACTTCAAGATTCGAACATAGAGTGTGATGGATATTCACGACCTACATTACCACTAGACCATATCCTTGGGGCTGGCTGAGTGATTATTAAGTCGAGAACCATACTCAAATGTGTAGGTTCATTACTCAGCTTGCCCATTAGTTTGATCTTTTTCTCTCATAATTTGGGATTGCAATACGATGATAGACTCCGATGATCAAATTAGACCAAGGTACGTGAAAAATGAACATTTTAAAGAGAGTGTGCCTGTCTATTACATAGATACCCAACAAGGTGTAAAATGTTGAGTGGACTTTTGCACTTACGTGTAGGCTTTGAAACAAACAACTCTTATACAGAAGAGAGTCTTTTTTAGTGCTTTCAACCAACAATACTCGACTCATCAAAATACACAAAGTAAGAAGCCCTTTCAAGATCAGGATGATAGTCGACATGGATCGAGCCACCATTAAAAGAATTTGACATACAAATTTCACAGAGCAAAATTTTTAGATTCAAGCCGAACATAAAGAGACGACAATCAAAACAAAATCACAATCCCACATTTCATCGACTGCACAAACGATCCACAACCATGTTCTTTCAATCAAAACTTCGAATTCAATCAAACGAATTGGGATTAAGGGGGGGGGAGAGAGATCAGGTGCGTATAATAGTGGTCATCAGTCTCAATGGAGGAAGTATCCATTTCGATGCCTCGGAATTGGATTGTCACACAATCATCACATCTCTCTTTTCCCCCCCTTCCCTCCCAAATCCCAGTTTCATCCATGAAATGAAACGCAACTTTACCACAAAACGTAACGAAACAAAAGAGAAACACAAGAATTGAACAAACAGGAATACGGAGATGCAGACGTCGTGAATTTCAAACAGTGGCAGATCCGATTGTGAACAGAGAAAGGACCAGATGGCTCCAAAATTGCTTTCCTCGGAACAGGGGAGGATTTTGGATTTTTGGTTAGGGTTGGAAGAGAGAGACAGAGGGAGAGAGAGAGAGCACTTCCCATTTGGGGATTTTGGGAATCTATTTTGTAGCTGAACTGAAAATGAAGAATGAGATCGAGAGGGATCTCTGCTTTTATTATCTTGTTTGAATGGTGGTGGGTGGCTACTGACTCTGAGCACTGGCTTGGGACTGAGTCGAATTGTTTGGGCCTGCAAACTTTCGGCCCAAAGTCATGTGATTTTAATTGTATGGGCCTTGGAAGTTTCGGCCCAAACCATTATCTTGCTTATTAAGCACATATTAGTCATCAACGAAGTGTTTAAGAAGCATGAGTGACGAGTCTACCTCATTAGTAAGGACCATGAATGAAACATTATTAAATAAACGATAGGCAGCAAAATGATAAGCAGAAAAAAAGGATCTGTCATATTATTTCACTGCGCATAAAACTCATGTGGGAATAGGTAAACAGGTTCCCTAATCATACGATCGAGCAAACTTCAAGAGGTAAAGACAGTACAAGTAAAGCTAGATAGGCACACGTATAACATAGTGAACAAGCCAGCTACATTTTCAAGCTAGCTATACCATAAACATTGCGAAAAATCGAGCCTTTCAGGGAGGTGGCCGAATGGAGGGGACCGTTGGGATGGTCGGAATGGATGGAATCGTTGGGATTGTGGGGATCGTCGGAATCGTTGGAACTGATGGGTTCGATGGCATCCCTGGAATTGATGGTATCGATGGTATCCCGGGAATAAGAGGGAATGAGGAGCCACCACCACCACCTATCGTTGGAGTAGTGGGAACTGCAGGGACGATGGGGATTGCACCCGGAGGCAGAGCTGTGGGGATAGTTGGCATTGTGCTCGAAGGCAGGGTGTCTGTAGGATGGTGAGGCTTCGATGGCCGGTGAGGGTGATGTCGAGCCTCGGTGCAGTGTTCGAGGAAGCCGACTGCAACGAAGAGAACGAGGATGAACACAAGAGGGGAGCCTCGGAGTGCCATTGCTGAATGTTTTAAGTTTGCTGTGAGCTGTGAAGGGTGAGTGAGGTGAGGACTGAGGAGCGTGTATTTATAATGGAGTGACGAGAAAGAAAAGAATAGCTTTTCCAATACGGCAAAGAGATCAGAACGTTTGCGTTGGGGCAGGAAGGCTAAAACGCCCTTCGGCTATTTTGTTTGTGTTCGAGACTTGACCGTCGCTGTAGAAAAACGAACGGTCTGTTGCCGGCAGGGATTGCCAGTACCAAGTCTTCTGGCGAAGGTTTGACTTGGAGTCTAGTGTTTTTGTGTGTGTAGTCTAATTTCTATTCCCCGCGACTTGGTTCAAAGCACAGTGAAATGGACATGGGGAGACCTGTGGTTGAGAGGTGCCGTGGTGAGCATGCAAGATTACATCTCAAGGCAGTGAGCTAAACGTCTATTTCGGGACTATAATGGCTACAGGTCTTTACCAGTTAACGAACAGCTAAAAACAGGCAGAATTTAAAAAAAAAGGGTTATACTTTATGGTTGTGAAGTTGCAGGTCCCGCTTCCAAGATCCGAGTGCAGAAAGCTCTCCAGCAGGGCATTTGTCTGATGTATCTTGCTCGATGAAACGCCAGGCTGGGAAATGGGAATACAGGAAACAAACACAAGCTGACTTGATCTTTCAGTTTCTCCATAGACTTCTTTGGTGTGCTCAATGGCATCCAGGATATGACATCAATGGGGGTTTATATGTGTTCACGGTGGGCACTGTTACTCGGAATCCAATCAACTAAAGCACCAAACTCGTCGGTAATTCATGATTGTTAGCATCTTCGTTTCCTCCGTCGTATAGCAAAATCTTACGAACATCAGACGGAGGAAATGAAAAATGTCAATCGTGGGTCATAAGCCGAGTTTGGTGCTTTAATTCACAACAAGGAAATCTAACACCTTGGCCAGGAATGCTTCCATTTCTGCACCGTGACCCGTTTCAGTTTGATTTAATAACAAAACCGGAACAGCTACTCTACAAGAGAGATTATAAAGTGGAAGGAACCGCTATTAGATATGTATTTGTGCATGTATAGCATAAAACTAAAGCCTCCAAGGCTCCAGCACTCTATTAATCCCATTTCCATAAGCAGGCGTCGATCTAACCATATTGCCTACTCAATGAATGTAAACAAACTCTGTCAAGTGGCTTTGCACCAGTCATAAGGATTTCACAATTTGCAATCAACCTATTTCGATGTCCAACTCTAAGAGCAAAGGATGAACTTTAGCTGGCCAAACAACAGCTCGACTACGTTATACCTTAGCTACAGTAAGTGGAAAAGAGAAGTGCCTGCGTGTTAATTGTTCGACTTCTTCGAGATCAGCTTACATGCAAGAGTATGTATTACCTAATGTTAAATTCTATGATCCTTGGAATATTTCCTGATTCAAAGGAGTTCGTTTCACGAAGGTTGATGAGGACACATAGGTAATCTCTATTCTCTACAACTAAAACCAGCTCTCATCCTTGTAACAAGTAACAACTCAAGCTGATCATGTACCAGAAATAACTACAATCATAAAAAAACCATCTCAAAAAAGACTTGAAGACAGAATGCACATCAAAGTTCCAAGACTCACTATGAACTAGAGACTATGTACCTTTCGATAAAAAATCAATCCAATGTCAGGAAGTCCCCGAGCCAGTTTTCTCTGCAAATGGGAAACAAAGTAATCAGTTGACAGCAATGTGATTGACAAGCACAAACTAAATGCAGTGAAACAAGAACAACAGTTATGTTATGGCCTCTCAACTCCCATAAACCGCAATCTTCACTGCTCCGTTTCACCTAGAAGAAGGTACCAAATTTTCCCACCTCTATAAGGGTTGAGGGCTAACATTTCCAAGTCATTCAATCCGCAATCCAGGAAAAAACCATGATGCCTAGTCTCATCTATATCATCCAAACCAACCAGCTCGGGCAAATTGTAGTAAAGCAAGAATGCAAACAAACACCACCCTTAACTCTAATTCAGCTACCCACTGGAGCTGGGAACTCCAACGAATCCTGAGTAAATAGAAAAGCAGATACCTTGCTGCATTCCCATAGACAGCGCGCGATCCATGTTATCAATGCGCCGCTGTATGGCTCTGAGCAGAGAGTTCAGGGACGAAACTCTCTTTCGGACGGCGGAAATCTTCGCAGCGTGCTGCATTATGAACGGCAATGGCGCGTCTTCCAGCAACCGATCGAGCTCTGTCCATATTTGAAGAATGTCACAGTCAGCAGTTTGTATCGAAATCCTTAATCAAGTGGGAGATAAAGAGAGGAAATGCTTCATTTTTACCTCCGGTGAGGCGATCGAGGGAGGAATTGAGCTGGTCTTGGCTACTGAGCGTGGTTCGAGCTTGCGAATCGAAGTCCCTTATCACGTTCGAGAGAATCGTCGATAAGCCCCTGGTCAGCGTATCGCTGCTGCCGCTGCTGTTCTCGAGCGTGCCGTCGGCGACGTCTGGTCGGGATTCTTCGGGATCTGTTCTATTGTGATTTGTTGTGCTGGTAGGAGGGACTGAATTCGTTACCGGTGGTGTACTGACGACGGTGCTCTCCTCGGCGGGATGGGCGATGGCCGGAGGGTCCTCCATTTTGCGGAACTGTGGTTTCGAGGTGAAGCTCTGAAGATACTCGGAACTTCTATTTCTCGACGCTATCCCTCATGCGAAGAAATCGTCACCCAGGCCAACGAGTTTAATTTGGTGGAAGGCCCATTGCAATTGGATTTCACCTCCGGCCCAATAGTGCTTCCCTAGCTGATACGACGCCGCATCTTACACATTGTGCTGTGTAAGACTGTAAGGTGTAAGCGGCCTACCTCGGGAAAGACGTTAATACCCCCCAGTTCTCAAGCCGGAAACGAGACGGATTAGGGTTTTCGAAGGACTATATAAACACTCTAACATGCCTCAGTGGATTTTTCAGCTCTCAGTCGCAATCCCCTTTCCGTCGTTTCATTCCATGAAATCCTGCTGCGGGAAGAGAAGGCGGAGCTGAGCTACCTGAACCAAGATGAGGGCTAAGGTTCGTCCGTCGTCACAGTTCCTTCTTTTCAACGATCTTGTTGGTAGTCTGCGGTCTTGAGGCTTCGATTGTTTGCTGTTTATCGTTTATGGCGTAGGATAGTGTTCTATGTCATCGTTGCCTGTCGAATCGTTGTCTATTCTCTGTTCACCATCTAGACAATCTGATGAAATGCCGATGCATGACTGTAGATTAACAGTAGAGATTACTCGATTTGCAGTACTTAATTTTCTAGAAAGAACTCATTAGGTTGTTTTGAATTGAGCTTTTTGACGAGCGATTAGCTGAAACCGGCCTGTTTATGATGGTTTCCGCCGATTTCATGGTTTCATTCTGCCGCAGCTCCATTGAAATTGCATCTGGTATTTGGTAGTTTGCTGCTATTTCTCTTCTGGTTGAGTGATTGATTCGTCTTTGTTTGCTACTGAGTTGATTGAGGTTCCCAGAAATTAGGTATTGCTGTACTGGAGTAATCATTTCCGTTTTACTCTCACGTGAATGCTGAATTGTTTTGTTTTGTTCATGGTGCGCAGTGGAAGAAGAAGCGTATGAGGAGGCTGAAGAGGAAGCGCCGAAAGATGAGACAGAGATCCAAGTAGGCACTCTGCTGCTCAGCTAGCTGGGAGATCTATTCCCTTTGGAGTTCGTTCACTTGTGGACGTAGTCTTGGGGATAAGGCTGTTTTGATCTTTCAGTACCGCGTTTACTAGTATTATGCAGTAGTTGTAAGTCTCCTTTTTACATGTTAACCTCTGCTCTACTGTAGGGTTAAAACATTTCGAACCGTATTATCCTCTTCATTACAGTTCACTATCTCTTCGTTGTGTGGATGGTCTTTGAACAATTCCATAGTGTTATTTGGTTGTAGCACCTGCGGCAATTCAAGTGATCTACTCTTTGATGTTTTGCGGCAACATCTCTTTCTTTGCACTGGTGTATAACTTTTTGTTCTCTACTGTGTTGGGTATGATCTAGTTGTGGCATGCTTTTGCTCCATATGCTGTGCTTATGGAAGAATGTCGATCCTCGTAGATTGTTGCATACAGCAGAAAATTAGAAATCACAGCTAAATACATATTGTAGAGATATTACATTTTCAAGTTAGCACAGTCAAAATGAATGATGTATCATTGTGGAAAGGAAATGCCTTCTGTTCTGCCAAATGTTGGAAGGCAGAACCTGTAAATCCACAGAATTATTCATCCGCTTTACAAAATCAACCAGATCTAAGCTCACCACCTTCTTCGAATTTGTCTTCGTTGAGATACCGAGATCATTGATGTTAAACATTCAGCCCTTCGAGTTCGAGGTCATACTGCATGACAAGCCTCTCCAGGGTATTCAACTTCACCACTCCCTGCCCATACAGCTCCTTCAAGACTTCGGCAGCCAACTCCTTCTCCCCTTCGTGCACGATCCCTTCCACCAAAATCGTGTAAGTCGTCTCATTAGGCAAGTACCCTTTCTCCACAATCATCTCAAAGACCTCCAGTGCCAAATCGGTCCTCCTGCACTTGCAAAACCCTAGCACGAGTGCATTGAAATTGTCCACCACAGGCTTGTACCGGCTCTCCTCCAGCAGCCGGAAGATTTCCAACGCCTCGTTCAGCATCCCTTCCACGCACAGCCCCCTGATCAACGACGAGTACGTGTGGGAGTCGGGAGTGAAACCATCTTTAGTCATCTCGTACAGAAGCTGGAATGCTGCGTAGGTGTTCCCCTTTCTCGTCAAGCTGGCGAGCACCCCTTTGTAGAACTCGTGAGTGGAAGCACTCCGCTTGTTCCCCAACATTTTGATGATGGTGAAGGCTTCCTTCACCTTGTTCCCACCTTCCTCGCATAGCACCGCTATGGCGCTGTAGGTTCCATCATTAGGCATGACATGACGATACAACATCTGATCCAAACACTTCACCACCATCTCCACCATTCCTTCCTTAGCCAAACGCGCGATGATCGGATTGTAGGTCGCCGTTGTCGGCCTGTGAGCCGCCCCCTTCGTCATTTCGTCGAGCACTTGGAGGGCATGCTCGGTTCTCCCATGCATCGCCAGCGAGCTTATCAGTATGTTGTAAGTAATAGCAGAGGGAGTCCTTTCCTCCCCATCCATCTCTGCTAACAACTCATTCGCCTCCTCCCACCTCCCTTCATAACACAAATTCCTCAACAGTATGTTGTAGCTCACCACATTGGGACTATACCCTTTGGAAGGCAGCTCCCTGAACAGTCGAATCGCGTCGTGAATCCTCCCTTCCTTGCACAAACCAGTCAACAGCACATTGTAGCTGACCAGATTAGGCATTCCTCCTTTCGCAATGATCTCATCCAGAAGCTTTATTGCCTCGTCCGCTCCTCGCTCCTTATACGCGGTCTCGAGCAGCGACGAGTAAGTGAATGCATTGGGGACAAGCCCTTTCTGTATCAACCTGTCGATGAACTGCAAGCACTGATTCAAATTCCCCTGCATGCACAGCCCTCGAACCAGCGAGTTATAAGTCGTACTGCTTGTTGGGAGCCCGAATTCCTCCATCTTCTCCACCAACTGCATCGCGTGCCCGACATTTCCCCTCTTGCAGAGATTGTTGACCAGGAAAGTGCAGGAAGCTGCGTCAGGGATGATCCCGGAGTGGAGCACCATCTCCATGACTCGAATTGCTTTCTTGAGCTTGTCCGATTTGCAGAGGTCGTACATCAATTGGGTCGCTTTAATGACGTCCGGCTTCTGCCCCTTGGCCACCTTGTGCTCCAGATTGTAGAACTCTTCGGTTTGTCTTGATTCCTTGCTTCTTGCACTGGGATTTGGATTGGGATTGTTCGGAGAGTCCCTCCAGTTGGGTAGCGTCAAGACGGAATCTTTGGGGGAGATTGTGATCTGGGTCGAAGCTAAAACTTTGGTGAAGGCCTTGTTGAGGGAGAAGGAGTGGAGATTTGGGACGTGGGAGAAGAATCCGCAGGAGATCGTCATTGAACCGCCGGTGGTTTCTTGGCATTGGGTTGGTACAGTCGAAACTGGGTTTGGCAAGCTCCTCATCATTCAACTAAATCGTAAGAGTTGAAGGGATTTCTAAGGTGGTACAGACGGGAGAAGTGTCACCGGGTTAGTGATCGGCGGTGGATCGACGGCGAAATGTTATTCTTTGCGGGTAAAGGTTTGGACTTTGGAGACGTTGAGAAGCCTCCGTCCATTCAATCAGATTGAATTGCTTTTTCACTTTTTTTCGTGTTATCCGAATGATATTTTTTGTGGGCTCATGAAAACGCCACGTTTCCGGGTTCGGGTACATCGTCTTGGATCCCGTTTCAACTTTGGGCCTCGTAGGATTCACGGGCTTCGGATAGACGGAAGAGCTCATAACCGGATAACTACCCTGTGCAACGGATAGGGATGGCAATTTCGACATGACCCGTTTTACCATAGACGGGGCGGGCATATGTATTATCATCGACCCGACCTGTCCTGACCCGTCTCATTCTCGACCCGTTCTTTCCTAAATTACATATAATTTCAGTCAAATTGCTTAGAATTTTCCTTTTATTACATCATATTTTAGCTATAATAAAGTTGTAAATTAGTGAAAATCTCAATTTCTCCTAGAAATTAACTACATTTATCATAATATTGTTAGTTTTCTTCATCTTATGATAAAAATAACGAATATTTCTAATGTTTTTCATATAAATTCCATACCCAATGGGTCGTCCTGCCCCGACCCGTGATAAATTACCCGGCCTGGACCCAACCTGCCACGGGGCGGATCTGGGTACCAAGAAACCCGCCCCGGACCTGCCTCATTGCCATTCCTAACAACTGTTCAATCCGAAACGAATTGTATCGAATCAAATTGACTTTTGTATCAACCGTGTCGAACCGAGTATAATATGATCCCATCCTTGATTGCATAAATTTTATGAATACAGAAGAAAAATGGATCGAAATAATATTTGGACCAAACTAAAACGGCTCGAATGCTCTGTTGGTATGGTTATTGGTCCATGAAAGTCTCTTACAATTGTTAGGGGTGGGCCACGATTCTGTCAAAACTAGTCTGAATCGTACCAAATAGATATTTTGACCAAATTGAATCGAATCAAATGTATTTCGATTCATTTTCGATCATATGAATTTTAAGAGTATGAAAAAGATGGACCAACGTTGAATTTGGATCGAACCGAATCGAATGGACCATATTGGCTTTTGGTATGGTTCTCGTCCTCTGTTTTTTTTTTCCTTTTGATTCGATCTGATCTCACTTCAACCGGTTCTGAACCCCATTAATGCCCACCCCTAATTTTTTATCACGATTCTCCTTAATTTGATCCGATCAAGTCCAGACCGTTGCACACCTCTATCCTCGACATAGGAGACGAGACCATGTGGCGTTTACTCCGAGTACACCTGTCATCCTCGAGGCCCTTGACACGTGCCACGTATGCCGCCTCAGAAACACTATATACGTATGAGAAACGAAAACCAGGCGAGAAGGAAGATATTATGCAACATGGCGAAGAGCAAGGACGATATCAAGTACGCGACGGCGCAGGCGAAGTTATCTGAAGACGAGGCGCTGCGGATTCGGTACAAGCACGGCACACCGTTGGAAGGCGGCAAGATAGCTGACTCTCAGCCGGTGGAATTGTTCTCTGGTGCTCATAGAGTCGCCGATGCTAACGCTGATGAAAGGGATCCCTCCGGCGGTGGTCAGTCCCAGCTGGATCGCCCGCGTGGCGGTGTCGCCGGGGAGAAAGGTACCGATCTTCCTACCGGAGCAGGGTGATGGTGAATCGGGATAACTTTGCCGGCTAGCTGAGTTCTTAGTTTAGCTGTCTTTTCCCTTGTTTGGAGTTTGTTATCGAAGTAAATAAGTGTTTGTTTGTGACAATTACTTGAATAAAAGAACACTAGATATTGGCCCGGCCTGTTGGCCGGAGACATCGATGGTGGTTATTGAATAAAGTTGTATATTTCTTGTAATTGGTTTATTTATGTTGAGCATACAATATGTCGTTATATCAATTTGTAGTAGGAATAGCGATGGGCAGGTTTGGGGTGAGTATTTCGATGCCCATACATGCCCCATGGCAGGTTGGGTCCATGCCGAGTAATTTATTACGGGGCGCGGGTCGTGGCAGGTCGACCCAATGGGTATGTAATTTATGTCAAAAATATTAGAAATATTAGTTATTCTCATTAAAAGACCAAGAAAAAAACCATAATATGATAAAATCTAGTTAAATTATTGAAAAAATTGAGGTTTTCAATTAATTACAACTTTATTATAGCTAAAATATAATGTAATAAGAGGAGAATCCTATGTAATTTAGGCAAGAACGGGTCGAGAATGGGGCGGGTCAGGGCAGGTCGGGTCGATGAGAGATACCCATGCCCGCCCCGCCCCAAAAACAGGCCACACAGGCCGGGTAAATCGGGTCAGGTCGAAATTGTCATCCCTAATTTGTAGTAGTTATTGTCACTGTATTAGAAATTTTGACAAAGCTGATCATTTAGTGACATAAAAGCCTCTCTTCTCGTCGGATTAATTAGCTAGTGACCGACGCATTTGATTGTTTCATCTAAAGTTTATTGTGTTGTATTCTTTTGATAGGTAACCACAATAAAAAAATTACTTGTAGTTAGCCGAATTATTTAGGCAAGTACTCAAACTATTCTTATGTCGATTAACTCTTACGTCGATTTTAAAAGGTTTGACTATATTTTGAAAAAAACAACACTAAAAGGTTTGGTTATTAAATTGTTTGTAAAAAAAAAAATTACTAACAAAGTAAGGCAAAACAAAGTATAACTTAAATTAAAGTCAATGAAAAAAACATGAGAGTTGCTTTTCAATGATACATATACACTCAATTTTCACCATAAAAAATGTTATCGTCAGAAGCCTGGACTTAAGATCTCTAAGTGCGCTAATGCCTTAAAACAATTCGTCTTTTTTTTATCAGTTTAAAAACAATTTGTCTTTGATGTCTATTAAATTGGGGGGGGGGGGGGGGTACTTGGTCAATTCCTTAAGTTGTAAGCTCACGAAATCAATATGTCTACAGTTACACTCACCTTGATGATATTAAAGTTCAAACAATTGAAACTAAAAACAAAATATTACCAAGATGTTATGATTCGATGATAGTAAAAATCACAATGACAAAAAGGACATATGTTTTCAATGATGCACCAAGAGAAAAGCTTAATAGGAGAGAACAAAATTGTCACAATCCTAAAGGGCCTAAATTATCAGGCTAAAATCCTCGAATTGTGGACCATGGTCAATCTTCTCATAAACTATGGTTATCAATTTTGCCGTTTCAAAGTTCCCCATGGTCGATTTTGAAAGAAAAAGTCGTTCAATATGATCAGTCATTCTCTTGAGAAGATTTATCATTCATAGAAAGATAGAGAGAGATAGAGAATTGAAAATGGCAGAGTCCTTCTCTAAACTCCACCAATAAGGCCATGGAAGAATCAAAATTGTCATTCCCAAATCCTAGACCTATGAACCTCACTAATCCTTAACTCTGAATTATGCTATCATTAGCTTCTGAAACTGAAACTGAAAAGAAAAGGCATATCATCAAGCACCCATGTCCAAGGCTGGAAGTTTGGTACCGGTATTTGGGATATACCGAATTTGTCTATATTTAGTATTACCGAATACACGTATTATTTTGTGGGATTGGGATTGGGATTGAATTTCAATTGTTATTCGGTATTAGGGATTATGGGATTGTGATCGGTATATACCGAAATACCGATCAATACCGAAATATAAGCTAATGTATATTTTATCCTCTCAACTAAACTCTCTCATTCACTATTACGCGACCATCAACCACCGAAAGTATCATTTAATTATACATAGATCATTACATTCACACTATTATTAGTCGTCTCTCAACCTCAAATTCGTCAAATTAAAGATTACCAATTACAATAACTTGAGATGTTAGCTCTATGCAACTCAAGACTATTTGCTTAGTCTCTTCGGCCTAAATTAAACAATAAAATCAAATTTATATATTTAATTATTAATTGCAAAGATAATTAATTATGTATTTGATAATACCGATTGGGATACCGAAATTATTTAGGGATTGGGATTGGAATACCGAAATTATTTAGGAATTGAGATTGGGATTGATTTTAGGGTGTAATTCGGTATTCGGGATTTTGGTATTTGGTATTGGGATACTGATACCGTACCGATTTCCACCCTATCCATGTCCCAAATGGGAAGAGTAAAAACTCATGACCTTAGATGATAACAAAATAGTTTTAAACATGTGATTTCCTGTTCTTAATGTTAAAGTTTTGGAAAATAAATGTATGAGCTACACTACTGTGATCCGTATGCTGGAGGATTGGGGCTTTTTTTGTAGCTCTATATATGACATACCTTCCATCAATCTATCACTTTGTAGTTGGGGCTGGGGTGCAACAGTTCATGAGTCTGATATATGATCTGGCATAACTTCAATCCATCACAACACCGTAACAGGATAAGGTACACATTCAAGTTGCAAGGTTCTGGCTGATTTGACTCAAAACTCCACGTAAAGGAATCCCGATGCACCGTTAGAATCCAACCCAGAGTATTTTATGAGGAAAGGTAGTAGGGCACAACAACATAAAATCAAAATAAAAATGATGCATCACCCTAAACAAAGAAATTGAACTACTAAACAAAATGTAAGTGTCACCACATTTGAAAATCTATACTGATAAAAACAAAAAGCAAAGCAGGCTTTAACTAATGGAAAAGTGAAAGTAAACAGAGATATGAAAAAGAAAGAGAAAATTCATCAAAATAAAACACAACAAATTTGGAATATGAAATCAAATAAATTGGAAATATTGTTTCTAGCTATCTATACAGTCATATTCTCATCAGACCCCTCAAAGTAAATGAGTTGAGGGTGGGCTATTTAAGATGGAAACACAGGGTTTAATATTATGGTTGTGCACAACTCGGACGGTACGGAATGAGAGAAGTTGGGTGAGCTAGGAAGGTTGGGTAGATTCAGATGATGAGGCGAAGAATAATTGAGAAGCTCCAACTGAAGATTGAGGTTAAAACCTGCGGTAATAATTTTGCTTTCGGTGTTTAGGATTCATCGAGAGAAGAGGAAAGCAGGTGGGGAGGAAAGGAAGAAAAAGAAACTATAGTAGTCCAGATGCGTATAAGTCAAAACGCACTGTGGAATTTAATTTTGGCAATTCCCTTCAATGCCCTTCCGGGAAACACTCCCAGGGCTGCAATTTTGAAATGGAGAGTTTCAGATGCTTTAAAACGTATTATATATTCTCTAGATCTGCACTTGTGATCATCAACAAAGCTTTTTGATTCGCAATTATATTAGTGATAATTAACTAATTGTGATATGTTATATCTGCCGCCTAGCTTGTAGGCGTAAGCATGTATTTATACGATAAATTATTTGTAGGCGTAAGCATGTATTTATACGATAAATTATTTAAATTATATTCATATGATCATGAATATATACGTACAAAGAAAAATAAATGTTCATAATAAATAATTATTTGATCATAATTACTATAATTGATGTTAAAACTTATATCTAGCTAGCTAGTAACCTAACAAATAAGTGGGCTAATGAAAAGTTGCGGCCATATATTTAATCAAAACCGTAATTTGCAACTGGCACGTGAGGAGTTCGTGACACGACTGAAGTGGCGGTGCTCGGCTTGCCGCGTTGACGGGAAGTATAAATTGCGGAACCCGCCGTCGTTACTCGTTAGCTGCCGAACGTCCTCTTACCCTCCCCAATACGGATTCCAATTGGAGCGGGAAACCTCTTTTACAGTCATGAAATCGTCGAAGCAAGGGGCGGCGGATAACAGCGGCGGCGTATCCGGTCGCGTGCAGACTCTCCACCAGCGTCTCTACAGCGCTCTCGGCCTCGGCACTAGGTCAGTTCAGTTCGGTTACTGCCCAATGTGATCGGACTTTAATTTGTCCTGCTTCTCGTTTGGTTCCTGAAAAATTCGATTGTGTTCTTTTCCGGTAGATTTCATGACGGTAAAGGTTGGAAGTGGAAGTCGACAGACATCGAGATACAGCGAAACGTCCTACGATCCATTTCTTCGTTCCTCGATAGCATGACGCCGGATATCTCCCGCCGTAGTGTAGTGAAGGCCGGCTTTCAGGTGGCGTCAGAGCCTTTATTGATTCAGTAATGCTCAGTAGGATCTTTAAGTAATTGATTTTGAAGTGTTATCTTTCAGGACTTAGTGGGCGATATTGTTGGAGCGATGGTATGGATTCTTCAGTACAAAAGTCAAGCTGCTTTGAGCTTAGCCGCAAATGTTGTATTGAAGTTGATGAACACAATCCCTAACTCAATCATGAGACCGTATTTGTTCGATCTTGTGCGTCCTTTGTTGTGTGGCTACTCTTCAGAAGTGTCGACCTGCCATCGCGTTGAACATTGATCCTCTCTCGCTTGAATGTGAAAGGGGAACCAATGGTTTGGGAAATGCTGAATGATTCGACATCTGTTCCTAGCTTTGTGAATTGTTTATCTGATGTTCCTGATGGTGGTGATGTTGCGAGCATGGAGTGTTTCCTGGAGATGAATTCTCGGTTGAGCACAATACTGCTTCGTTGGCCTCGATCTCGATATTGTGTTTGGAGCAATTCGAAATTCATGGAGGTTTTGGGTATTATGATCCAGAAGCCTGATTTTTCTGCTAAGATTGCTGTGATGAAGTTATATGCTGGAGTAGGTATAATGTCTGCACATTTTAGCATGTTGACCTTTCACAACTCTGAAATCTGCTGGGTGAATGATCAATTTGACATTTGGTGTGGCAGCTTTGTGTGGTAATGGTGCCAAGAAGCTTCTACAGAAAGTAGAATTTCTGGGGGTGATGGTTTCCTGTATGGACAAGGCATACCCCATTTCGTTGCGCTTAGAAGGGTTTAGACTTGCAAGATGTTTGGCGGTAATAACTTCTCAACTAATTGTTTTAAACCAGTATGATTGAGACTCTTGGACTATTTGAGTTATTGTTGGATGGTGATATGTTGTCTAGACAAACGAAGAGGGATACCCAACAATGGCGAACTTGTTTTGTGAACCCTTAAAGCTATAATTGATGGGATGAGCGAATGGTCATTGCATTTAAGGAAGATGGATGACGATCAACTACCTTTGTTGGTGGAAGCTTGTCAACTGGCTTGCATAGTCCGTTGGGGAGGGGAGCATAATAACTATTTTTTGGAAGCATGATATCTGTTATGTACTCCTTCGGCTTCTTTCTGAAAATTATATGGATGTTTCATCTCAAGGTTTCTTGTCATTGGAGGAACAAATGCTTGTGGCCAAAGAAGCTCTTGCGACTGATTTTCGCATTACTATTAGGCCTTATATCTGGGATATTCTTGGATGGCTTGCAGCTCATTGTACTAACGGTATAAACCATGAACTGTCTAGCCACGAAGGTCACATCAACATCCTCATAACATCTGCATGGTAATATTTGTTACTTTGGGCATATTCCGTGTTATGGACATCTCCAGATACTTGTATAATCTTGTCTTCTCTTCTTGCTTCTAGCTTGTCTTTTATGGACTCAATTCAGAAAGGTGGCACAATAGTAAATGATGTCGCTGAAACTTCGGAAGGTGGATCTGTTACAAGGGCAGTTCTGATGATGATATATTCTTCTTGCAAGTACTTAGAATCAAAGGCTAAACAAACATTGACTGAAATTCTAAATCCTGGTGGAAAGGATTGTCCGAAACAGATTTTACGTTATCTAAATCTTACGTCGTTCAAGAAAGTTTTTGGCTCACCTGACCTACACGCAGCAGGCGTCAAAATGAAAATGAAAATGCAGATATGCAAGTCATTCTAAGAAGCGGGCACAGTCTGAGGGTGCACTGTGTCATTCTTTCTATCAGGTGTCCTTCGTTGTTTCCTCCTCGGAAATCAGGCTTGCAAAAGCAGGAAGTGGAGTCGGGCAAGGAAATTCACTTGTCTTCGCATGTCGGAAATGAAGAATGCATACTTGGGATAACACGCTTAGAAGAAGAACATGTGAAGAAATTGAAGATTCTTGCAAAACATTGTGGTTTGCAACCCCTATCAATGGTGCTGAGCAGGAGCCGTCCAAATTGGGGATCCCCTTTCCCATCTTACTTCAGCTGGTCAAATGTTCTCGTAAGGATTTCAATCCTTTCATCCCTTCAGTTACGAACTTGTCTTACTTTTGTGGTACTTGTGAGTTATGCCTAAAGGTATAGTGTCAATTAGCTCTAGTCCTTGACAGTTTAATATGTTTTGGTTTTCAGGGACATTATACTGGAGGCTAAAGAAAATGAATAAATTAGCTGGGAATGCACATTCTGCTCCGTATCCCAACCCTATGTGCACGCTCATAAAGTTGTACTGGGTCCAAGGTGCGATTACCTAAGGGCCCTTTTTAATCTGGCATGCAAGAAAGGTGATCATATATAAAGATATATATGTTTGCATCCATCTTATGTGAATGTCCTATATTAAATTGGGTCGATGTTTCATCCAAGCTACTGGAATTCCTGTTGATGCAGCCATTCCAAGACTGTAAAAGTGCCTGTTAGCTGGGATGCCTTGAATAGGCTAGTGCATTGGTTTTACGCTGATGGCTGCCTAATCCTCCAACTGGATGTCCATGGCTCAACAGGGAACAGAGGAAAAGCTGCATGCCGTCCAACCATATCTCGAACTCTGCTGGCTTTCTGATTTCTGTTTTTTGGAGACTGTAGAAGACATATGCTACAGAGTGATTATATGTCGTATGGAAGGCCCGGACGTGAATTTATCCCTTAAACTGCTCCGGCTCGCTGAAAACTTGTCGCTGTGGAAACTCTGAAGTAGCCGCTGATCGTCTGGCTCCTGCATATCGCCAGTTATGCCAGTCTGGGGTTCTCGAATTGTTGGATGAAGGTCTGGCCGGAATGCTGCTTCTGTTAGAATCTCTCAATCGCATTAAGACAAGGATAGGTACCGTTGTCTCCTACCTTTGCCCTGTCTTCTATTTTCTAGAAGTACTTCAGACGTAATCAAAGAATAGAACATGTCATTGATTGAGTAGTTGCCATTTTATTCGATGATTACAATTTACTTCTATTTAGAAGTGGTGCCTATATCATACATCAGCATCCTATGTATCAAATTAAATGTTTCTTTCCCTTTATCTAATGCTGTATTGTGTATTCGTATATTCCTATTTCCTTGTCAGGCAGAAGGTGAACCAGCTTCCTCTCTTAGTTGCAGCCTAGTAACACAGGCTGCAAGTCTCTTACTACGTCCTGCATCGAGATCGTGGAGTCAATGTCTTTCTGCAAAGAAACAACGTGAAAAGCCGTTAGTTCGAAAGTTCGACTCCATTAACATCAGTTCTTATTCTGCCTCAAGTCTCCAGTGAACAAGAGTATCATCATACCTTGGTCACAATGGTTACATCCAAGGAACACCTCCCGAAAGGCACGACATTGATGGCCAGCACAGTAAGGTGAAGTTTCTCCACTTCCCTAACTACTCTGGCTACCAGACCCTGATGCTTCTCGCAGTGAATTCTGATCAGCACGTTCTCATCCAGGCCTCTCGCTTCGACTTCCGGGATCAGAGTATCATCAACAATGCGACTCATGAACTCCTCTCCAATCTCCACCTGGGACTTCTTCACGAAGATTATGGACTCCACCAACGTCCTCTTGGCTTTCTCGTGCAGCTCGTTCACCCTCTCCTGGAGCTGCTTTACGTACTTGATCGCCTCCCCCAGCACAGTAGCCTTGTCTCCCTGAACAAAACAAGCAATCAATCAGCAGCTGAACTCGGATTAAACCGAAGAACACAATTCCATCCGGGGAGGCAGGCAAGGTATTACCTTCTTCAGGTTTGGTATGTTGGCGGAGAGAGCGATGAACTGCTTGTTCAAATGCTCCCTGCGCTTCCTCTCTGCAAGTATATGGTGCGGCACGGGCAAACCGCTTCGACCACTTCCCGAACTGGAAGCCGCTCTCATCGGCTGTTCAGGGGCTGCCGCATTGGCATTGTACTCCGACGAAGGATGTTGGTTGATCAAAGCAGACAGATCGTCAAACCCATCAGAGCCTTGCTGCGAAGGATCGTGTCCGAATGGCATGAAGCTACTCAAATCCATTGGCGGCTGGCGGGTAGAGGTTGTTACAGTTATGATTCCAGAGGTGGGAAGACAAGGGATCTAACTGGTCGGTTTTGGAACTTCCTGGAAAGCAGCTCCCTTTTATGCAGAGGGAGGAAAACGCGTGCAAGTAAGATCCGATACCGAGAAATCTAACTCAAGATAAATGAGGGAGCGAGGCTTTAGCTAGATAGCAACTGAAATTTAAAAATTCTGTTGCCTGTTTAGCGCGAGGAGATAGAAAGATGGCGGCAAGTCATTCTTTTCCCCTCCTTCAGCCATCTCTGTCAGAGGTTTGATTACTTCCTAGTATCTCACTTTTTGGCGCGTTCCCGGGTTTATTTTATTAAAAGATTCTGCTTTCTTCTTCTTCCTTCCCTATGGAGTTTTGGGGAGTTCGGTCTTGGCATGTTCGAGCAAAGGAAAGCAAAGATTGGGGATGGCGGCAGTGCATATAGAAAATACAGGGGCCAGCCTGGAATTCGAGGTAAGGGAAATTCTCCATTGTTTTTTTTTTCTTGGTTCTTTTCTGCCACATTGTGCAACCTGACAGAGACAGACACTTGGCTTGGTTTTGGATTTGATTAATCAGTAATCAAACACAAGGCAATTGCCTTGTTATGTGTTCAATTTTTTATTCATCTTGGTCTTTTTCTATTGGGTTACACGAGGTGCTGTGGTAGGTAGGTTGGATTTGAGCAGCAGGGATTTTGCTAGAACTGTTGATAGGGTGTTGAACTGGAAATCAAAGACGAGAATTAGAACCTGATGGAAAGTGCACTTTTTATTATTGTTATTGATTTCATTATATTCGTATTTTATTCGAGTTAAAAATCGAAGATAACTTGAATGTGAGAATTGGATTATGCATTGTTCAATGTGGTTCAGTTTCGAATGTCGATTGTCGAGTTGCTACTGCGGTCTCAGGTTGAGCTCTTGCAATGCATTGATTGCCAAGTTTGCAGGTTATCGTTCCTTCCACTGTGAACAATCTGTTAGCGGGATAGCACTAAGTCTGCTTCTGTGCTCAATCAATGATTGCCAAGTCTCAAAGAGCTGTAAACGTCCAGATGGATGCTTGGGCAAATACTTTCGGCCTGGGACTGGGCTTGGACTTCTCTCTCTCCTCATTTGCCTTCGTTTTCGGATGCAGCTTTAATCTTGATTAATATTTGTCTAATGTTGCAGCATCTATTGTAGCAACCAGACCTTGAACTCTGTTCCAGCTCCATAGTTTACCTTCTTACTTGGTCGGGCCGGCGGCTACAGGCCCATGAAAAGTTGTTGTATTATAGGAATGGGCCTTAATCAGTTGGGCATGTCGTCGGGAGTTCTCATCGGGCTAGTAGACTTGGCCTGCACAAAGTAAGGTTCTGTTCTTGGTGGCCCTTATGGAAACAGAGTGGCTCGTATGGTAGCCCGTCAGGCTCTATTCTTGTCACCCAGAGTGTGTTCCTGGTTTGACTTCGTTTCTTGGTTATTTAGTAGGCAGGTTAACTTGTAATATATGACTCTTGTTTTTCCTCTTTTGCAAGAGTGATCTAATGGAAAATAAAAATTCGAATTAATGAACCGTCTCATCAGGTGGTTTTCGTAGGTCGTAATAGTAATAATGTGGCTCGTTCAGTGGTTCGACATGCTTTATCTTTTTCGCCTTATTATGTTCAGAGGTTCGACTATCATGCATGGTTACAGATTACTATCTTGATGTGTATTGTACCTAGTTCTTTCAAGGAAACTAATTTGATATGAGAACCACACACAAATGATGGGTAATAGTTGTTATCCATAATTAACGTTCTAAAATGGAAATAAAATTGCGATTCGTCGAGTATTTTTAACACACGCTCTATATGCTATATTCAATTCAACTCTTGTCGTGAATAAAGAATGAAAATATAAGAACACTAGCAAAACCAAAGAATATTAGTACAAATAACAAGTCATGATTAGTTAACCCTTGCCACGATAAAACAATCGACCACATTACATTTTATGTATACATAGAGATATCAACCCACGAAACCAAAACAAATCTTGTTACCTACGACTACGATCAACCAAGTCCCCCAATTTTTCCAACACGACCGATCGGACCCCGCAAAAGAAATACAAGAACAAACAAACCTCAACTTGTTATTATCATATCATTCATAGTACCATTTCATTTTCCCCCTTACCATCATTACATCAGAACACATAGAGATCCGCAAGCTCCTGCAAGGAATCCAAGCTGAGGCTGCTTGGATCGCCATTCTCCAGCATCCAGAGCAAGTGATCGAACAGAACCACCTCACACTTCACCACAGCCGTCCGATCTTCATCATCATCGTGATGATCACAACCATCATGGCTACAGGACTTGTCGATCAGGGCATTCACCACAGGGTGGCTCAAGTACTTGGAGCTGATCACGTACCGCTTCCTCGTGCTCCCCACGAACACCATCCTTCGATCATCGTCGTCGTCGTGGCGACGAGGATCTGGATAGTGATGAGCTGTGCTGTGAGACCGCCATAGTTGATCGTTGGTAGCTGGATTATTTGACCTCAAGCTGCTGTAGGACGAGGACCTGCCGAGTTGCTTGGAAAGGCTCTTGCATTTCCTTAGCAGCATGTTGATCTTCTTCATCAATCCTGTTCTTGGTTCTGGAGGTGGAATCAGAAGAATTATGGAGAGAGAGAGAGAAGGAAAGAAGGGTGGAGAGACTTGCCAAACACTCACCAAAGAGATGTATATAGCTAATTAGCAAAGAGAAGAGGGAGAGGGGGTGGTGGTGGGTGTAATGTCGTTGTTGTTTTTATATATAGAGAGAGAAATTTGAGGGAAAATCTTTATAGAAATGTATGATAATAATGAATATATTTTCAACATGTTTTGATCATAAAAGTTAAAAAAATGTTATATTCGAATGTTTTTCTTCTAAATTCACAATTTCGCATTACGGGCTAATTTGTTTTAAAGATTTACAACATCGTTTTGAGATTGCTAAATTACCTGGAGGAACCAAAGACGTCAGAATATGTCATATCGCCTCGTGATTCCTATTGTCATTTATCACAAGTATAGTGATCATTTCAGCATTTTGTCTTTCCATGTCACTCGCGTAGCGGAGTTCGGTTTTGTATATATTCCATTTGCGGTACAACCAAAAATTCAAAAATCTGAAGAACAAAATAATAGAATTACTACGAGAGTTTATATATAACTCTTCGCGGACTAATCCCGTTCGAATCAAGAAGGGAAAACAACATAAATCTTGTCTTGTGTGTTTTTTCCGCTTTCTGCTTCTTTCGATTTCTACAGTTGAGTTTGAGCCATTACTATCCAACCGAAACCAAAATATATGTCCAAACTTCAAACGGGGAGTGGGATGCTTCTTTATGATCAGCAACTCCACTGTGGACACTTTATTATATTATGCTTTGTCAATCTTTAAGATTAGTAATGATATCATGATCGTTTGGGGGATTGGTTGCCCCATTATCTAGTGCTCTTCTTGTTGGATTTTGGTCATTAAGTCAATCACAAGTTTCTACAACTAGTTGTCTATTAGTTGGTTATTAGTTTTGCGGGGACCTTAGTGATTTTGCATAAAATCGAATTCGTTGCATCTCGGAAGGCATGGTTGTTGAGAGAGAGAGAGAGAGAGAGAGAGAGAGAGAGAGAGAGAGAGACCCTACCTAGAAATGGAGGATTGAAAGACTGCCTCAGTCTTTCATGGTTAACTGACAAAATTTGAGCACGTGGGACATTTTTTTTGCCATCCCCTCGAACTCCAATCCAAATTCCCAATTGCCCTTTCTTTTCACCCCTCCCTCACATGGATGGGAATTGGATCCTAAATCCCCTTTTCCAACTACTATTCTTTTCCCCTTATCGGTTTACGATTCAGTCACTCATTCAATTAGCTAACAACAAACACCCACTTGCTTACCCAACAACAGAAAGAAGATTCACGACGACGGCTATCCAATCTCCATGTTCCCATTCATGCACATGCTTCACTGACTCACCAGGCATGGGCAGTTCTTCTGGGTGTTAGTGACTGGTATATAATTAGTGATTTTGAACCTCTCCCAACAATTCGAGTTATTGGGATTAACTGCTTTTTGACATGGTACCAGAGCTTTATGTGACCGAGAGGCTTTGTGTTTGAATCCCGGTGATCCCATTTGTGAAACACATGTATTCTAATGTTCAGGACATATGCAAACGAAAGCCCTTATGAGGTGATTAGCTTTCGTTTGAGGGGGTGTATTAGTAAGCGGAATATGATGCAAGTATTTTATTTAACTTAATTTCGACGAAAGATATTCGTAATAAAAAAAAAAGATTCATGTGTTTTCGACCATGTATAAGCATAAATAGACACTACCAAACCCATTAAAGGCAAAACTAACAGTCAGGTAGCACTCTCCTCTAGCTAAGGACTCTACCCTATGTGAAATCCCTAACGAATTGATGGAATGGTCAATTCAATGCACAAAGTGAAACACAAACACTTTGTTCTTGTTAGATGCCATTTTCTTTTCACTTGGGTTCACAAGTCGCACTCACAGCTGACAGCAAACCATGCACAAACACTGTATAGGTGTTTATCGTACTTGCATGACCACTAGTTGTGTACATGTAAATTAGGGTTTTCACCACCTAACCAAAAATGGCGAGACCCGCAAAACAAGCTGATTGCACATTACCTCGTCTCAGTTTTGATAACTCACTCCCCATCCTATCGCTTTCCCCCCCTATTGAATGGAAAGAGAGCGAGAAAAAAGAGGGAGGGATAGATAGGTGTATGCACATGAGACAGCATTTCTCGTATCATAGATGACAGGAGAGTCAATCAACATATGCATTCTGGAAGATGATTTCGAATCCAAATGCACTGAATCAAACAATACATCTACAAATACGTCTTATTTCGTATGATTTTAATGATTATTATCATTATCCCAAGTGATATCATAGGAGTTTGATCACATCATTACCATGCTGGCAATCGAACAAACAACATTGAGACACACACACACAACAGTGGGACCTAATTACCACTTACCAGCACCTGCAGGATGACATTAAAGAACCAAAGTATGTTTGGTGTTGGAAAGTAATTGAAGGAATCTCTCTTAGCTAAGCTTGCCAGCTAACAATCCCCTAAGGGATTGCTTAGAAGCAAAAACACATAACATCCATCACATCATCAAGACACAAGAAGCTAAGAAATTTGGGGTCATTGGATAGCTAACCAGATAGAACTCATGCCTTTTCCCCCCCCTTCTGATGAGTTTCTGATCATGACACCTTAACTCTCTTTTCAGTTCACCACATTTCAATTCCACATCGTAGATTGACAAAGGGGCGAAACAAAAAAAGCAGCATATAACATTTCAATTACACATCGTAGCCTGACAATTGGTTTACGTCTTCCCGGTCTAACAATGTTCACATTCTATCTCTGATGCCTCTCCGTACAAAATCATGAAGAAAGAATGTAATGTATAGGGGGGGAACTTTCTGCCTGTATTGACGAAAAGATCGTCCAGAGTACCTTTTCATCTTGGTTTGAATCGCAATTCACGATTCGATTCAACTATATGAATTGGAGAAGGTATTGTGGAGCTGAAGCTAATGAAATTCAACGAAGGAGTACCTTGGAAGCACTTGCCATTAGACGTTGAAACGAAACAACATTACGTCTCCCTCTTGGACAATGTATTCTTTACCCTCGGATCTCAACTGCAGGTCATATAAAGCAGGATTAATGTCAGTGGAGAGCATCCACGGTCACATACTTGACAGTAAAAGTATGGTACTTTTCAGTTTTCACGTGGTTAAAGAACATGGTTACATGGGTATAAGGTAAAGAGGGTTTCCCGTGAATCCTGTAGGCTATAATACTGGTGTAAGCTTGTAATCATAGCTAAACTGTGCTTTTACCCAAGGACTGATGGCAGATATATAAATTCTGAGGTCTAACTGTTGGCTACGGGAAATGTGCTGAAGAGATAAATAAGGGAAAGCTACTACATTCATCAAGGCTATTTGTATGATATATAGCAGGGTAAAAAAACAAGAAAACTTACAAGTCCTTTTTCCCTTGCTGTTGCAAGTGAACCAGCAGTAACAAAATCATTGTATGCAACCTGACAATTGAGAAATGGGAAGGCAGTCAGGGAATAGTGTGAAGTTGAACATTGTAATAGGTACGCCACTATTAGCCAACAAGACCTGTTTCACTGGCATGTTTCAAGTTACTTTTTTACTTGGTAAAAATTGAGGTTTTGTCAGCAGGGTGTCTCTCTAAACTACAGGATGCTCGATGGCAGCGAGCCTTACAGAAAGTTATTAGTATTTCCCATAGAAATATCATTGCCAGATAAAATGGGAATAGAAAGATGCTAACCGTCTCAGCTCGAATAAAACCTCTTTCAAAATCCGAGTGTATAACTCCAGCAGCCTGTGGTGCAGTCATTCCTGATCAAAGAACAAAATTAGTTTGGGAAACCGTCATCTTTCCACAACCTAAATTACAAAAGCAAGCTGTGATCTTTGAACCATCTTAAGATCAAATTATGATATGACCCGTCGTGGAGATCCCGAGCAGTATGGACCAGCAAGAAACGAAACAATACAATGGAAAAAAACTTCAGTTCAGATTAGAAGCTATCTGGATAAACTAACCTGCTCGAATGGTCCATGCTTTAGTTTCCTATAAAAATACACACAAAACCTTTCATCAGATATTGGATAAACCTTCTTCACATAGTTCAGTTCTCAACTTATGCTTCCTCACCTTCTCACCCGAAGTAAAATAGGTACGCAATCCTAAAAGGTCATAAGTCGCCCTTACAAGATTTCCCAGTCCACTTTCACTTACACCAAGTGATGTCAAGTATTCCGTTCTTTCCTCAAGCGCCAACTCTGATAGCTCTGATTCAACCTGTAATTAACAATTTCCCTAGTTATTTGCTGGTATAGGGGCATGGACGGAAGCAACAATAATCCCACGCCTTATAGGTGGTGTTCATACACACACTAGCACAAGGACGTCTCTGAAATGTATACCTGGGCTGAAACAGTTACTAGTCCAGATTGCAATGTGGCTGCAAGACCCATAACTTCTTTAACATGAGGATTGTCTTCAGGAACTGCTAAATCATTCTCAGCGACATTTGCCACGTATATGATAGGTTTCATGGTAAGCAAGCACAGATGCCTTATAGCCTCTTTCTCATAGTCTGTTAAACTTACAGATCTTGCTGGTTTCCCGTCCAAGAGAGCAGATTGTATTTTCTCCAAGCCTGACTTTTCTGCTTCCTCCTAGAGAAGGCAAACTCCAAACACATAGGTTCAAAGCTATCACAAGTTCTCTAATCTCTCTCTTAATTTGACTGTCCGTTTAAGATAGGGCACACTATTCTACTTACAACATAGAACAAAATTAATTCACCTTGGCTTTAGATTGCGAGTCCCTCGCCTTTCCTTTTTTAAGCTTGTCCAATCTTTTCTCAATCTGCATTTCTTAGAAAAATGTACAATCTCAGTTCATCAACTAATCTCAAAAGGGAAGCTATCTTAAGCATGCCACTAATAGGATGCAACTAGCAAAAGATTCACAATAGACGACATCATCTGTGAAAGATAAGCAAGAAAGTTCTGAAGCACACGAAACATGTTTCACCAAGCAGCTATTGAGTTGGCGTACCTGGTCCATATCTGAGAAAACAAGCTCCAAGTTTATCACATCAATATCAGCTTTAGGATCCACCTTCCCATTCACATGAACAATGTCATTATCCTCAAAGCACCGCACGACCTACAACAAGATCACAAACTCTTATTATCAACAACTCAGTTGTATGTCCAGGTCCATCAGGTTCAATTCAAGATCCCAATTGAATCGCATTATACATCACTGTAAAAATGCCTAGCCAGCACGTTGACAGTGAACTCTACAAAACATTACAAGATCGAAATTGGAGATAGAGAACAACGGATAGAAACCTGAACGATAGAGTCGACCTCCCTGATGTGAGACAAGAACTTGTTGCCCAGTCCCTGTAGTAGTGAACAAACTCGGAAGTCACAAAGCCAGCCGACTGAAATTTCAGAGAACCATCAAAACAAAGAATCCAACCAGCTATTCTCTGCTGGAAATCACACCAAAACTGAAGCAAAACCCACCAATTAAAAGAACAATAACCAACCCACCTCGCCTTGGCTGGCTCCCTTGACAAGACCAGCAATGTCTACAAACTCTATGGAGGTAGGAACTGCTTTCTGAGATTTGCTTAGGTCAGAAAGCACATTCAGCCGTGGATCAGGAACTGCAACTGCGCCTACATTCGGCTCTATTGTACAGAACGGGAAATTCGCCGCCTGTGCTTTACCATTCTCAACCTAATAATGGACACACAACATTCAATACGCAATCGCTTAGCCACTCTACACGCCCCTCATCAATCGGCAATTCTATCGAATTCAAAAGCAGGCATCTCAATTCTCAAAACAATGGAGGCCAATTCGGAAGCTAGAGCTCCTCGTATTGACTACTTACAACAGCGTTGAAGAGAGTGGACTTGCCGACGTTGGGGAGGCCAACGATGCCGGCCTTCAAGCTCATGCTAATCTTGGAAGACGAAGACGAGAACCGCCTGCTGATTCCAATAACGCCGACGAGGCGGGAGCTGTTGGTGAAGATAGACGACGAGGGGGACGATTTCAGCGGGAGGAAAGATAAGGCGGGGATGATGTTGGCGCAAGCTGCTCTCGCCATTTCTGGAGCTCCGGAACTTTACTGTACTAGCGAGAGCACGAAAGTGGCCGGCCGGGTATCTGAAAAATGGCGGTAGAGGGAAAAGAGAAAGAATGGCTTCCTGAGATTGAATCGGAAAAACTTTTTGAAAAACCCTTCCTATGCCTTTCTTTGTTTTCTGCTGTGTGGGTTTAGTGGCGGTGGCGGCCAATCCCATTTTCGCGGTCCAAATTGCTCCGTCGCCGGATGGGTGTCGATGGCCGAACTCCCGTGGCACTTCCGTAATTATGGTCCAAAATTTTCCCCTTATGTGAGCCCATTATGGAAGCGGCCCACCAACACAATGAATGAAACTGCGCACGCCCCACGAACCCATTTAAGCCCACGAACCCGCCAATTTTAGCCCAACTCAGCAATCCAGCAACGCTTATCATAGAAATCCTGCCAAGCAAGAAAGCTACCTTGCCATCCAAGTAAGCTGGTGGTGGATGATGGAAACAACAACCCGGTAAGTTCTTCCAAAGAGAAAACGGAAAGCTTTCCGGAGAAAAAGCGGGAATGGAAGAAAGAACTCAAGGAAGAGCTGCTAAAGGAGAGGGAGAGAAGGAGCCTCGCAAGAAGACGAAGGGGGTGAAAGAGATCTCCGGTGGAAATTTGATAATGAGTTTGGGGAGGTTGTCGTCGTCTGTTTGCTTTATAAGTTCTTCTTTTCGTTTTTTTTTTCTTTTTGACCTTTTATTAATAATAATATTCCATGAGTAATTTCAGGTTAAGGTACTAAGAACGTATTTATTTTTCTATGAAGTTGTTGCTTAATTTTGTTTTCGTTGAATATAAATGGTTTGTTTCTAGTCAACATTACTAATGAATAATGATGATTTCTTACCCCTCCCTGTAATGACCCAATGTCTATAAGGAGTTAATTGTAATATAGTATAGCGTGGGTATCAATTTGTAATTAGTATGTCATATAAATAGGGCTGTGTTGTAACGAGAAAGGTATCGAATAACAGAAATCAGTTTGTCAATCTTCTTCTTCCTATACTCTGCCTTCTCCCTTCTTCTCCTGCTTCTGTTCTCCCTCTTCTTCTCAATCTCTCTTCCTTCTCTTATAATTCTCCTTCTGATTCTCCAATTGAGATCTCCATTCCATTCCTTTGATCGATTAACTCGCTGAGAAGATCCAGTTCCGACTCCGACTGCTACAAATTGGTATCAGAGCCTCTTCTTGGCAAAATGACAACGATCATCACGACATTGGACGGTATGGCAGACCGACTGGAGCGCCGCTTCGATCGTTTGGACGAATTACTTGACCAAGTCTTCTTGCGTTTGCCGGAGCCGCGCCGACCTAGATTTGCGGCCGTGGTTTCCGTCGCCGGGGAGCAGTTACCTTACCACAATTATGCTCAGGCAGACCATCCGCCATCTGTTCGCCGCAATGCCGAGCTGAAGAGTTCTACAGCGACGACTCTTACCACCTCCATGTTTTCGCCTTCCGCCAATCCGGCTCACACCGCAGGCGCCATTCACCGTCACACTTACGGTAACTTTCCCTTTGCTGAATTCCCCTCCTTCAATGGCGATAATCCTAGAGTTTGGATTAGGAAGTGTGAGGACTTGTTTGCTGAGTATGGAATTCCAGACAAAGAGAAGGTTAGAATAGCTGCGGATTATTTGGAATATCGTCCAGATATTTGGTTCGAAGGATGGAGGTATGGTCGTAGGGAATGGGTGTGGGAAGAATTTGCCGATGCCCTATGGAAGCGTTTTGGATGGGTCAATGCTGGTGGTTTTGCACTTGCTCCTTCACAGCATCTTGATGATCACTCAATTGAGTTAGAGGTTACAGAAGCATCTAAACTCTCTCATTCCCTATTGCCAGCTGCTGAATTTTCTACCCCTGAACCTGCAATCTCAAAGGAGGTAGAGGTTATCAAGGTTACTGGAAGTGGAAGTGAGCAGGTAGACCACAAGAATAACCTACAGTCACCAGAAGAAGCTGTGATAGTTCATATGGTATCCACTTCAAAGTCTAAACCTCTTCCTCGTCCAGCCTTTCTTGTTGGGGATAGATTAATGGTGACTGATGAATCTCAGGCAATGGATGTACTCACCACAAGCACTCAGTTTGGGAAAGTGGTATCGAAGCAAGCTTGGCCGAGTGATGCTAGTACAACCTTCCGGGTGGTTAAGAGACATCAGCAAAAGGCTAGTTGTTTGGTGTTTCCTGTGTCAAGGGGGTTGCAACATTATGACTTCCCTATTGAAGTGGCAGACACTTTTAACTTGAGAAGAGATTATGGGTATCAGATTTATCCCACCTACTATGGTGTTGGAGTTATTTCTCATGTCAGTAGTAGTGATCCAGATTTTTGTGAAGCATATAAAGCTGCTTTTCCGAACTCACAACTTACTACTGCAAATGCTCGGAATGGAACTATGGTGGCTCCACCATTCCCCTTCGTATTGACGGAAGATGGTGAAGATTTAAGTGCAGCAGACAATGTAAAACTTGAAGATCAAAAAGCTGCTTCTTTGCTTGGAATTGCAGACACCTATATTAAGTTGTTTGACCCGGGTGGAGCTGGGTTACCAAGTGATTTCATTGCTACTGGATCACCTCGCAAGCTGTACATCTCATGTGATTTTGAGGTTGACGACAACTACTGTTATGCCGTGGTATCTAAGGGCAGGGGTGATTGTCCCAATTTTAAAGGACCATATAAGGATATTCTTGCAAGCCAAGCTGTTCTCAGGGACAGGTTTAGTTGGGTGTCTATAGAAGCTTTGGATTTCAATGGCTGTAGTGGAAGTAATTTGAGGGTTGTTCAGCATTGTGATGTTGTGACGAGTGTTCTTTTGGTGTGCTGCGAAATGGTGGGCATGATGACTGATGTGAAGACTTGGTATAATGTTTCCAAGGTGGCTGCGGTAGTATTGAAGAAGGTGGTTGGAGTTCATGACTATGGTAGAGAACTCAATTCTCCTGTCAGGATTATGTGGCCTGAAGTATTCATTTGTGCTTTTGTTCAAGACTGCAGACTGGTTCAAAATGTTGGAGAGTTTGTTGCCACCGGTCCGGTAGTCTCTTGTTCTGGATTCAATAAAGGTTTTAACCGTGGAAAGGTGTCGACTATTGTAATCCTTGAAGGGCTGAGACTTACTACAAATGTTGCTATGAGAAGAGCTCCTTCGGTAGTGTATCAATTTCAGTTGTTTTCTGATCTTGCTTCTGAGTTCTGTGTGCATGAAGTTCTTTCTCATGGAAGGGGATTGCCCGAGTTTAAAGAACCCAGCAAAGATGGAGTAGAGGACATCAACGATGAAGAAATTCTTGACCGGGAATCTGTAAGATCTTGGGGGTTGTATGGCAGCAGTAGTTCCAAGCCTCTCAAGGAGGATTGTGGGACTGTGATGATGTTGTTTGCTACTGGTAATGGTGGGTTGTCAGGTCAGGAGTGTTATGTGATTTTCTCGCACGGAAGGGGCATTGATCCTGACTTTAGAGAGCCATATAAGGAGCTTATCACTACTGGGGAAGGGATTATGGATTGGTGGTGATTCATGAAACCAATACAACTTGGTAGCCATCCAAACGCAAGAATCGACAGTTGCAGCTCATTTCCTTTTGTTTGTAGCATTTCATTGTTGGCTTGTTCATTGTTTTGATTGTTTCAGCCTTGAGGACAAGGCTATTCTCAAGGGGTTGGGATTTGTAATGACCCAATGTCTATAAGGAGTTAATTGTAATATAGTATAGTGTGGGTATCAATTTGTAATTAGTATGTCATATAAATAGGGTTGTGTTGTAACGAGAAAGGTATCGAATAACAGAAATCAGTTTGTCAATCTTCTTCTTCCTATACTCTGCCTTCTCCCTTCTTCTCCTGCTTCTGTTCTCCCTCTTCTTCTCAATCTCTCTTCCTTCTCCTATAATTCTCCTTCTGATTCTCCAATTGAGATCTCCATTCCATTCCTTTGATCGATTAACTCGCTGAGAAGATCCAGTTCCGACTCCGACTGCTACACTCCCCTATGGATTTAATTACGTTCGAATTAATTAGTATTTAAATAAGGAGGAAGTAATTACATTAAAAACAAAATTAAAGCAGTCAAAACCTATGAAATTTGAAAGGGCGATAATGGAGGGTTTATACGGCTCAAGATAGGGTGCATAACTTTAAGATGTATAATTATGAGTAACTAAATCAGGGCCCTTCTTTTTTAAGTGGCGGCAGATCTAAAAGTGGAGAATTAAAGAAATTTATTTTCTGTAGTTTTCTTGATTGGATCATATCTTTTTCATTGTAACTCGGATTTCAAAATTTTTTTTTTGCAAAGATGGAACGAGTTCGTTGTGCTCTACAAAATTATATCAATTTTCAATATTTTTTGAGAAAAAAAATTTCATACCTCTCGTTACCAATTCCATACCATATGGTATCTCCTTCATTTTTTAGTCGTTTTCAGAAATTTTTGCATAGAAGAAACGATTTAATCATGATATATTAAATTTTAAAAATTTATGGGTGAAAAAATTTCATACCTCTTGTTACCAACTCCATACTATACCACTCTAGTATTGGGTGGTATTTTTCGTTCCATATGGTATGCTCTTATCTAATACTAGTCAATACCATATGGTATAGACTGGTAATAACTGACAAAATTTTTTGTTCCAAAAAATATCAAAGTGGATATCATTTTGAAAAGCACAATTAATCTGATCTAACTGTGCAAAAAATTTTAAATTCTGACATAAAACGAGTGAGAAATCATCCGTTAAAGATTAAGAGAAGGAAAATTAAAGCTTTTTCGATGAGAAAGAAGGAGGCGTTGATGTGCCGGATTCTTATTGGGTTATGCATAGGGTTATTGCACCGCGAGGTTACTGACTGGATCTGCTCCCGGTTTATACGACTCCAAATAAAGTGCATAACCTATGGTTATGAACAAATCAGTAACTAAATCTAGATCTTTGTTTTTAAGTAGGCCCAGAAAATCCAGATCTAATAGTGGAGAATTAAAGTGATTTTATTTTTCCCTTGTTTTCTTAATTGGTTCATATAATTTCGTTTTAACTCGGATTTCAATTTTTTTTTGCACAGATGGAACGAGTTCGTTGTAGTCTACAAAATGAGATCCATTTTCAATATTTTTTGAGGAAAAAATTGCATGCCTCTCGTTACCAACTGCATTTCATATGGTATCTTTTTCGTTTTTAAGTCGTTTTTTAAAAATTTTGCACAGAAGGAACGAGTTCATCATGATCTATTGGATCTAAGGTGGTAGAGTGATGTTATAGATGAGTCATTTATGCATGATAAAATTAAGTCGTAATATGCATAATGCTATTCGAGATTCACTCTCTTGTACGATAACTTATCTTTACTTTTATGCATCTATAAATTGAAATAAAAAAAACTTAAACGACTTTACTCTTCTTGTTTTACTTTTCCTTGCTTGTTAGTTGTTACTCGAATAAAAACCCCTAAGTAGTCCCTCTTATTTTGTATGTCCTATATGGTGGGTTGTGAGTAGTTATGCATTAGAAGACCTGTGGAATACGATCCTAGGGCGTCCTATGCTTTTAACTTCGAAACTGAGCAACTTACATCAACATGCTACTCTATGATGTTACGAGGGGGTCATTAACATACTCCCTGGTGTGATGAGGGGGTGATCATTCGTATAGGCCCCTTAGTGTGATGGGGGTGATCATTAGTGATACCCCTAGTGTGGAAGGAAGTGATCACGTGGACCAAGATAATAAGACTATAAGAGGGGTCTCCATGTCTCGACGCTACCCCTAATATAATAAAGCGAGATGAAAATTGATTAAGTATGGAGTAGCCTTCATAGTGTGATGAGGGGTGATCATCAATATACTCCCTAATGTGATGGGGGCGGTCATCACGTGGAATAAGATTATGAGGGGTCTCCATGTCTGAACACTATTACCCAAGTAGTCATGTTGATCTGGCGACGAGCAAGGCTTGTCGATCTCTGAGTGGGATATGGTCGAAAAGGGGTTAAGGAAGGAAACTCGGTGATGACTCGCTATAGGTACTAACTCAGACGTCTACTATGTACTTCACTCATAAGGAAATAAGTCGGACTTGATTTCGACTCGATGACTGGTACGATGACATTTCTCTCACTAACATTGTTGACCAAATAAAATAATGATTTATTTTTTAATGGCCACGTCACTTTTTAATTGTCAACATTACTATTGACTGTCATATATAGAGTAAATTTAACACAAGTAAAAAGTGAGTAACCAAAGATAAAATGAAAATTTAAAGTTGATAACCAATAATTTTTTTCCCCCGAATTATAAACATAAAATAAATTGATAAACTTGGGATCAAACTTGCAATTCAACGGCCAATTGGGAAAATGCTCACCGACCGCTTCCTTCATATCTGAATCTCCATCTCCAATAATTTTTCTTCTTTTACTTTCCCTTCCATTCTTCGTCGTTATCTCTTCCCTCCTTAGGGTTCCTCTTCGCCTTCTTCTCCAATCCCACAAACGGCTTTCCCCCCCCGAACTGTTGAATTATCGCGTTACCTATTTCTCCACTGTACGGATCCTCCCCTGCAAAAACCCCTTCCGGTGAAGCTCTCACTTTCCTCTTGTCCGGGGTTTTAGATTTCCGCCATGGCCGTCACCAGCCTCCTCTAGGGTTTCTTCTCCCCCCAATTGTTTCGGAGTGGTAAGTGTAGGTAGAGATATATATGGATAGGTTCATGAATGGAGGCGGGGTCCCGCAGAGTTCGAAGGTGGAGGATCCTCGACCATTCGGAATTAGCAGTTCTGGTAAGTCCTTCTCCTTCTTCTTGCGCTTTCATGTTTGGTAGCTCGATCTTCTGCTTCTCTTTCGGGTTGTTGGAGATCTTGTTTTCGTAGAAGGAGGAAGAGAATTCTTTTCAGTGAATCTTGCGGTGGATGGCTTATTTTCGAGGTTGCTCAGGTCAACTTCAATGGCGGATTGAGTTATCGACATGGCGTAGCTGTGTATGCCTTTTGGTTGTTTTGCTGAATGGAACAGTTCTTTGTTACTGCGCGGGAGCTTCAAGTTTTGAGTGAACCATTTTAGCTTTATGATAATTCACAAGTGCTCTCATATAATATTTGTATGCTGGTGAAGCTTTCATGCCCTCAGTTGTCCCGTTCTTTGATTGTTAGTAATAATTTGTCATTCAATTGCACTACTCAATTCCTTGTGGCCTGTGATTGCTATCGAGGGTGACATAAGACAGAATGATGTAATGTTGATTGGTAGTGCTATTGGGACGAATTGACTATCGTGATTTTGCTGACTCGACGTCTTTCATAATTGCAGTGGATACTCTGTTTGATGCGTCTCAGTATGCATTCTTCGGCAAGGATCTTGTTGAGGAAGTGGAGTTGGGGGGGTTGGAGGAAGAGGAGGAAGAGCCCGCTCCAGCTGAATTTGATGAAGAGGAATTTCTTTTTGATAGACAAGAGGTATAGCCCTTCTTTGTGCTTTGTAAGGTTACGTTTGCTTGATTTTGTCCAGGTCCGGAAACAACTGAAATCTAATCTGACAAGCTTGGTTTCTCCTATTTCCAGGGAGACGGTTTAGGATCTTTATCGGATATTGATGATATTAGCAATGCATTTTCAAAGGTTAGTCTGATCCATTTGCAGATGGCCATAGAAACAGCTTTATTATGGTGTATTACTGTTTTCACTCCTCTGGGACCTAGCTTTCAAAATGCAACATATTTTCAGGTAGATGTTAGGATACTGCTCTTAAATGCAGAAATGGGAGAAATGGGATCTTGATTGTCATTGTTTACATATCCTTTTAGACAGTGTTTCCAGTTTCGTAAATGATTATTATTCCAGTTGAATGTTTGTGTTAACTGTTTCGTCATTTGCAGTTAAATGAGGATGTAGGTGGGCCAAGAAGATTTGGTGTAATCGCTGAGAGGGGGTCAAGAGAAAGTGAGTAAAGAATTTTCAATTCTTTCATCTCAATTTCTGATCCAAATTACGTGAATACTGAATTGGGCAATGATGTGAACCATAGAACTGCTTCTTGTGTAGTTCGCCTGCTATTTTGACCGACTCTCTTTATAAGTTATAGGAACCAATATTTTCTCAAACTGTAGTTAAATTTTGGGACAAGTTCAGAGTGGCTTCTAGTTAATGAAAATAAAGGTGTTCTTCTCCCTCTCTAGTCTCTCTGTCAAGGATCACTAAAATAAAATTTATAGGTTGGTTACTTCACGTTCTCTTCATTTGCATGTCTGCATCAAATTACTATTTAATCTATTTTAGTCATGTATCTCTGAACAAGCTGAGTGAGATGAGATGGTGGTTGTCAGTAATGAAAGTTGCCTCACCTGATGCATTGAGATACTGATGATTAAATGTTTTTTCTCTCTTCTTTCTGCCGGAGATGAGATTGTGGTAGTCACTAGTCAGTAGTGAAAGTTGCCTCAACTGATGCATTGAGATACTGATGACAACTATTCTTATCTTCCCCCCAGGTTTGGGATCTTTTGTTATTTGCAATCGTTCTTTGTCTGATTGATCTACTATTGTTTTTGATAGATTTGTAGCATAGCAGTCTGGGACCATATGAAAAGGATTTTTTTTTTTTTTTTGTATGTGCTTTTGTTTTGGATTGAATTCTAGCATGGCCATCTGGGACCATATGAAGAAGGATTGTTTACTTTATATCTCATGTCAACAATCAATCAGATTAAGCTTCTAGCCACAAGCTTTCTTCCTCGTCTGCTTCATTTCACTGTTCAACCTCTTACACTTATGTTTCTCCGAACAATCCACATGAGTTGGCAATATGGCAGTCATATAAAATGAGAGTAAACTTAGTAATACGTTCATATACAAACAGAAAGACTGATTGTGATGTTCCTATTCCAGGTTCATCTGCTGCCGAGTGGGCACAAGGGGAAGAGGTCCCTAATTGGTATGGCCAGCAGGTAGTTGACCCCGACATATCTCAAGATAGCAAGAGATGGTCATCACAACCCTTTGCCTCTTCTGCTCGACCGGGAGATCCGAACAACTTGTATCGAACATTTTCATATCCGGAGCAACCCCAGCAACACCATCAACAAGTACACCATCAACAGTTCTCAAGTGAACCGATTCTTGTCCCAAAACCTTCTTATCCTTCATATCCTCCTCAAGTTAGCGGACAATCCCCACTTGCTTCACCAAATCACACACAGTTAAATATCCCGCATCTCTCTGGAAACCCCCAGATGGCATTGTCTCCGCAGAACCAGTCTCCCTTCTCCAATTCTCAGCTCCAGATGCCTGGTGTGCACCACGGATCACCACAGTACGGCAGAAACTTGCAACAGCTTGCCTCTGGTCTAGCTGTTAACAGTCGTCCACCAGGGCAATGGGCGAACCAAACTGGGATGTTCCCTGGAGACCATCCCATGAACCGGATGAACAATGCGCTGCCTCATCAGAATGGGCTAATGCCTCCACAGATGATGCGACCTCATATGCAGCAGCAGCAGCTACTGCAGCATAGATTTCACCATCAGGGTCAGCCATCTTTAAGTCATTTACCAGGTATGAATAGTTGTTAAAATCAAGATTTTGTGCATTGTTGAAATTTTTTAATATCATGCTAAGATTGAATCTGAGGTTGCAAGATATTAGTGTCCTATACAAATAACCATGATATAGCTGGTACTCTTATCAATTGTAAATAATTGATCGAATGAGTAATATCACCCAACATGAGCGAGTAGAAGAGCATATAATATGACATGAATATATAAAATTCACAACTTGAGTGAGTTGAAGATAAAACAAGCTATAACTTCGTACCTGACATATAACTGTAGCAAGGCTTCACATGTAAAATTGTAAGTTCCATTGATTTCTTTTCCATTAAATCTGAACATTTGTGAACTGCGGATTTTATATTAAGATCCAACAAAGTTGGTACACATGTAAAAATCTCATGGTTGTACTAAATCAGGATTTACAACATTGCAGGTATTCAGAGTCAAATCTTTAACCCACATCACCCTCCATCACCTCCAGTGATGGGAAACTTTGGCGCGGTTCTAGGCATGGGCGAGCTCAGAGATCAAAGACCGAGATCGGTTCAGAGAGGTGGCCGGTTCAACATGCGGTATCCTCAACCAAGCTATGATAGCGGCTGGCCACAGTTCAGATCCAAGTACATGTCAACCGATGAACTTGATGGCATTCTCAGAGTGCAACTTGCTGCGACACACAGCAACGACCCGTATGTAGATGATTACTATCACCAGGGGTGTCTCTTCAAGAAATCCTCATCTGGTGCAACAAAGATCAGACACCATTTCTGCCCAACGTACTTGCGCGATCTACCTCCGGGGGCCCGCGTGAACTCTGAACCACATGCTTTCCTACAGGTGGATGCTCTTGGTAGGGTTCCTTTCTCTTCCATCCGCAGGCCCCGCCCTCTTCTCGAGGTGGATCCTCCCAATTCTTCTACTACCAATAGCGAACAGAACAATGTTTCCCCCGAGAAGCCACTAGAGCAGGAGCCTATGCTTGCAGCTAGAGTTGCAATTGAAGATGGTCTCTGCCTCCTCCTAGATGTTGATGATATCGATCGTTTCCTCAAGTTTAATCAGATCCCTGATGGTGGGACCCACTTGAGAAGGCGGCGGCAGGAACTGTTGGAAGGGCTAGCAACATCTCTCCAGCTGGTAGATCCACTTGGGAAAAATGGACAAACAGGTGGAAATGACGACATGGTTTTCTTGAGGGTATTGGCCCTTCCCAAGGGCAGGAAACTTCTGTCTAGGTACCTACAACTGCTACCAGCTGGCGACCTCCTACGTGTTGTCTGCATGGCCATCTTCCGTCACTTGAGGTTTCTGTTTGGAGATATGTCTCGGGCAGCTGAAGCTACGAGCAACCTGGCTAGGACTGTATCATTGTGTGTCCGCCGGATGGATCTCGGGTCGCTCAGTGCGTGCCTTGCTGCCGTGGTTTGTTCGTCTGAGCAACCGCCATTGCGCCCATTGAGCAGCTCGGCGGGAAATGGGGCTTCGGTCGTCTTGGTTTCTGTGCTCGAACAGGGTGCTGAGTTGTTGAGCGATTCACTTCAAGATGCGAGCAACTACAATGTCACAAACCGGGCGCTTTGGAAGGCCTCGTTTGATGAATTCTTTGGTCTGCTTATCAAGTATTGCGTGAATAAGTACGACGGGATTATGCAGTCTTCTTGCTTAGATCCAGCTGAAGCTATCAAGAGAGAATTGCCTATGGAGCTTTTAAGGGTGTGTGTTCCACATACCAACGAGTACCAGAAGAAGATGTTGTATGATCTCTCTCAGCGGTCGTTGGTTGGTCAGGAGAAAGGCAATGTTGGTCAGGCAGTGTGAGGTGATACCAATACCAGAAGCATTGTTGGGCTTAATTACTTGATTTTCTTTTCAAGGTTCCACAATTGTCGTTGCACCTCACTGGAGCAGTACATTCCGAAAGGTGGAGCATATTGACAATATCCACTTTGGGGAGCATGCGTAACCGGCGAAAGCTCGTAGTGGCCTTTTAGTTTTTCTGAATAGAATTTTTGGCCATTCTCATTCAATTTCACCCTTGTCTTCCTGTGCTGTCTTAGATCTGTTATGGCTCTTGGAATTTTGTCTTCATGTCTGGTCGTCGTCTGTCTCTTGAGAGCTTATTTTGATGCTCTGTTGTGGAAAATTTTCCTCGATGTAGAAGGAAGAGGGTGTAGTGGGTTTAGATGTACAGGTAACCAGAATGATTTACTCCTACTTCTCCGTACTATTTGCTTATGAGGGAGGTCCAGGGATTTGGTTTTGAGTTGCTTGTGTTGTTTTATGGCAGTCGTTGTCCATGGCTGGATGTGCAGAATTGCCTGCAACAGATCTGAAGAAGCTTGTTCACCAGTTAGTTTCCTTTTTCAGCATTTGTTCTTATTGTCCAATATGCACTGCTGTTCTGCTGCAGAATGTTGGATATTTTGTGAAGGTTTTGATTCATATTTGCCGGTGCCAATGGTCATATTAGATCTCTTTCTTTTGCACCTGGGATAGAGAAAAGATGTCACAGACACCTTTCAATTTAGGTCATTTGACATGAACCATGTTGTCTACTTTCTTTTTCTGGCATTCTTAATGGTGTATCTTCTTTATCTGATGAATAGCTTTTGGTCTGTTAGTATTACAAGGTTGACCACTTGTTCGTAGCTTTGTCCAAAATTCAAGTGTATCGACTATGGCTATGGCTCCTGGTTATTAATCGTCTTGTAAGTAGAGGCACTCTTGAATCTTGATGGTGCCTTTCTTCACATCCACGATTCTTCAGTTCGAGGAAAGTGACGAGAATCAGAACTTCATGAAAGAATTATTATCTATGGATCCCACTAACAAAATTTTCAGACAAATTCAATCACACGGAAAAATATGATGACCATAATACGAAGCAAGAACGACCAAGCCATTGGCTTCTCTGGTTAGCATAAGAGCAGCAAAGTGATACCATCCGCCACAAACACCAGAACCTCTCTCACAACTCAATCACTTGCTCTTCCCATCCGATTTCAGACCTAGCTTACTCCTCTGCTGGTGCTCTGCAACTTTGTAATCCACCACCTCCCTGAACAGATTTGGGTCCAGCACACAATCATGGCTTCCGTACACTGCAGCTTGAACCCCAGCCATAAGCTTTGCAATCTCTCGTCCAGAGAATCCATCAGTCTTCGCTGCTGCTTCTCTAAGGATATCGTCGGTCAACCCTTTGATCTCGATTCTCTGCTGCTGTTGTCTCCTGAACAACCTCTTCAGCCAGTTGCCCTTGGATTGTCTCGATCCTGCCTGAGCGATGTACTTATCAAGGTAGAGCTTCAGGAGCTTGAACCGTTCGTCTTCACCCGGTAAGGGGAACTCAAGGACCTCGTCCACACGGTCTGCCACAGCTGAGTCAAGATCTCCAGGCCTGTTTGTGGCTAGGGCTAGGACTATGTCCTTGGACTGGTCTCCAGTTCGGAAGAGGAGTGCGTTCAGCGCACTTCGTTGTGCCTCACTCATGTAAATCTTGTTCCGCCTGCAAACATTTGATAGAAAGTTTAAGCTGTAAGACCATTTGATTGACATGGAGCTGGTGGTTCTAACTCGGATGATCATGCTAACTACGGATATCAAGTGGAAAACAAACTCCCAGATCCAGAAAAGTAGATTTGAAATACCAATTTGGTCACTGGGCTTCCCTGTTTGTATTATAGTGAAGGCACTAATATGATACACAGGGACGCCTTTGGTGCTTTGATTGTCTCACTACCAAGTTATTAGTTCAATATGATACTTGAATCTAACCCCTAAAAGTTGCCTAGGTAAGTATCCACTTACTCGCATAGGAACGCATCTGCTTCATCTATGAACAGCAACAAGCCTCTTTTAGACTTCTTAGCCCAATCAAACAATTGATGGATCTTGGTAACAGCCTGAGAGCCTAATGGAGCAACATCACCACCAGTCATCAATGCATAATCTAATCCCTGCACAAAACAGAAAATTTCACCAAATAGAAGGTCAATAAAAATGCCTACTTTGAGAGGCAAATTTCCTAAGCTAGTGTAGCCATAAGAAAAGCTGACGCATTAAATAGTTGATCCGATGCCAGAACTTTCCATGTTCCAACTCATTTGAACTCTGGAACATTGAGCTCAGGCATATAGCTAGTGGATAGAAACATACTGATTTACGAGCGAGTTCTCTGGCGGCCATGGTTTTCCCAGTCCCAGGAGGGCCATAGAAGAGCATGTTCCTGAATGGTGCTTGATGAGATTTCGTATTAGCAGTTGCACTAGCCAACTGTTGAATTCTCTTCTGGAGAGAAGGATGTAAGATGACATCTCCGAACCCGTTTCCATTAGTAGTAGGAGCTCCTTTGGAGGTCAAAGTGCTCATGCCGCGTTTGAAAATTCCAGACCAAGGGTACTTCCCTCTGGAGGACTCTCTGATTAAGGAAGGTTGTCCTAGTATCCTATCTACGTAGCTCCACATCACTTTTGCACCTTCCCTGCAGTGATGAGAAAAAGTTAAAGCATAAGCCATGAGCTTAAAAGAATTAATTATACAATAACATACGCCCTTGAAATATGTCATTATCCACTTGTAGTTCTTATCATAAGATTTTTAACCAATGTACAAATTCCCCATAATCTGGAACCCTTCAGGATGGAAATCTGTCCAATTTACAAATCAACTCTTCATACAACATGTAAATAAAGATAATTTACAACAACTTGATCAAGATGAACCATTCTGTGTCTGCTAGGATGCATATGAATCTTGGTGAGACCAATTTAATGTTTTACCTTGTTGTGTAGATTCCTGCTGCAAGAGCGGTCACTCCTCCAACCACAACAACCAGCTTATTCTGATCAGTCAAAACCGCTTTCAAACCCCCTACAAAAGTCATCACAGTTCATAAGTGCTACACATCTAAACATGAGCGTGCTACACATCTAAACATGAGCTCATTATAGTTCTTTGAATTGGATCACTAGCATACATAATTGATAAAGTTCCTATACCGCCAATATGGTCGAATGTAGTATTAATTGCCGCAACCCACTTCTCTCGTTCAGCATTCGCACGATCAACCAATATTCTTCTGTTGACATCTTCAGCCAACTTTGCCTCGTGGGCTCGCCCTTCTGCCTCTGCCATAGCTCTCACTCTGATTGTCTCTCGCTCTATCTCGGCCTTCTCCCTCTCGGTTTGCCTTCGTTGAGCCTGAATCTGTTCTTCTGTGGCTCGTCGAGCTTGCTCCTGCCTGATCGATGACTCTTCTTGAAGCTTGACCAACTCTTGGTTCCTCGCTCTTTGGTGTTCATTATCAGCCTACCAAAATGGCAAAATGAATAATAAATAACACTTAAACCCCTCTTCTTTAAATGCCATCAATCAATCAGCCAATATTGACATTCAGCTATAGATATACATGCCTGCATTCTCTTCCTTGCCAGTTCATCCTCATACCGAGCCATCTGTGACTTAACTTGGGCTTGATGTGAAGCCAACTTCTTCTGCTCATCATACATCACCCTTTGCCTCTCCTGTCAAATCACCGCATTCAGCAATTCAGAACAAGCTATTGATTACCCTACAAGCAAAATCCCACAAAACCCCTAAAAGAGCTCTGCAGGATCTTACAGTTTCAGCTTGAGCTTGAGCAGCCTTGAACTCTGCAGCTTTAGCAGCCATCACTTTCTGTCTAGTTTCCTCTTGCGTCTTCAATACCTCAAACACCTACACCCCCAACACCAATAACAAATCCCTTATTCACTAAATTGGGAAAACAACCCATGATTGCCAAATCATTCAACTTCACTAGAAAAAACTTATCAAAGTTCGAACCTTTTTAGCGTGAGAGGAAGAGGTAATCTCTCTGATGGCCTTGGCGCCCCTCTCGAGCGCCTCCGGGTCAAACCCAGCGGAGGAAGTTCTCGGGTTGTCATTTCTCGAACCCTTGGGGATGGAATCAGTGGCGAGAGCAGCCAGCGCCGGGTCCACCGGCGGCGATTCGTGCGACTGCGGGGAGTTCTGAGGTGGGTTAGCAGCATTCTGGGGAGCAGTGGAGAACGGGTTAAAGTTGAAAGCAGGGCCATCGGCGTAAGCAAACGTAGAGTGGTTCGATTGGGAGATTGAAGCTGCGGCCGCAAGGGCTGAGACCAGCCCAATTGCAGACGCTTTCACCATTTTTGGGGGGGCGGGGGCTTCTTCTTACGCTGCTAGACTGGAAGACGAACCATATGCTGGAGAAGCTTGGGAGAGGGGAATTTCAGGCCGTGGAAGTAAATTTGATGGCTTTTTTGGGCGGTTGAGAAGGTTCTGGCTTGAATGGGAAGGAAGTCAGTTGCAGTGGAGAGTTTAGCAGTGGGAAAAAGAGAGAGAGGAGTCGCGGAGGTTTTACCGGTAGGGTTTTTGCAGGGTTTGGACTTTGGAGGAGCTTTGAGGCGGGTTCTGTCAACTTGACCCGGTCAGCTTTCTTTTGCATAGCCGACCCGGCCAGCTTTAGAGCTTATTATGCAAGGAGATTAATCAAGTAACTTTGAGCTCAAGTTTGGAGATGTGTTTGGTGGTGGATATACTTTACGAACTCACGCGAATAATTGATGAATGTATGATAAACAGTCGCATTATTGCACAAATCATGATAATCATTATCTATCAAGACTAGGGTTGCAAATGGGTCCAACTGCTCGCGAGCAGCTCGACGCTCGACTCGAAAAAACTTGTTCGAAACTAGACTTGTTTCTTAATGATTCGAGTTTGAGCTAAGCATTCTGCAACTCATGGAGCTCGCGAGCTAGCTTGACTCGGTGGCTTGTTGAGCTCAACTCGTGAGTTGACTCGTTTAGAACTCATGAGATGTCTCAACTCTCAACATTGCTGCTAGAGATTCAACTCGATTATCGATTTATGAGTGAATTGATCTATGAGTTTAATTTTGATAATTCAAAGGATTGTTAAATTATATATCTCACCTTATATGAAGTTTAACACGCAGATTATGTGAGTAAATATGTCTTATTTAATGAAATAACATAATTTTAACTAATTAACATTTACTAAGTAAATAATATGTTACCACAAAGTATAACATGAGATTAGTTAATATTGTACACTTAATGATTATTATTAAATTTTTCATCTTGACATTAATCACATGTATCATACACGATATATATAAAATGAAATATATCAAATACAAGTCAAGATTTTAATAAACAAGTCGAGCTCGAGCTCATTTATTAACGAGCCGATTGGTACCAACCCTTATATTGGTTGTCGTAACCTTATTGTTAAGCCCAATCCATGTTCACTATATTTGGGCCAATTGTTTGGTCACCTTGAATGGAAGAAAGGAAGGCCCAATGCCAATAGGAACATTTGCCACCTCTAGTCTGCCTCTGTGGATAGCCTGTCCTGTAAAAAATTAAAAACTGCTCGATCATAGTACTTTGTTTTGTTGCTTATGGCAATGGGACATGATTGAATCTGAAAGCGATAGAGTTAGAGGAATCTCCACATTATCAAAACCAAAAAACAAAAACAAAGCAATCAAAAGTCCAGACATCAAACGGCCAATACGAAACTCTAACATGGGAACCTGTTCCCGATTGGACAGCCCAAGCACAGTGATAAGAGAGAAACAAAGACAGAGTGAGCCCACTAACTCCCTCTTAAACTCAACTTCAAGACAGTGAGACAGACATGCATTGAGAGCCTCTTCCGTCATTCATTAAACAATTTGCACGCATGGCAATGCTCTTTTCCCCCAACTTTACCTTCCCCCTCCATTAAAAATTCCTTCTTTTTCTTGCTTCCCTTTACCTTTCGGCCTTCAATTCTCTCATGGGTTCCTTCCTGCTTCCCAATCCCACCACTCAAAACCCCAGAAATAGCCCACAGACACAGAAGAGCTGCCCCATGAGTTCTTTCATGCCTTCCTCGGATCCTCTGTTTCTTGCTAGTCCCCTGTTCATGAAGCTCTGAATTTTCAGTCTTTCCTGATCAGCAAGCTGCAAGTAAGCTTCTTTGTTCGTCTCTTAGTTTTGGGATGATGTTTTGATTCGTGGGTATGTATGGATTTCTTATTGTTTCTGTTATCTGGGATTTGTGTATTTCCACCGGCTGATGCTTGATTGTCTGTCCTTGTCGGATCTCCAGTTTCTAGTCTTGAAGAGTCATGATTGGAAATTAGGAAAGTTGCAAAGATTTTAGAGAGAGAGAGAGAGAGGAGAAAAGGGGAACTATGCTTGTCGTACATACATATTGGACAAACTCAAATTTTCACACTAATATTTAAAGCTCTGTTTTGGTTTATAATTTGTTTGTCCTACACCAAGTTGGCTCGCAATCACGGGTGATCATACGAAGCAGTAACTCGCTAGTTGTGGTATGAACACGCTAGTACAGAACCTTTATAGTTTGTCCAAATGTTGATTTCCACGTCTCTTTTATAGTTTCAATTCAAGTTGGATAAAATCACAAGTAGTCCATGTATCTCAACAATTTCCTTTCTTTTTCATGTGCCCAATTGATCTCAATCAGGTGATCATCGATTCATCGTATTGAAGAAAGCACAGTTCCCCCCCCCCCCCCCCCCCCCCCCCCCTCTACCATGAGGCGCCATGGCTCTGGCTCAACTGACTCCAACAACTCAGCACTAGTCGACACAGAAAGAAACAATGGCAGCGGTGGAGGAGTTGGCAGTGGCAGCCATACTCTCCCAAGTATCCAGCCATTCGCGCCAGCAGCAATGCAGCACTGCGAGAGCAATGCTGCCTACTTCTCGTGGCCGACCTCGAGCAGGCTTAACGATGCTGCTGAGGAGAGGGCAAACTACTTTGCCAACTTGCAGAAGGGTGTTCTGCCGGAGACTCTAGGTAGGTTGCCGCAGGGGCAGCGGGCAAACACGTTGCTCGAGCTCATGACCATAAGGGCATCCCACAGCAAGATCTTGAGGTGTTATAGCCTGGGGACTGCGATTGGGTTCCGGATTCGGAGAGGCGTTCTGACGGATATACCTGCCATCCTTGTGTTTGTTTCTAGGAAAGTTCATAAGCAGTGGCTCTCCCCTATTCAATGCCTTCCCAATGCTCTCGAGGTAAGCAACAAAATCATGTTTTGGTTTCGAAATAGACCACACTGCAGAGCATATGTTAGGAGCCTGAGCACTATGAAACAGAATGGACCACATTAAGTACCATGGTAGTAGAACTTCTTGTTAGACGCTATAGGTTTATAGATTAGTTCGAATTACGAAGCATATACTGGAAACTTGAGCATTAGACCGGAATGGACTGTCTACATTTTTTGTTTTTTTAACTCTTGACTGAAGATTGTCATGACTGTGTGTACTTAAACTAGGGACCGGGAGGTGTGTGGTGTGATGTAGACGTGGTTGAGTTCTCGTACTTTGGCGCACCTGAGCCAGCTCCGAAAGAGCAGTTGTACACAGACATCGTGGACGATTTACGAGGGGGTGATCTCTACATTGGTTCAGGTTCTCAGGTAACTTCAAAAAAGCAACATGATCTTTTCTTGCAGCTAATCCTTATTGGGTACGGACTATCATAAGGGATCTCATGTCAAGTTTCCATCTTTTACTTTTTTTTCCACAGGTTGCAAGCCAGGAGACTTATGGGACTCTAGGAGCTATAGTGAGGAGCCAAACTGGGAATCGACAAGTTGGTTTCTTGACCAATAGGCACGTTGCAGTAGACTTAGACTACCCTAATCAGAAAATGTTCCACCCTTTGCCGCCAACTTTAGGCCCTGGAGTTTACCTTGGTGCTGTGGAGAGAGCCACCTCTTTCATCACTGATGACCTCTGGTATGGCATCTTTGCTGGTTCAAATCCTGGTAAGCTTTTATTCTCTTTGCAATTCTAACCTTATCCTGCCAAAAGTTACTGTCTTAGCAGTCTGAATGTGAGCTCGTCACGCTCTACATTCGAAACTTAGGACCAACATTGGGTATTAGAAGTTACTTAGATTGTCCAGTTGAGAGTGTACATAATTGACTGCATCTTACCACACCAACATTTCTATTCTGCAGAGACATTCGTGAGAGCAGATGGAGCATTCATCCCATTCGCCGACGATTTCGACCTATCAACTGTGACAACATCCGTCAAAGGCCTCGGTGAGATTGGCAGCGTGAAGATCATCGACTTGCAGTCTCCCATCAACACCTTAATCGGCAAACAAGTGACCAAAGTTGGCAGGAGTTCAGGTTTTACAACGGGGACCGTGCTAGCCTATGCATTGGAGTACAACGACGAGAAAGGCATATGCTTTCTGACCGATTTCCTCGTGGTGGGAGAGAATCAACAGACGTTTGATCTCGAAGGAGACAGCGGGAGCTTGATCGTTATGAAAGCTGACACAGAGAAAAATGGAGACAAACCTCGACCCATTGGGATCATATGGGGTGGCACGGCGAACCGTGGGAGGTTGAAGTTGAAAGTTGGGAGGCCGCCGGAGAATTGGACGAGTGGGGTTGATTTGGGGAGGCTTCTGAGCCTGCTGGAGCTTGATCTCATTGCTACTAATGATGGGCTTAAAGGTTAGTTTGCTTGTTACCCTCTCTCTTACATATGACAACTCAATAGTCGATTATGGATCATATACAACTTATTAATACACTCACTCAAATAAAAGTTACTATATATGAGATTAAAATTTGTACAAGTCCGAATATCATATGTTTAACAAATGAGGTCGCCAGGATTCGAAACCAAAATTCTCTACATCTTATTTATATTTGAGTTCACTTGTTCGAGTCCCCATGACACTCAATACTAAGTGTTGTATGTATTTAAAAGCACATGATATAATGGACATGTACAAACTTTAAATTCGTTAGTTGACTTTCGTTTGAGATGTGTAAGGAACTGATTAAGTATTATATATAAATTTCATCTAACAACTCCGAGTCATTAGGACAAGTTGGTTTACGAAACCTTATTTATAATTTCCAAATCTCAATAATTTTTTGTTATCTTTGAGCGGCAATTCACGAACAAAAATTTCTTCTGGCATCTCGAATTATTAGGACAAATTGGTTTATGTCACCTTACTCGTGATTTCAAATCTCATTGTTATCTTGCAGCTGCAATTCAAGAGCAAAGAGCTGCATCAGCAACGGGAATGGGCTCAACGGTGGGAGACTCGTCTCCTCCGGTCGAATCACTGGGCCTCCAAATCCATCATCACATTCCTCTCGAAGTCGATTGCAACAGCCACCCTCCGCCGGAGGCCCAACCCACATCGCTAATTACCGAAACAGAGTTCCGCCTCGAGCAGGACGAGGAAGCTGTCAAAGGAGGAGCTCCTCCGCCCAATGTGGAGCATCAGTTCATCCCGAGCTTTCCTGGTGAGTCCGCATTGCATAAGGAGAACCAAACGGGTGAAGATCGCAAGCCGACGGAGAATCTGGCTTCGTTGTGGAATGACGGTGAGGGATCAGGCGGAGGAGGAGGAGGAGGAGGAGAAGAGATCACTGTTTCTTTGGGGTTGTTGGGTGACAGTAATGAAGGCAATAAAAGGAAACGTTGTGATGATGTTGAGGTTGGAAATGGGGATCAAGAACTCGTCTGAAATTAAGGATGAGAGGAGGGGAGGGTTTTCGTTTGTGGGTTGCTGCTGAATCCGTTTTCGATATGGATTGTGTTTGTAAAGAGAATAGGGGTGGATCTAGCTCAATTTTCATGGTTTTCGTTAATCACTACTGTGAGTTCAAAATATTTTTATTTGAGTGATGTTTGGTTTTAATTTTTAAGGTGGAATCCAAGATAGATTTGGAAGGGTATTTTATATGAGGTATGATATGAGTACTCAACGGTAGGAGAAATAATTTTTTTAAAAGCATATATGTATCTATTTTTATTTTTTAATACACATACAATATTTTTTTTAAAGCAGAAGGACAAAAATGCCAAACCAATATAGGAGAAATAATTTTCCCAACCTCGATGAACGAAGTTGTGTGGCCACGAGGATCAAAAGAGGGGCAAAGAGATGAACATCTTGTACAACCGCCAGCTTCTTAGTCTTTGCATTCGTTTCGATCTAATGGAAAATCTATGCTTTATATGTATTCACCATGTTTCATAACGTTTTCCAAACTCTTACGATAAAACTTTTTTTATGGTCAATTAATTAATATTAGTCATATTAGGTTATTCATAATTTTAATACTAAATCTTGTTATTATCATTGTTTATAACTGATTTGTTATTGTGAGAGACGATTATTATTTGTTTCTTTTTGTGACCGGTCAATTGAGAGGTTATTGTCTAACTATTACAATAAATATGGAGGAGTATGCATGGTAAGCAAGATTCAAACGTTATGCCCTTATTTTTCCTTTAAAAAAGAACTGATAGATATTTAATTGGTTCTTTTTTAACAATTAGATTTGATTTGATTTGCTTGATTATCAGAAAAACCAAACCGGTTTACTACTCTTAATTCCAACAACATCACATGCAATAGGTGCATACTGGACAACTCTATTTATGAAGATAAAAGCCCAATAATAATTATGTTAAAACATAAAGCCCAATATATATATATATATTGAAAGGCCCAAAATAATTCACGCCGTTGCCGGGGATCGAACCCGGGTCACCCGCGTGACAGGCGGGAATACTTACCACTATACTACAACGACTTTTGGTGTTAGGCTCAAGTTTAAGATAAAGTCCTCGAAGACAGTGAACCATTCTGCTTCCTGCACATCCTTGCCTGGCGATTTGCGAAGTATCAGCGAATCGAGTAGGGTTTATCTCGTTTAGGTTTTTCGCTCTGCTCACTGCAGGAAGCCGCCCGAAATCCGACTCTCCTCCGATGGCGAAACCATCCCGAGGCCGCCGCCCTTCGCCGCCCTCTGGTTCGGCGTCGTCGAGGTCCCGCTCCCGTTCTTCTGGCTCTGATTCCAGCTCGCGCTCTCGTTCCGTCTCCCGTTCGAGATCTCCCTCGCGGTCGAGGTCGATCTCCTCTTCTTCTCCGTCTCGCAGTGCCAGCTCCGGCAGCCGCAGTCCCCGTCCTCCACGAAAGAGGTAGCCGCAGTTTCTTCTCGCCCGTTCCTATTTCTGTCGCTAGCACTGAGTTCCTTTGAATTTCGCAGTTCCTCTACCTTGCATGAGTGTATTGGTTATGCGCATTGAAGCTTTAGAAGCATTCCCCTAATTCTACAGCATCGTCTTAATTTTTTTAATGTTTTTGTTCACTTGCACAGCCCTGCCGAGGTAGCTAAACGAGGTCGCAGTCCGCCTGCACAAGTGAAGAAGGCATCTCCGCCACCAAGGTCAGTCTGCTTACCAGTGCTTCAACCGTGGATAGTTTCATTAGCATTTGCAAGCTTCCCTCGTTAATCATTATACTGCGGGAGTCTGAGAATCCTTACTTGAGGCGGAAAACAATTGTCCAAATTTCCAGTAGACATGACATTAGGACAATGTAATAGTTTTGAGTTTTCCTTCTGATGATATGTGATTTCGTAGGTTTTGTTTAATTAACCATTCTGTGAACGTGTTCTCTACCAATGGTTACTTGTTGGTATTAGGAGCCAGCAGTTAGGTACTCGTATAGTCTCTCTGGTTAAGCTTTTCCCAGAAAGGAAGATGTCTTTTTGAGAACCTGTTGGATGGCTCACGTTTCCAGTCTAATGCTCTATTACGCAATGACTCCTTTGTTGATTGATTCTGATGGAAGCTTACCTGGAGTTATTACTTTATTTCTTCCAGGAAAGCCTCTCCAGTTCGCGAGTCTCTTACTCTTCATGTTGACTCGCTGAGTAGGAATGTGCATGTTGGCCATTTGAGAGAAATATTCAGTAAGCTCCTCATCTTCCAACTATCTGTTCTACCCCATGGATTTCCACTTGAAAGCATTTGAAACATGATTGTTCTGTTCATTGTGTTTGTATGTTGATGTCAAATGAGCTACTTAGTACGCTTGAAGTCAGACTTCGATGGTGGTAAATTGTGTCAGCTATGATTTATATTAGTGGTGTTTGTTCATGTCTTTCTTTCTCTTTTGACTCAGGTGTCTATGGTGAAGTCGCGAATGTGGATCTTGCAATGGACCGGGTTGTAAGTCCATAGAACCATGTAAAAAATGTGGTGAAAATGCATAACCTTAATGCTAAGCCTGTTCCTTAACTTTATTATTTTGTTCAACTGTGTAGTTTAATCTTCCTAGAGGATTTGGATATGTGGAGTATAAGTTCCGAGCAGATGCCGAGAAGGCTCTGTTATACATGGATGGGGTATGTTTCACTTATAATGAGTAGATATTTATTTCTAGGATTTAACTAATATATGCTAAGATTTTCTCTCAATTTCTTGGCCAGGGTCAAATTGATGGTAAAATTGTGCGAGTTCGTTTTACGTTACCTCCACGACAACAGAAGGTTTCACCACCTGCAAAGCCTGTAGCCAGTGCTCCAAAAAGAGAAATACCAAAAACTGATGGTGCCAGTGCAGATGTTGACAAGGATGGACCAAAACGTCCACGAGAACGTATGCGTTGTTTGAGATATAATTCTGATGCAAAGTTGCAAACATTTCTTTATCTTTGTTCTGTATCTTAATTACAAATGATTTTGTGATTTCCTTGGAAACTTGTAGTCTCGCCAAGAAGATCTCCTATTGGTCGAAGAGGCGGATCTCCTAGACGCCCACCACCGGATTCACCTCCACCACGCAGGCGTCTTGATTCTCCTCCTCGTCGCCGCGTGGACTCACCACCTTTTCGTCGGGGGGAGACCCCTCCAAGACGTAGGCCTGCGTCCCCAGGGGCTAAAGGTCGTTCTTCTTCTCCTCCACCAAGGCGATATAGGTCCCCTCCAAGGTACTTTCTGCATGACCCGTTTATTGTTGTGAAGTAATTCAATCCTGGTTACTAACTGTTGCCTATCTAGGAACTCTCCAAGGAGAGTACGTGGAAGTCCCGTTCGTAGGCGTTCTCCTCTACCTCCGAGAAGGCGGTATGTTCAACTGAACTACTGTATTTCTGTTATCATATTGTCAACAACTTCACATGCAATAAGTTTTTCAAGTTGCTGTCTTTTAACGGGTAGTGCATTTATTAAGTGTTTCTCTTTCATACACAAGGTCACCACCTCCTAGACGTGCCCGATCTCCTCCAAGGAGGTCTCCACTCCGCAGACGAAGCCGCTCACCAATTCGTCGGCCTTTGCGCTCGCGATCTAGATCGCTCTCTCCTTGGAGGTAAGGAGTACATCGATATTAAATGTTTGTCCGCATGCTTTTCTCATTACTGTTGTCTGTAATTTCTGTTGTGCATTATCGATATGTTTATTTCTCTTCTGTAAATCTTGGAATGAGAGCTTCTGGTTGTTGCATTGCTGGGAATTCTTTAATAGCTTGTTTACATTTCTGATGGTGGTATTTTGCTGACTTACAGAGACCGAGGACCAGCTGCAAGACGTGGAAGGTCATCATCTTACTCTGATTCGCCTAGCCCAGTGCGCAAGGTATATACTTTGTCATTTGTGTCTAGTTGATTTAGTGAGACCAGGTACAACTACTGGGTTATGCTTTCTAACTGTGCTGCCCTCTTCATAATAGGTGCCTCGTAAGATCTCAAGGAGCCGCAGTCCTAAAAGGTAAAAGCTGTTTTCCATGATAAGAATTCTCCTCCATGCCCATATTCATCTTAGGCCAGTTAGTTATGTCGTGGAGAACTCCTTCAATTTTTTTGAAGACCACTATTGAGATCCTATGGTTTTCTCTTCTCCTATCAGCAATATTGAATAATAACACTACTGATGGCGATGAGCTTTTCCGTTTCATTCTTATACGCAGGCCCTTGAGGGGTAGAAGCAGCAGTAACAGCAGCAGCAGCAGTTCACCGCCTCGAAAGCCGTAGGCTCTTCATTCTTGCTAGTTTTGTTGCCATCTTTTCAGGGTTTCGTTCCATCTATGGTAATGAGTTTGGTGCAATGATGACTATCGACTCTCCTTAGCTCTTGTTACTAATTGGGGACTCGTTAGCTGTGTTACTCTGATCTGCATTTTGTAATCATGTTTTATGTTACTCTAATTGCTAGTTTCTGTTGCTTATTGGAATTTGTTAGTTTGTATTAGAATCGCGGATTCATCTATTTGTATACTGTCATCGTTTTGCTGCTTATAAGACGTAGCTCCTGAATTCATGCTTATTGCGTTAGTAATTGCTGCTGGCGTTATACATCGCTGAGTCAAGTTTGTAGCTGTAGTTAAACAAGAGAGTGATATACTAATAATGTGACATGACAAACTATTTTTTGCATAATCCATCAAATTATTATTATAGTCTATGTGGGTTCAAAATATGTGCCTAGCCGCGTTTAGGCGCTAGCCAATATCGAAATGCCTAGTCTAGAGGTTCGACAATGAGTTAGGTATCCAAAACAAGATGATAAAGTAAGGTGACACTTAGGTGTTGCACAATCTGAGGCTACTCATGCTCATCATCGATGATTTAGTCTATTAAGAAATTATTACCATAACAGATTATGGGCGATTTTTTGGAAAGTCATTTTCTTTCGATTTTGAATGCTACAAATAAAATATTCGCCCCAAGGCTATTCTCCGCCAATGAAAAAGTCTATTGTTCATATTCTCCATTGATGATTAAGTCCACTAATTGTTGATTTGGGCATATTTTATTAGGATGTCATTTTCGTAATTTTTAGGGCGGTTATTCAAAAGGCCATTATCCTTGATTTTGAAAGCTACATATCACAGATTCGCCCTGAGACTATTCTTCACCGATGATTAAGTCTACTAAGCAACGATTTCAGGGGTTTTTTTTCCGGATCCATTTTTAGCAGATTCCAAAGCGGTACCATTACAGATTTTGTGAGATTTTTCGGAAGGTCACATGGATGGCAAAAATATTTGAAACCGTGGATATCTGCCTGAATCCAACCTAATCGGGTAGGCTAAACCCCGAACCCGAATAATTTTTAGTGGGTATGGTAAAATGCGAATCCGATTGTTGCGGGTAATGGGTGGGCATGGTTTTCTCACTATCCAGCCCAAACCTGCCTGATTATACACATGCATATGTATTTTGTTAGATTAAGGCAATATAAGATAACACCCTGACCCTAATCGCCTGAGTCAGATTAAGGCAACAAAAGAAGACGAGACCTTGTGATCATATCTGATATCTGAGCACCATGAATTCTCACTTAGACTAGGCAATCGAGTCGGGTAGGGTAATTTTGGGTTGGAGCCTTGGGTTACGGATCAGGTCATGTTGGATTGGCTGATTTCTGGTTCAATATTGACCCAACCCATCGGGTTTTGGGTCAAGTTACTGCTCATTTCGAGTAATGATCGCTCTCAGAAACAATATCAAACTTGCTTCATATTTCAATGGCTAAATTACACGTTTGGTCACTTAAATTATATAAATCTTTCATGTTTGCCACCCGAATTACTTTCCTTTTTTATTCGCCACTAACTTTACAAATTGTTTCGCGTTTGGCCACGAGCCGTCTGTTTCCGTTACCTCCGTCAGTTTTTTTGATAACGTGACAAACAGAACAGTTGACTAGACCGTTAAACTAATGACATGTCAAATTAAAAAATTAAAAATTAAAAAACTAATTTACACCTCATTATAAGGAAGAAAAAAATCATGCCAAAAAACCCTCCTACGTCTCTAACTTTACCATCCGAGGATTAATTCCCCAGGAAATCACAACCCTCCAACAAACCTCCCCAACTGAATTCTCCATAAAATCCGCCACCGATCCGACTCCTCCACCATCCAGAGCACGCACCCGCTAACTCTTGCCTCCCCCGTCCTTGGAAAATCTGAATCCCGCCGCTGCCATTCTCTCGCATCTCTTATCTTGGCGTTCGTCGTTCTTCGATATGCTAGTTCTCTTTAACTGTCGTCGCCGCCGTCCTCAGTAAACCGTCCTTGGGAGATCTGAAATCCCCGTCGTCGTCCTCGTCGTTCATCTGAAATCGCAGCTATTTCTAACTGTTGCCGCCACCATTCTTCTACGATTTGACTTGAGATCGAGAAATCCGATCTCGATGGATGAACAATCACCACCGCCAGATCTTATATGATCCAACAATTTATTACATAAGAGTTCGGAGAACTTTCATTCGGAGACTCATAGAGGAGAAGCTAATTGCTGGCTGGAGCAGGCGGTGGGGCGATTGGAAACATTGTCTTTAAATTTTTGGCAGGACAGCCGAAGCTGAGGTGAGAGGATTACCCATCGGCCATCGGCAACAAGGAGTGGGGAAAGTAAGAGCCAACAATACTACCTTCGGCACCCATTTTTACCTAACACGCGTTGATTAACATATGTCAAAAAATAATCACAAAAGTAATACTAAAACAAGAAACACATTATATTTGATTATTCTTGAACTCCAAACATATCTTTCACATTCTTGTGAATTATTTTAAACATCTCACTAATAAATGAGTGATTTTATCATTTTGGGAGTAACATATGAAATGAAATGAGTATAACGGGACGACCCGCTAACCCACCCAATCAGACCAAAAAATTATGAATTAATCAATTTCACGTCATTTGGGTTTTGAGTTATAAAAACTTCTATTTTTCGGGTGGCTTGGGTCGGTTAGTAAACCCTAGCTCGCTTGAGGTAGAGCTAGTGTTTCTTATACTGTTGAAGGGGGAAAAAAGCACTCACTCTTGCTTTCATTGCTATATAACGGAAAATTTTTCCTTCTCCTTGTCTACAACTACTATGGACCTCTCTTGTAGACGACAACCATATGATTGCGATTTTCAAATGTAGTCCGAAACTTAAACTACGGCGAGATACCCAGTTGGATTTCTATCCGAAAAACTCTCGCCAACGGGAGAACTCAAATTTTTATTAATTGAAGATTTTTTATAATAATAATACCACTAGCCTAGAATTTGAAAGTAGTAGGTTCGAATTTCTTCAAATCTCTCAAATAAACCTTAATTACAAAAAAGCAATTACATGCTCGTGAGATTTTTTTTTTTTTTTTTGTGTGGGAGTTTACTCGTGAGATCTACCTTGGAATAAATAAAAACTCGAGATAAAATGTTAGTGATTAATAAGTGCCGGATGCCAGATATATATCGCATTATCCTACCCATTTTATCCTTTAAAACCACATACACGCATTTTATAAAAACACCTTGCACAATAAATGACATTCGCCAAACGGACCCTTAATTATTTTATCAAACCGAGACACAATCACATTACCTCGACACAGTCCACTCTTGCCAACTAACGGCCAACAACGAACAATTATTCTTACGTACGGCCAACATCGAACAATCGAGATTTCAAACAACAGCGATCAGTTGGTGGTGACGGCGGTGGCGCCGACGGAGGGAGCAATGGCATGGTAATGAACGCCGACGACGTCGTTCCAGTGGGGAGGGTTCTTGAAGACGTGCTTCAGCGCCATGTGCTCTTTGATATTGAACTTCTTGAACTTGGGTGACTCGTTGGTCTGACCAATCAGCTCGGGCATCGGCTCAACCCATTTGTCTTCTGCTACCAAGTAAGCGTACACGAAGGCGTATCGGCTTATCCCCGGCTGCGCCAATATTCTGTGGGTTGGGCTCTTCATCTTGTCGTTGCTCAGTGCCTGCATGCATGCGTCGAGTTCGACTTGAGATTCTTATTCAAACTCGGTTGAATTTTTATTTTATTATTATTATTATTATTATACCTGGAGGGCATCAGCGACGTTGATAACGAGGGAATGAGGGATGTGATCGATGGGAATCCACTCGCCATCTTTCAGAAACTCAAGACCTTCAACTTCATTCCCGAACACAAAAGTAAAGAGACCGCTGTCCCTGTGGGCGTTGACCGCGGTCTGGTCGGTCTCCGTCGCCGGCAGGTAGTGGAATCCCATCAGAACATCGGTTCCCCTGTCGTCGTTGTACTTGGCCAACGTTCCTTTCGGGAGTCTCAGGCAGTCGTTCAACAAGCTCTGGACCAACACCGCCGCTTCATCCAACTTCCACCACATTTCCTCCGTTGTCTCCCTAATTCATACATACAGATTCATAATAGTTACAAATTATTTAAGTATTTTGTAGGGCGGACACAATTACAAATTATATTATATATGTTGCTTTTTAATTTCATGCACCAGGTGTCACTCGTCTTTATCATTTAGTACAAGGTAACCATTAACATATGTTAATTTTTCTAACAATTATTTTATAAATGTAGTGAGTATTGAGAGGCTTTTTGGTGATCAAAAGGTCTTTAAACTCCCTTTCAAATTTTTTGAATTTTGTTGATTGAATAGATTAAATCAAGAGTCAAAAGAATAATTACTTAAAGTGTGGAGGGTTGGCCGGGAAAACGTTGGTGGGGGCGGGGGTGCACATCTGCCAATGCTCCGATTTGGCCGGCTCCTTGGTATAGCCGGCGGCGAAAGGAGCTCCCGGCGGAGTGGTGATGTTGAGTTTCTCCTCCAAATCGAGGTTGAAAAAATCAATGGTCGCGTCCATGGTTTTGTCCATGATTTGGTCCGGAATGCCGTGGTTGACCGCCACGAAGAAGCCGTAGTCGGAGCAAGCTTCCCTCAGCTTCTCTATCACCTCCTCCTTCTTCTTAGCATCGCCGCCGGTGATGAAAGGGGCCAGATCGATCACCGGGTAGTTGTAGGCCATGACGACGGTCGATTGAAGAAGAAGAAGATTGGTTTGATTTGATTTGGTTTGGTGGCTCTCAACTCACTCGGTATTGCCGATATTTATTGAGTTAGATGTGGAGGAAAAACTTATTGGTTTTGTTGATAAGGGAACGGCTACGGTGCTAATTGTACAATAGTTAGCACCATCCTAATCAAGGGAAAAACTACTACTAGTTTGAATTAGTAGTGATTTAGCTTAGATATTGTATTGATTTTATAATAATCCGTAGTGATTTCATTATTTTAGTAGCATTTTTTGCTAGTTATCACGGTACTAATCCCTATAAGGGTTAGCACCTAATCCCATCCCTGTTGATAATCCTTCTTAGATCTGAGCATGAATTCTTAAAATGTATAACATGTGGGGGAAAAATGACAATGGTGGTAAACTGGTAATTAACGATTCTTTTCTTGTCGTAAAAAAGAATTAAAAATTCAATTTATTAAGTATCAGCAAGGCAATATGGCATGCATAGCCGAGATGGATTCAAGGGATGTGAGCTACGGTTTAAGATAATTTCGGTCTAGAACAGTAAATTCAGGTTTATATATATTCACGATAATTTCAAGTTCTGTTCAATATTAATATGTTTGTTTTCGGAGCTAGAGGGAGCTAGTGATCGAGACTTCCAACTGTCTTATTCTCCGACCTCGAATACTACATTATATGTAAAATTTTAATGATCACTTAATTCGACTCATGATTTTTGAAGCTATGCTCTTGTACTTACTGTTTAGACTAATTAAGTAATCTATCAAATTTAAACTAATAACCAACAAGTAAGTTCAAACGGATCCAAATATAGAAAACAAAATCGTCGGTCGGTGACACATTCAATGTTCTAACTAAAAGCAATATCAAAGTTGCGGTTTCGCCCGGTTGATCAAGTGGGATAAACGTTAATGATCTGATCATTTTAACTCGATTTAACCAGAATATTATAAAATATACAGGTTTTGTAGTAATTTAATGACAGAAATGTAATGTATTCACAAGTTCCTTCCTATGGAAATTTTACACTAACCCTACAACTATTATTTCGAAAAACGAAAATCCCTACAGCTTCCCCAAACTAAAATCGATCTCCGGTCACACAAAAAACTTATCCTTCCTTTACTTCACCCACCTGGCCTCCAATTGGAATTGGAATTGGAATTGGAATGAGCCGTAGCCGGCGACCGAAGCGCGGGATGCGATGCATAATGCATATATATATTGCCACTTAATTAATGACTGTATTTGCATGAACTATCAGACGGGAAAGGAAAAACAATGATAAGGCTGAAGAGGTAGCTGAGGACAGACAAATAATTACTACTTTTGTTTTTTTTTTCTTTCTATATATGTGCTGTCTCTGAGTCTGACTCTCTGTGGTGGGAAAATCTGGCCCTGCTAAATCAGAATCAAGTTTCGAACTACTCAAATATCGAAACCAAAAATAATTGGTTTGGTAAATTAATATGAAGATTTGAGTTTATGAATAATTAACCAAAAAAATCTAGCTTGTTATATGCGAGCTTTCCCGGTGGAATCTAGCTCGTCGATCGTCATACGACGGAGGAATTTGGTTTACGAAGCGCTGAAGAAAAATAAGAATTACTTTCTTGGATTTTCAACATGATTGTGCTTGGTGGTAGAAATCGATCGTACCCGGATTTTAAATCGAAACGACTATAACCAGCTGGTAACATATACATGAATTTACTCATTGCATGTCTTTTTTCCTGGTCGAAATTGATTTGAATTATGTGCCACCGACGATTTATTATTAGAGGCAAGAGGAATCAAACAAAAAAACACTAGTCCAGACCATGTCCGGATCATTGAAAATCTTATTATCACATCTTCCCAACTTCTTTGGGCGAAATCAGTCAAATCACTCCCACTTGGTAGCTAGGTTATTCAACATGACGAGAACGTGCTGGCATGGCCGGCCGGGTGGTAGGTGAGAGTTCTTATTGTATGAAAATAAATGAGGGTTTGGGGATGGGTGTCTGAGCTAGTTTATTACATTGGCTTGTCGGAAGTTTGACGGGGAGACGTACGGTTTGAGCGACGGTGATGGAGACGGGCGTCGGTAATTGAGGTCGGTGATGGAGCTCTTTGACGGCTAGGATTTAATTTATTGCTAGAGAGAGAGGGTGGAGGAGGGAGATGGGGAAATCATCGACGCATAATAAGTTTAGTATGGACGCATAATATATATGTTTGGCTTTTTTTGGTCAAAAGATAAGGTTTACTGTTTACACAAATAGTGGTGAATGAATGGTGATGGTTCAATATTATGGATTGCAATCTGTACTGTACGTACGTCAGTTGGCGTGGTCGGTCTATATTGTCAGTTTAGTTGAGTTTTTGAAATCAAGAGTCGACATAAAATGACCACGAGGGTGCTTTTTTCTTTTCTTGTACGCCAAATAATTTCTTTTTGTTTGTTAAAATCGACGCGAAATAATTTTATATGATTGGAGAATCAAATTTGTTCACCAACCTAAACTAGAGTTAATTAAGAAAAAAAAGAAGACAGATGTTGAGAGGAACAACTTAGGTTACTCAACTCGTGGATTTAGGTCCCACAATCCCGCCCTATAATAAAGAAGCGCGATTTTTTGAAAATCCAAAAAGTCGTGAATTACCGAATCTCGAAGTGTACGTACATGACTTTTATCCGAGAGCGTAATTCTTTGGAGTACTAGCTGGGATGTAGGAGGCTATGAGATCGAGATTGGAGAAGGGCCAACGACTATTAGCAATAGACTGGGATTGTTTTGCGGTCGTAGGAGGGGTACTGAGGGTAAATCGCAAAGGAATGGAAGCATGCAAAACCCATATATATGCTTCTCTCGACATATCAAACAAACTGCAAAATGAGGGTTGAGTTGCACCTCTACAGTCAGGGGCGGAGGTAGCATGTAAATAGGGTGTTCCATGGCACACCTTTGGATTGGGCTAGAACATCAAAAAATAGGGGTATTAGTTTATGCTATAACTAGGATTTGGACATGGAACCCCCATATTATTAGTTTTGTCATCTTCCATTAAACTACAATTACTTATGTGATACACCAATACGTTTTATTGTATATATATAATTAATTTACGTTTACAAATAATAAGTAAATTAAAAAAAACTCATAATTGTATCCTTATTCAAGCAGTAATCGGAACCTTAGCCCTAACAAGCAAGACTTCTCCCAGTCCCACCTTTCATCTTCCTTCGTTCTTCTTTCCCTTTCATCAATGAACTACGCGAAAAACACTCTTCGGAGTGGAATGAGTGACGATATCATGAATGATTTTTTGATGGGATACATTGAGAGTGACATTCTTGATAGTCTGGATGATGAATGAATTTTACAGAGTTTTCAAACTATGAGAATTCGTCATGGGTCACTTTTAAAAATTGATAGTCGCTTTAATTTTTTTAAGTTTGACACTCCCTACTCAAAATCCTGACTACGCCTGTCTACGGTCTACTCAATGGTAATTTTTCTCTCATGCTATATATTGTGTGATTGTGTCATTGTGGAGATGAAAAGATAATGTTAAACAAATTAATGCCTTAACAACATTGTCCGATCCCTCCGAGCTTGAAACTTGCGCTTCAAACGGAAAAATAAAATGGCCATCGTTGATGACGTCAGAGTTCAAGTTCTCTCCACATCTCTGGTCCACGCCAACAACAAAACCACACCGCCTTCCGAGAGGATTCCTCTCACGCCGTGCGACCTCCGCCTCCTTCTCGTCGGAACCATCCAGAAGGGACTTCTCTTCCGCAAACCCACGGCGGCGGACACGTCGGCGGCTGCCGCATTCGTCGACAACTTGAAATCTTCCTTCTCCGCCGCCCTCGCCTCGTTCTACCCGTTCGCCGGCCGCCTCTCCGCCGACGAACACCCCGAAGACGGCACCGCCGCCGTCTACGTCGACTGCAACGACGCCGGAGCTCCGTTCGTCCACGCCTCCGCCGCCGGCGTCTCCGTCGCCGACATCCTAGACCCCGTATACATCCCTCCCGTCCTCTGGTCCTTCTTCCCCCTAAACTGGCTCAGAAACCACCACGGCTTCGACCATCCCTTGGCCGCCGTCCAGGTCACCGAGCTCTCCGACGGGATATTCGTCGGCTGGACGATCAGTCACGCCGTCGCCGACGGCGCCACCATTTGGAATTTCGTCAAATTATGGTCCGCACTCTGCCGGCAGGGCGATGACGACTCCTCGTCGATGGCGGCGGCCTTCTCAAGAGACTGGTTTATCGACGAGAAGCACCACCCCATCAAGATCCTCATCACCAAAATCAAACAACTCGAACAAGAAGACGAGGACAAAATCGTCTTGAAGGAGCGGATCCTACACTTCAGCCGCCGGAAACTCAAGGATTTAAAATCACGCGCCAACGCCGAAGCAGCCGACATCGTCGGCTTCCGCGGCAACATATCTTCTCTCCAATCGCTAATCTCTCACCTGTGGAGGGCGGTAATATATGTTAGAAATCATTTTCTAACTTGAGTGGACTAGCTAGCTAATTTTAATTTTAATTTACACACACATATTAATTACTAATTAGTTGTTTGGGCTGGGCTAATTATAAGTGGAGCTCCTCATGATCAGGGGCGGATACATGGAGGTTTAGGAGTGTCCCGGGACACCCATAAAATTTGAAAAAATGATTATCTAACCTTCGATAGTAGTTTGTGTATGGATAAAAAAAATTAGTGATAGTGGAACACGCTTAAAATATGGAAAATGATTATTCAACCTCCTATAGTATTCTGCATATGGGTACAAATAATATTTAATTGATAGGGTCTATGCGATTTGAACTTGGGAACACTGCTACTATTAGTAAATATAGTTTCAATTAGACTACAACTCATTTGTAGTTATGTTTTAGATCAAAATATAATAGTAAAAGGCTATTCTTATCGCCAATTATTTTCAAAACCTAACGACTAAACTCAATTACGGGTTACCCTTGTCTATTAGGATATGTCATTAGAGATTTGTTGAGCAGTGTATACACCGAATGTATTTTACCATTCTTTCATAATACGAAAAATGTTTGAACTTTTATTCTAACTTTTACTAGTTGAATATTTTCATATTTAATAATTTGATTTTTTTTAAAAGGACACCCCTATTTAAAATTCTTGAATCCGCCACTTGAGAGTACTTTTAAGTTTATTGAGTTTGTGCAGTGACAACAAAGTAAAAAACCTGCAAACTTGAGAGTACTTTTAAGTAATCAACAAAGTATAAATTAATTGTATCTTTTTGTCCATTAATTATACCTTCTTGTACGTTGCGTTGCAGGTAATTCGAAACAAGAACATTTCAGATCCAGATTCGGAGGAGGAAGCCGTATTTATTGTCCAGGTGGGATTGCGGTCGAGGTTTGTTCCTGAAGACTACTTCGGGAACGCGGTGATTCCGTGGCCCATAGTGGTTAAGTTGAAAGAGCTGTCAGGAGGACGCGATAAGGGATTGGGACGCGTGGCGGCGGAGGTGAACAAGGTGGTGGCGGGGCTGACGGACGAGAAGCTTAAGGGAGCGGTGGAGTCGTGGATCGAGAATCCAAAGATGCCGACGCTGAGAGGTTTTGTCGCCGGAGGGATGGTGCTGAGCAGCTCGCCGAGGTTCGACGTCTACGGTAACGATTTCGGGTGGGGGAAGCCGGTGGCGGTGAGGAGCGGTTCCGGGAACAAATTCGACGGGAAGCTCACGGTGTATCCCGGGGTTGAGAACGGGAGCGTCGACGTTGAGATTTGTCTGTCGCCGGAGAGGGCGGCGCGTCTGGAAAGTGATACGGAATTTATGGCTGCATTGGAGTAATTAGTTAAGTTAGACTGCCTTTTTTTTAAGGATGCACGAGTGGTTGCCTGGCTGGTGAGATTCATCTAGCCAGTATGGATCGTAGAGGAGACCGTATCAGGAAAGTCAGTGACGATCAATTTGCATTTATGCTAGCTTTTCAATATAATTGATGATATGGGTGTACTATGGTTCATGAAACCGTATCGGAGACCGTATCGGAAAAGTCAGTGGTAGGGTACTTTATAGTAAAATCGTAGTTTAATCGTTAGTACCGTTAAATACTGTCTATCAATTTAGCCTCCGATATTGTTATTTCGTGGTTGAACCGTCGGTATGGAACTCCAATAAAGTAGCTGTTAATTACATGATGTTGAGTCGTTTTGGTCATGTTCAATTTGGTCGCTTAGTTCATGTTTTGAATCATTCAAATTAAGTAGTCGGGTAACCCAAAGTTTTGAGAAAATCGGATTGAGTCAGGCTTGAATTTTGCAAAATACAAAATTTCAAGCAGTTCAGATAAAATCCTAACTCAATAAAAGTTTTATTAGGTCAACCTAAATAGATTATACAGATCGTGGTTGTTTATATTTTAGTGATCATACGGTAAACTCAAATTTATTGCAAACCGACAATTTTATTAAAATGAACGTTGTGAATCATAAGTACAATGATCCAGCATACAATCTCGGCTTCCCACCAATTAGGGGTGGCTATACGGTCCGGTCCGGTTAAATTAAACCAAATTGATCCGGTCCCAGTCCGGTCTTTTCGGGAATATAAGGACCAAAGATTGGATTGGATACATTCTGGTCTTGATCCGGTCCGGTCTTGAACCGGTCCGGTCCCAATTTGATTTTGATTTTAGATTGAGCTTGTGGGGATTTGAGTGTTGGGGTCTCTTATCTGATCTTTATTAGGGTTTTTTTACCTCAAATCTAAGCCCGAATATGAGATTGGATTGTTTGCTATTCGGTCCCAGTCTGGTCCTGGTCCGAGTTATACAGTCCGGTTTCGGGTAAAACCAAACAGTCTTGGACCAAATTGCCAGCCCTACCACCAATCATGACTGAATCAACGTTCCTACAAACTAGCTAGCTAATCGAAAGTCTCTGACTTCAGCACAACGTAACAGACTCAAATGCAACTCTAAAACATGAATTGACTCTAACAGACACGAGTTAAACTTTCAATGACCAAAAGAACACAACTTTAACTTGATTGAATCTCTGTCTTCCTTCGCGCCAAGTCTTCATCTACTTCACTAATTCGGATTCGAACCTCCTTCCAACATCCTCCCCTGAACTGAAGATTCCTTTTTCTTCTTCTTCTTCAGTTCATCTTCTTCTTCTTTCGGAACATCATCAGCATCACAGACTCTCATCCTTTCTCACATCAATTGAAACGCTTCCAACTTCAGTGCATTTGTCATCACTTTAGCTACTTGCTCACCAGTTCTCACATTAATATGTTTGGATATGCCATGAACGACTGTAATTTCTTAAAGAGTTTTATTGCAGAGCTACTATCACAGTATATCTTGGCTCCATTCTCAACACTGCTCTTTCGTCCCATTTGATTTATGTATTTGAAAATAAGTAAATATATAGTAATGATAAGTTATGTATTTGAAATTAAGGGGTCGTTTGGAAGTTGTGATTGTTAAATAGATGTATTGTTGAGAATGCATGTATAATATTATACATGTATTGTCGAATTTGATGCATTGTAGATTCATCTATTTGTATACTGTCATCGTTTTGCTGCTTATACTGTCATCTATTTGTATACTGTCATCTATTAGAATCGTGGATTCATCTATAAGTATACTGTCATCGTTTTGCTGCTTATAAGACGTAGCTCCTGAATTCATGCTTATTGCGTTAGTAATTGCTGGTGCATCGTTGAGGCAAGTTTGTAGCTGTCGTTAAACAAGAGAGTGAAATACTAATAATGTGACATGACAAACTATTTTTTTGCATAATCTATCAAATTATTATTATATTCTATGAAGGTACAAAATATGTGCCTAGCTGCATTTAGGCGCTAGGCAATACCGAAATGCCTAGTCTAGAGGTTCGGCAATGAGTTAGGTATCCAAAGGGGCGTGATGATAAGGTAAAGTGACACCTAGGTGTTGCACAATCTGAGGGTATTCCTACTCATCATTGATGATTTAGTCTATTAAGAAATTATATTACCATAACATATTGCGGGCGATTTTTCAGAAAGTCATTTTCTTTTGATTTTGAAGACTACAAATTACAGAATTGCCCCAAGGTTATTTCTCCAACGATGATAAAGTTTATTGATCATATTCTCCATCAATGATTAACTCCACTAATTGTTGACTTGGGCATATTTTATTAGGATGTCATTTTTTCGTAATTTGTAGGGCGCTTATTCAAAAGGCCATTATCCTTTGATATTGAAGGCTACAGAACACAGATTCGGCCTGAGATTATTCTTCACCGATGATTAAGTCTACTAAGCAACGATTTCAGAGGATTTTTTTTTCGGATCCATTTTTAGCAGATTCCAAAGGGGGTACCATTATAGATTTTGTGAGATTTTTCGGAAGGTCACAGGGATGGCAAAAATATTTGAAACCGTGGATATCCTCCTGAATCGGACCTAATCGGGTAGGGTAAACCCCGAACACGAATAATTTTTAGTGTGTACGGGTCAAACCCGAATCCGAATGTTGCGGGTAATGGGTGGGCAAGGTTTTCTCACTATCCGCTCAAACCTGCCCGATTATACTCCTGCATATGTATTTTGTCAAATTAAGGCAACAAAAAAAGACGAGATCCTGTGATAAGTCCTGATATATGAGCACCAAAACTATCCCTTAGACCTGGCAATCGAGTCGAGTTGTGTAATTTTGGGTTGGGGCCTTGGGTACGGGTCGGGTCATGTTGGGTTGGTTGATTTCGGGTGAGGTTATCGTTCATTTCGGATTATGAGCGCTCTCAGAAACAATATCAAACATGCTTCATATTTAAATTAACATATTCTGAAATCCAGCCACATGTCATTTCGGGTCATGACATTAGTTTACCTAACACATGTCAATTAACATATTCTGAAATCCTCCCATGCCAATGAAATGAAATACATATTGCACAAAGAGAAATTTTACAATGCTATATAGTATTGGTGCTACAGGTTTTTGCCTTTATGGTACAACTTAAAATTGTACATTTACGTTATGGTACAACTTCAGATTGTACCTATACTTTTTGTACAAATTCTTTTATGGTACAACTTGAACTTGTACTTTTATGTGATGGTACAACTTCCAGTTGTAAAATTGTACCATAACATAATGATACAAATTGCTTTATGGTACAAACTAAACTTATACATTTCATGTTATGGTACAACTTTGAGTTGTACATTAAAGCACCAATACTATATAGCATAGTAGAAGTGCTCATTGCACAAATCGTCAAACAATAATCACAAGAGTAATACTACAACAAGAAACACATTATATTTGATTATCCTTAAACTCCAAATATATCTTTCAAGTTCTTGTGAATTTTTTTAAACATTTCAGCAATTTATGAGTGATTTTATCATTTTTGGAGTGACATATGAAATGGAACATGTCTAACCGGTCGACCTGCTAACCCACCCAACCCGACCCAAAAAATCATGGGTTAATCGGTGTCGGGTCATTTGAATTATAGGTTATAAAAACTTCTATTTTTCGAGTGACTTGGGTGGGGTCGTAAACCCTAGCTCGCTTGAGGCAGAGCTAGTGTTTCTTATAATGTTGAAGGGGGAAAAGCACTCACTCTAAAGAGACTAGTAGAGCATGTTTGGAAGTTGGCATTCTCTAAATTGATGTATTTAATCAATGTATGTATTATAATTAGATGTATTGTTTAAATGAATGAATTTGAAAATACATTGTTTGTAGATTGAATGATTTTGGTGGTAACTCAATGAATAAGGAAGAAAAAGCAAGTAACAATCCCTCAAACAAAAACACTGCTAAAAACTGTGATTTACAATCATTCATAATGAATCATTCTGGTGGTCCCATCTGCTGTTCAAATACAAGTATTTTGTTTCATTTTAAGACAAAAAACGACGAATTCTTCTGATTACATGTATTGGCCAAATACATTCTCTAAAATCCCAACTTTCAAACGACCCTACGGGACCTAACTCTTGCTTTCATTGCTATATAACGGGAAAATTGTCCTCCTTGTCTGCAACTACTAAGGACCTCTCTTGTAGACGACAACCATACGAGATCTTCCTTGGAATAAAAAATAAAAAAAATACTCGAGATAAAATGCTAGTGATTAATATGCACCCAATGCCAAATATAAATCCCATTATCCTACCCATTTTACCCTTTAAAACCACATACACGCATTTTGTAAAAACACCTTGCACAATAAATGACATCCGCCAGAGAGGATCCCATGACTAAAGGGGAGTCCTTAGTCATTTGACTAAGCCCCTCCTAGCCATTAGATCTGGACACTTCAATCCAATGGTTAAAAAGTGGGAAGGGCTATTTAATTAATGACAGGGGTAGTTTGGGTATTATGGAAAATTACGAAGTATACAAACCGGATTTACAATCAGTACAAACCATACAAACATACGAACAGTACAAACTAGGGTGACAAAACATACAAACAAATTTACAAACATTACAAACGTATGAACTGTACAAACAATACAAACTAGACTGACAAACAATACAAACCATACAAAAAGAAAAAACACCCGGGTTGACTTTGGAGGCTCCATCCCTATATAGAGGGGCTCCTTCCCAAAATCAACCCGGGTGTTTTTTAGACATACAAACAGTACGAACATGGTGGACAAAAATGACAAACTATACCGACAATCCATACGAACTGAAAAAACACCCGAGTTGATTTTGGAGGCTCCATCCCTATATAGAGGGGCTCCTTCCCAAAGTCAACCCGTGTGTTTTTTAGACATAAAAAACATTACGAACATGGTGGACAAAAATGACAAACTATACCGACAATCCATACGAACTGAAAAAACACCCGGGTTGACTTTGGAGGCTCCATCCCTATATAGAGGGGCTCCTTCCCAAAGTCAACCCGTGTGTTTTTTAGACAAAAAACATTACAAACATGGTTGACAAAAATGATAAACACGATACACAAAAATAACAAAGTTTACAAACATTACAAAAAAAAAACCGACAAACATTACAAAATAACAAAGTGCACAAACATTACAAAAAGAACCGTCAAACATTACAAAATAAAAAAGCGTACAAACATTACAAAATAAACCGACAAACAATACAAAACATACTAACAGTACAAAATATCTCTCTCTCATAATGGCGCATACGAGATTTCCCCATGGAAATAATGGGCCGCCTCTGGAATAATGGCGCACAGTTGCCCAGGAATTCCCCTGGCGGCGCAATTATCGGAACGGAGATGGGAGGCGACGCGACGGGGACGGCGCCGGGTTTTGTTTTTTTATTTCTTTTATAATTAAAAGTTAAAAATAAATATGCAATTACTACATTGTCCTTCATTAAATTGGATTAATATGAGCCCTTGGATTTTAATGAGATGCAAGGGTGGAGATTCGCTTAGCCATGTGACTAAGGGGGCCCCTAATCACCAGATCTTAGCCCTCCGCCAAACGGACCCTTAATTATTTTTTTCAAAAAATCAAATTACTCAACTTAGTCCACTCTTGCCAACTAACGGCGAACAGCGAACAATTATTCTTACGGCCAACAAACTGAATCAAAGACTTAGAGTTAACATCGAACTTTAATTGAGATTTCAAACAACAGCGATCAGTCGGTGGTGACGGCGGTGGCGCCGACGGAGGGAGCAATGGCATGGTAATGAACGCCGACGACGTCGTTCCAGTGGGGAGGGTTCTTGAAGACGTGCTTCAGCGCCATGTGCTCTTTGATATTGAACTTCTTGAACTTGGGTGACTCGTTGGTCTGACCAATCAGCTCGGGCATCGGCTCAACCCATTTGTCTTCTGCTACCAAGTAAGCGTACACGAAGGCGTATCGGCTTATCCCCGGCTGCGCCAATATTCTGTGGGTTGGGCTCTTCATCTTGTCGTTGCTCAGTGCCTGCATGCATGCGTCGAGTTCGACTTGAGATTCTTATTCAAACTCGGTTGAATTTTTATTTTATTATTATTATTATACCTGGAGGGCATCAGCGACGTTGATAACGAGGGAATGAGGGATGTGATCGATGGGAATCCACTCGCCATCTTTCAGAAACTCAAGACCTTCAACTTCATTCTCGAACACCAAAGAAAAGAGACCGCTGTCCCTGTGGGCGTTGACCGCGGTCTGGTCGGTCTCCGTCGCCGGCAGGTAGTGGAATCCCATAAGAACATCGGTTCCCCTGTCGTCGTTGTACTTGGCCAACGTTCCTTTCGGGAGTCTCAGGCAGTCGTTCAACAAGCTCTGGACCAACACCGCCGCTTCATCCAACTTCCACCACATTTCCTCCATTGTCTCCCTAATTCATACATACAGATTCAAAATAGTTACAAATTATTTAAGTATTTTGTAGGGCGGACACAATTACAAATTATATTATATATGTTGCTTTTTAATTTCATGCACCAGGTGTCACTCGTCTTTATCATTTAGTACAAGGTAACCATTAACATATGTTAATTTTTCTAACAATTATTTTATAAATGTAGTGAGTATTGAGAGGCTTTTTGGTGATCAAAAGGTCTTTAAACTCCCTTTCAAATTTTTTGAATTTTGTTGATTGAATAGATTAAATCAAGAGTCAAAAGAATAATTACTTAAAGTGTGGGGGGTTGGCCGGGAAAACGTTGGTGGGGGCGGGGGTGCACATCTGCCAATGCTCCGATTTGGCCGCCTCCTTGGTATAGCCGGCGGTGAAAGGAGCTCCCGGCGGAGTGGTGATGTTGAGTTTCTCCTCCAAATCGAGGTTGAAAAAATCAATGGTCGCGTCCATGGTTTTGTCCATGATTTGGTCCGGAATGCCGTGGTTGACCGCCACGAAGAAGCCGTAGTCGGAGCAAGCTTCCCTCAGCTTCTCTATCACCTCCTCCTTCTTCTTAGCATCGCCGCCGGTGATGAAAGGGGCCAGATCGATCACCGGGTAGTTGTAGGCCATGACAACGGTCGATTGAAGAAGAAGAAGAAGAAGAAGAAGAAGAAGAAGAAGAAGAAGAAGAAGAAGATTGGTTTGATTTGGTTTGGTGGCTCTCAACTCACTCGGTATTGCCGATATTTATTGAGTTAGATGTGGAGGAAAAACTTGTTGGTTTTGTTGATAATTCTTTTTAGATCTGAGCATGAATTCTTAAAATGTATAACATGTGGGGGAAAAATGACAAGGATGGTAAACTGGTAATTAACGATTCTTGTCTTGTCGTAAAAAAAAAAAATTCAAATTATTAAGTATCAGCAAGGAAATATGGCATGCATAGCCGCCGAGATGGGTTCAAGGGATGTGAGCTACGGTTTAAGATAATTTCGGTCTAGAACAGTAAATTCAGGTTTATATATATTCACGATAATTTCAAGTTCTGTTCAATATTATGTTTGTTTTCAGAGCTAGAGGGAGCTAGTGAGACTTCCAATTGTCTTATTCTCCGACCTCGAATACCACATTATATGTAAAATTTTAATGATCACTTAATTCGACTAATGATTTTTGAAGCTATGCTCATGTACTTATTGTTTAGACTAAGTAATCTATCAAATTTAAACTAATAACCAACAAGTAAGTTCAAATGGATCCAAATATAGAAAACAAAATCGTCGGTGACACATTCAATGTTCTAACTAAAAGCAATATCAAAGTTGTCAATGCGGTTTCGCCCGTTGGCCCGGTTGATCAAATGGGATAAACATTAATGATTGGATCATTTTAACTCGATTTAACCAAAATATTATAAAATATACAGGTTTTGTAGTAATTTAATGACAGAAATATTTGTAGTGCTTCTACCCGTTTCAGAAATCTGTATATACAACCGTCATTCTCTGATAATGATAATCACTTGCATCGAACACAGTAGCATATATGAAAGAGGCGGCGCTTGCTAGATTCATGAACTAGAGATGATTAGGGTTGTTAGATTACACGATGGCTAAATTCATGAACTGCATGCAGTTTGGTTTCCCCCTGCCTGCTGAGGTGATGTAGAGAGAGGGAAATGACCATATTTAACAAGAGATTCCCTCTTCTAATTGATTGATGACCTCCCATGTAATCTGTATATAAGTCAAAACTGCACTTGCTCAGCTTGTTGTTCTTTGTGGAAGGAAACGCCAAGCTGAGGGGAAAAGGAAGGAGGTGGAGGGGTGTTTATACGAGGGACAGGAAAGGAAGGGTAACATGAAAAAGTGGAGGAAGATTTCAGTAGTATTTTTTAACCTATAATTGAAGGGATCAGAAACACCACAAAACAAACCAGAAAATATTTCTAAACCACACCAGAAACTTCATAATACAAAATACAAACACGGTAAAAAATATCACAAAAAAGAATACCAGAAACCTCCCAATGCATACCACAAATTCCCTAAAACAAACCAGAAACACCACAAACCAAACCGCAAATATTTTGAAAGCACACCAGAAAACTCATAACGCAAACCATAAACACCGTAAAGCAAATCACAAAAACAAACCAGAAACGTCCTAATGCAGACAAAAAATGTATTAAAACAAACCAGAAACCTCACAAAGCAAACCACAGAATTTTCAAAAACACACCAGAAACCTCATAATGCAAACCACAAATACGTTAAAGCAAACCACAAAAACAAACCAGAAACCTCCTAATGCACACCACAAATCTCCTAAAACAAACCACAAACCCCTCAATGCAAAACATAAAAATTTTGAAAGCAAACTAGAAATTTCTCAATGCAAACCACAAACACGATAAAGCAAACTAGAAACTTCTCAATCCAAACCACAAACACGATAAAGCAAACCACAAAAGGCTTACAAAAATGTGAGAAACCAAACCATAAATCTCACAATGAAGACCATAACATCCGGTGGTTGTTGACCGTTGACCGAACTCCGATGACCGTCAGTGAGCAGATTCCGACGCCGATAGGCATATTCCAGCCTCGATGACTAGATTCCGATGCCAGTAAGCATATTCCGACGCCGGTAAGCATATTCCGGTGACGGTGGCATATTCCAATGAGAAAATAGCATATTTCGGCGACGAAAAGCATATTCCAGTGATCGGCGACCAGATTCCGGCGACCAAAAATTTGAGCAGAAAAAAAAAAAAAAAATTACACTGGGTCAACTCAACTAATAAAAAGTCATCACAACGCTAGCTTTCTATTAGTTGGAGACTAGTGTTGTCACAATAACAACAAAAAGAGTGTTGTTATAGTATCTAGTCCCTATCACATGCATCTTCCCAACTTCTTTGGACGCTAGCTTCTCTGCCCGGAGCGGACCACCATGCAACTTGAGCCAAACCTGCAAGTGCACGCGGCGAAATATATCACTCCCACTTGGTAGGTTATTCAACATGACGAGAACGTGCTGGCATGGCCGGGTGGTAGGTGAGACTTGAGAGTTCTTGTATGAAAATGAGGGTTTGGGGATGGTTTGTCTGAGTTTATTACATTGGCTTGTCGGAAGTTTGACGGGGAGACGGTTTGAGCTAGCGACGGTGATGGAGACGGGCGTCGGTAATTGAGGTCGGTGATGGAGGCTCTTTGACGGCTAGGATTTATTGCTAGAGAGAGAGGGTGGAGGAGGGAGATGGGGAAATCATCGACGCATAATAAGTTTAGTATGGACCACACCGCATTGATCTGTACTAGAAAAGACAAAGAAGATTGAAGGGCTAGCTAATCGATCCGTACGTACTGCAGTAATATTGTCAGACTATGGAGATCAAAATATGTTTGGCTTTTTTTTGTCAAAAGATAAGGTTTACACAAATAGGGGTGAATGAATGGTGATGGTTCAATATTATGGATTGCGCGCAATATGTATTGTACGTACGTCAGTTTGGCGTGGTCTATATTGTCAGTTTAGTAGGGTTTTTGAATCAAGAGTCGACATAAAATGACCACGAGGGTACTTTTTTTCTTTTCTTGGACGCGAAATAATTTCTTTTTGTTTGTTAAAATCGACGCGGAATAATTTTATATGATTGGAGAACCAAATTTGTTCACCAACCTAAACTAGATCGAGTTAAAGGAAAAAAAAGGAGAAGACAGATGTTGAGAGGAACGACTTAGGTTACTCAACTCGTGGATTTAGGTCCCACAATCCCGCCCTATAATAAAGAAGCGCGATTTTTTGAAAATCCAAAAAGTCGTGAATTACCGAATCTCGAAGCGTACGTACATGACTTTTATCTGAGAGCGTAATTCTTTGGCGTACTAGCTGGGATGTAGGAGGCTATGAGATCGAGATTGGAGAAGGGCCAACGACTATTAGCAATAGACTGGGATTGTTTTGCGGCCGTAGGAGGGGTACTGAGGGTAAATCGCAGAAGGAAGCATGCAAAACCCATATATAAAACAAACTGCACAATGAGGGTTGAGTGGAATGCGTTAGCCTAGTTACTCTTTTTTAGTAATCATCGTGGCTACCCTAAATCTAGCCATTGAGATTAAGTGAATTGAATCTAATGACCCATCTTGTTGGAGGGCTTCTTCGGTAAAGACCCACACGATCCACTCCCTAACTGACGACGTATTATTAGGAGCTAAATCAATGGGCTCTTCCCTATTCGAAACTTTCATTCTTTTTGGTTTTTCTTCCTCGGCGCCTCTCCTAAGAACGGTTAAGGATGATCGGCGCCGTTCCTATTCCCGTCGCCGCAGTCCCTCTCCCGTCTTCCACAGTCCCTCTCCGGCGCTGGAAGTTCTCTTCCGTCGCCGCAATCCCTCTCCCGTCGCCGCAGTCCCCCTCCGGCGCCGCAAGTTCTCTCCCCGGCGCAGCGGGAGACGTTTCGGCAACTGGTTGTTTCGTTGTTGTGGGATCGGCGAGAGTTATTCAAATCGTGTTGTAAACGTGTTGTAATAGCGCGCTTTATTGTATAGACATTGCATGTTCTTCAAATCGTATTAATCTGAGTTTTGTTTTCCGTGGAATGGTATTCTTGTCGTTTTTGTATATGTGCGATTGTGATAGTTTGTTTGGCATGGATTGGTATATGGTCGTTTGGTATTGAATACTATTAGGTTGTTTGCAAAGGTAGTGGTCAATTTTGGTAATGAGCTAGGTTCTAGGTTGTTTGGAATGGTAGGTTCTTCCCATGCATTGGTAGTAATCTGCAGACCTGTGAAGTTTGGTGTGGAATTGAAGTTTTTAGTTGAAATGGTAGATTTCATGTTGTTTGGAATGATAGCTTCTTTTCATGAATTGGTAGTGATCTGCAGAATTGTGATGTTTGGTGTGGAATGATAGTGTTTAGTTGGAATGGTAGGTTTTTTTCTCGCATTGGTAGTGACCTGCATACTTGTGATGTTTGGTGTGGAATGGTAGTGTTCAGTTCCAGTAGTAGTGTGGTGTTCTATGCAACAGTAGTAGTTTGTGTGGTATGGTAGTGTTCAGTTCCAGTAGTAGTAGTGGTTACCTTTCCATACATCACTAACGTTGGTTAATGTTGCTACCTTCCATTTTTTTTGTTTTAATAATGGCAAGAACCAAGAACCCAAATCGTGGGACTTCAAAGAGCAAGAAACAATGAATAACTACCATTGCAGTAGGTCATATTACCACAATCGAAACACTACCGTTACAGTATCTGATAACTACAGTGCGGTAACTACCATTGCAATTACTAATCACTACCATAGCAACTGATTTAGCTCCTTGCTGAGGAAGAAAAACCTAGGGCAGCGTGCCCACTGCAAAATTCTTAGGGTAGCCCATTGATTTATTAGTTGAGGATTAGATAGCTGAGGAAGAAAAACCAAAAAGTTGAGGAATAGTTGAGGATTTAGCTCCAATGGGCTCTCTAATCCTCAACTACCATTGCCATTTCCCCCTAGGGCAGCGTGCCCAGTGCAAAATTCTTTTCCTGCCGTAATTTTTGGTATAACAAACTCCTACGATGATTAAAACTCCATATATTTAATTTTGGTAATTATCTCTCCTCTCTCATTAATTACATTATTAAAATGGTAGTTGATAATAACTAGGATGCAAAATAGCCCTATTATCCCTAGTAACCACCGTGCATACTAAAACTTGGTATCCACCATAACTCCTCCCAGGGTTGAGTTGCACCTCTATAGTCTACTCAACGGTAATTTTTCTCTCATGCTATATATTGTGTGATTGTGGAGATGAAAAGATAATGTTAAACAAATTAATGCCTTATTAACAACATTGTCCGATCCCTCCGAGCTTGAAACTTGCGCTTCAAACGGAAAAATAAAATGGCCAACGTTGATGACGTCAGAGTTCAAGTTCTCTCCACATCTCTAGTCCACGCCAACAACAAAACCACACCGCCTTCCGAGAGGATTCCTCTCACGCCGTGCGACCTCCGCCTCCTTCTCGTCGGAACCATCCAGAAGGGACTTCTCTTCCGCAAACCCACGGCGGCGGACACGTCGGCGGCTGCCGCATTCGTCGACAACTTGAAATCTTCCTTCTCCGCCGCCCTCGCCTCATTCTACCCGTTCGCCGGCCGCCTCTCCGCCGACGAACACCCCGAAGACGGCACCGCCGCCGTCTACATCGACAGCAACGACGCCGGAGCTCCGTTCGTCCACGCCTCCGCCGCCGGCGTCTCCGTCGCCGACATCCTAGACCCCGTATACATCCCTCCCGTCCTCTGGTCCTTCTTCCCCCTAAACTGGCTCAGAAACCACCACGGCTTCGACCATCCCTTGGCCGCCGTCCAGGTCACCGAGCTCTCCGACGGGATATTCGTCGGCTGGACGATCAGTCACGCCGTCGCCGACGGCGCCACCATTTGGAATTTCGTCAAATTATGGTCCGCACTCTGCCGGCAGGGCGATGACGACTCCTCGTCGATGGCGGCGGCCTTCTCAAGAGACTGGTTTATCGACGAGAAGCACCACCCCATCAAGATCCTCATCACCAAAATCAAACAACTCGAACAAGAAGACGAGGACAAAATCGTCTTGAAGGAGCGGATCCTACACTTCAGCCGCCGGAAACTCGACGATTTAAAATCACGCGCCAACGCCGAAGCAGCCGACATCGTCGGCTTCCGCGGCAACATATCTTCTCTCCAGTCGCTAATCTCTCACCTGTGGAGGGCGGTAATATATGTTAGGAATTTCATTTTCTAACTTGAGTGGACTAGCTAGCTAATTTTAATTTTAATTTACACACACATATTAATTAGTTGTTTGGGATGGGCTAATTATAAGTGGAGCTCCTCATGATCAGGGCGGATACATGGAGGTTTAGGAGTGTCCCGAGACACCCATAAAATTTGAAAAAATGATTATCTAATCTTCGATAGTAGTTTGTGTATGGGTAAAAAAAAAAAATTAGTGATAGTGGAACACGCTTAAAATATTTTTTTTTTTGACAACGAACACGCTTAAAATATGAAAAATGATTATTCAACCTCCTATAGTATTCTGCATATGGGTACAAATAATATTTAATTGATAGGGTCTATGTGATTTGAACTTGGGAACACTGCTACTATTAGTAAATATGGTTTCAATTAGACTACAACTCATTTGTAGTTATGTTTTAGATCAAAATATAATAGTAAAAGACTATTCTTATCCCCAATTATTTTCAAAACCTAACGATTAAACTCAATTGCGGGTTACCCATGTCTATTTGGATATGTCATTAGAGATTTGTTGAGCAGTGTATACACCGAATGTATTTTACCATTCTTTCATAATACGAAAAATGTTTGAACTTTTATTCTAACTTTTACTAGTTAAATATTTTCATATTTAATAATTTGATTTTTTTAAGAGAACACCCCTATTTAAAATTCTTGAATCCGCCACTGCTCATGATTACACAAAAATTTATTGAGTTTGTGCAGTGACAACAAAGTAAAAAACCTGCAAACTCGAGAGTACTTTTAAGTAATCAACAAAGTATAAATTAATTGTATCTTTTTGTCCATTAATTATACCTTCTTGTACGTTGCGTTGCAGGTAATTCGAAACAAGAACATTTCAGATCCAGATTCGGAGGAGGAAGCCGTATTTATTGTCCAGGTGGGATTGCGGTCGAGGTTTGTTCCTGAAGACTACTTCGGGAACGCGGTGATTCCGTGGCCCATAGTGGTTAAGTTGAAAGAGCTGTCAGGAGGACGCGATAAGGGATTGGGACGCGTGGCGGCGGAGGTGAACAAGGTGGTGGCGGGGCTGACGGTCGAGAAGCTGAAGGGAGCGGTGGAGTCGTGGATCGAGAATCCGAAAATGCCGACGGTGAGAGGTTTTGTCGCCGGAGGGATGGTGCTGAGCAGCTCGCCGAGGTTCGACGTCTACGGTAACGATTTCGGGTGGGGGAAGCCCGTGGCGGTGAGGAGCGGTTCCGGGAACAAATTCGACGGGAAGCTCACGGTGTATCCCGGGGTTGAGAACGGGAGCGTCGACGTTGAGATTTGTCTGTCGCCGGAGATGGCGGCGCGTCTGGAAAGTGATACGGAATTTATGGCTGCATTGGAGTAATTAGTTAAGTTAGACTTTTTTTTAAGGATGCACGAGTATGCAAATTTATGCCTGGTTGGTGAGATTCATCTAGCTAGTATGGATCGTACTGTACTGTATTGTACAGTGACGATCGTATTTGATTTGTACTTTTGACTATCAATTTGCATTTATGCTAGCTTTTCAATATAATTGATGATATGGGTGTACTATGGTTCATGAAATCGTACCGGAGACCGTATCGGAAAAGTCAGTGGTAGGGTATTTTATGGTAAAATCGTAGTTTAATTGTTAGTACCGTTAAATACTTCCTATCGATTTAGCCTCCGATATTGTTATTTCGTGGTTGAATCGTCGATACGGAACTCCAATAAAGTAGCTGTTAATTACATGATGTTGAGTCGTTTTGGTCATGTTCAATTTGGTCGCTTAGTTCATGTTTTGAATCATTCAAATAAAGTAGTTGGGTAACCCGAAGTTTGAGAAAATCGGATTGAGTCAGGCTTGAATTTTGCAAAATACAAAATTTCAAGCATTTCAGATAAAATCCTAACTCATTAGAAGTTTTATTAGGTCAACCTAAATAGATTATACAGATCGTGGTTGTTTATATTTTAGTGATCATACGGTAAACTCAAATTTATTGCAAACCGACAATTTTATTAAAATGAACGTTGTGAATCATAAGTACAATGATCCAGCATACAATCTCGGCTTCCCACCAATTAGGGGTGGCTATACGGTCCGGTCCGGTTAAATTAAACCAAATTGATCCGGTCCCAGTCCGGTCTTTTCGGGAATATAAGGACCAAAGGTTGGATTGGATACATTCTGGTCTTGATCCGGTCCGGTCTTGAACCGGTCCGGTCCCAATTTGATTTTGATTTTAGATTGAGCTTGTGGGATTTGAGTGTTGGGGTCTCTTATCTGGTCTTTATTAGGGTTTTTTTACCTCAAATCTAAGCCCGAATATGAGATTGGATTGTTTGCTATTCGGTCCCAGTCCGGTCCTGGTCCGAGTTATACGATCCGGTTTCGAGTAAAACCAAACAATCTTGGACCAAATTGCCAGCCCTACCACCAATCATGACTGAATCAACGTTCCTACAAACTAGCTAGCTAATCGAAAGTCTCTGACTTCAGCACAACGTAACAGACTCAAATGCAACTCTAAAACATGAATTGACTCTAACAGACACGAGTTAAACTTTCAATGACCAAAAGAACACAGCTTTAACTTGATTGAATTTGAATCTCTGTCTTCCTTCGCGCCAAGTCTTCCTCTCCTTCACTAATTCGGATTCGAACCTCCTTCCAACTTCCAAGTTCCAACATCCTCCCTGAACTGAAGATTCCTTCTTCTTCTTCTTCAGTTCATCTTCTTCTTCTTTCGGAACATCATCAGCATCACAGACTCCCATCCTTTCTCACATCAATTCAAACACTTCCAACTTCAGTGCATTTGTCATCACTTTAGCTACTTGCTCACCAGTTATCACATTAATATGTTTGGATATGCCATGAACGACTGTAATTCCTTAAAGAGTTTTATTGCAGAGCTATTATCCCATTATATCTTGGCTCCATTCTCAACACTGTTCTTCCGTCTCATTTGATTTATGTATTTGAAAATAAGTAAATATATAGTAATGACATTATGTATTTGAAATTAAGTTACAAATCTGTTGTCAAACTTTGTCCTCATTAGATTATATGTATGTATTTTAAATTGTGTACAAAATGGGATAAAACGAGCTAATCCAATTAGCGCATTAACCATTTGCCTACTTACTCAACCGGGCGGATGGGCCAAACCAGGTTGACAACCTTGGTTGGAAGTAGTAGTATAGTAGTATGTTAGTGAAATTGTATTTATATAGCTCAATAATTGTGGAGTGAAACTTGGGATAAGACCAGGTTATTACTAATGGGTCCATTAGTCACATGACTAAACCAATATCAACCATTCATTTAAGTTTTAATTTAATGGTTGTAATTAATCTTATTTAATGAAGGGTATGGTATTAAATACACAATTTATTTAGTAATTAAAATAAACAAAAATAATGTGGGCCCACTGCTACCCACGATCGTCGTTATCGCCGGTCCTTTCTGGGAAATTCCTCCTGGTGGCCAGTCCTCCCCGACTTATTCCCAGCACCGGCGGTCCCCCATTCCTAGCACAGGAGGTCACTTTTATGGGCGGTTTCCCCATTCCCAGCATAGGTGCAACTATGGGAGAGAGATATTAGTATGCTTTGTAATGTTTGTCGATTTATTTTGTAATGTTTATAAGACTAAAAAATAATCTGGTTGACTTTTGGACAGATTTCCACTATATAGGGACGGAGCCTCCAAAATCAACTTGATTGTTTTTCCATTTTATATGGTTTGTATTGTTTGTAAATACATTTTGTATGGTTTGTATTGTTTGTAAATCTAGTTTGTATGGTTTGTATAGTTTGTCATTTTTGTCCACCATATTTGTATTGTTTGTATGTCTAAAAAACAACTTGGTTGACTTATGGACGAAACTCTTCTATATAGTGATGGAGTCTCCAAAGTCAACCCGACTATTTTTCCATTTTTTATGGTTTGTCGATCTAGTTTATCATTTTTATCTACCATGTTTGTATGTCTAAAAACAATTGGGTTGAATTTGGGACTTCACGAAACCCCTCATAACCATTAGATCTGGACACACCAATCTAACAATTAGAAAATGAAATAAGCTTTTAATTAGCGACGTGGGTAATTTGATATTATGAAAAATTACGAAGTATACAAATCAAACTTACAAACAATACAAACAATATAAACTAGAACCATAAAACATATAAACAGATTTACAAACAATACAAAACATATGAACTATACCCACAAGGCCACAACTAGAGGTGGCAATTAGGATCCAAATCCATGAATCCAATCCAATCATCCATCAAATTATCCACCTAATCTAATCAATTTGATCTAAATCCAATTGGATTGGTGGATTCATGGATCCATCCATGGATCCAAATGGCAAATTATGATTTGGTACCTATATTTTTTATATTTTACATTTTGGTACATGAAACTTATATTTTTATACGAAAATTATCATTGGAAAATTACATTTTAGTGCCTAAAATTTTTCATTATGACATTTTAGTACCTGAACTTTTCCAAATTTACATTTTGGTCCAAGCCTTGGATGTTATTTGGATTCATAGATCAATCCACCAATTCATTGGATCCAATCCATTTAATCTATGGATCCACGAATCCACGAATTCTATCCACTTGCCACCTCTAGCCACAAGGCCCACAACCAATATATATTGGAAGGAGCTACGTGGCAAGAAAATGAGGGGAGGGGACAGGCAGAGATCAGCTGAATCATATATGATACAACGATGAAGAAGAGGAAGAACGCTTCTCATTCTCTTACCTCTTTGGCCTCTCGTCCAAACCCTAAATTCCCAATTCGTCACCAACCATTTACTCCAAGCATTCTCCTCCATTCGCGAAGTAACCATCGTCTGCTGAAGTCGCCATTGTCGCTCCTCCGGGAAGTATTGTAGACGCCGACTGTAGTTGGTTTGATTGATTGCATCGTGGAGCTCTTTGCATTTCCTCCAATATTTGGTTGTTCTCCCTTCGTCAGCCAGCGGAGAAGTACTTTCATGGCCGCCAACGGCCTGCTGACATTAGGCCGAGTGAAGCTCAGCGATCTTATCGCCACCGACGGCGTCCCTTCCGATTCCTACAAGCTATCAGTCTCGACTCTATCCCAGTCTCTCTCTCCGTACTCCGCCGCCATCATTCAATTCTCATCCAGCGACGGAGCTCTCTTGAGGTCGGGTTTGGATTCCGCACGCCTCTACTTCCACCAGAGGCCATCGTTCCCCGACGTGATTGAGAGTGACGATTCCCGCGAGTGGTGCAGGACGTCTGGTTACTTCGCTGATCCTCAGTTGTGGCAGGAGGCATACGATTACAGACCTGGTTTAACTCCTCCCGACGAGCATTCTTCAATCAACTCCGTTGAATTCCTCCCTCCTGGAGCCTTGCCTGACATTTTTGCTCTGCTGGGGAGAGCTGCTCGGGGTATCTTGGATGCAATTAGCTTCTATTTGAATTTGCGCAGCTCGCCTTTCGCGGAAATACTCGATAATGTGCCTTTGAGGGGTCGAGAGATATCGTCTTCTGTGTTATCGGTTTGCTGTCACGCAAGGCCGTCGTTTCAGGGAGCTCATGGCCAAATGGGTGGTTTGTATGAAGACGACAATCACCATATCGACAAGAGCTTGATATCGCTGGTTAAGTCGGATAAATCAGGGCTTCATATTAGAGACTTTAATGGGAGATTGTTGACACCTAAAATTAATTTGGCCGAAATTAAATGCCGCATTAATTAGTCTCGGCATTTAATTCTATACCGCGGGTTAAAAACGATGTCGTTTGGAGTTAAGCGGCGTTGCGGAGAGTTAAAACGGTACCGCAAGGAAGCTCGGCGGTACCGCGGCATGGGAAACGACACCGCTTAATGAATAAAAAAAAAGGGGTTGCGCGTGTAGTTGGGTTGGAGAAGGGGTTTTATAATTAATTATTACCTTTATTCCTTGTAGGAAGGGGAAAATCGGTACCGCATGGAGAATTAAAACGGTACCGCAAGGAAGCTCAGCGGTACCGCGGCACCGGTCACCAAAAAACAAAAGAGGGGCCGCGCGTTAGTTGAGTGTTGGGGAATGAGTTTTGTTTACTCTGATTAATTATTATTATTATTTTACTCCTTGTTGGATAGGGAGAAGCGGCACTGCGGAGAGCTAAAACGGTGCCGCGGAATAAAAAACGGTGCCGCGATAAGCCCAACGGTACCGTGGATTAGCAAACGACACTGTTAAAATTAAAACAGTATCGCGAAGCTCAAAAGTACAACGACATCGCGGGACTACCAAACGATGTTGTTTAACTAAGAACGGCGCCGAGGGGTGAGAGTTTGACGGCGAGTTAACAATGAGGGCTGGTTTAATTAATTAGTAGTTTATGATTATTTTAGACGGCGTCGTTTAATGAAAAGCGATGCCGCGGAAAAGTAAAACGACACCGCGGTAGTGGTAAGAGTTCGGCCAAAGGCAGCCGCCAAACCCAACGACGGCGCAAGAGTATAGAACGACGTTGTTTGATAGACTAACAATGTCGTTGGTTAAACCGGGTCGGGGCAGTTGAGTTGGATCATAAAACGGCATCGGTTGGTGAAAGGCGATGCCGTGGTATTGGTGAAACGGCATCGTTACATGGACAAGGTTGTAGGTCGTTTGGCCAAGTTTCGGCAAAGCAGGAACGGTTTCGAGGGCACGTGATTATCACGCAACAAGGAGGAAGTTACCTGCACGGTTGACAGGAATGGAGACGTGGGAGTTCACGACGGAGCGGTTGAGGAAGCAGTTCCACAGGGCGTGAAGACTACGCAAGTGATTTCAAATAAAAGCAGCGGAGCAAGGAGAGAGAAGAAAAAAAAATCAACACAGATCAACTCTGTTCAAACTTTACCTTTTCTCTGTAACTCCTTCGCGGAGCTCTCCTTCCAGGAAAGATCTCCATAGTTGTAGTCTTAGTCGTAGTCGCGGAGCTCTCCACAGGAATCTCCATAGGAGTAGCAGTAGCGTAGATTCCTCAAAACTCAAACACCCTCGTTCGAACGTAGTTTGGAGAGGTGCGAACCGTAGTAACGGTCGTTCTTGGTTAGAAGTCAGAGGTGCATCGATCAAATCAACACCGCCGGCGGTGGATATTTGACGGTCACGTTGATTTCACCATTCAGAGGTGCATCGATCAAATCAACGGCGCGACATTCGGCGGCGGATATTTGACGGTTGTCTCAATTTCAGCAATCAGCGGTGCTTCTGATCAAACGGCACCGTAAGAGTTTCCATCACGAAACATCAAATCAACATCGCCGGAAACGAATTCAGCACCGGCGGTGGCATTTGGTTTTTCCGAGGAAACAGAGATGGGTTCCTGTAGATGGTGATTTTGGTCCTCAAGAAGCTATTGTTTTCCCAGGGCTTGCACTTTACCAGGCGACAGCAGGTTATGTGAACCCTGCGCTTCATAGAACCGATACTGGTAGTGGCATGCCGAGTAATATGTATGGAAGATGTTCTTTGACATTTAAGCTTATGCCGAAATCGATGACCAATCTTAGTTCGTCGGAGATGAGAGCAGCTGGGCACGATGTTGAATCTCAGTTCCAGCTGCCAGTGCTAGTGGATGACTTTATGCAGAGGTCACACACTACTGATTATATATTGAACAAGCACGGATATCAGGGCTTCGGGTTCCCCTCCTCTCAAGACGGTATGCGCTATCACGAGAATATGTCTGAATCTTGTTTATGTGAATTTGATGCAGAATCGTTTGACTCTCTGGTTCAAAATCTTCATTCTGGGTTGCAACATATGGTAGTGATATGACCAAAACTAAGTTTTTGCTTATGCAACAATAAATGTCTTGTTGATCCTTTAAGCATAATTTAAGGACACCTAGTTGTTGGGTATTAGCGGAATTGTGGTGGAAAATAGGATCAAAACAAAGGAAACAATTGGTGTTTAATCACTCTTTTTATAAATCACTCAAACAAACAAGGCCTTAACTTTTGGCTCTTGTTGCTTACAAACACATAGATACAGAGACTTCTTTCTTTCTTTATGTCTCTCTGACAATCTCTTGCAAACCCATACATACACATTGAAAAAAGAAATCCCCCGACAGAATCGATTACTGTGCAACAAGAGACACTTTACTGTGCATCGTGACTCAGAGTTACTGTTACAACTGGGATGGGACTTTGCTGTGGGCGGGTGTATGGTGGACTCTGGTCAGTTTTCAAAGCTCTGGTTCTCTTTGGATTATGATAGGACATCTGGTTGGCTGGCCAGTTGGCAGGTCTGGCTGATTTCTGTAGCACTGGTGAGACCGCATTGATCACCGCGTTGCCACTTGAGAGGGAATCAGAGACAAAGGGAAGCAAAAATGAGATATTTTTGTGGGTATACTTGGTGTGTTAGATGCCACGTAGCTCTTTTCGTTTTCCCCCACTCATTTTTTTCTAACCGGCTCAATTCTCTACGTTTTTTTTTTCTCTCATTGGTTCCCGTCACCACACACCTCTCACCAGAGATGCACTCTATCAATATGAGAGATAAGGCAGAGATGGGAAACTAACTCACCACTTGCCTTTTACTTTTCTCTTTCCTCCATCTTCCCTTTCATATGATTTACTCTCTCTCTCTCTTCCAATCTTATCTGTTAATGATCTCCTCCTTTTTCCATTGTTGATACCTCTCTTTATCACCCCCAGTTTCAAATCAGCAAACAAACAGATGCCTAGACAGACGACACGGAGTTGGGGTTTGCCCGTTTTGGTGACTTCCACAAGGTTCACTCTAATGCGATTCTGGAGGCTACGGTTATGGCGGTGGCCAAAAGAATCAGGTAGAGAGGTGGGGATTGAGGAAGCCCCAAAGCGATGCGCATTGACTGCTGGTCTATTTTCTTTTCCATTTATTGTTCACCCAGGTCCGTCTATTCCGGTGAGCTCTCGATCTCCTTTTTTGTTCCTTTGTTTTGTATCTTGGTGGATAATGATTTCATTCTCTTCCCTTGCACTTGCAGATTTGCCTAGATCAAGGGTCCGCACGATAATCATCGTCGCCGCCAGAGACGGTGAGTCGGTGACCAAAGGCATCGACAAAGGTTTTGTTTCTTCTTGATGAAATCCATCTATTTTCTTTCCATCTCTCGACCCCTGTTATCTATACCAGTTTTTTATTTTCTGATGTCTGTGTCTATTGTTTGATGCTTTTCAGGATGATGATGTGTTCTGGATTTAATGATCAGCTTGAACTTCGGAGGGTAAGAAATTGACGATTGGGGACTCAATCGATAATTACATCTCTTTCATGGCCTTTAGACTTTTCTTCGAGAGTGATTCTTCTCTGTTTTTTTATGTTTTTGTTTTGTGGTTTCTTTAGGTGATTAGAAATATATTGGTGGTGATGATTTTACCGACCGTTAAATTATAATATGGTTAACTTCCCTTCTGGGTTTTATATGATTTTTATGGTTTCAGGGGCACTAATTCTTCCCCTTTGCAGGCTCAAGTTATAGTTGGGACACCCAGATATATGATGGCACCGAGAACCGAGGACGGCGGGGTGGCGATGCGGCTTGGAATACAATCAGTCTGGTTGTCTTTTGTTGATATTTCGAACTTGGGGTTCCAAGTCCAACCCACTGTCGATAAAAAAAAATACAGTAAAAGGTAGGATTGAGTATGATCTTGATACCTTGGTCTTGATTATTCGTCTAATTTGAAACAATAGGTCATTTATCTCTCCCAAACTGTTTCAGTGTTCTTGACTCGATATGATTTACAGCGATACAGCAATACATGGGCGGATGATGGTTGTCTACAGATGAATTAGTGGAGATGATGCTTTGATGAATGCAGCATTCCTTCATAATAATCAAGAATTATTTCACGGAGTATTCTCAATTGTATTGTTTCTTTGTCCATGTTGTATAAGTTTCGACTATTTAAGTACTATCACTATTAATTGATCGCTCTCTGTTTTTCTCTACCTTGCAGGCACGAGTGTTATTTTGGAGTCAGGTGTTTTAACAAATATTTTCAGACTCTGTTCCTTCTATGATTTGCACATGCTTACCAACTTTTCAGATTGTGATGTGGTGCACCACTGGAGTAAGGAATTGGATTAGCTTATGTGTAGGATGTTTAGCGTTTGGTGATTTTGGATCATGATTCAATTGTCCTAGAATTCCTTCATGAAATATCATTTGAGAGTTTACTGTAGACAGTTGAATAATTAAACAACAGATGTCGACTGAAATGTATGCCTAAGGGTTGAATCAAACTGCAGCTATGGTTATGCTTTACTTCTCATATTGTTGTTATAATGTTTATACTTTATATAGACCATTATACTGTTTGCTTTCCTTCTCTATTATGAAAGCTTATTTTTTTGGGCAAGATGGAATCAGAGTTCAACAAAGGGGAAAGGAGGGCCATGTGACAAGTTCAGCAATTTCATCAGTACACCAAAAAGTGTTGTATTTCCACTAATAGATCCATTTTCCAAATTTTGTATTCTTTTGTTATCAAGTTAAGTTGTGCTCATTCTATGAAGAGTGTCAAATAACCTTGGTATAAGGTTTTGAAAGTTATCATTATGTTGCAAAAGTGGCCCATATTTTATTAGTGATACACGATAAGTATTTTATGTGTATTTTGATTATCAAAGGCAGTTTCTTGCAGAACATTATAAGTTGTGTTTTTTTTATCCCCAAATAAGTATGTCTTGATAATCTCCTATCCCGGCGCGGAGCGCGGGCAATGATAACTAGTTTATATTACAATGAAAGAAGAAACTAATAATGCTATTGGCTCCATTTCTTTCTCCATGCACGTTACCACTTGTGGTAGATGGAAACATCACTTAATTCAATTGGCCTACTCATTACTCCATGCATTAATCTCACTGTCTCTTGCATTATTTTGATTTTGGCTTCTTCTTTCTAACAGATGGAATTGACATGGATATGAGTTCTCAACCAAGCCATGCCCCATCCATTTATTTGACTTCATTATTTTTTTGTCTTGCATGAGACATTGTGGGTTGCATCATTAATCATGTTTCTTTACCATAGGTAATTGCAAATTACCTTTCAACACCCCCTCTTAATTTGCAATTTGGAGTAGCTCCTTGAACTTCTCGAATTTCTCACGGGTAACCGCTTTTGTCATAATATCTGCTGGCTGGTCGTTGGTGTTGATAAATTCCATCACGATTAATCCTTCGTTGACGAGGTCTCGGATGAAATGATGACGCAACTCGATATGCTTCGATCTTGCGTGAAATACTGGATTTTTTGTCATGGCTATGGCTGACATGTTGTCACAATGAATAATGGTTGGACCATTTTCATTTTGCTGCAAATCAAAAATTAATCTTTTTAGCCATACCGCTTCGCATGCTGCATCTGTAGCTGCGATATATTCTGCTTCCGCTGAAGATAATGCCACAGTCTTTTGCTTCTTTGAACTCCAGGAAATGGGTTTTGAACCCAGGCAATATGTACCCCGATGTGCTTTTTCGATCATCCAGTGATCCTGCCCAGTCACATCCAGTCAGCTTGCTTTCTGCTTCTTTCTTGTACGTCAGGCCCAATTTTTTAGTACCTTGAAGATACCGCAAAATTCTTTTGGCTGCTGCAAAATGAAGTTTGCTAGGTTCATTCATAAATCTTGATATAAGACTTACTGAATGACATATATCCGGCCTGGTATGTGTCAGGTAAATGAGTGACCCGACAAGACTTCTGTACAGCTTTCCATCGACTTTTTCAGCTCCATCATTGCGTTGTAATTTCTCGTTTAACGCCATCGGTGTTGAGATTGGTTTGCACGTTGCCATGTGAAATCTTTTCAGCATATCTTCGGTGTACTTCTCCTGTGAAATAAATATTTCTCCAGGTGACTGCTTCACTTGGATCCCAAGAAAATACTTCATGAGTCCCAAGTCCGTCATCTCGAATTCTTTCATCATGGCACTTTTGAATTCTTCGATCATATGCTGACTTGTACCTGTGTAAATCAAATCATCAACATATAAACAAACCATTAGAAAATATTTTCCTTCTCCCTTTTTGATGTAGAGAGATGCTTCACTCGGACTTCTTTGAAATCCGTTTTGCTGAAAATATCGATCGATTCTGCTGTTCCAGGCTCTCGGTGCTTGCTTCAGCCCGTATAAAGCCTTTCGGAGACGATAGACTTTGTCTTCTTCTCCTTTTTTCTCATAGCCTCGTGGTTGCTCCACATATACTTCTTCTTCCAGTTCTCCGTTCAGAAATGCTGATTTGACATCCAGCTGGTATACTGGTAACTCCAGTTGAGCAGCTAGAGCGAGAACTGTTCTGATGGTCTCCATCCTCGCTATTGGTGCATATGTCTCGTGAAAATCAATACCGGGCTGTTGTGAATAGCCCTTTGCCACCAGTCGAGCTTTGTACTTCTGGATAGAACCATCTTCATTGAATTTGATCTTATAGATCCATTTGAGACCTATAACCGGCTTGTCCTCCGGTTGATCAACAAGCTCCCATGTCTTGTTTTTCTCGATCATGGAAATTTCTGCATCCATCGCCTCATTCCAAACTTCATCTTTGGCTGCTTCTTCAAAGACTTGAGGCTCACAAGAAAAATATGCCACATGACTTGTTTCATAAATTTCTCGCAAAGACCTTGTTCTCAATGGAGGTGAATCTGAGTCTGTTACGACGTCTCTGAAGTTGTCTCCTTCTGGGCTAGGTGCATAATTTCTTTCTGGACTAGCAACTGGATCTGGGTCGTTGCTGGGGTCTTCTGGAGTTGCTGAGTCCTCCAGAATTTCATAACTTGGTGGAGATTGAGAAATTGGATTTTCCCAATTCCACTCCGCCATCTCATCAAAGATCACATCTCGGGAAACCACCACTTCGTTCTTTACTGGGTTGTAAAGACGATAGCCTTTGGACTCATCACTGTAGCCGGTGAAGATCAGCTTTTCTCCCTTCTGGTCAAACTTGTCTCGGTTTGGAGTAGAGATGTGTGCATAAGCTATGCACCCAAAGACTTTGAGGTGGTCGACCTGTGGCCTCCTGTGGTGCCACGCATGTATCGGTGTCTTGTTCCGAACTGCTTTGGTTGGTGATATGTTGAGGATATAAATTGTTGTATTGACCGCTTCTGCCCACAAGTTGTTGGGAAGCTTTTTTGCTTTGAGCATACTTCTCGCCATCTCCACAATCGTGCGATTTTTCCATTCCGTCACGCCATTTTGTTGTGGTGTGTAACGGACCGTCAGCTGCCTTTTTATCCCGTTGTTGCGGCAATACTCCATGAACGGAGTATAAATAAATTCTCCTCCACGATCTGTACGGAGAGTTTTGATTTGATGGCCGCTTTCCTTCTCAGCTACTGCTTGGAATTGAAGGAACTTGGGAAAAGCTTCTGACTTTTGCTCCAGAAAGAATACCCACATCATTCTGGTGAATTCATCTACAAATAGTAGAAAGTATCTTTTGCCGCTGAGTGATTGTGTTCGGGTTGGACCGCATATGTCTGCATGTACCAACTCCAGTGGAGCTTTTGCTCTCCAAGATGTCTTTGGAAATGGTAAACGATGCATTTTGCCATATATGCATCCTTCACATATTTTATCTTCTCTGTTGATCTGGGGAAGTCCTGCCACCATATTTTTCTGCCTCAGCAATTTGAGGCCTCTGAAGTTGAGATGACCGTATCTGAGATGCCATAGAAAGGATTGATCCAGATTTTCACTCTTGAATGCTACTTCACCATTTTGTGACATAGCAAGAGAGAAAATTCTGTTGGAAGTCATCGGGACTTTGGCCACCATGAAATTGTCTGCTTTGTTGATAATCTCGCACACGCCATTATCAAACAATAGCTTGTAATTTTTCAGCATCAGTTGTCCCACGCTAAGTAGATTGAGAGTTAGCTCCGGAACATACAAAACATCTCGAATGAGAGTTTTGTTGCCTTCTTCTGTGCATACAACAAGTGTGCCTTTTCCTTCCACTTTTAGCTTCTTCCCGTCTCCCAATTTGACTTGAGAGCGGTATTTGTCATCGATGTCGGTGAAGGACTCCAGATCTCCAGTCATGTGGTTACTGCAACCACTATCCACCATCCAGGGAAGCTGTGATTTTTGCTCACCATACAAGCATGACAAGGCCACCATATTGCTTTCTTCATTTTTGGTGCCGCTTGACTCGCCATCTTCTTGCTTGTTCTGGAACCAGCAATCTCTCTGGGAGTGGTTCTGAATTCTGCACTTGGTGCACTTGAATTTGCAGTCTTTTGTTGCATGACCCGCCTTTTTGCAAATTATGCAACTCGAGCCGGTGTAGCCCGATCTTTGTTGTTGATAATTTTGTCTGTTGTTTCCTCTGTAATTGGATCTTCCTCTTCCTCTTCCTTGTGAGTTTCCCCCTCTCTGGCCTTGCTCCGATTTGGCATATTACTTTCCGCCATGTTGACTTTTGACGAGAAAGCTTGCTCCAGTGGCGGTTTGGTGAAGCGGCTCATTCTTTGTTCGTGTGCTACAAGTGAGCCCATCAACTCGCTCATTGGTAGATTTGCCAGATCTTTGGTTTCTTCAATGACAGCAACAATATGCTCGAACTTTGATGATAAACTGCGGAGAATTCTCTCCACAATTTTTCTTTCTTCCATGACATCACCGGTGGCTTTGATCTGGTTGACTGTCTCCGCCACACGCGAATGGAAGTCTTTGATGGTGTCGGTTTCCTTCATCATCAAGTTGTCGAACTGTCACCATAAACTTTGGCGCCTGATAGAGATTGCCTTTTCAGAACCTTGAAATTGTTCACGCAAGACATCCCAAGCTTCTTTGGCCTTTTTGATGCCATAGATTCTGGGGTAAATTGATTTGCTCACTGCTTGCTGAATGATTCTCAAGGCGCTGGCATTTTGCTTGGCATTCTCCTTGTACTCCTTTGTCTGCTTGCCTGATCGTTTCTTCGAGTCTTCATCATCTTCCTGTGGACTTTCATAGCCATCTTGGACTATATCCCACAGATCTTGAGAGATGAAAATTGGCTCCATTTGGGCACTCCAGTACTCGTACAATTCTCCATCAAAAATGGGAATTTGATTAGAAGAGGTAGCAAACATGGTGTTTGAGGAAGTTGTTGCCATGGATTTTTGAGAGGATTGGGTAGGCTAGAAATTTGGGGATTTTTGAGAGGATAGAAGGGTATTAGCTCTGATACCAAATTTGTTGGGTATTGGCGGAATTGTGGTGGAAAATAGGATCAAAACAAAGGAAACAATTGGTGTTTAATCACTCTTTTTATAAATCACTCAAACAAACAAGGCCTTAACTTTTGGCTCTTGTTGCTTACAAACACATAGATACAGAGACTTCTTTCTTTCTTTATGTCTCTCTGACAATCTCTTGCAAACCCATACATACACATTTATATTACAATGAAAGAAGAAACTAATAATGCTATTGGCTCCATTTCTTTCTCCATGCACGTTACCACTTGTGGTAGATGGAAACATCACTTAATTCAATTGGCCTTCTCATTACTCCATGCATTAATCTCATTGTCTCTTGCATTATTTTGATTTTGGCTTCTTCTTTCTAACAGATGGAATTGACATGGATATGAGTTCTCAACCAAGCCATGCCCCATCCATTTATTTGACTTCATTATTTTTTGTCTTGCATGAGACATTGTGGGTTTATCATTAATCATGTTTCTTTACCATAGGTAATTGCAAATTACCTTTCAACACTAGTTGCAGTAGTTTTTATCTTCGCATCTACATTTTGTTATCTTATATTTGGAATTGGCCTTAGTAAGAAGTCCTTTAACAGCAGGTCGTTGGATCGATGACATGCTGGTACAGGATCTGTTATGAAGCCCGCAATGAAGAGAAGAAAGAGTAACGATTCAAGATGCAAATCTCTACCGCCTTCAAAGAGGTTGCGGCACGATGGACAGAGGGTACTCAAGGAGAGAGTTCAGGATATTGCTGATAAGAAGGGGATCAAGCTCAGGTTCTGTAACTTAAAAGAGTGTGAGAGTCATGTTAATGATGTAGATAGTCCTTGTGCCAATATCAGAATGGAAATTGGGTGGCCACCTGGCGTGCCGTTCGTTCACCCTCACGACTTGCCTAACAAGGCAAAGATGGGGTTTCTCGAAGCATACGAGCCTGGTTGGACTGCAACTCAAGATATAGATATGTGTCTTACAGAATCTGGACGAGGTGGTGTTTCCTCGGAAAAACCAAATGCCACCGCCGGTGCCGAATTCGTTTCCGGCGATGTTGATTTGATGTTTCGTGATGGAAACTCTTGCGGTGCCGTTTGATCGGAAGCATCGCTGATTGCTGAAATTGAGACGACCGTCAAATATCCGCCGCCGAATGTCGCGCCGTTGATTTGATCGATGCACCTCTAAATGGTGAAATCAACGTGACCGTCAAATATCCACCGCCGGCGGTGTTGATTTGATCGATGCACCTCTGACTTCTAACCAAGAACGACCGTTACTACGGTTCGCACCTCTCCAAACTACGTTCGAACGAGGGTGTTTGAGTTTTGAGGAATCTACGCTACTGCTACTCCTATGGAGATTCCTGTGGAGAGCTCCGCGACTACGACTAAGACTACAACTATGGAGATCCTTCCTGGAAGGAGAGCTCCGCGAAGGAGTTACAGAGAAAATGTGTAAAGTTTGAACAGAGTTGATCTGTGTTGATTTTTTTTTTGGTTCTCCCTTCTCTCTCCTTGCTCCACTGCTTTTATTCGAAAAACCGCTTCGTAGTCTTCACGCTAGGTGGAACCGCTTCCTCAACTGCTCCGTTGTGAACTCCCACGTGTCTCAACCGTCTTGATCTCCTCTTCGCTCGGGTTGGTGTGAATCTCGCGCGATGTCGTTTTCTTCCCCAAACATCTCTTTTTGCTTTTTTACTCCACGACATTGTTTTATATTAAACACTGTCGTTTGCTAATACAGCGGTACCGTTGGGCTTACTCGCGGTACCATTTTTAATTAAACGACACCGCTAACATAGCCAAAAAATTCCATGAAACCGCCGCCAATCGGCGCTCGCATTGGACTAGGCGAATTTTGGTTTAATTAATCGGTACCGCTTATCAGGCTCTCGCGGCATCGTTTTTAAATTCGCGGTACTGTTTTAACTCTCCGCGATACCGCTTGTCTCCATGTGGTACCGATTTTCCCCTTCCGACAAGGAATAAAGATAATAATTAATAATAATAATCAAAACTCCTTTCCCAACACCAATACCAAACGCGCGGCCCACATCTTGCTTCCCGGTAAACGGTGTCGTTTCCAGTGCTGCGGTTCCGCTGAGCCTCCTTGCGGCACCGTTTAGACTCTCCGCGATGCCGCTCAACACCAAACGACACCGTTTTTTGTCATACGACATCGAATCAAATACCGAAACTAATTCATGCGGCATTTAATTTGGACCAAAATTATTATAGGTGTAAACAATGCCCCCCACAACTTAGTTTATAAGAATCAATTCTTATGAACTAAATTGTTGACACAATCACTCAACCGAAAATCATTCTTGAAACATTCTGGCCAAATCCTACAAACAATATTGTATTGTTCAACTAGCCTTGCAACGATAAATGGCCAAACCAACGTTGATTCATCATATCAAAATCTCTCTTTTTTTATTGGCCGGTTTGTCCTTTTGCCACACAAAATTGACGGGCCTTTTTTTTTTTTTTACCCATGTCATTTAAATCAACATTGATTAGCAATCCTTTGCTTGGCAGTGATGCGAAGCACGAAAACATCGCCTGACTTTGATTACTGCAGCTTTGTTTTTCTCCAACACCGCTGCTTAGATCCTCGGCCCATGCTGTGGCGGAAGCAATTTAAAGTAACTGCAACGTTGCTCAACCTTCACATTGCAACACTGCGGAGTATTTTTATTTATTTATTTTATAACGCTGCACTGCTTGCAGTTCTGTTTTGACCAAACTTTCTCCCTTTTCTGCAGCATTGTTATTGGCCCTTTTCCAAGGAGAAAACAAGATCGTTTTCGGCCAAACTTCTAGCCGCTTAATTTTTTTTTTTTTTTATATATCCGGGCTGTCAAATTTCCGCCAGCGCTGAGACCCTTTTTTTCATTATTATTATTATTTTTTTTATCAGGGCTGTTTGGCTGCCACCGCTGAGACCCTTTTTTTTCTTTTTTTTTTTCATGGCTGTTAGCCACAGCCGCAGCGCTGAGAGGCTTTTTTTTTCCCTCTTCAGGGCTGCTTGGCCGCAATTGAGAAACTTTTTTTTTTCAGGGCTGCTTGGAAACAGCCGCTGTAACATCCCGAACCTTTTCCCGACAAGATACTGTCCGCTTTTGGCCTCTACACCCGCACGGATTTCGACTTAGGGTGCAATTCAAGGTGACTTCCCATAAGGTCACCCATCCTTGTTGTACAACACACTGAGCACGTTTAACTTCGGAGTTCTCACAAGAACTCTTCCATTACACCCCAAAACACGTCTTGTCAGTTAAGGCCGGTTTCCTACTTATGAACCATGGATCTCTCCCGTGCTTTGTCGATGTGGGATTTGCCTAAGGTGTTACATACACCCCCCCCTTGGGACTCAACGCCCTCGTTGAGGTTTGCCCCACCATCGTTCAAGAGGGACGCGGAGAGACTCTGATACCACTTGTAACATCCCGAACCTTTTCCCGACAAGATACTGTCCGCTTTGGGCCTCTACACCCGCACGGATTTCGACTTAGGGTGCAATTCAAGGTGACTTCTCATAAGGTCACCCATCCTTGTTGTACTCCACACTGAGCACGTTTAAATTCGGAGTTCTCACAAGAACTCTTCCATTACACCCCAAAACGCGTCTTGTCAGTTAAGGCCGGTTTCCTACTTATGAACCATGGATCTCTCCCGTGCTTTGTCGATGTGGGATTTGCCTAAGGTGTTACAGCCGCAGCTCTGAGAAGCACTACTTTTTTTTTTAAACAATGTAGCAGACCTGGCGGCCTCTTTCTCTCAACCGCCAAATTTTTTTTTTTTCCAGGGCTGCTTGGCCGCACCTGAGAAAAAAAATTGTTTTTTTTTACAGCATTGTTCATCCTTCCACGATGTTGAAAAAAAAAAAGAAAACAACACTGCTTGACATTTTGAATTATTGCCAACGATATTGTGGCTTCTTCTTAGCAATGCCGCTTGATTCTATTGTATAATATTTTCTCTATAACACATTAGGTGGCCTAATTTAGCCACGTTATTTATTAACAGTTAAATAAGAAACAAACTAGACTTTGGCATAAACCATCATGCCAAAAGTCCACACCCACTGCCAACTCCATGGATCAAACCAAACAAGCCATCCGTAAAGTCCATGATTCATCACAGCTGGCTTCACACGCGTTGGTTTTGATGTTTTGGAATCAATGTTGGCTTGCAAATCCCCAGTTCGTCTAGCTCGAACATCTTTGTTTGAAACTCCACGATCCTGATTTGGCCTAATCTTAGCTTCGCGGACTAGAAAACCATAAGAATTCTTGTCTCTAGACAGGACATTCCCGTTTTTTGGCACCTTTGTCTTGCCAATTCGATCATGCGACATCGCTTGCCTAGACTGGTCTAGTTTTGTCAGCTTCGCACTCTCACCATGTGGTTGGTAGTATGAGCGCCGAGACTTTTCATCAACCGGTACGTTGGTACTTTGCTTAGCACAAACATGACTTTTGCACCTATCACACAACAACGTTGCCCCTTTTAAAATTCCACGTGAGTTTGGAATTCGTTTGGCATTGGCCTTGCCCCCCTGGCCACCACTCGTAGCAGACTTGTTCCTCATAAGCACTGGTGTTGCAACTCCCTGTCGTGCTTGACCGAACTTGCCCCCCTGTCCACTCGATAAAAACTTTGGGGATGATTTACGTGAACGATCCTGTTGAGTCATGCCAACTTTATTGGCATTAGATTTTTCCACATGGTTAACATCCCCACACCGAAGAGTATTTGAGGAAACCATTTTTAGATTTTTCCTCGAGCAGGGTGGGTGTGGCAAACTTCTTTGCCACCCACGATGTTGTTTCTCCTTCAATCTACCACGAGCTGGGATTGCATGCCCCCCTAGCGGCTCAGATTGAAGAATGTGGTAAAATTTGTCATCTTTCAAGACATCAAACTTGTTTTTCTTAATTTTCTGAAACTTATTATGAACACGTTTAAATTTTGTTCTTAGTTGTGGCTTTCGCAAGACCGCTCTAACTTTCCTGTCCTTCAAAACAATAGTGTTCACAGGAGAACCAACATGAGATTTGTTGGCCCCTAACGCCACTGTTTTAGCCACAAGTTTAAGTGAATCTTTATTGGCAATATCGGAAACATGTTCATCTATCATCTCAAAAAATTTGTCCATATGTCTTCCAAGAGAATCACACGGCTTATTTAAAGAGATAAAATAGAGATTTACCTGCTGGTAATACTCCTCCACGGCTCGACGAAGAGACAAGAGTGCAACATGCCCGACAGTGCTCGACATGGATTGAGGCCACTCCTTCCTCCGACCGATATGTCTATCTGCCTCGTCCGCCTGACCAACTTCAGTATTGGTCCTTTGCTCGTCCAGAAATTGTTGTGGAAGATCGCAATCTTGTTTTTCTCGCCGCAGAGCCATTTCAAACACACGGGTCCCACCAGGTGTGCCAAAATGTTTCCTCGGAAAAACCAAATGCCACCGCCGGTGTCGAATTCGTTTCCGGCTATGTTGATTTGATGTTTCGTGATGGAAACTCTTGCGGTGCCGTTTGATCGGAAGCACCGCTGATTGCTGAAATTGAGACGACCGTCAAATATCCGCCGCCGAATGTCGCGCCGTTGATTTGATCGATGCACCTCTAAATGGTGAAATCAACGTGACCGTCAAATATCCACCGCCGGCGGTGTTGATTTGATCGATGCACCTCTGACTTCTAACCAAGAACGACTGTTACTACGGTTCGCACCTCTCCAAACTACGTTCGAACGAGGGTGTTTGAGTTTTGAGGAATCTACGCTACTGCTACTCCTATGGAGATTCCTGTGGAGAGCTCCGCGACTACGACTAAGACTACAACTATGGAGATCCTTCCTGGAAGGAGAGCTCCGCGAAGGAGTTACAGAGAAAAGGTAAAGTTTGAACAGAGTTGATCTGTGTTGATTTTTTTTTTGTTCTCCCTTCTCTCTCCTTGCTCCACTGCTTTTATTCGAAAAACCGCTTCGTAGTCTTCACGCTAGGTGGAACCGCTTCCTCAACTGCTCCGTTGTGAACTCCCACGTGTCTCAACCGTCTTGATCTCCTCTTCGCTCGGGTTGGTGTGAATCTCGCGCAATGTCGTTTTCTTCCCCAAACAGCTCTGTTTGCTTTTTTACTCCACGACATTGTTTTATATTAAACACTGTCGTTTGCTAATACAGCGGTACCGTTGGGCTTACTCGCGGTACCATTTTTAATTAAACGACACCGCTAACATAGCCAAAAAATTCCATGAAACCGCCGCCAATCGGCGCTCGCATTGGACTAGGCGAATTTTGGTTTAATTAATCGGTACCGCTTATCAGGCTCTCGCGGCATCGTTTTTAAATCCGCGGTACCGTTTTAACTCTCCGCGATACCGCTTGTCTCCATGCGGTACCGATTTTCCCCTTCCGACAAGGAATAAAGATAATAATTAATAATAATAATCAAAACTCCTTTCCCAACACCAATACCAAACGCGCGGCCCACATCTTGCTTCCCGGTAAACGGTGTCGTTTCCAGTGCTACGGTTCCGCTGAGCCTCCTTGCGGCACCGTTTAGACTCTCCGCGATGCCGCTCAACACCAAACGACACTGTTTTTTGTCATACGACATCGAATCAAATACCGAAACTAATTCATGCGGCATTTAATTTGGACCAAAATTATTATAGGTGTAAACAGGTGGCAGTCAGCACTCAGAGATTCTGTAGCTGTATGTCTCCGTATTTAAATTCTATCACTTGATATGTGTTCATGTGCTACTATGTCCGTGCATCTTTGCTTTTATGCTACTATGATGACAATGTGTTCATGTGCTGCCCAGGAACTAGCCTTTGAGATGTATGTCTGAAAGCTTCTGCTGGAAATTTTGGTTCAAAATCAATCCTGAACACTGCACAGGCCATGAAGCTTCTTCTTAGGTGAAAGGCCTCATTGTCAGTTCGCCTCATGAGTCATGACACAAGGAGATACGCTTGCAGCGGTAATGTTGCATTGGTTGGTGTGCTTTGATCCTGGCTCCTCTCTTACTGCAACTTCATCGATGCCCATAAGAAGTGTTCCGCCGGAATGTAGTACTCATCAATCAAAGTCTCCGCTTAGGGCCCATCGTCCCTTAGTCCCCTCAGTCGCACATTCCGGTGATAAGGAGTTACCAGGTGCAAACTGCTGGTCCAGCCATGCTCTATTCGATCTTTGACATGTATGAAATGTGTAAGTTAAGGTACAAAGAACAAGAAAAAAGACGAGAAAGGATCATCTGTAACCGTGAGAAATGTACTATGCAATGGGTTTTAGAAGTCTGAAATAGCTTCTTGATTAAGAGTGTTTTGTTTACAATCGGTATACTGCAACTACTTCAGAAACCCATTACAGTGGTCCAGCGGTGTTCTATACTTCTATTCAACTACACCAGTGATCTAACAATAACCCATTACAATATCACCGACACCATGGCCAAAAACAGGTTACACTCCCAACGCCAAATGACAGCATCAACTACACCAGCGATCTAACACTAACCCATTACAATGGTACCGGCACCATGGCCAAAAAAGGCAATCCCCGTCCTATAACCATTCTCGCCCTGTAAACTTTCCAGTCTTTGGCTGTTTGAGCCTCTGCAAGCCTTCGAAAGAAGCTCGCTCTAGCTCACGAATGGCATACAACTCAAGCTTGAGTTCAATACACTTGCTATTCATTGTCAGCCGCGGAATGGAGGAGGCTGATTCTCGAAGGGGAGATCAATCGATTTCGCATTACCATAGAACTCCTCCAAGTTGTAGTAATCCCTCTGCTCGGGAAGAAATATGTGCACCACTACGTCACCTAAAAACACTCCGACAGCAACAATTCATAGGCATCAATATTTTTCAGACATCCATCGATGTCGACAACTATGAGAGTTGGGCAGAGAACTTACCGAAGTCCAAAAGGGTCCATGAGTTTGGTTTTGTGTCTCCAGATGGAACTTTCCCATACTGCTTCTCACCAAGATCTCTTATCCTTGACCTGCAATGCAAGTAATTTCATCCATCAAACAATCAAATCCGCTTCAAAGGAAGCAAGTCAAAGACCGATTTGGTCATCAAACTCGCTCATATATGCCTCACGTTGGGCAACCGATGCCATACATGAGACGATTATTAGTGCCGAGCAGATCCTAATAAGTTCAGTAACCAACCCCATCCCAACACCACAAAAAGGAATGAAATCACTAGGTTAGATGGGTAGAATCTTACGCAATTGCATCAATCTGGGGCCGGGAAAATGCTGTGGCGATTATGAAGAAGCGAGTCCAGTACACCAGAGGCTTCACAAACAGGACCTTTATGTCGCCAGCTTTCACATCACTCGCAACTTTGGCCACCGCCACCGCAACTGAAAACCCAAAAACCAGCCAAAAGTGGATATTAGGTCCTTAATTTCTCAGCAGCGAAATGCAGGAACGAAGATTTGAAGGGTGGCCCAATTCAACATACATGACAAGGTTTCAGCATCGTCATCAACCTCGGCGATTGAAGGCCTCTGCTCGTTCCTTCTGAACACCACTTTCCCGTATTTGTTGAACAAATCGTCGAACGCTTCGCCGACGTCTTCCGCATTCTGTAAAAAAGCACGAACATTAAATGAAGAAAAAACTCTTAACGATTCAGAATCTTCAAAACATAAAATTCTCAACCCGTACCTTCAAGAAGTTGTCGTCGGCGTCTTTCCGAAGGGCGAAACTCCGTTTCAAATTCGAGTTGTTGTTTGGTAGCGAGAAGCATTTCTTCTGCCTCACAAATTGATGACGAGCGAACCAAAAAGCTGAAGGACGACTTGTTACACGGCTGAATAGCTTCGACTTTGTACTACCCGGTTGTTGATTTAACTCACCGGAGAAAGGAATCCCAACACCGACGCCGGCAATAGCCAGAGCGGTGTACCCTGCCGTCATCATGGCCAGTTAACGATTACACGAAAAGGGAAGAGATATTTTCCCCCATTTCAGAATTTCAGATAAGAAAACGGTGGATCTGACCCGAACCCGAACTTCACCCACTGGATACCCACCTAAAATTCAAGATACCCGCCTAAAATTAGTGGGCTCAATTAATCAAACCCAACCCCTTACAGATTTGGAACTGTGGGCTTTTAAAGGCCCAAAGCCCACACTTTCGCGGCCCTCCAGTCGCTCGCGCTAAACCTAATCAATAAAACCTAAAACCAGCGGCAGTAGGCAGCAGCCATTGCTACAAAGCTTCGAAGCAAAAGAAATCAGAAGCAAACCCAGATAAGAAGAAGGGCGAGATGGTGAAGTTTTTGAAGCCGAACAAGGCAGTGGTGCTCCTCCAGGGCCGCTACGCCGGCCGGAAGGCGGTGATTGTCCGCTCGTTCGACGACGGCACTCGCGACCGCCCGTACGGCCACTGCCTGGTCGCCGGGATCAAGAAGTACCCTGCGAAAATTATTCGCAAGGACTCGGCGAAGAAAACAGCGAAGAAGTCCAGGGTCAAGGCCTTCATCAAGGTCGTGAATTACACCCACATCATGCCGACGAGGTATACTCTCGACGTCGATTTGAAGGACGTGGTGACTCCCGACTCGCTGGTGACCAAGGACAAGAAGGTCACGACGGCGAAGGAGATCAAGAAGAGGTTCGAGGAGAGGTTCAAGTCAGGCAAGAACAGGTGGTTCTTCTCCAAGCTCAGGTTCTGAAAAGGGAAGTCAAATCTGCTTTCGAATTGGCTTCCCGTGGAGGTTTTTAGCTGTTATTTTCCTTTGTCATTTTGTATGGTTAGGGTACTGCTTGAATTTGATTCTGTCTTTGTTGTTTAATCTTGGTTAGCATTACTCTTTCTGGGTTCCAACATTTGCAGACAATATGAAATTACTTGCTTGTTATGATGTTCTAGTCTTGACATGGTGATTGTGTAAACTTAGAGTACTGCTCAATTCGATTCTTGTTTTCATTCTAGATTCGAACTTTGCTGCCAATGCAAGATTAGTTGCCAGTTACTGGTACTTAAATAGGAAGAACAGTGTTGGATTGTGAGTAGAAGGAACAAAAATGGAAGCTGAAATCTTATAGAGCTCTGTGGTTACATAGCATTATAAGCTTAATGAAACCATGAAAAATTGCATATTGTATCATATGCTTTCATTGAACAATAGAACAACTGAGATTGAATGGTAGTCGTAGTTGCACTGCAGAGTGTTGTTTAGTCACAGCAGACCTCAAAGGCGAAGCAGCAGCATAGCGCGGCAGCGCTGCAATTTTCAGGCAGAAAGAACATATTTAGGTTAATTATAGATGGAATGAAGGAATGCTAAATAGAAATGCTGAAATGTATTGCATCTGCATACCATCCTTTCCAGAAGCCATCACCCTTGCTCTGGGTGCCTGCAGCCGCAGGCTGCTGGTGCTGCTCGTGCCCATGCTGCTCAACCACGACCGGGTAACCAGCCGGTGGCGGTGCAGCAGCGTGTGGATCATGAGCATAACAGGGCGCCGCCTGTGGTGGTGGTGGGGGCGGGTAAGGAGTTTGTTGCGGTGGTGGGTAAGCATGCCCCATCGGCGGGCATTCTGGAACCGGAGGAGGTGGGTATGCATGGTGACCCGGTGGTGGATACACTGGTTGGAAAACATAATGTATGTTCGTGTTAAGTGTGAACCATCATAAAGCAATGAGAATATCATCAGTATATCGATGGTTTGATTACTTACTTGCCGGTGGAGGAGCTTCGTTGTGGTGATCATGATGGTGATCATCGTGGTGGTGGTGATCGTCATGGTGGATCTCGTCATGATGACCCATGTTTTCTTCGGAAGTTGCTAGTAGTACTTAGCTTCTTCGCAAGCGGTGAATGAGAGGATTGCTTTGTAAAAATGTTTTTGTGGTAATGGGTATTTGTAGAAGGCTGGAGGGAAGAGCAATGCATAGGGGGTCGATGTTTACCAAGGAACCAGCCTGGATTATAACGTAGTTTTCAGGTAGTGTGCAGTAAAAAATGGGATCAAACTCGTGAGGTGTCGTCGCTAATTTCCGGCGGGATTCCGTTCTCCGTCTTCCTTGGTGCTTAACATTGTCTCGTAGCTCCGTTGTAGGCTGGCTAGCTGTTCCTTTCGCCATCGGTAGCCGACTGCTGCTGGCTTTTAGTACGAAGCGCTGAGATTTCTGTACCGGCACGGCCCATTGGGAAATCGGACTTTCTCTTGGGTTTATTGTAACCTCCTAGCTCATGGACTTCGATTTGTGAATTTTGGGCCTACGGTTCAGTTGCGCAATTGAGTCCGTCAACTTTGGGCCTGATGTCTATAGCCAAATTTTCCACGGGCCGGGGTTTCACCTTCTCACAGTTCTCTTCAGTGCTTATCAGATTTATGAATAGGTAGAGTTCGAAACAGAGCGGCTCATTGTGTGACTTGTCATGCTTTGATTTTGTTGCCTCAAATGTTAAAGAGGTTCGACTTCTGTTCTTCGCTTCATTCAAGGGATGTGTGATCCCTTTTGTCCCTATGTTTCTCAACGATTTCCTCTTTTTGAAAAGGTGATAGCAAATCTGACCAACAACACAACATAGCTACAAATTAACTGGAAACAAAATACAAATAAGATCACCGGAGAAGTATGGTTCTCCCCATAGCAACAAATTTGAGACATCTTTTAACATCATCTTAGTGAAGTTAAATTTATTTAATAATCTATGATTCTGTTTGATTTTTTTTTTTCAAATACATTATCATTTTAATAGCGACCTATAAACCGAATAAAGAAAATAGAGTAGGTTGAGATCCAAAGCTTAAAGCATCAGCTTGTGAACGTGCAAATTGGCGATGGTAGAAGATGGGAGTAGATGATGGCACAAGTTTAGGCGCAAAATTAGAAAGATATAAACAAAAGGGAAAGGGTGGTTAGTAGATCACATTATAATGATGATGTTGAAGGGAGGTAGAGAATTAGGGAGGGTGATGAATGAACAATGTGGGTTTGGTGTTTGATTAGCAAGGCAATTAATTGGTTATCCTTAAAAGCATTTGGTTACCTGTCACCCTAAACAATGTGAGTTCCATTTCCAACCTTGCGGAAAATAAAGAAAGAAAGAAGTTGGTTTATGGTTACCATGCTTTGCTTGTGGTAGGGAGCATGTTATAGATGACCATGACAATAGGCAGCGTGAACGTGATGGAGAATATGAGATAGGTTTGATTGTTGTGGTAGGAACTAACTAGGAAGAGGAATAATATACGAGGAGAGGAGTCTCGGATCCAGTTGAATCATACAAAAGTTATTGCTTCGTTAATCATCATATGTTTTTTATTTCGTATAAGAAATCGGATAGATAAACCTTTTTATTTGGAGTGTGGTGATGAACTTGTAAAGTTGATGGCTGATTAGATATTCTAGCAAGTGGTTGTATTGCCTGTATATATATGTTTCATCAATCCAAACTGAATAATAAGTTCAGATATTTCCTGGTTAATTATGTCTATATCTGAAGGGGGTGGTTGAATTACCAACATTGAAACACACATAGGCGGTCTATAGTCAACGAACTCGCCTTGATAAATAAAAAAATTTAGGAGACTGAAACAGAAGATCTTTTGAAAAAAATGAATAACTAATACATCAAAATATTAACAAACAAAAAATCATCTCTCGTGAGTCATACATTTATCAAGATGTCAGAGTTTGAATAGACAGTCTACCACATAACGTACGAACCTTTACAGTGAAACCGTTACAAAAACAAATTTATTAGAAAGACAGCGGATGTAGTAATAAATCAAAATATCACGTGAAAACTTTATCTTTCGTAAGTATCATATATGTCGAGATGTCATAGTTTAGATGGGCAGTCTAGATAAATACCTTCATGTATGTATCATTGATTTTTCCGATGGTAACTTGATATTTGGTCCCCTTTTCTTCAAGTTTTGGTTTGGTTTGGTTGGAGAGGAAATTAATGTTTATTTATTTTTCACTCTCTTCTTCTTCTTCCCCGAGTATATGATAGAAATTTTTGGGGAATTGCTAATATTAAATGTGATTCTGCAACCCATTAACCAACTAGAATAGTAGGGATGGAGGGAAGTACAACTATATAGAGCAAGATTGGCCCACAAACTTCCTAAAAGACATGATTCTGTCTGTAGTCTGTACCCTCCAAAACCAATAGCTATAGGGACCTTGACAGTCACGAGACCCCAATGGTTAATGTTAGGCCAAGTGTGTACCAAATTGACAAGAAATAAGAAGAAGAAAAAAGACTGTTGGATATTGGAAATGGTAGATTATCTACATAATGGAAACCCACCTGCCCAAACCCTAAAGATAAAATGTACCCTAAGCATAAGCAAGTATTTTCTTCAATCCCATCACCTAATTTGAGTTTGGTAATACTTGGATAGAATGGCAACCCGTTTTCGCAACAGGGTTATTGATTATAAAAAACACATCTCATTTTGATAATCTTTGCTATGTATACGTGATAAACTGAAAGAGTCCACTTCATTTAGTTTTGAGCTAAGCAGGCATGTTCTCTTCAATTTCACACCCGATTAACGTTGAGTAAAACTTGAATAGTAATCCTCTACTCATAATAGGGTTGTTGGTTTTGTAACTCTCGTCCCACTTCAGTCATCTCTTGTATGCATAATAAACGTGAGGTTATATCGAGTGGTAGGGTATTTTGTATTAAAATCGTGATTTAGCTGTAGTTACACTCTTTCATATAGTTTAAACCACCTATCATTTTGCTTTCGGTACCCAATGTTTTAAATCATCTTCGATCAACTTGTGCCGATGTTGTAGATGTTGGTAGATGGACTCTTTCGTTAAATTTTCGGAGTTGGAGTAGTGATGGGATCCAAGTGAGAGATGTTGAACCTAAGCAATCCTTGTCAACAACAAAATCAGCTAGACATGGCAGGTAACAATTGCCCCATTTTCTAGATTTCAGGTCCCCTATTTTTAATATAACATGATCAATAACTCTATCTCTCTCTTTCTGACAAGTTGTTTTCAATATTCCAACTAAAAGCAAAGGCATCTTTTTTCTGCTCTCTTCAATTCGTTTCCTGTTGTTGATTATTGTTTTAGTTTTCTTGGTATTGAATGTGCAATGGGGGCAGTAGGCAGAGATGATCTGATGGGAACACAACTGTGGTGTTAAGGGACATGAATATGGGAAGTTATATGCGCACATGGAAGCGTTACATGCAGCGGCAGAGGGAAAATGAGAGATGCCCATCGATATGGATGGAGCCAAAAGAACAACACAGATTTGCATTATATAATCCCAACCCAAATAATAATTCATCAAGCGATCCATTAGGAAGATATCGATATGGTGATGTGCAAGACAATAATCATGAGCGTTTGTTCTCGCATCGCAATTATCCGCACAATGTTCGTTGGATTTTACTAAACAATAAATTTGGTTGATCGGTTCTTATTCGAATGAAGGTGTGTGAAATGTTATGGTGATGAATTCATTGTTAGACTTGTCCGACAACAACTTCTGACATTTATTGTCCGACTTCTGTTATCAAAAGGCTACAATATCATGTGAAACATCGGTTCATCTTTTTGGGTGTGATAATAGGTCCCATCAGAAAGCTCGCATATGCATAAATTCCGAAGATTCTTGGTATGGGCAATCCAAAATACCATATCGGGAATACATGGAAAAAGAACTCTTGTATATAAGTGTACACAAGCTACATTAGTAAGAGGTCTTTTGGAAAGAAACTCAAAAGTAAATTCGTTTGAGTTTAACCAAAACAGAAATTTTTTTACTAAATGAACATTCGATCTCGACAAGCTACTAAAAAATCCGATCTATTCCAACAATTCAAGTTTTTTGCCTTAATCTGAGATAGTAAAAAAAATTATCGTGACTCAACTGATTTCATAACAATTTGGGAGAACTTCCCAATGGCCTTAACTTTTGCTAGCTTGACCTAGATGGTGGCATAGCTAGCTTTCCGAAGTAACATTGTGGGCATGCATGTTAGCTAGCTGGTGGTGGGTGGCCTTGGTGTTTGTCCTTTGCCCATATTCATTCACTCGCCATCATCATTCATATCAATTTCCTCTCTCTCTCTCTCTCCAGCTCTCTGCATGCCCACTACAGCCTAGCCATATAGCTCTATATACCTTCCTTCCATGTCCATCCATCATTTCATTTGCCTCTTGTACGTTTTCCCCATATCTCCATCGATGGACAACCCTCACTCCAACCCTAACTTTGTTTCTTTAATTTCCCCTTGTCGATTTACATGTCCCTTTCCTTCGTTTTTTGCCAATGGTACTGGTGGTGATGTCTCGCTTTCTGCAATTATTAGTGACCAAAGTTGGTCTCCTAGATCTTTCCCTTTGCTTTGCTTTAATGCCATCCTTTTTCCATTTGCAGGCTGGAAGTGTGATCGATTAAGTTTGTTCCTAATTAAGTAACAGAAAAGAAATTATTTGTATTGGCAAATTGATCATACACTAACCATAGATATACATATATAGGGCATCTACTGCCTGCCTTTGTATCAATGGTGGCCCCTCCATTCATGATATCAACAACTGCAACAGCAAAAGCTTCTTCCAAACCCTTGCAACGGTGACCAAGTTACATCTACTTTTTCATCAGAAGAGAAAGAAACTTAATAGGGTGAATACTGACACCCATTTCATGTCGATCCATGTGTGGCGTAAGATCGTTATATAAACCGCTATTTAACACCGTATGTAACTTTTGTGATCATTGCATTAGGAAATAGTTGAGATAGTATGTATTGTATGCATGTTACTTACTACATGCCCTTTTTGTTTCTGGATTAGGGCAGAAGAGAGTAGAGACTAATGACTGAAGAAGACATATGAAATTATGTATAAGCAAAAAGTAAGCCCTAATTAAGTTTTCTTTTGTTTAAGAATTGGTAAGGGAGTACAAGGTATGTTTCCAACGCAAGAAATAATGATGGTTCAACTGCCCCCAATTACCCAACAAGCATTAATTGGAAGGAAGAATAGCACCATAATAAATTAATAACATTTGAGTAGCAGTTTTCAGAAAAAATAAATAAAATTATTGTTATTATTTGGAGCAGCAGGCAAGTCAGGTCAGGCCAAGTTGTTCCCAACCCAAATTAACCCAAAAAAGAAGGGTGTGGAGAAAGGAAGAGAAAAGAAAAGGGTTTCGGTTTCCTTCCAGTCCCAACCCGCAGGCACACGGTACAGAGAACAATAATTTCTCAGTACTACTACCAAGAAATTTCGTGTTGCTTTGTGCTTGAGATTAATGGAAGATTCAGAAAACCCAGAAATTAAAGCAAAAAAGAACCCTAGCTCGATCAATTACTGCAAATAGTGCTACATACATACATGTATAGTCCTACATAGCCCCTTTCACTCTCACTCTCTCGATTGGAGGGCAACTGGTCCAACCCTACGTATAAATAGTAGAAACGATCATCAACTCTAAACTTCTAATGATCTATATTTTGATGATTACTATCAATCGTGTGTGACACAATTTTTTGCCAAATAAAAAATTTACATCAATGTATTTCATAGTTTGATCAATTATATTATTGTTGTTTAACTCAACTAATTCGTATGAATAATTTCATTCATGCACAGAAATAGAAGCTAGATGAGGTACTGACTGATTGACACATTTTAACCAACAAAATTGGTAAACCTAACTTTTAATATTGCAAGAGGGTATAAGATCAAACAGAAGAGAGATTGTTAGACAATTTATAAAACCAGATTCCGTGCTTGTTTTGAATAAAAAAAGATATTAATATTAGAGAAAAGAAGAGAAGAGTGAGTGAGACATAAAGATTTGGAGATTCTCCACAAAATGTGAAGACTTATAAAAGAAAGGGATCACATGAACAGAACACCAACTAACTTTAAGTTGAATGGAACCCAATGAAGGATTTTATAAAGAAATGTAAAGTGTAAGGGCACTCCACACTAAGTCAAGGTATACCCTTTGGATTTTTTTTAGTTAATTAAATAATTTAATTAAATTTTGAAAAAACACTTGCCCCTAAAAAGAGGGGAAGCACAAACACAAATGATACCCTATAGCCATATCATAATATCCCAAACCTTTTGTAAAATATATGTATAAAGAGAGGGTTGGAGTTGGAGTGGAATGGAATGGAAAAAAGATCTAAACCAATATCTTGTTTGTATATATAATAAGGGTACCTGTTTTTCATGTTATGCCCTCTTTTTTAATTGAGCCCTCCAATTGGGTGTACTATATACGTCCCAATTTATCATGACAACGTGCACCAAGCAATCGTTTGCCGTCCAATTCATCACCATCCTTTCTCTTTTTCTTCTCTTCTCTCTTTCCAACAAGAAAGAAAGTGGTAGTGGTGGTGATGAAGGATGTATATGGGTTAATAACATAGTCGGTCACTATACTTTGAGCTCATTAACACGATAGCTACTGAACTTGTGATCGTTCACCAAATGTCATAAAGTTTGAAAGATATAACGTGGCAGTCAATACATTCATTCTCATCAAATTTTGACTAACCAAAATCAAAATAAAAGGGGTTATTTATGAATATCGATCGTGTAATTAGCTATTATAGGTAAGGGAGGGGGAGGAATCACGGTTATTTAGGGTATAATGGGTTGGAATTCGATTGACTAATGAGTTTAGTTTCGATCAAGCTAAGTTTGAATTCTTAAATTGGTCATGAACATAAGTTGATTAAGTTTCATGTCTATTTCTATAATTGATTTGATTGAATTGATTAGCTAACTTAGACAATTTAGATAAAAAAGATTTAACAATACAATGCTAATTAAGTTGAACCTCAATTATTTAGTCATTCTAAGTTGGGTTATAAGGACATCGTGTGTGACCAATTGACATGCATTATTGTCCATGTTTTGCTTAGTAGATCCTCAATATCTATATATGTCCATAACTTGAACACCTAGCACCAATCTATGTAGTAGTGTGTGGCCAATTGCACCTCTCCCTTTTCTTTTCCCTTCCTTGACTTTTTTCTCACACATTGTTCACTTTGCTTTCCTTGGTGGTTCTTTATAATTCCCCTTTTCTCCCAATCGAATCCGTAGGTGGTTAAACCAAAGCTTTGTGCGTGCTTGTGGGTCGGATATGGTTGGCTTGATGCATTCAATCATGGAGATATGTGAGAATAAAATGCAAAGATAGATAGACAAGGAAGAAAGGTGAAAGGGAGAGAATGAGAATCCATCCTATTTTCCCCTATCTTCAAAAATAACAATAATGATGTTATATGGTTCATTGAAAGATGATAATGCATTGACGTTACTACTATTGCAGTATTGCCAAATGTAATTTTGTGAGATTTGAGTATAACACATTTGTATGAAGTCAAATTTATGAAAGAGACTATCTTATACCACCCGGGCCGCTCTTCTATAGAAGAGTTTCATGTTTTAAACATTTTAAATACGTTATGTTCTATTGGTTCAAATATGATTTTCACAAATTAAAACTTTCCATTTCATTTTTAATAACATATATTTTTGCCGCCCCGAGATTGGTTAATAAGTACAACATAATAAATCTAGAAATTGAAAGAGTACCATACTTATCATCAATCAATTTCCAATATTATAAAAGAAACCCCTTACTATACACACATCCTTGGTATATATCTATTTGGTCACAACTATGTAGCAATTTGAAACATATTATCAATGATTCCATGTCACAATATTATTTATTAAATCGAATTATGTATTTGGTTACGAAAGTGACATGTGGGCTTTCTGCAGCCTGTACGTCGGCAAGACCCTCATCTCCCATGCCGAATATTGGCTTTATAATCACCGAACTAAATTAGTAATCCAATTAATTAATTCTGCTAATTAGTTTTTGGCCTCAAAACAAATGTTTATCTCCCCCATGTGGGTGTGATCTGCAGGACTCACTTAGCTTCATAATGAAATAATGACATTGATTACGGCAGTTTAGTTTATATTAATTAACTTGACGCTCATGTTAACGAAAAATGCCCAATTCCATCGTCGAGGATTTTTCAAATTGAAACACAATTATTGTTAATTTTATGAATTAATTACTCCAGCTGGGACGACTAGTAGTGGCTGGCTTTGTTAACAATGTCGTCCAAAATGGATCGATTTGTTTCACTGTTCAATTTTGTCGAAGCCGATCCAAACGGCAAAGAATAATAATAACAATAATAATTCAGATTTATTTAAATAATGTAAATCATAATGCTGTATCGATGATGATTCCAGGAGAGGAATGATCAATGAAAACCCGTAACCTAAATAATTAAAATATGAGATTAAATTACTTGGAATTGTCCATGCCATGTCGGTTTTATTTGGAAGTCTTGCATAATTGCCGAATTCGAGAGGAAATTGTATATTTTTACGTCTAATTTACAGACATAAATGAAGAGGTCATTGTTTTTAGGATCTCTTTATATGTCATTTACCATAGCACTACAAATTGGAACTATCGAGGGTGTCAATGAGGAAGAAATAATGGTGACAATTAGAGATTTGACTATGAATTTTGAACGGTTTTTGTATTTTTGTTTGGAGATGATGTTGGTTCTAGGTCACCATGACTCAGATAATTTTGAATATGTTTGCTGTATTTTGGATCATTAGGCTGATACAAAGCTGGTAGACTTCTTACAACTTATTTTATTGCTAAACACTTGAACTTTATAATGAAGAGGTTGTGGAGAGGTGATTAGTTTGCGACTTCCGTCGATCGTATGAACGAAATATGTATTGTTTAATTGATTTGTTTTCGTTATAGAAAGTTGAGACGTTTGATTAACTCATCAAGAAGAAAAAAAAAGGATAAAATTATCGACCGAAAAGAAGAGGACAAAACAATAACAGCCTCATCAAGCACATAGATGAATGTGGCTATTGGGCAGCTTCGTTGAAATCTCAAAACAGAAATAAAATTTCATTCATACATATAATAGAGAGAGGCTTTGGATTAATCCAGTGGTTACCTAATAATCCAATTTGAGTACATTAATCAAGAGATTAATCAATGGCATTGTTTTTATGTGTGAATAAAATAAAACGTGTTGTTTTTTAGCCTGTTTCAAATGGCTGCAGGCCCCATGATGGAAACAGCCTCTTGTGTTGAAGATTGTTGTTTTTAGCCTTGACAAACAAGGCAAACCAAAAACCCTCTACAGTCCAAAACGCTATGGAATAATATGTTACTATAGGCGATTCCAATGGCGGGTTTCTATTTCTTTCTTCTTCCAACTTGATTGAACATGGCGGGGAGAGCAAGGAAATTTCCTGTCAAACAATACAATGGGGGACAAAAAAAAAATGAAGCAATTAATCAAAACCTATTGATCTCCTAATCACAAACTGTGCCGTAGTTGCAAGACAATTATGTAGGTTTTATTCCTGGACTTTTTCGTGTACCAATCCGAACTATTGACAAAAAAAAGCCTTCTCTTGCATTGTGGTGGTTTTGTAACTCCTAATATAGAATGGAGGAAATGAGAGAGAACAAACAAACAAATTATTTGTGTTATGTCTACGGAGTTGGTTGTCGTCCGCATCAAACTACCTTGTGTACAACATTATTTATTATAATCATAACATATAGTAGAGCTTGACCGATCCTTGGCCCTAGACACATGTGTTAGGGTCGAGTTACGCGACTTAAGTACGAAATAGAAAGGGGTTATTTCCGGTAATTCAACAAGTCGACGTTCACTTTGTCCATTAATCATGAATTGAAGCGTTCTGTCTCAATCCGTTTTTAGATATAAAATTCATACATAGATATTAATTTGTTGTTTATTTTTATCTAGAGCCTGGTATTATCGCGCACCCAGAATTAATGGTTGTTTGTTGCTACTTGCTGCACAGATGAATACCTTGATTAAATGAATATTCCTTATGTTGCGTTCAACGATCTCTCCCCGTCTTCTTCTCCCCAACCAAATATATTGCCGTACGTACAGATAATTCACAGACGTGCTTGAAGGAAGGCAGGCAGCCAAGAGATTTGAAAGGCAAGTTGGTAGAGATTTTGGTCAAACTATTCTGTTATAGAAAAGGGGCGGGGGTGTCAATTCCAGTTCCAGTTGAATTCAAAAACATTCAGCCCGAAGAAAAGAATGGCAAGAAAATAGATAGAGCCTTACATGACCAGCAAAGCCCGGCGGCCACGATATATTAACAATTTGTGCTGACTACATATATTCAGATTCATTCATAACCGTATGAACATTTCTTGAAATACGTGGAATGGTTACTATATATATTTTTAAGGAAAACCGCCAATTATATGTTATGCACACGGTTTAATTTGGATTACTCTTTGTTCTAATTAGTAGTTGGGATCTGCAAATTATTGCCCATAAATACCATATGTAAATAACGAGGATATATCGATCATAAGATACTCTAATAATTTACTTGGTTCAACATGACAATGCCTACATCTATACACGAGGTGTGGAGCAGTAGTCTTATTGCACTATTTGTGCAAGTCACAACGAAACATGAATTGTAGTGGTGCAGAAGGTTAGAGACCGGATTGTGAAGATCATTCTAGACGATGGGTTAATCGCTATTGTTAAGGTAAAAAAAAACTATTTATGAAGAAAGGCTAGATGTTTTGTATTGTTCAGGTCAAAATGAAACACTAAGAAAATGGTGTAATATAATATAATTTGTCATAAACCAACTGGTTCCGATAATTTGAATTATTGGAAGAGGTTCCTGTATGGAATCTTAACCACTTCTCTATATTGGTATTGGCCAGAGATATGCTATGGGACGAAGTAGACTCTTTGACGGGAGACTCGCCATGACCCAATATAATTAAGCTACTTCTGATCACGTAACTATTCTTGCGACTGCATTGTTTATAAAACACAACAAAATATAAATTGTCAAGAAGACCAACCGACCGAATCATCAGGATCATTCGAGAAGACGGGTTTAATCGCACTATTGTTAAGGTCAAACCCTAGGAAGAGGAAGAGATGTTATGCTATTGTTAAGGTCAAAACCCAAACCCTAAGAAGAAGGCACAACATAATTAAGCTTAGCTTCTTGCAATGTAAAACCTAGCAAAGCTGGCTAATAACAGTTAACATTATATACTTGGAGATTCCTTGTGCGATATTTCGCCGAAACTCACTCCACATTACAACAACACGAAGGCAACCAACCGTACGTGGCATATGTTTGAGAAACAAGAAGCCAAATAACGCTCTCTTCTATTCTAGGCCTTTTCTTCATTAGCATAATTCGAAAAGTACGGTGAATTTTACAATAAAGGAACAATGTGAATGGATCTACCCTACCTAGCTAAGTTCGTTCTAGATGGCAAAAACAATCAAAGAGATCTTTGAATATAATTGGAGTTGTGCGATTAATGATGTGATTATATTTATCCCCGTTCTTATTAGCTGGCTTAATAGGATATCCGGCAGCAAGATAAAAGGCTGGTGAAGAATATGGGGTAACAAGAAGGAGAGGAAAAAGAAACAAGTAATGTGGTTTACCATAGATTCATTCTTGACATGGTTTTCCATCTTTGTGATGAAACATACCATTTTATGGGTGGTACGCTTGTGTACATCATCCGTATTTTACTACTAATTTCATATATCGATGTCTATCGCAAAAGAAAAGAATCATTAAAGTGTAAGTTTTATATAGAAAAACAAGCCAATCAAGATTCATTAACCTAACTAACATCGTACGGTACTCTATTCAGTCGTACATACCATTATCATGATTAGATATATACTGACTCATACCATTTATGAAAAATCAATTAATCTGCACACCAGTTAGGTATCATGTATAACATAGTTCCCTCTTTATGTAGATGTGAAAGATACACGTATGGTTATTGAAATGATTTTTTTTATGAATTCAACGAAAAAAGGAGAAGTAAATGGGTTTTACGTGATAAAGTTGTAATGCATCGTGTATTGATTACAATAAATATCACAAAACTACCGAAGTAGTGTTTTCAAAATTACAGTTCGTTATGTAACTAAAAACGGATTCGTAAGCTGTTCATCTCACCATTTTCATTTTTTATTTAGATTCATTTACAATCAACTCAAGTTCTCAACAATACAGAATACACTTAGAAACTATCAACCAAATAAGTACCAAGAAGGATAAAAATGAGTAAGTTCAAAATAGGAAGAGAGGGTGGGGAAAAAATAGGAAAGATCGACCCGACCGGAATTACTATAAAGAACGGCCGCCCAGATTACGAAACTACCCACGGGGATTCTGCCGAATTACGGGCAGCTCTGCGTTTGGTTGTGGAATAGGAGTCAAGCAGGCAGGATTAGGAGGAGGTAGCAATAGCAAATCCTCTAATTAATTAATTGCCTAATTAAATTAATCACACCCCATATTAGTGTGATGAACGGACGAACGAACCTTTCTTTCTTCCTTTAATTAATCAAAACCCCGATTTATTACGTTAATAATAATTTAATATCACTTCTTCCTATTCTATTCAGTATTTAATTTTAATTGAATTATCTCGTTTTCTTTTCCCTTCAGGTAACCGAATCCCAGAATAGACAAAGAGATCCTTAACCAAGAAAAAACAAATCCCTTCTCTCTCTCTCTTCTTTATCTTTGCTTTTCTTTCTCGTCGACAGCTACAAATATATTTCTCCGTTCGCCATTCCCCTTCTCAATTCTCTCACTACTCTGTTTCTCTCTCTACCACCAAACCATTCATAAACCTCTCCTCTCTCCCACCATTACCATTCATCAGTTCCCTTCACCGATTTTGTATGCCGCAACTGCTCAACTCTCATTGATTCTCTCCCTCTCTCTAAATCTCTCCTCCCGCGCTCTTCGCTCCGACGCTCCCTTCTTCTTCTACTCTCTGTAATGGCGGTCGAGGCCAGGCATCTCAATCTCTTCCCTTCCCAGCTCCTCGGCACCAGCCGGTAACTACCTGCCTCCTACTCCTTTCCGCCGGCGACGGCGACCGTGCTCCCGTTTTCGGGGGTCTTGATTTTTTTTTCCCTTTTCTTCTTTCTGGTGTGGATTTTGCGTCCTGAATTTTTCTGTTTGTGTTGGCCTTCCGGCAGGGAGATAATGAATTCGATCGAGGCGAATAACAATATGTACGCCAGCCAGGTCGGGTTCGGCATGCCGTTGTCCGGCACCACGACGGCGACGGAGGCTCTGCTTCCGATGTACAACTCGGCGATGGCCGACTCGAATAATTTCCTTCTTCCTTACCATCAGCAACAGAAGATGGCGACGGCGATCAAGTCGGAGATCAGTGGGCTCTCGACGTACAACAACAACAACATCAGTCAGATTCCGGCGTCGAGGAAGCGGCCGAGGGATTGTATGAACGGTAACGGAAATCCTCTGTTCTCGTCGTATCAAACGCCTCATCAGTCGAATAACAATAACAAAGCAACCGGCGTTGCTCCGTTCTCGTTTCTCGGCCACGATTTCTCCCTCCAGATCCAGCAGCAGCAACTCGACGTCGACCGCCTGATTTCTCACCATGTAAGTTCTCGCTTGCCGGAGTAACAGAGTCTGCAGGTTCGATTTGATTTTCTCTCTCTCTCTCTCTCTCTCGATTGAATTGGTGACTGATTGTGTGGATTTTTTTGTTGAACAGATGGAGAAAGTGAGGGCGGAATTGGAAGACAAGAGGAAGAGGCAAGCGAGGAGGATAATCCAAATGATCGAGGAAGGAATGCTGAAGCGGCTCAAGGCCAAAGAGGACGAGATCGACAAGATCGGGAAACTGAATTGGGCGCTGGAAGAGAAAGTGAAGTCGCTCTGCATCGAGAACCAAATCTGGCGAGATTTGGCGCAGAGCAACGAGGCCACGGCCAACGCCCTCCGCTCGAATCTCGAACAAGTCCTCGCCGTGAGAGACGACCAGCACCACCACCAGTCGCTGGACGACGCGGCGGCGCTGATGGACGATGCCCAGTCCTGCTGCGGAAGCAACGACGATTTCGAAAACCGATTGGCCGGCCGGAGGGAGAACGAGGACGAGGCGCCGGAGAGCAGTAATAGAAGCAGCAGGATGTGCCGGAATTGCGGGAAGGAAGAGTCGTGCGTGTTGCTCCTGCCGTGCCGGCATTTGTGCTTGTGCAGTGCCTGTGAGTCCGGCCTCCATTCTTGCCCCATCTGTAAATCCGCCAAGAACGCCAGCTTCCATGTTAACATGTCGTGAGAGAGATCTCTCCGACGCCGGCGAAGCTCCGGCGGACTAAAAGACCAAAAAAAAACAGTTCAAAAGAGATAAGAAATTCAGGCGAATTCTGAAGACAAAAAAAATTGTTTATTCCATCTATTGTTTCTCCTTGATCTCATCTATTTCTCGCCTGCTTAGATATTAATCTAACCTCTCTTTTTTTTAATTTACTGGAAATATATCAGTTGAATTTTTGATAATACGATTTATCCTCCCTTTGTGTCAGTTAGACTTTGAGAAATGAACTTTAGGATCTGATTTGTTAGTGAGTGAAAGTAGAGTGACCATTTTGGATAATTACCGTCGTATTTTAGCGGGGAACGTACGTAGGAGGGAAAAAGAAAACAAAGGACGTGGGCCCCGAAAAGGAAGAGGGCACAGGTACGGGCGTGAAGTAGGGTGGGGCCCAGGCATCTAACCGACAGATGGACCGAACAGAAGAGGAATAGCGCGGGAGGGGCGAAGCGTGGGGATTACGCGCGAGTGGAGTCAACGAGAAGACGGTGTTTGTGGGGGAAAGGGACAGGTGTGAGGCAAAAGCTGACACGTAGGACGCGCGCAAATGTCGCTGTTGTTCTGCAGTTGTTTGTCTCAGTAAGTGGCGCCAAAAAAGAAAATATAACCGATAGGAGAGACTGACGACCACCACTATTTCCCTTTCTCTCTCCCGTGCGCACATTACTGTTCCCCTTTTAACATGAAAAACCGTAACCCAAATCGTTTTAAATTTTAATGAAGTTTTTCCGTTACATATAGTCCTATTTCGTATTAGTTTTCACGCTACTAGTAAGTCATCTGACGAATTCTTCATTATCTTTGACTGAATTGAACTATACACGATTTACTCGACTCTACGAATATGATGAAGGAGCGATGCACCCGAAGATTTCGAGATTAACCCGTTTGTCGAGGATGATTAATTGAGGTGAATGGGTGGTTGGAAGGAAGGAGCCCCGCCAAAACAGGCAAAGAAAAGGTGCCAAAGGCCAAAAAAAAAGAGAGAGAGAGTGAAAAAAAGGCACAGCTCTGTTGCCTGCCTGACAGAGTCTCTGGTGCCGTTGCGTTTGCTTAGGCTGTTTGCTGTGTCCAGCAGCGTATCTTGGGGCATCATCCTTTGGCTTTATTATTCCAACCAAAGGCTAGCGAGCACGACGTCGTTGTCGTCATCTCCTTTTCCTCTCATTGTTGTTTCGTTGGTTCTATTCCCTTGTGAAGCAACTCTCTTTCCGTTTCGAATATGGTAATGGGGTATTTGGTTTTTTTTCCTATGGAGGATGGTGATGCGATGACGACATTGTAGATATCTTCAACGGGAGTGGGAGGATGGATGGATGGTGGTGGGTCGGGAGGGTATGTGTTAAGGAAAGTCGAGTGATTGTATACGTCGTTATGGTTGGTTTCGGTCACGGTGAATCGGTATAAAGATTATCGTTAGAAGCACTACAAGAAAAATATCAGCAGTCGAACAGAGTTGGGTCAAAAGTTAATTATGTAAATCTGGTGCAACTGAAAGAAGGAAAAGAAGAAAAAAAAATATTCAAACGCGAACATCCAGTTGCTATCGATTTGCATCGTTGTACAACTTATCGTTAGATTAAAAAATTTATAGATTGTTTCGAATCTTAACCCGATGCGTTAACGTATTGAATCAATAATATTTCAACTACGTTTTTTGATAAGCTAGCATTGAACCATGGTATTCCATTAGTGATTGAACATTGTATTATAATCAATGAATCAATATATTGGGCTAATAATGATCTTGGAATCATTCAATTGGGAGCTAGTTCTTGAAAAATTACAATAAAATGATGGTTTTATGACTAGTGTGAAGGAGCTAGGTTAGGGTTAATGTTAGCCATCCTTTCCTCCTCTTACGTCGCTGTCTATATAGTGAGTGTGACTGACTACTATATAAGAAACAAAAGCCACCATAATTGATTTCTTCCTTCCAGTTCAACACAATCATCATTTAATTAATTTTTTTTTTTAAAAAGGAAAGGGATTTATAATTTATTTTTTTATATATGATTTAAATTTCCTGACCAGAATTGGCAAAAAAAAAAAAAGGTGCAATTATGGGTTTGGTGTTTGCTGACAAAGGTAGGAGGGGCCTGTCCAATTTAATTAAACACACAGATGTAACTCATGGGTGGTGGGTTGGTGTCTGCTGCTGCCATCAGACTCTGTTTCATGCGCGATTCATTATTGCCCTTTTGACGGTCTTTTTTTTTTCTTTTTTCATGGCCACGGTAAGACTGTAGATTCATTGACTAAAGAGTGATTAACTTACATTGATTGAAGGATGTAATTAATTACCTTTGATGATGTTTTCTCTTTGAGGTTATTGTTCCTAATTACGTTTTTGTTTTTATTGCTTTGCCCTCCACTCTCCCTTAATCAAGTAGTCAAAAAGGCCTTGCCTTTGTTACTTTTGAGTTTACGATGAATTGATCTCGATTTTGTTAGGGTTACGGTTCTTTTGCTAGAGGATGTTCTGTCTGATAGAGTAGCAAATGTGATGGCAACTCCATGCGTGTTGGCTTAGTTGTACAATTAATTTATTACATCATAGTAAAAACAAATAATTAGGAGACTCTTAGATGAACATCATAGTCTGTAAATATTACAGGTTGTATGGAATCTTATCGTTAATCATATGCAAATCTAGTTACAGGTTGTATGGACTCTTATCGTTAATCATATGCAAATCTAGTTGTAATGTTCTTGTTGACAAGAAAACTAGTTGAATGGTTCACTTTTCTATAAACATGACTACTTAATATTAGAATCACATGCTCATACCTAACTTATTTTACTTATTAGATTATGTTCCGCGAATCAAATCCATACAAAAAAATTCACACTATTACCGTTTGTTGTATCCCGAAATTAATACTAACTTACTAAGCATTGTTTTAGTGCGTTTGTTACTTAAAACGAAGAAGAAATATATGTTGGCCCTGGAAAACCTGAAGAATAGTGTAACCGAAGATATGCTCTTCCCATTCAAAGAAGAAGAAATTAAAAGATGTTCTTCCCGTTGTACACGCGAGGAGCACGTGTCAGGCCCGTTATAAAGTCAATTGCGGGGCTGATCCACCATCCATACAGATACAGCCCTAATTGTAAGGTCAGAAAACTTGAAACTCACAAACTCTCTTGGCGCATATATATATATATATGAAGGCCATTTGGATTTGGATAGGACGAAACACAGAGGGAAATCGGGGTAGGAGTGAGTAGTGACCTTCCCATAAGTCAGTGGGTCCCCTTAAACCATCGCCCCTAAATAGTTGATCACAATAACTCGAGTTGTTGAAAAAGGTTATGCTGGATTTTTATACCATTCTCAAACACACCTCTTCAAACGAAAAATTGTGCTTTAATCAACTGTTAATATTGCGGGCTGTGGAGATTCGAACACACGACTACTTGGTCAAAACAGCTCTAATACCATGTTAAAAACCAATTAATTCTTATAACTCGAATTATTGAGAGAATGTTATGTTAAATCTTTGTATCATTCTCCAACACGTTAATACTTATCTTATCTGATTGTATTGTAACGATAAACTCAGTTTTTTCTGTAACAACGTGTCAAGAAGAAGGACTAGTCATAGTTTCCCATAAATCATGGTGTAATGTAATGGGTCAGTCAGCACGTTCACATGATGAGCACAAAGAGTTAAATTCTGATTTGTTCCATCAGAAAAACAAGGAAGGAAGAAAGAAAGAGAGAAAGGCAAGTCGTGTTATTCGAGGCTCTGTGTGAGATGAGATGCAAACTAACTTGTCATCTTCTTCCTTTGAATGAATGGGGGGGAGATTTCATTAACTATATAATAATAGCATATTACAAATACTTAGTCCTTTGGTTTGTTTTTATTTGCGTGAATGCATGCACTGAATTTTCCCCCTCATTTGATTCATGAATTTGGGAACTTGTGATTCCTTTTTCCTCTCCCTTTTGGCCTTTCTAGTTAACTTTCAACCCAAGTGTCACGTTATCCATCGTTTACCCTCCTTACAAAATTTTTTTTTTCTAGACCATCCAACATGGCTGCTCGACGGGATTAATTACCCGCTTGGTCTTATACTTTCTCAATCGGACAATGGCTACGATCAGATTGTCACGATATGTGTAGGATGCAAATGTATGCATCAGAATGACTGCTCTTCTCTCATGTTGCCCATGTATCCATATAGTCATTCGATCATGATTCATGAATCAAATGACTAACAAATTATGGACGATCACTTGTAGACGAGCGTTTACTTGTAACTCGATACAAATAGGATGAAATGTAAGTCAATCACTCGGTTTCTTCTCATCTCCTATATGTATCTAATATGACGATTAGAGACATAAATGCGTATTTACACTTATATATGTCCTCATCAACCAAGAAGTGGGGTTGCTTTCCTTTCTTATGGGTGGATGTGTTCTCCATACTTTGATGAATCTTCAACCAAATGAGAGCAAAAAGATAAAGACAACTCGTTTCACAAAAAGGAAAGAGAGAAGGCCAAGGTGAAGGTGGGGGAAAGATAGGACAAAAGGGCTTAGCTATTAGTAATCGTTACTCTCAAGGCATATAATTAATATTTATTCAGTACCACCTTTTCACATGCAAACAAACAAAAGAGTAATTAGACGAATGGCGTGAAGGATTTTGTGTAATTAATTAAAATTGCTTTCGATTGGGGGGAAAAAAGATATCCCATTAGTTGGATTCTCTTTCTCTCTTAGTGGTTACAACAGTAATTAAGGCAGCATTTAGATAAACACAAATTCAGCTAACAGACAGACAAAATTGGACATCACTAGCTATAAAGCTAGTAGTTGAACATGATAATTAACACCCCACCCCACCAAACCCAATTTATTGGATTTCTTGCTATCGAAAGAAACCTAATTCCCCATCTTACTTAATTACTCGCCACTTGATTGTATCTGTATAATCTCTATTGCTCTCAAACTAATTAGGTACGTTCGATTAGTCGTTAATTATCAACTACCATCTTTTAACATATGACAACGATTTTGACATGTATAGTTCATAATGGATTATTAGTCATGAACTATATTTTGAGAAGTGACATTACATGTTTGGATTTTGAAACTCTATGATATGAGATATCTTCTTTTCACCTTCCCCCACCACCCAAATTGACAATACATTTTTGTTAACCGCATGGGATGCATCAGTATATCAACATGGTTGTCTTTTACTTCAATGCATAGCGTCCTGAAATTTTTTCCCTCGTAATATCGGAACCTAATGGTACTCTTGGACCAATTTTATATAAAAATAAATTAAAGTCCAAATTTTCATCCAACCACTCAATATTGGTCCCCTTAACCTTTTTTCCATCATCTATCAATTTAATAATTTTGATTTTTATTGTAGTTAATTAAATGTTAATTTTCCAAAATATCACAATTGGACAAAAGAGCCATTGTCATTCATAGGGAGACCCATCCATCCATAAATTTTTTGTGTTGTGTTGTGTGTGGGTGTGTCCAACCCTTCACTACTAATAAATAATAATAAATTATACCAAAAATAAATAATAATTAATCAATTACATAATGGACCCCAATCCAAATTTTGGGGAGGAAAATGGGACAATTATAAAAATTGGGGGGGGGGGGGGTTCTCAAACAGACAAAATACCTTCGGTAAAAATTAGTTGGTGGGCCCAAGGTGGGCCGCGTACAAAAATCCAAAGTTAGCATTTAATAAGGAGAAAGTGAGAACAAGGGAAGGACAAACACTAAAATAATAGCAGATTTCCCTTTCTGGGATCCTTGGGCCCCCCACACGTCTGGAGTGGGCCCTTACTGGATCTGGACCATCTGTCGCTTTACGACCGGCATGCCCTAATTAACACGTGAATCCGATTCCCACCCTAATCACCGCCTGCCTTCTCTCTCTCTCTCTCTCCCTCCCTCTTAATTATCGTACTTAGTACTACCGTTTCTATCTCATCCTTAATTAATTTAGTTGATTGACCAGACATAGGACACTCCAATCCAGCTGGCCTCGTAAATGGGCAGGGTTAAGTATCGTACTTGTTCATGCCTAATCCATCCATAATTACTAATTAGATAACTATGATGTATACAGAGACGCAAATGCATTATAACTATTTTCCTTCTTCCAGTATATTGCATGTATCGTAATTGTTCTTCAAGACACATGATAGGTGATGGGATTGAGCCATAACTATGACTTACAAAATTACAAATTCGTGTTATCCTCAGTTTGGAGGCATATCTATAGTTTGGACATTTGATAAGCAAAATGAAATATATCGAAGAGGAATTGACGAACAACTGAAGAATAAACTCATAATCTAATAAGAGAAATTTATCAAATCTTATTTGAATCGAAATAAACAAAAAGTAATACATAATTAACATAAATAAAAAAAACTAGCTCAATCGCGATTTAGTTTTTTACTTAGTTTATAATAGTTAAATAAACTTGAGACTCTCTCCACTTGACTAATTATCTGGTTAGCAATGATCTGCCTAATAGTAATTGATTACAAATTTGGGAGGAGATGATAATTGCTTTCCTTGTAGTGGATTGAACTAAAACACAATAATGTGAGCATACCCTCTTTGACTTATTTCATGATAGTGATCTATCATCATTTAATAATTATATTTAGTACAACTTTTGTTTCTTTAAATTTATGCTTTTAGTTTTAAAGAAAATTCGATTGAGTTTTTGCCTATTTCAACAAAAGAAAAAAACTAAAGGAGTGCTGGATGAACTTTTCTAAGAAAACACTTTACTTGGATGCGAAATTTTTAAAAAGAAAGTAAGGGAATTATTCCTTTTTTGGGTTTTCTTTTATAAGCTTTATGATTATTCGCCATTTTTCTTTTATATGTAAGAAAGTTTGTTTGTATGAGTTGGTTCAACTATTTGTCGGGCTATGACTTGTTATTAGCGTTGGATGGCATTATAATCGCCAGCCACTACTAGACATCACCACCTCACGTGGCATTTCGTCTTTTACTTATTCCTTCCCCCTTTGGGTTTGCTTTCCACATTATGGCATCGATGAGGGCTCCATTTTCTATTACTGAACTCTCAAAATTCAATTTCTTATGCTACCCTGAATTTACGGTTTTGGTAAATTTTGTCGAAGTTAAATACTGGCTATCGTTTTTTATTATTAGATATTATGTATTTTTGTTGTCCGGCCATGCCCAAGGGGCTTATCTTGGATAAAAAAAGTAAAACAGTAAAACTCAATTTGGATGGTCATTTATTTGGAATTAGGTCTAACAGTAAAACTCAATTTGGATGCTCATTTATTAGGAATTAGGTCTAGGTTTCGGTAGAAAACTCAAATGTGCAAAACGTATGACCTATTATTCTTATAAAGATAAGATAGACCAAAGGTAAAACTGTCGTGACAGTAAAGGTTTGAGAGTTGCAGTCTTGTAGATCCCAGGTTCGAATCCAAGCGAGACTCGTTGGTGTTTCCGGAGGTAGAAGGTTGCTAGGGGCGAATCCATGTTGGAGTCGAATTTGATTGTAGGTGGCCCCCAAATTTAGTAGGACCCGTTGTCACAAAGTGGCACGTAACGCTGAGGTTCCTCGTGAATAAAAAAAATATCACCTATTATTCTTTATACGAATCTTACAAGAAGTGGTAAGACACATAATTTTGTAGATTCTGCATATCTGAATTTTACCGTAGATACTTTCCCTCGGTTTAGTCATATGATATATGAGGGGACATAATCGAGTCGATATTTCATTCTGATACTTTTTTTTATAAAATCCAAAATCTCTCTACCAAAATCTAATATATATATATATATATATATATATATATATATTTTTATTTCAAAATATATTATCTTTAGTAAATCTATTTATGAAGACAATACGAAGGAAATATATTGGAAATATGGTAATATTTTTTGTTCTATTACCTCTCTATATAATTTTTCTTTGCTATTTCTAAAAAAGTTATAAGATTCCTTGTCCATTTGGGCTTTCTATACTCGTTTCCATAAATTCAAAATTAGTTGCTGGCTGGGTTTCTTTCAAATCAAATGTGTTCATTTGGTTTTGGTCTTGGCTTCGGCCTCCTGTCAACCAAAAAAAAAAATTTGGTTTTGATATGTCATTATGGTGACTGGTTTGTATGTAAGCGTTTGAATAGACTTGGAGCTATAGGAAATTAATTATATATACATAAGAGTGACAGATACCTTCCAGATCAATCAACATTGTAATTACGGGCTTACGGCCATTGCTTTTCTCATACTCAAATTCAAAACTGTTTTTTTTTTTTAACAAATACATCAAAATTATGAAGAGGGTAATACAATAGTATTGGCCTGTTCGATCAATATATGAAGTCCATAATAATTATAAGTTTATATGATATAATTATATATGGTCTGTTACAAAATGTAAATCAATAATGGTTAATTTTTTATTTATAATTATAAATTTTCAATTAATCGTAATAAGTCGAGCTATAAACACGTGGCATTGAACTACATTGCTGAATAAAAACAAAGCCAAATTAAATCCCATAAAGTTGACCAAATTAGTTTGGTTTTCCTTGAGGGGTTAGGTTTTTTTTCTATAAACATTTAACTTTGTCTATAAAACCTTTTGATTTCTCCCAAATCCAACCACTTTGCCGTAAGCATACGAGATTACCTAAACCAGATGTACATTGATATGCATTGTAAAAAAAAAAAAAACAATAATAAGTACAATATTCCCCACTTTCCATGAGATGTCAATGTTATGCCATCTCAATTGTCGTCGGTATATGAAAACACAAACACAACACTACATGATTATCATCATCACGAGGGTCGCAATCAATTGCTTCGTCAAATGATCACATCTATATTTCAATAATAATAATAACAACAACTAATTCTCGAAAGAGATTGATTAAGAGAATTGCCAAATAATTATCTTTTTGGCTATATATTATATGGGTTTATAATCAAAATACGATCGAAGATTACGTGAGCAATAAGGATTCTAGTAGTTGTCGATTCCATTTGTTGGATAATTTTAATTATGGTTGTTAATTGTTGTATTAATTAACCATTTAGCTAGTTGATTAACCAGATGTTTAAGATGTGGACCCCTTTTCTATATAAAAATGTCAGTCCATTATGTCATATTGAGATTATATCGTGGAGGGCGTTTGAGTGTAGAGATCATGAATTTAGTGGGTTTTATATGAATTGTGGTTTTGACTTTTAGTTGTGACGAAAGATGAAGGGAGTTGGCCATTTATTTCTTGATTGATTATGGGTTTTGTTCACATAATGTAATACAAAATTATTTGTGCAGGTTAGGCAAAGGAATGAGGAGTTAGCTAGCGGCAAGTTTCCACACAACTACAAGGGAAAAGAAAACATATCCTCCTTTGAGTCGGGATGAGCGGTCGTAAGATTGGTTCGATGGCGATTGAACAATTATTAATTTTTAATTAGTATTTTTGTCTTAATGTGATATACGAAGATGTTGAATGATTCATCTTTAAAGAATTAAGGAATAGTGAATGCGATCAAAATGGAGATGACGAAGACAAAGGTTCGCAATCTGGATTGCAAGCCCTAATTATTGAGTTTGAGATGACAAGCTAATAAGTTGTTCAGAGTAAGTGATAAAATCTCGTTTCAACGCTCATATTGGTAGTGAGTTCGAGAAATACAAGGACATTCTGGTGAATGTACATGCTCTTATCAAGATTGAAAAACACTTCACGAAATCTAATCAAATTCAATGGACGATAATAATAAAAGGACGACGCCCTGCTTAAAATGAATTTGATATAATATTGATAGGGGAAAAAACTCTTCTCTGTCATAATTCATGTTACAAAGAAAACCATAAATTAAGGAGGCAATGGGTACAATAGTGAAGTTGGTGGTTGACACCGATTCAAGCATGATGATGATGAGAGCTTTGCAAGCTAGCTAGGGCTGATCCAAATTAATAATAATAAGTGCGTTAAATTAGGACCAATAATGGGTCCCTCAATACAATAAAATAGCAATTGCCGTACCATCATCGAAGTATTCGACCGTGACCATGAAACATGATTTGATTTGATCCATTCTTTCCCCTTATTATTAATTAATTTGTATCAAATGGATCCACGATGTACCCCAAATTCAATGTGTTTGATTGCATCGACATCCCATCGTTAAACCCTCCAACTGAATCATATAATAAAATAAATATGTAATTATTAAGTAAGTTAAAACAAGCACAAGGGGTCAAGAAATGGTATCTCTCGTGGTGGAGATAATTGGGATTGTCAAAAGGGCAACTTAGCTTACTAAGCTACTTGATTAGTTTAAACCTATTATTTCAATGGGGAGATTAATTAATTAGTTGATTAATCTTGTTGTATTGGGATGACGACACAAAGCTTGCCTAGCTAGCTTGTCCCTGTTAAACGTACCTAAACCCACCACATTGATTAATTGTACTCCCTTCTAAATACATATAACAATCAAGAGATCTTGAAAACAGTAATTACTAACTAACCCGGTTCAAATTCGAAAGATCTCGTGTTCAAGTTTTTTAGCTACCATTACTGCTTTAGTAACCCTCTTGACGAGTTTCTTTCATATTTGAACAAAAATTGTATAATATATACTAAAATGAATGAATTTTTTTTACGAACGGACAATGCCGATCTCGTTATAAATTGGTCTTCTAGTTACGAGACCTACTCTAACGGGTCCACTCCTCCATACTCTCCCCCCATTCAAAACATCGAAAAGGAGGATGTTATGGGACAATCCAAGTACCACATCGGTTATACAAGGGAAGGAACCCTTGTATATTAGTGTCCACCAATCTCATTAGTACGAGGCTTTTTGGGGAGGACACCCAAGAGTAAAACCGTGCGGGCTTGGCCCAAAGCGGACAATATCGTACTAATGGGGCGACCCGATTTTGACAAGTGGTATCAGAGCCTGGTTCGGCAGATCCGGGGCGGTGGACGTAAGTTCAGTGGACCCTCGTTCGGTGACCTCGGGGTTTGAGATCTGCATCTGGTTTGGTGGATCCAGGAGAGATCCACATTTGGGCTTGGCGGATCAAAGAGAGTTCCGCATTTGGGAAGCAGATCAAAGAGAGTTCTGCGCCTGGAAAATCCTTGTACCGAGAAGCCCATCGATACAAGGTGTCTGGCGGATCAAGATAATCGCTGAGGTGAGGACACGAAGTTCGTGGTCCTTGGCTTGAGGGGTGGATTGTTATGGGACAATCCAAGTACCACATCGGAAATACATGGGAAGGAACCCTTGTATATTAGTGTCCACCAATCTCATTAGTATGAGGCCTTTTGGGGAGGACACCCAAGAGTAAAACCGTGCGGGCTTGGCCCAAAGCAGACAATATCGTACTAATGGGCTACCCAGTTATGACAAGTGGTATCAGAGCCTGGTTCGGCAGATCTGGGGCGGTGGACGTCAGTTCGGTGGACCCTCGTTCGGTGACCTCGGGGTTTGAGATCTGCATCTGGTTTGGTGGATCCAGGAGAGATCCACGTTTGGGCTTGGCGGATCAAAGAGAGTTCCGCATTTGGGAAGCAGATCAAAGAGAGTTCTGCGTCTGGAAAATCCTTGTACCGAGAAGCCCATCGATACAAGGTGTCTGGCGGATCAAGATAATCGCTGAGGTGAGGACACGAAGTTCGTGGTCCTTGGCTTGAGGGGAGGATTGTTATGGGACAATCCAAGTACCACATCGGAAATACATGGGAAGGAACCCTTGTATATTAGTGTCCACCAATCTCATTAGTACGAGGCCTTTTGTGGAGGACACCCAAGAGTAAAACCGTGCGGGCTTGGCCCAAAGCGGACAATATCGTACTAATGGGGCGACCCGATTTTGATAGAGGAAAAGAAATAGTTGAAAATAATCATCAAGATCTGAAGATAGTGCATATGTCTCAATAAAAATTTGGGAAGTACAACGTATATAGGGCAGGGCAGGCAGGCAGGCAGGAGGGGGCCATGAGCCATGTTGAACGGGTTGTGGTCCTCTTTCCTATACAGAATCACACATCCACTTCAATTATCAATTCTCTCTCTCTCTCTCTCTCTCTCTCTCTCTCTCTCTCTCTCTCTCTCGTCGTGGTCACTGACGGCTATGAACATTACATTTACAGCTATGCTTTCGTACACTATATAAACTACGAGCCAAAGGGACAAAAGAAGAGGTTGCTAACTTGCTATAGCTAGGGTTGATTAAGTGCATACGTACGTTAGGTTAATAAGTTGTTTATTTGTTGTTCACAACCTCCCTTTACGTATACATTGAACTGAACTTTGGTTTACTTTATTATCGTTATGTACTTATGTCATATGGTTGAGAGCTCCCAAACCTGAAAGTCTCCCATTGTCAAGAGTTACTATCAATGTTTGCCTAACTAGCAAGCTAAGTGTCTTGCTACGTGGTTTCTGTTAGTTGTGATTACGACCCAAGGTCGTATTAGGTCCAATCAAATACATGATCAGGTCGATTTCAATGTTGGAATGTAGTTTAACAAATTCGTAAATTTGAAATTGTGTTGGTTTAGCTAGGAGAATCGTTCTATAATTTTCTCTTTATTAACCATCCGATTTGAATCGGTTAGGTTTAGTTACGTTGTGTCGAAATATTTGTATAATTTGCATCACGTTCTAAAAACTATAAATATGGTCTTCCTTTGCTTGTGAACATAACTAACACACGTTGTATAAATGAGCAACATAAAAATTTGTTTTGGTTATTCCTTTATTTGACTGATTGTCTCATCTATTTTAACAACGAAACGTGATTGAAAACGTTATATCGTAGATGAACATGAAGATTCTAATTTCATTATTCATCTATAGCATCGATTCAAACCCACTTAGGACCGGTTGGAACCCGGCATCGCACAACCCTACGAGCTACCAAAATATAATTGAAGAAAGGAAAGAAAATAAACTATACGATATCGAGTGGATCATCACGTACACCCCACGCAGCAGCTGGCGGCAAGGCCCACGCATGCAAATGCAACACAGCCCACAAAAACGCCGACGCCGACGACCGACGGCGACACTTGACCCGATGCTATATATTTCGGTTTCCTCTCCTTTTTCCTTTTATATTATAATAATAATAATTACAATAACGTTTTGTTTGGGTCTTAAGAACTTCTTCAACTCTCTCTTTTTGCAAGCCAAGCATCTCTCGAGGTCCATGCCCGGCCTCCCATGCCCTCTTTTGTTTTTGTTTGCTTTCTCCCTTCCCTGTCACCTTTCCTTTACCATTTTTGTATTTATATATAACATAGATGAGACTTGTGGGTATATACGTGTACATTTTCTCCTTTTCCTTTCCTAGAGAGAGAGAGAGGGAGAGAGTGACTTGTTGATGTTACAAGGTGGTATAGATGAAAACAAAGAAATGTGAATGTGTCCACTCTCTCATCATGGTATGTGTGTGTGTAAAGAGAACGAAAACACATTCTAGAGAGAGAGAGAGAGAGAGAGGTGTGGGGCAAGGTCACTTGTATGCATCAAAGTAATGGACAATGGTAGTACCAAAAGGAATAGGATAGAATATTATATATATGAGAGATGGGGGCCATAGACATATCATGATGATGATGGGGAAACCCTAGATAATGAAACTTTCTTGCCTTGTGAAAGAGGGCACTCCCATCTTTCCTTTGCCTTTGTACTACTCTTTTCTTTTCCCCCATCATCTCTCTTTCGATCTTTCTCACTCACTCACTATTTGGTTTCCCCTTTCCTTTTCCAAGTTCATCTCCCCCACTAGCTACCCTTTTTGCTTTTCCTTGTTTTCTAATGTACTTGATGACATTAGGGCTCTTTAGTTGTTGCTCCCCTAATCTCTAAGTTTAAGTGGGAAAAAGCAAATTCAAATCTAAATTAATAACAATATCTCTAGAACAAACCCTGAAAAATGATATGGGACAAAGTGACAAACTATTCACGTCCATTCCTCTATATTATCGGAACAAAGGCTGGGAAAATGTTCAGAAACCAACCATTCACTCATATGTTAATCATGCATCTTTCTCGATATTTATGGTTGGGCTTAGCTTATTAACTTATAGAAACGATGAGGGGAAAAGCAAATTCAACTCTGCCCTAGTACTTTTATATGGTCCCGTTTTCCCTGATCACAAGCCATCCCATCCAACGAGGGACAAACCAGGCAGGGGTTATAATTAGGTCAACTGTGAAAGTCAGAAAACCCTTTTCTTAACCATCAAGCATGTAGGTATATTATTATTGCATGTACCTAAAAGATCCAATGAAAGCACGACCCTCAATGGTGAACGTTGGGGAAAATATATAAATACATAGTACACATCATTTTCACGCTTCAAACTTCAAAGCTCCCCATTCATTCATTCATTGGATTATAGTAAATGTAAGTATTCACTCATTCCAATTTAGCAGTCTTTAATGGGACAGTAACAAGAGAGAATCGAGCTATAGCTATTTGATAATTGAAACTCTATTTCGAGAGGGTGTGCAGAAGTAACAGGTAAAAGGGCTCCTTCAATATTGTATAGTTTTCTTTTCCCCTATAGCTCATCTTGGATTCAGAGAAATGGGGTTCTTATTTAATGGTGATTTTGTTTCTGCTGGGTTGAGGAAGTGGTAATCAATTCAATGGCATTGGATGGTGCGCAGGGTGGTGATCAGAAGAGGCAGCAGGAATTGCAGGCAGGCAGGCAACCAACCGTCCCTCTTACTCTGCAAAAAATTCTCATTATGTGGGAAGTGGGGAGGAATTGGTGGTTGTGTGACGATAATAATAATGGAAAGGGTTGATGCCCTAATTCACTTTTTTCTAGTAATCAAACAATTCTTGTACTCTATATTATTGTTAAAGCGTCATCTCGTCGTTCGCAATTTTATAAAAATTACTCTTATATTTGTGGAATTCACTTTGCTGATCAAGCAAGCATGGTCTTGCTGACTAAGTTGTCTAGCTACATCCACGAAAATTATGATCAAAGAGGCACAGGAATGGATAATAGTGTTTGGCGTCGTATAATCAATGAAGAATCATGTTAACTACTAAGTACCATGTTCAACGGTTTCGAATGGTACTTTATGGGCATAACTTTTTCTTAAACCGTGACACACTACAACGATACATATTTATTGAAAAATAACATAGTATATGGAGTTAAATGCGTCATAAACCCTATTAATGGCAATATGTATTCCCTTTGAATATCAAAATATATCTTTTACTTTGCTTCTAGGAATTAGGAAAGGGTAGTAATGGAATGGTTACATGATGTGTGTGTCTGTATTGGAATCCCACAACCTCCCAAAAGATGAATAAAGGACCCCAAAAAGGCCACAAGGCCGACCATTATTTTCAGCTAGAAATCATATCTAGCTAGCTACCTCTCTCTCTCTCACACACAATGAGTAAGTTGCTTGATAATGTATATTTATTCCTCTTTTCACTACTCTCTCTTGCTTTTGTGACAGTTTTCAAGAACCTGCCAAAATGCCATGAGCCAACCTAGCTATCAACTTTTTTCACTTGGATGGATTTGGTTATGTGTGTTTGTGGGGGAATGGTGTAAGGTTAAAGATAAAGAGATACATAAACTAATAAGTCCCATTAATAATGATTCCCAATCTATGCAAATCTTGAATTTGTAAAAACTCATCACCATCTTTCTCCCCTCACTATGTTTATCAAACAATTGTAGCATTGAAAAGAGAGGACCAACTCATGTTTAGGGAACTATTCTCCTTTTCTTTTGTTTATATTAGGGCCAGTTACCATATAAACCATCACCCATTTTTAAGATGACTAGCAAATCAGTTACTAAACTTTAGTTTTTAACGAAGTTGTCATTGCAATCTAGAATAATCAAAATTAGAGCATAGTAAAATCCAGAATAATAAAAATGTCACAAACATTCAGCCACTTTATTGATTACCAACAAGTTCATTGTCTTACCAATGTGTCAGCTCACCCAAATTAATCACATAAAGGTTGCATAAACTCTTAACCAACATTAAGTTTATTATCTGACAAATGATAGTTTTTGTTGAATTAGGTGTGTGGTAAATGGATCATTATTAACAGCCGATCAATCATGATCTACTTAATCATTTTATTAATAACTCATGCGATTTAATATTACTAATAAAGTTGGAATAAAAAACAAACGACAATAGGCGAATTGTTTATATGTTAGCTAGTCATCTAAGACTCCCATGACCTAACATATTGAAAATAAAAAAGGTGACTGATTTGTTATTATCCTAAAATTTATTGACCCATTTTTCTTCCCTAGGTCTAACAGAAGATGGCATGCATGCTACACATTGGTTGTGTTGTGGATGTGTAACCATCAACCTTTCCTCCCACTACCTCAATAATATATGAGATATGCCATGTGCTTTGAGAATCAAAGGCCCTCCCTCTCCCACTCTATCATCATCCATTATAATGGAAGAATTCTTGGACATTGTGGTGGCAAACCCAACTCCCTCCTTTGGTAAAAATCATTATGCTTTTTCCTGCTTTTTGGGGCATTTCCTCCCACTTTCTTCCCCCCTCTCTAGTTTCTACAAAGTGCTTCATTAGTTCTTTCTCTTGCACATTAGGGCACTACTTGAAAAAAGCCAACTACTTTGGAAAATCATTTCATCAGCCAGAGTTAGCTATAAGCTTTTGTCTACTCCTTTTCTGGTGTGTTGGTGTGTTGGATTGCAAGTAAGTGGGCAAGCAGCAAAACATGGTCTCCATATATAGATAATTATTGCTATCAAAGCCAAATGGGTCTTCCATGTGGATGGATAAAATGAAGTGACGGATTGGTGAGTTTGGACTAAGTATGACTCAGATAATTACAAGAAGAAAAATAATACACAGTATGAGTGAAAGCAAGATGGATTTCAAAGAAATATTATGTAGTACTATCGATAAAAATAACTATCAGGTTTGATAACATGTTGACAATAATGTATACTAATTCGATAAAATATGTTCTTCATTTTTTTTTTTTGTAGAATGAATATTTATCTTTTCAATCAACAAGGTTTTTTTTTTTTCTTTACGCCCACATATATGTGTAACAGTACATCACACTAGGTTTCAAAAATCCTACTTTCTTCTGCCCACCTCCCATCTTTTCTTCCTCTCCTTTTTCAAAGTTTCACATTCTCAACAGTGAAAATGACATGAGAGTCTGGACTTATTTGGAGGTGACACAACAAAAGAATCAAAGGGCTAACACATTGGACCAATTCCATTGAGGAAAAGATATGGTAAAATATATATATCCATCAGCAAATTGTGTGGACTACTTATCATTGTGGAATCAATCAAAAGCACCCTCAAAGGAAAAGAAAACAAAGTCCATTGCTCTCAAGATTTTTTAGGGCCTACCCATTAAAAGTTGTCCCCTATAATTGGATCCCATTTGGAATTTAATTGATCATCATGGTCCTAAAATCTGGCCACCACTAGCTACTTGCAACGGTTGGACTCTTTAGCTAGCTAGCTAGCTACACATTATGCAATTTCAATATTCTGTTCTTATTCGTTTAGTGCACAACCTAAGGTCCCTAATGGACCGACCCGACCTAGTAGTGGCTGTGAATTTTCTTATGTTCTCAAACACTCCCCCACCTACAAAACCTTTGCCCTAAGTTCGGTGTATTTTACTTAAATTGTTTTCTACTAAGTTGATCTACCGTACCTATTCAATGGAATATACAAGTGGGGGAGGTCCAATACCATACATTAAAAACTTGGGCCAATATCATATTCATACTACTCGTCCGAATTGTCAATGTATATCTGCGTGACAATTCTAAAAAACTATTGATGAAAGAGGCAAAACAAAAATCATACTTACAAGTTTAAAATGTCTTACATAGCAATCACATCTTTCATGTTTCCATCTATATTGTTTAATGTACATTTTTTTTCAATTCACACAATTGTAGATGAAACACACAACAAAACCTTCTTGCGCTATATGGATAGAGGCATAAAGGGATCGCGAAAAAGTTAGTTATGATCTATCTGGAACCAATTTGTTACACTACAAAAGATTAAAGACTAGGTTAACATTTTGTATAGGACTAGTTTGTCAACTTAATAATAGTTTAGGGTTGAATCGAAACCTGTACCGGTCAAACAGTGGGAGAACTCGGTAGTTGGCTTTCAATAACTTTCCTTATCCTCGAAACTCAACTCCGGTATAAAAGACCAAGATCACTATGATTGGTCTTAGTCTTTTATTTTTCTCTCTGCTCATTTATTGGGCCGTCTGACTAGGGAAAGAATGGATTAAGGTGATTTCAAGTTTTGTGAATCGAACTCAAATTATGTAACAGATATAATTTGGATTGATCATGATATCTTCAAGGATGAAGTGATTACTACTTCCGAAAAAAAATTTGATGGACGATTTATCAGTTGTCCATAATTCAATCACCAATTTTGTAAAATAGCATTGGGAAGTGACATCGCTTGAGGTTTCCATCAATGGCTGGCTTCATTTTGGATGGCTGACGGTGGTTTTACTTTGAAAATTACGTGCTCATAAGCCCTTTTTCTTCTTTTCCCCATCACCATTAATTAGGCGACTTTTCTTGTGCATTGTATATTTGGGGTTGGTTTGGCTACTTTCCTTTCAATTATACTTATTCTACTAGCTATCTAGCTAGGTTTATATTGGAAGATGCCATATGCCAACAATGTTTGAATGGATTAAGACATTGGTGTGGTGTGGTGTGGGTTAGAAAATCACTCGAATGCTGGAATGTCACTTTCAGAGGCTGTCTTTGCTTTGCTGAGGGAACACATAGCTTTGGGATGTTTGAAATTCCAACCAAAGTTTTTAAGAAAAAACAAACACATTTTGAGACATCATCAATCAGGCAACTATATAGGATAACTTGTGACGATAACATCCAAACACCCACGAAAAATAAGAAATTTTCTATCTTCACTCTTAAAGTTAGTGTTTAACAATCCCTCACTCCACAATATAAAAATTTATTGCAATTGGATGACAAGCTGTATGTTTAATTTTATTCAATACCCTTTACTTCAATAACTACATATTAAATCAAATTTGAGTGGTATTGGACGATGAAAGCAATGAAACTTGCTCTATTGAACCGTAATTCCATATTGAAGTTTTATATCAAGAATCAATAACTATAATGCGCCTGGTGAACAATTCATTCACCATATAACCATCGGATTGATTATCATTTCGGTTTGATTGACCTCGTCAGTAATCGGTTTGAGTACGAAACCAAACTCAACGGCCACCCATAGTACTTGATGATGGGATTGGGTGGGTTTCCCTATTCCAACGACATTTGTGAAGAGAAGGGTCGAATCAAAGGGCTCCAAAATGGGCCACTTCGACACAACCAGATCGCTGGACAAAATTTAGGGCCCAATTGGGTCCACCATGAGCTTCGTCTTACATCCCAAAACCCATTCAATCAAAGGCAAGTGGCCTTTTTTGGGGGCACCCAGCAAGCATTGAATAATATACAGAGAAACGGAGGAAAAAGGGAGCAAAGCAAAGCAAAACAAAGCAAAACAAGATCCCATCATCAATGGATTTGACTTTTTGTGAGTTTAGTTTTTTCCTCTGGGAGTTTATGTTTACGCAGACACAGCACGAGGCTTTCTGTGGAGGGAGATCAGATCAGAGCAGCCCACCACCAACCTTATTTAAGGGGGCTGCCGCTTTGGTTGTTGGTGGTGGTGGGTTTTTTTTTTAAAACATGGTCACAGCTTTTCAGTGAGGTGTGAGATATATAGATCAAACAAAACCACGATTGCCCATATGTAAAAGATTCTTGATTACAGTAGATGGATATTATCATATTAAATTTTAGATATGGGGTTGGAGTAGATAACTTGTTCTTATCATGACTCATGATGAGTAAAAAATGGATAGCTGGAATGTGGTACTACTGGTTGTTTGCATGCTCGCTATACATTCCATTTTGAATCATCTTCAAAATACTAGTAAGTTATTGATATAAAATGGTTAATTATTTGTGTGGTATACTAGACAATTAAATGATATGAATTTATCGTGTTTTGAATTTCGATGCTTTCTGATATTCAGTCGTCTCAGACTCGTGGTCCTTTTCAAAGAATTCTCAAGTTATCGAAATGAACTAATTATTATTTGCATGGTGTTAGAGTCATCTTAAATAACATAAATCTCATGTTAGATTTGGCCACATGATAACTCTAACCGATGGAAACAAAATGAACCGATAGTCCTACATATTCATTTTGAATAAAATAACACCATATATAAAATTAGTAAACCGAGAAATGTTTTAGTGATTTCAAAACTACACTAACTTACATTTTGAAAGACAAAATTTAGTGACTGATTTGCTTGTTTCCACATTCTGATGTTTAGTTCTTACCTCCAACTGTACATGTATACGACGCAAGGCATGATGGCCATTTATTTAGCTATGGCCGTCCTTTTAAGTCCGGCCACACGGTGCCGCTAATTTATGATTCTCCGTCCATCCCCCGGGAATTTCCACCGTCGGCAAACGGCCACCAACAAGCGTACAAAAACCAGCATCAGAGAGAAACCGATAAATATGGATTCATTTTCAGCTTTTTCCCCAATTCCCATGGGGTATTCTTTTTCAACTGACAAGATATGCCAAGCAGGCCATGCAACAACGCCATCATCATCATTTATATAATAATAATGTAATGTAATGTAATATTATACGGTGGGGAAAAAGAAGACAGATATGCTGACAGAGACAAAGGTGTCCATAATGTGCACACATATGCATAGGCAGTGTCGGGCTGGCTGGCCGCGCATGTAAATACTAAACTGTCTTTTTCTTTCTCATCGGTGCTCTCTTTCTTTCTTTGTTATTATTAATTATCATCCATTTGATTTGATGATACGAAGGTTGTTCGGTTTCTTGTTGTGGATTTTGTTTCTTTTGATGCGAATGCATGTGGTTATGGTTACTGATGGTTAGTATAGTGGGTGATGGGAGATGATGATCGATGTGTGCAAGTTGTATGTATCCAAGGCACGATTTGAGAAATGACTAGAGTTGAGTAGTAACTGGTTTTGTTAGGGTGCGAAAGATTGTGCCGTTTAAATTATCGAACAACTATATGCTGCGTAAATGACTAATAATGGATTGTTGCACGGGATTCAAAGTTGGAGTTAATTGATGGCTGGTCTCGTATAAGAGTTTGGATAATCTTATCGATGTTATACAATTACATTAACTACAAAAAAACAAAATTGTAGCCCCATATGTATTAATGATAATTTGGAGGTACTCGCATCTCATGTTTTGAATCAAACAAAATTAAACGACCACTGAATGTATGATCTCATCTGCCAAATCCGTATTAATGATAATCAAGAGGTATTTCCACACCACCCTTCTAATTGACCTAAAGCTAGCCATGCGTGTGCATGTTAATATATATAAACAAGAAGTATTGTTACTGTTGCCTAAACTCTCTAGCTAATTGGTCAATTTTTTTAATAATAAATTAAGAATGGATTTTGGGCAGGGACAAAGGCAGGTTGGGGATTTGGGGAATCTTGATAATGATGTACTATTTGTATCCCGGGTTCAATCCCTACTTCTAACATTTATAATCCTTTTTTTCACTCATAGTCAAATGGTGTTGCAGGGTTTTGGGCTCCATTATACAATTATGAGAGCCCAAATTTATACATCTTAATCTTGATATCGGGTTCTATTATGCTATGATCAAATTCCAATTTCGATATACTAATCTTTAAGAAAAATTTTCATTTGATATCTCAATTAACAAAGGTGCGTTAGAGAGAATTTTCAAAGACAATTCTTACTTTTTTATTTAAATCTCACTTTCTTTAGTTTCTATTAATTGTATCATTTTATTTTTTTTATTCTTTTAATATGTAGATTTAACATAAAATTGCTATTCAATAATGCAAGGCATCTTAGGATCAAAGATCGGATCAATAGTGTATTTCATCCGATTTTGTCTGGTTTGGTCCAATCCAAACGTTAATTCAATTAATTTTCTTCGGTATTTATAAAATTTATAAGACTGAGGATCGTATCACAATATATTCGATTCGATGTGATCCGGTCCAAGAGTCGGTGTGGTCCAATGTGATCCTATATGGACCAACCCGTGACACATTCCGAAGACCGATTAGGGTTGGGTTAATTATTTAAGGAAACCGTGGGCATGGGAAACCGGAAACCCATTGCTACCATCTTTTTTATATAGTCTAATTACCATTTTTTTCCTTTTTTTCTAATTATGAATAATGATTGAACGTCAAGAGAAAATTTAATATTTGATAATGTAAATACAAAATTAAACAACAAATGCAAATTTCACCATGTCGTTCATCATCCGCAGCGTAGCGCAGGTGTTTTTCTAGTATTCTATATATAATATATCAAGAGAAATATACTAATTAGTAATTAATTCCCCTTTAGTAATCTTCACGATGCTCAAAAAGAAATTCAATTCACGTATTGATTCTTCTCCATAGATATAAAGAGGGCTCGACGCAACTGAGAAGTAAAGAATGGGCCAAAGATTATGGGTAAAGGTTTGGCGTTTCCCTTTTATTCACTTTTGGTGGGCCTGCAGCTGCTGAATTTCTCAGTGGTCCTCTAGAAGTGGAAGGCGGAGAGAGAGCAGAACTTTCAACAATGGAAATCACAGTGTCAAAATTAGGCCAAAGGTGTCACCTTCAGCCTCGCAGAATCGAATAATGCATAGACCTACATAAAATATTGAAGGATGAAAGAAGATCAGGAAGACTGTGGGGGACGATTTGATGCTGAAAGGAACTGATTGAGATTGCAAAGTGGTGGATAACAGTGTTGTCAAACCCGGCTCGATCTGGTTGGTGGGGAACTAGTCCAACCACAATCCAGAAGCCTAATCGGGTTTTTACTGGTGTCGACAGATGATGATTCGACTGTTTTAACCATTGGATCTAACCGAGAAAAGTAGAGTCTGACAACAATAGTTGAAGCCAAATTCTGGTGCATCAAATTCAAAGATGCTGGTTAGGCATAATAACAGGATTAAGATATGCTCTGTTTCACACCAGCTTTGTGCCTTTGTCGCGGTTCCAGTTCTGGAAGGATATGAACTCTCGCTAGTGGAAATTCCCTGGAATGCTTTTTTTCTGAAAAAGGGTACCTAATGATTCTTACAGCAGCCCAGAGAGGAACAGACACATCTAGCAGCAAGAGGAGTACTTTGGAAGGTTGAAATGACTTCTAGTCACTCCATATATAGCTTTTCCTCTTTGTAAATGGTACAGGGGGAAAGAGGTGATATGAGGGGGGAAAGTTCGGAATTTTACAGCTTGGAAAGTGCAACAAGGTATAGTGGAGTTTGGTTCCGTTTCTAAAAGGGTTCTCTACTCTGCTTGGCAAGGAAGAAAAAAGAGAGATGCCACAGTGACCCACATAACTCAAATTGAAACGATAGTATTCCTTCCAGTACTGTGACTTAACTTCCTGCCACAAACTAGGTCACATACTAGTGTTGAAGTTCTAAGAAACGGAAAAGTCTATTGGCTATTGGGAATTCTAGTTTCGACCTAGGAACAGGTAACTAATATGCAGCAAAAATGTCGCCACATAGCACTAGCACTAGCATGAATATGATGATGGCAGGCAGCAACTATTACATGGCAAAAGGAAGGTGAACTAACCTTACTCCACGGTGCTAACTTTAGTCCTTTCAACCTCTTCTCCACTTATTATGGTGGAATGCTTTTGGTTACAGACTAGCACTACTGCAAAAACTGAAGAGAGAACAGGAAGCATATATAAAGCAAGCCTAATCGGCTATTCCTGTCATCATCCATTCAATCAAGTAATCAACAATGCTCATAATTTCACATGTTGAATACCCTGGAAAAGCAGTAAAGCACTGCAGGAGCTTGACATTGAAAAATATTGTACAAAGACACATACATTTCAAACATGTAGATGAGAAGACGAGCTATAATTACGACTGGAAATTGGTGAAGAAGCAATCTGATTACAAGAATCGAGCACTCGACGGCCACTAAGTGCTACAAACTTGTCAATGTGCGACAGTAATGGGCACTTAGCAATTAACTTAGTGCCATCATAAGCTTCCTTTAAGAAGACAGTGCTTCTTGCACCTTTATTCGTGATGTAAAAGATACCGTGATGCTTGATCAAACACAGCAGCAACCTTGATGGCAATAGATACTCGGAATGAAATGCATCCAACTGTGAAGATGCCATCCTCTTTTCCATGGTCAGGCTAAGCAGCTCATGAAGCACTGCCACCACACGCTTCCTCGCCTTGGGATCAGCGGCTTCAAACGTCCTGGGATTCAAATATGGTGAAGGGAAATCCAATCTCTGCCATCTCTCAAGCTCTTCCAGGAAACTATTGTTCGGCCTGAAACCCGCAGTGAATTGCATGTGGAAAGCGAATGGACCTGAGTAGTTGCCATCTCTGGATATTCTAACCTGTTTCCGAGATGGGTTAGAAGCTGGAACTCCTTCAAGTTCCAATCTTTCCTCCCGGGCAGTTACTGCCAAGGAAGAATCCCAATGCTCCAAATGAAGACAAGCTTTCCCGTTAACATCTTTAACCGAAAAGAACTCCCGGTATTTTGGAACTAACGATTCCCTGAAATCCAGAGGCAAACCTAATTCATTTCCAATGAGCTCCACCTTTTCTAATGGCACCCTGCAATCAGCCGACATCATTAACAGCTTCCTCAGATTTCTAACTAAAATTGGCTCCATCAACAACCTGGCTTCGGGCTCTTCGCTTGAAATCTTTGCAGCTTTCTCGGTCAGGGTAACGAAAGGCGGAGTCCTATCGGAACCGCCGCCCACGTAGAAAATGGTAGGATACTTCTCGATCAAAGCCATGAAGTTCCATTTCTGTACGAACCCAACTTCCTTCTCGAGGTCCCGCAGGAGAATGCGTCGGTGCCGGTGGGATTCGATGATGGATTTGAGGTGCAGGATCAGGGACGGTTTCTTCTGCAAGTCCATTACCTTGTCGAGGTTGTGGTCTCGTCCGTATATCTTCTTCTTCGGCCTCCTTCCCCCGCTTGAGATTTGCTTCTTCGAAACCCAGATTGAACCCCAGTTCTGAAATCGAAGCGCGGATTCATCAGTTTTGCCGCACAAATACGAGCGGAGAGACGATGTTCTTCTGTGCATGATGAGTTTCCAGGGGAACTTTGGTTCAGGCATTACGTCGAACACTTGGAGTGCTAGTCTTTCTGGGATGGAGCGGGAAATTTCGACACGCACTGGGACCAATCGCAACGGCTGCCTGCCAGTTCCCTCGATTTGGTCTAAATCCTGTTAGGCTATCATCTAGCAACATTCGGGCCAGAAGCCCAAGTTCGGTTGTGGAATAAAATTAGGATTACATCTAGGCCCAACTGAAGCAGCCCGTAAATAAAATGAATATCCCAATCGGACTATATGGCCCAGGTCATTGTCATCTTGTAGTCATCTGCATCCAACGTTGAGCAGTATCGGCAGCTTTCCCTAGAGTAGGCTCGTCACGTGACTACGTGAGTGCACAACACTCTTTTGGGCCTTCATCTATATGCAAGGATATGGGCCTCAGCACTTGAGCCCACCTTCCAGGTTAATCGTTCGTTTCATAATAAAATAGTCGATTTCTTCCCTTCCAGTCTTTCAGTCTTCCGGTCAACTAATCCACACGAACGCTCACACTCTGGTTTCGCATTTGCTCTCCCTCTAAGCTCTAACCCTCAGTCCTTCCGTTTTTCAGAGTAATGGCGATCTCCTTCCTCTCCACATTCAAGCCCATCGCCTTCTTTCCCACCCAAAAATCCTCCCCGACGCCGCCGCTCTCCTGCTGCAATCTCTCCCTCCCCACCGTCACCATCACCGAGCCCGAACCCGTCTTCACTTCCGTCCAGACCTTCGCCCCCGCCACCGTCGCCAACCTCGGCCCGGGCTTCGATTTCCTAGGCTGCGCCGTCGATGGCCTGGGCGACCACGTCTCCGTCACCGTCGACCCTTCCGTCCACCCGGGAGAGATCTCCATCACCGAGATTTACGGCACCCACGCCTCCTCCAAGCTGTCCAAAAACCCTATCTGGAACTGCGCCGGGATCGCAGCGATTGCCGCCATGAAAATGCTCAACATCCGTTCCGTTGGCCTCTCTCTATCCCTCGAGAAGGGCCTCCCCTTGGGGAGCGGCCTCGGATCCAGCGCAGCCAGCGCCGCAGCCGCCGCCGTGGCAGTGAACGAGCTGTTCGGCGGGAAGCTGGATTCGAGGGAATTGGTCCTGGCGGGGCTCGAATCGGAGGCTAAAGTATCCGGGTACCACGCAGACAACATCGCCCCGGCGATAATGGGAGGGTTCGTGTTGATCCGGAGCTACGATCCGCTCGAATTGATGAGGCTGGAGTTCCCGGCGGACAAGGAATTGCTTTTCGTGCTGGTGAGCCCTGAATTCGAGGCGCCGACGAAGAAGATGAGGGCGGCGCTGCCATTGGAGATCGCGATGCCGCACCACGTGTGGAATTGCAGCCAGGCGGGAGCGCTGGTGGCGTCGATATTGGGAGGGGATCTGGCCGGGCTGGGGAAGGCTCTATCGTCGGACAAGATCGTGGAGCCGAAGAGGGCTCCCCTGATTCCGGGGATGGAAGCTGTGAAGAAGGCGGCTTTGGAGGCTGGGGCGTTCGGGTGTACGATCAGCGGTGCAGGGCCGACGGCGGTGGCGGTGGTGGAAGGGGAAGAAAGAGGGGAAGAGGTCGGGAGGAGGATGGTGGAGGCTTTTCGGAGAGAAGGGAACTTGGAATCGGTGGCTATGGTGAAGCGGCTGGATCGAATTGGTGCCAGGCTTGTGAGTAGCGTGGCAAGATGATGGCTGGTATTGTTTTTTTTCCCTCTTTCTCTTTAGGGTTCTAAGTGAATTTGCTGTAATGTAATGTGGGAGGAGATGATAGGTTGATGAACAGTGTGATCTGGTTCTGCAATGACGGCCTTATGTATTTAGCTAGTTAGTTGTTCATGTTCTAAGCGATGATGAGATGAAAGAACCCTTTGTTCCTTATGTTAATAAGCAACAACGGATGGATTCCTGAGTCTGTCGTATTGAGATTGAATTACTTGTTAGAAGCAGTAGGAGACTGAGAGACACATTGCAAGAAGGTGACTGGGTTTTAGGTTGGTGCAACAACTTACTGATATTACCCATAAACACAAACACGAGGTGATCTTTTGCCACTCAATCAATCTGCTTTTTTTTTCTTCTGGGACCTACTCTGGGATTTGGATGGATATGATTTGCACGTCACAATATATGCAGAGAGAAAGATATCATTGTTGGACGGGGGACTGATGAGAAATGGGTAGGTGGTGTTACCTTCTGTTTAGCATCTACTACCCAAATTGCTCTAATGTTTTGGATTTCTGGTGAATCATGTGAATTAAACTCCAGTGGTATTGTGCAGACGAAAATACAAAACACCACCAACCCAACAAAACACCAGAGTGAAGATTGTCACAATCCCTCTCCTTCCCCAGTTATGTTTTTGTTTGGTTTATCGAAACCTCGATCCTCTGCTGCTTGCAGCGCATCGATTGGGCCGGTGATTTGATTAACTGCTAACCCCTTGGATGGATGATGGATGCTATTAACCTCCCTATCTCACAACAACCACCACTCTCCACCTCCCCACCTCTTGCTCAAGAAATACTCTCTAAAGCACAACCTATTCCTGGAAGAGAAGAACTCTAAAGGCGAGCACATTGGAGGTGCCGCTTGTCGCTTGAGGGAGGAGCTTCACGGGGTGTTCAATTGAGAGAGCTCTACGTCCGCCATTGTAGTAACTTGGAATCGGTGGTGACAAAATTGTCCCGAACCCGCCCTACTAGTGGGTATAATGGATTCAGAGTCTTGGATAGACAGAGATAGTGAGGCGACGCTGGACTACCTTTTAGGTTTTTAATATGCAGTAGCATTTTGTATGTAATAATGGTTTAGTAGTGATTTATTGCAATGAGTATTGTTTTTTTTATATAACTATTTTTTCCTAGTTATGCTAGTATTTTCAGTTTGTAGTGTTTTTGTCACGACTGTTTTATGTGGATAAGGAAATACGAGGACTCAACAATGCAAGAAACGAAAGCGCAAACACACACACACGACCCACGATTTACATGGTTCATTAACACAATATATGTTAGCTAATCCACGGGCAGGAGAGAGTCAGTTTCACTATACTCCGAGAATATACAGATTACAGAGGAGTATGAGAAGTATTTATAGTACTTCTCCTAGATCTAACCCTAATCCAATATGGTAAAAGAAAAGCGGTTACAACCAGACCCAGAACACGAACTCAAATAACATTGAGCCCCAATGACTTCCAGTCGTAGCGGCTGATAGTCCGATTCAAGTCACATCAACAGTTTTCTTTATAGTTTTCAATAATGATTATTAATCTGTCAATCAAGATTACAATTAATATTTATAAAATTATTATTAAAAAATAGGGTCAAACTAGTGTACTCTTGGAGTATACTATGCTTCAGGTACTCCTAGTGAGATATCTCTATATAGACCATGAATTAAATAGACTTTGAGGTATGATACTATACCATAACATCTAATGGATAAACCCATGCCGCGATTCTCTAAACTCAAACACGAAGTTCAATTTAATAGAAAATAATAATTTACCGTTGAGATTGGGCGGAGCTAATCAAAGTACATCTAACGATCAAATCACCTGGAGTATACCAGCCATTACCTTAAAAAAAATATAATCAAAATCAATTATAATAATAAAATGACAACAATAGAATTGCTAAATCGCTACCAATTTATGTAGTAGTGCCAATGTTTGGCCCGACTTTTAGAAGTGCTTTTCAGCTTCAAAAGCTGAAGTAGGGCCAAACACCTCTAAAAGCTTGGCTTTTGAAAAGTCGAAAAACGCTTTTGTGTAACATAAAAGCAGAAGCTCCGATTTAGAGCTTCTGCGAAAAGCTGTTTTGAAAATACAAGATTATCCTTACCATATTTTAATTTTATTTCACAAAATATAATTTTATTACATTTATATAATTTTAAAAATAAAATAAATTGTAAAATTATAAAGAAGGCCATTCGTAAGCTTATCACTGCCAATGGAGAAGAAATCACGGATATCGGTGAGATTTCAGAGGAAGTGGTATGTTTTTACAAAAGATTATTCGGGGTCAATGATCCACTTGTCAACCCCGATCGCAGTCGGTTAGAGTCGCTTGTAAACAACAGGTTGGGTGCTCAAGAAGTCTCTTTTCTTACTAGTCTGGTCACAAAGGAAGAGATTAAGGCTATTGTACTTCATATGAACCCCCACAAGGCCCCTAGCCCGGATGGGTTTTCAGCAGGCTTCTACAGGAAAGCGTGACCAATTATTCGTGCTGATATACTTGCAGGAGTGCTGGATTTATTCTCATCTGGTAGATTACCAGGTAGTGTTAATGTCACAATTGTCTCTCTATTACCTAAAATCCCTTCGACATATGCTCTTAAAGACTTTAGGCCAATTTATTGCATAAACATCTTGTATAAGATTATTGCTAAGGTGTTGGCTAACCATTTGAAGAAATTCCTTCCTAAGATCATTAGTGGTAATCAGTCAGCATTCATTGAGGGTAGAAGGATAGTGGACAATATTTTAATGGCGCAGGAGTTACTAGTTAGTTAGTGGTTATCACAGAAAGCATTTGTCTTCTCGCTGTGCTATCAAAGTGGACCTCATGAAAACTTTTGATTCGGTTAATTGGACTTATTTGTTTATGATGATAGATATTATGGGGTTTCCAGCCTGTTTTCTCAACTGGATTAAATTAACAGTTAAGACAGCAAAGTTTAGTATTAGCATTAATGGTGGTCTGTGTGGATATTTTGGTGCACAAAAGGGGGTTAGGCAGGGTGATCCACTTTCACCCTACCTTTTTACCATTGCGATGGAAGGGCTTTCTCTGTTATTAAATGAATCTGCTACCATTGGACGATTGCCTTATCACCCGCAGTGCAGAAAAGTGAAGCTTACTCATCTGAGTTTTGCTGATGATCTTCTGATTTTTACTGAGGGGTCAAGGACTGCCATCTCTAGGGTGCAGGAGACAATCTCTGATTTCTATTCTTTGTCCGGCCTAAAATGTAACCCTGCAAAATGCGAGGTTTATTTTGGGGGGATGTCTGTGCTGTTTAAGAGCAGGGCAATCCAAGTTTCTGGATTTCAGGAGGGCGAACTCCCAGTGAGGTATTTGGGCTTGCCATTGATATCTGGAAAGCTTTCTACTTTGGAATCTGAGAAATTAGTAGCCAAAATTACTCAAAAGATAAAGTCTTGGAGGGCAAAGCGACTCAGCTATGCTGGCCTACTTCAGTTAGTCTCTTCAGTGTTGATGGGGGTCCTGCAGTACTGGATGCAAGTTTTTCTGTTCCCTAAAAAAGTGTTGAAGCAGGTACAGAAGATATGCTCGTGTTTTTTGTGGCATGGAGAGGAGGGAAGAGCTAAAATTGGCTGGGATAGAATGGTGCGTCCTAAAAAAAAGGGAGGCTTGGGTTTAAAGGAGCTCTGTTCCTGGAACCAGGCTTGCATCGCTCGCATGCTGTGGCTCCTCCTGATGCAGAGTTGGACGATTTGGGTGGCTTGGATACAGACCTACAGGATCAAACAAGGTAGTATCTAGACAATAAGGTCCAGTTCCAGTGGCTCCTGGGCTTGAAGACGAATTTTAAAGACTCGGAGTGTGCTTCAACAATTTTTTCATGTTCTGGGAGGAACAGTCTTCTGGAACCACCTTCCTATGACCCGGTTCGGTTTAGGTGTGGTTTGGGACACAATTAGGCCAAAATGGTCTGGTGTGGAGTGGTATAAACTTGTGTGGGGGCATGGTTTCATACCTACGAATAGCTTTCTCTCTTGGACTATTCTTTTGGATGGTATAGTCACATCTGACAAACTGCTGAAATGGGGTAAAGCTGTGGATGGTGCTTGTGTGTTGTGTAAACAGGGACAGGAGTCTAGGGAGCATTTATTTTTTCAATGTTCGTATGCAAGAGGGGTTATGGTGGGCTTATGTCGTCTTGATTTTTACAGGACATCTTGGTCGGCCACTGTGGTTGCAGCTTGTGGTTTGTGTAAACAGAGGAATGGTTATATTGCAGGGTGATTTGGTGCTTCTTGGTGGCTTCCATCTGGAAGGAGAGATGCAGAAGCATGGGGAGCCTCCAAGGTCAGCTGCTGAATTGCAGGGGTTGATCAAGAGCGATTTATTGACAGTAGGTGCAGCTAGGTGTATCCTTGAGGAACTAGTGTGTTTAGGCATCTCTTGATGCTTTGTTTTTTCTGGGATTGGTTTTGAGTCTTTGATGTGGGTTTGTAATAGCAGTAGTCAAGACTAGAAGTAGTGATTAGTTGAGGGTTTTGAGGCTCTTTGGGTATTGATATACCCATTTCGTTGTATCTGTTCCTAGCATCTTGCTAGTTTTGGTTAATAAGATGGGGGCAACTGATTAAACAAAAAAAAAGTATAACAAGATCCATTTTGACTACATTTTATTGTTTATAATTATTATTTATAATTTAGATTATAAGTCCTTTATAGTCATTTTACACAACCTCTCATATTAAAAAACACTTCTAATAGTTTTTGCAGCCAAACACTTAACTGCTTTTTTTGAAAAGTACTTCTCTAAAAGTTCAAGCCAGAAGCTGCTTCTGCAAAAGCTACAACAGGGCCAAACTGAGCCAATAACTTTTCAACACTAATTTTTCACATCTGAATACGAGAGAGATATTTACATATATCTATTTTATTGAATTTAGTTTCCTGAAATACTGATCAAACTATTCATTACTTTCCACAATTATATTTAACTTAAATGTAATAAATGGTGATTTGAGTCGATGGAATCAGTATCTCGTACCAAATTCAAAATATTTTTATATTCAGATTGGTATCATCAAATACGAAATTGATTATTTTTGTAATTAATAAATAAATAATGGTTTTGACTTGTTCCTGCAATTTGAAATTACTTTTATTAACAATGACTCGTTTCTTTTGCTTCACAATACAAGTTCAAGTTACCTTCACATTTTTAACTTTTCGGAACACTGAAGCACAACAAAGAAAGGGTCTGTAATATAACAATGATAGCCCATGTTGGACATGTCAAGTTTGTTTCTTGATAAAAGGTATGTTTGTTATCATTCCAATTAGTTTATATTGAATATTGTATGTGTTCTTTTACACTCTGTTTGGGAAGAGGGGTAAATAGGAGGAGGGTGCAAATGTGAGGGGTAAACATAGTTTCTAACACATTTGCACATGTTTAGTTAATTTGGAACAGTAGGGGGGTGCAAAACGGGGGTGCAAATTTACTGTTTCGGCTTACCCCCGAATTGGGGTGCAAGGGAAGGAAGGAAGAGAGGGGGAGGGGGGAATTATGGAATTTTATTTTTCTAATTGTGTTATATATAATTATATAATAATTAATATTATCAATTTCTTCTTTTTATAAATATCATTAATGTAAACATTATTCGGGGTTGACCATTTGACTCTAGAAACAAGTTTATCAATGTTCGTCAAGTCAAATCTAGATCTCTTGGTTGAATCGAATTTGGATTGAAAATTAGAGATACGAGGTGTTTGTGGAAAAGATAGAGAGAAATTGTTTGGTTAACTCAGTTTATTTGACTAAATAGTTAAAACTTACAAATTCGAACGTGTTTGACTAAGTTTGACAATTTAAGATTAAACTAGACACGAAAACCCTATATAAGATGACCAGTTACGAGTTGAGCTTCGAGTTTTGAGATCGCTCGATCAATGATTATTACAATTGTTATAATTAATTATTATTTTATGGCCTACTCCAATTCCAAGGTACGAAATATTTCAATGCATCTATGATGGGAGCATGAGCTGGTTCGGAGCAACGATGTCGGAGGAGGAAGTAGGACAATGAAGTAAGAAAAGTTATGAAATTGAGGTACTAATGTATTGGCCTAGCAACTCCTACCAGAATCCTTAAGAATCAGAAAGGGAAGAGAGATGCAGAGATCAACAATAAGTGTTGGTTTTATGCGGGAGTGTTCTTGATTAGCATTCTTGGACGGTACAGTTACATATGTGGAAGAAGTGGCAGCTGATAGCTATTTAAGTAGCTTATCTTTGAATAAAGATGCTTTCGAGCTGATAATGTTCTCTCTGTTCAATGTAAAGTAGTATTTGAATTCCTAGTTCTTGGTTATATGTCTCAATCTAGATGCATCGTAAAGTAGTAGTTGTATTGCTAGTTTGTTGGTTATGTTACCCATCCAAGAGAAACCAATGCATACAACTTTCTCCAATCCTACTCATATTTGGATTACTAAAAACCAGTTAGGCAGTTAGGATAATACAAACACAGACAAATCGAGCTTCTTGACACAGTGAAACCAAAAAAACTAGCAAGGGAACTGAAACAAAACCATTGCACGGTAAAGAAGAAAGATCAATCCTGGCTTAATATGTACAGATGGCCACTCTTTAGTTCAGATGAGATCGAATGTTCGATGAACAATTGCAGAGACAAAGGCTGGCTGCTCATGGACTTGATTGGATTAACTTCTGGAAGGTGCTGCCACTACTTCGTGCCACAAATCTGCTTCTTTGCTCGTACTAACCTCAGGGATACCTCGGAAGTAAGCTGTTACTTCCCACCTGCAATCTGCAAACTTTTGGGAGTCAATGGAACTCAAATGAGTGAAAAAATGGGTTCATTTAACTCCCAATAAACTACACCAGCAACTCAGCTAAGCAAAATATCACACAGCAGCACTTGGAGTCAATGCAACCATATAAGTGCTCAAAACAGTTTTTTCAGAAGGTGATAGAATGATAAATGTCAACTTTTGACCGTTTAATCAACGAGAAAACTACGAATCAGATTTCGGAATCTGGTATTCCCACCTGCAGTCTGCAAACATTCAAGTCACTGGAGCCATATACATTGATGAAATGCATGATTGTGGACTGTTACTTATAAGACCATTAAACTACCAACAATTGGTTACATTTTGAATTCCATTGCTTAACAGATTCAAGATTGTATGATCTCAACAATCCATCCCTCCAAAAACGAATCCATAGACATCAATCTAATTAACCAAACCAACTCTTTCGAGCAATCTTACCATGAGGGAGAGGCTTGGTGAGAGATTCTGAGGTGGGGAGTTTGATCAGGAAGGAGGCAAAACGCGAATTCGAGATCAGATTCTTCAATTTTTGATCCAGATGATGACGACTGGTTCATACCGAGCTTGAACACGAATCGTTCGTTAACCACATTATCACATTTGTTGAATAAGATCACTAGTACTCTTTCCACCAATCCCTATTTGGATTCCAACAATTTGAGAGTAAGCAAGCAAAATCATAAAGTATCTAAACAAACGATGTCACCCCAAATTTGGGTTCGGCCCACTGTCTCTTGATAACGACTGGTCAGCCCAAGCCCAACAAGGAAAAAGTAAAACCCTAGGGTTGGCGTTCGCTAGCTGGCCGGGATAGGATTTTTCTGTGGCCGAATATATACTCGACTCTAGTTCTTACTTCCCCCTAAGCCGCTCTTGTCACTTGAGAAATTAGACGAGAGAGTTAACACTGCCCCATACACCCTCCCGTCCTTTGCCGGTGCATCAGGTCTGCTCGTTCTCTCTTCTTCTTCTTCATCTTCACTGCGCTAGCTTCGATCTGATTTTCATGATTAGTCTCTCTGTTTCTGGTTATGATTGGTTGATGTTCTTCGTCTTTTGCTGAGGTATCAGTAGATCTCTAGGTCTCATTTACTTATGATTTTTTTTTTTTGCTGATGGTTCGATTGTCTGGATCTTCTTGATTACCGAGCTTTTGGCGATGAGTTATTGTGTACGAGTCGGTCGGATTCTCAGTTTGCTAATCGGTTCACATCCTTCAAATCCGTTTATTGTATCAGTTATTGATTGCCGATTTTGAGTTTGTTGACTCTTGGATCTTTGTTTACTGGGTTTATTCCTCTAGCGGGTGATTTGGATTTTCTCTGATGAGTAGTTATAAAAGCTTGGTAATGGATTTCTGGTTTGCTGTTCGCTAGTGTCTTCGTTTTTTTTTTTACTTCCGCTGGTTTGCAGTCAATAGAGAATCGATTTGTTGCTGGATGGTCTGCTTATGGAATTGATTGGTTTAGGAATATGTCATTAGGACTTATGTGTTCTTTGAATATGGGTTCTGTTTGTGATTATTGGATTTGTTTGGTTGGTTCTAACTATCTCCTTTTTGGATGGTGCAGGTGTCCGAACATATATCTGTTGAAGGATATTACTATAAAGAGTAGGCAAGATGGTAAGTTTCCAGACTAACTAAACTATGTTGCAATGTTATCTTCTATTTACTGTATGTATAGTTAGTAATGACTCAATTTATTATCTCAACAGGTGAAGTTCACGGCAGAGGAGCTTCGCCGCATCATGGACATGAAGCATAACATCCGTAATATGTCTGTTATTGCTCATGTCGATCATGGTAACTACCATTCTGAACCCCATTTCACATCCTCACCACATTTTTTTGTTACGATTATTGTTTATGGGTTCTAATTAGTGATATTGTTTGTTCTTGTTTATTCTAGGCAAATCAACTCTAACTGATTCCCTAGTTGCTGCTGCTGGAATCATCGCCCAGGAGGTTGCTGGTGATGTGCGTATGACTGACACCAGGGCTGATGAAGCAGAACGTGGTATCACAATTAAGTCCACCGGTATCTCTCTCTACTATGAGATGAGTGAAAAATCCCTCAAGCAGTACAAGGGACAGAGAGATGGCAACGAGTACCTTATCAATCTTATTGACTCTCCTGGTCACGTTGACTTCTCATCTGAGGTCACTGCTGCTCTCCGTATCACTGATGGTGCTCTAGTTGTGGTTGATTGTGTTGAGGGAGTCTGTGTCCAGACTGAGACAGTCCTACGTCAGGCTCTTGGTGAGAGGATTCGTCCTGTGCTGACTGTCAACAAGATGGACAGGTGTTTCCTTGAACTCCAGGTGGATGGAGAGGAGGCCTATCAGACGTTCCAGAGGGTGATTGAAAATGCTAATGTCATCATGGCCACATACGAAGATCCCCTTCTTGGAGATGTCCAGGTTTATCCTGAGAAAGGTACTGTTGCTTTCTCTGCTGGGCTTCATGGGTGGGCTTTTACCCTCACCAATTTTGCCAAGATGTATGCTTCCAAGTTTGGAGTTGATGAGTCTAAGATGATGGAGAGACTGTGGGGTGAGAACTTCTTTGACCCAGCAACAAAGAAGTGGACCACCAAGAACACTGGTTCTGCCACATGCAAGCGTGGGTTTGTTCAGTTCTGTTACGAGCCCATAAAGCAAGTGATCAATACTTGCATGAACGATCAGAAAGACAAGCTGTGGCCTATGTTGTCAAAGCTGGGAATTCAGATGAAGTCCGATGAGAAGGAATTGATGGGAAAGCCCCTGATGAAGCGTGTCATGCAGACTTGGCTCCCTGCAGCTGATGCTCTATTGGAAATGATGATCTTTCACCTTCCATCTCCTGCAACTGCTCAGAAGTATCGTGTTGAGAATTTATATGAAGGCCCACTCGATGATCAGTATGCTACTGCCATTAGAAACTGTGACCCTGAAGGACCTCTTATGCTTTATGTCTCCAAAATGATTCCAGCATCTGACAAAGGTCGATTCTTTGCTTTTGGTCGTGTGTTTGCTGGGAAGGTGTCTACTGGTGTTAAGGTAAGGATTATGGGGCCCAACTATGTCCCTGGTGAAAAGAAGGATCTGTATGTCAAGAATGTTCAGAGGACTGTTATCTGGATGGGAAAGAGGCAGGAAACCGTCGAGGATGTTCCTTGCGGTAACACTGTTGCTTTGGTTGGTCTAGACCAGTTCATTACCAAGAACGCGACTTTGACGAACGAGAAGGAAGTGGATGCTCACCCTATTCGTGCTATGAAGTTCTCTGTTTCTCCTGTTGTTCGTGTTGCTGTCCAGTGTAAGGTTGCCTCTGATCTGCCCAAGCTTGTGGAAGGATTGAAGCGTTTGGCGAAATCAGACCCTATGGTTGTCTGTTCAATTGAGGAGTCTGGTGAGCACATCATTGCTGGTGCTGGAGAGCTCCATCTTGAGATTTGCTTGAAGGATCTGCAGGATGACTTCATGGGTGGTGCTGAAATCATCAAGTCTGACCCGGTTGTGTCCTTCCGTGAAACTGTGCTTGAGAAGTCTTGCCGCATTGTCATGAGCAAGTCTCCCAACAAGCACAACCGTCTGTATATGGAGGCAAGGCCCATGGAAGAAGGTTTGGCAGAGGCGATTGATGATGGCCGCATTGGCCCGAGGGATGACCCCAAGGTTCGTTCCAAGATCCTGGCTGAGGAGTTTGGCTGGGACAAGGATCTTGCCAAGAAGATCTGGTGTTTTGGACCTGAAACCACCGGACCCAACATGGTGGTTGATATGTGTAAGGGAGTCCAGTATTTGAATGAAATCAAGGACTCTGTGGTTGCTGGTTTCCAGTGGGCTTCAAAGGAAGGAGCTTTGTGTGAAGAAAACATGAGAGGTATTTGCTATGAAGTCTGTGACGTGGTTCTCCATGCTGATGCTATTCACAGAGGTGGTGGCCAGGTCATTCCCACTGCCAGGAGGGTCATCTATGCTTCCCAGCTAACCGCCAAGCCCAGGCTGCTTGAACCTGTCTACATGGTCGAGATCCAGGCACCCGAGCAGGCTCTTGGAGGTATCTACAGTGTGCTGAATCAGAAGAGAGGACATGTGTTCGAGGAGATGCAGAGGCCTGGCACACCGCTCTACAACATCAAGGCTTACCTCCCTGTCATTGAGTCCTTTGGATTCTCCAGCACTCTGAGGGCAGCAACTTCAGGACAGGCTTTCCCGCAGTGTGTGTTTGATCACTGGGACATGATGATGTCTGATCCATTGGAGGCAGGAACCCAGGCTTCGACGCTTGTGGCAGACATCCGTAAGAGGAAGGGTTTGAAGGAACAGATGACTCCTCTCTCCGAGTTCGAGGACAAGCTGTAAGGTGGAGTAGAGGGAGCATGGAGTTCAAGTTATCCTTATGTTTTTTGGTTTTACCTGTTTGGAATTTTTGTCGTCTCTGTTCGATTTTGTATCGGGTAGTAGTTTGGTAGCTATGCCAATTTGGTCCAAAGTCTTTTTCTGAGAACTTTGAGGATGTTTTACTGTTTTGATGGCATGTAATCCTACAGTCGAAACTCCATTTCGTTAAAATATATTGTCTGTCAGTTAGTTCATATTTCGTATCGTGCTGTTTTTTGCCGTAGTTCTGGTATATTGTGTTCATTACATAGATCGACTTACAAGGTTAGTGTTTTGGATGAAGCATGGAGATTGGTCTCTCTGTATAGTGTAGACTGTAGAAAGAGTTTGATTTCACTTGTTTAGTACACTCGGTAGCACAACGAAAACTCTGCCACCGAAAGTAGGATCTGCTTTGGAATTTTTCTTCAACTAATGTATACGCGTAGAGTTCGACTGTTAAAACTGTGTTCAATGAGAACTGTTCCCTTCCAATCAACAACACAGTTGTTTACGAACCAGCTGACTTACGTAAAAATGCGAATGCCCCCTTGTTTCTCTCTATCTTAGTTGAACTTGAAAACCATCAAGACTCTAGCAGGTGAGTCAGTCTATGAAACTAGGAAGCTATTTGGACTTTTTCAGGAGGTAGGAGGTGGCGAGCTCAGCATCATCTCTAATGAAGCTCCACCACACGTATGTGAGAGGGATGGTTGTGGCGTGCCAAATTGAATGGGCATCGAAGTAGCCTTTGTACGGAGGGAAGTCGTAGATCTCCAGCAGCATGGCCAGCCCACCTCCGATCACTGGTACCCAGACCTTCCATCGAGACGGATGGTGGCTCACTCCTGCCCAGATCGCCCACGTGAGAAGCTGGACGATGCCCATTGCGACACAGACTATGATGTTCCATCCTGCGAGAAGACAGAATTGGCATTATTGTCTTAGTCTAGACTAGAAAAAAAAAACATTATACTTGTGACTGAAGTGAAATGAGTGAAAAATTGGGAAGAAGCTGTTACTACCGTAGTCCATCTGGTAGAAGTTGAGGTACAGTATATGGGTTGTGATGAATGCGAGCAGTGGAGCTGCGACCATGACTCTGGAAGCTTCCTCCTTAATGTTGAAGCTTCTTAGGATGGAAAGTATAAGTGAGTATCCGATTAATGCCACTACGGATGAGTAGTCTAGCTTCTCTGTCAAGGCTACATCTCTGCAACTCGATTGAGAAAATGGAAGAGAAAAAGGTAAGGTGCGGATCGGAAAAAGCTTCAATTAAAATGGGAAGCAAACCGACCTAGTTGGTTGGACAAAGTTATAGAAGTAGCACAACATGAGATTATAAAGTCAGACAGGTTAAGCGAACCTCGTGGAAGAACAAGATGAAGATTATAGGTCAGTTCTAGTGCAACTTCGTGTTTGTATGATTTAATGGCATGCATTATTTGCACTACTGATCTATGCTCTGCCGACATAGTCATTCCTGTAGCAGAAAATTAGTTCCATAGTACTAGTTTCATAACATAGAAAACAGGAACTTACCGACTATGGAAAATAATGCTCCAGAACCAGGAGTTACATGACAAGAGTCCATAGATGTGCCACAATGGGGTGTATTCGTAGTAAGTCTTCTTGTCACATCTCAGGGGCAACTTGTAGTATAGAAGGATGATTAATGATAGCCAACCATGAATATGAGCATAAAGGTTCAATGCAGAGAAAACCACAGAGGCAACCTCCTGGAGGAAGAAGGACATTTCGATGAATATACAGGCTATATCTCAAACCAACTAAAGGAAGACTACTGCAACTAATAACAGTGCCTAGGAAATTGAAACCTGAATGCCGAAGACACGCTTAAAGGGCCATTTTCCATGGTATTTGAGTGGACCATAACCGTGTTTTGCTCTCTCTTCTTCTCTGGCAAGCATGCAGAAATACTTGCACTCACTCTCGCAGCCCCACTGTTTCCAGCGTTGATAGAGAGGCTCTTGAGTGTACCATGGACTATCATGAGAGGCACCATTAGAAGAATAGTTGCAGTCGGCAAAGCAGGTTTTACCAATGCAGCCATCCCTCTCACATACTGTCACACAGCTCCTAAACAAAAGCCAAAATGAACACGGAAGGGGAAACGATCAGCAGAATGTTCAATTAGTGTTTTGCAGGGAGAGCAAACACAGAACATTCACATAAAAAATGGAAGACATAAATTGGACATTTGACAGCAAAAACAGTGTAACATCTGAAAAAATGAGAGATTCTAGCGGATAAACAATGCAATGGTAGTATTCTATTGACTCTCCATCCGTGTAAGCATATGACCGAGTGACAGTAAAATTTACCTGTAAACAGGATGAGCATCACCAGGGCTGGCTTCTGAAGTATGTAGAAGGCATAGCAGCACCAGGGAGAAGCCTAACCAATGTCGTGCTATCATCATCTAACAAGGAACAAGAATTGAAGTCAGAAAATCACAACGCTTCCGGGACAAAGAGATGCAAGTTCATGAAAATAGCCATTATAACGACTACAACAAGTCTAAACTTCCTAGGCAGAACTAAACTCTACACCCTAATCTGGCTCCGCAAGAAGCAAGAAATGCACCAGCTGATCCGCCTATCAACGGAGAACAGCTCAAACCTTAGGCAACTGCAGCGATTTCCACAAGTTTCACGTCCATCTCATTGCACCGAATTCGGCAAGCGAAGTAAAGACGAAGCTTGTCGCAGCAAACAGATCGACCAAGGCAGGTCGAGCAGCCTATAGCATCAACAGTTTATGATTTGGCAGAGAACAAGCACAGCAAAGAAAGAAAACGCAAGAAACAGAGAAGTGAAGAATACAGCACAGCTATGTCATCCGATCAAAACCAACATTTTCAGTAATCGCCATGATATTTACCGGAGAATAAGCCACAAGCAGCAAATTCGACGAGGAAAAGTGGCAAGCACAGATCAAGAAGAGAGCTAGCTGGAGGATGCTACCTTGGTGGAATCGGCGGCGACGAAACCGGCTCTCCGGCGCTGAATCAGTTTGAAGATTATTCCGATGGAGATGAAGAAGATTTACGCATTTTAATTTTACTAATCAAAATCCCGAGATGCTATCAAGTGTTGACAGTTCAGATGGATGACTATAGGGGAGACTGAGAAAGTGAGAACGGAGAAATGGGGAATGAATGTCTTGAAAATAATAACGTTTAGGGACTGTGAGGAGCCCGCAAGGCCCCGGTTGATATTGGTCAAATGGCCCAAGTACCAAATAGGGCCTGAGATCCAATTGTCTTTACCTTCTGCCACCAATAGTTAGGGGTGCAATTGGTTTGGTTGGGTTGCCAATTGCCATCAGTCCATAACTCGTAATGCTGGTTATTATTAACTTATTATTGGCGATGAAACATATATTTTAAAATATTTCTTGGTTTTCGATTTGATTTGAGTGCTTGTGGTTGTTTTGTGTTACACGTTTTGTGTGAAAATCTTAATTAGTGCATCTAATCATCCATAAAAGATTAAAAGTGATTAAATTCAAAATTTGTGATGAACATATATACTACCATTCAATCGAGAACCTAATTTCAAATAATTTTGGTTGAATACTTAGTTGGGCTCTTGCCATCATCATTTGTGATGAACATATATACTACCATCATTATTTCTTTACATTGAAATTTCAAATAATTTTCATGTTCCCTTTGATCTTAATAAAATCGTAATATAGAAAAAAATTGTTCCAAACAATTATAAGTCTTCAAAATTTTTGGTTGAATACTTAGTTGGGCTCTTGCCATTCTTTGTGATCTTTAAGACTCAGATTATGGGACTCAATGATGTTCAAGTTGTTTGATTAGAAACCAAAGGTTTCATTGCCACGTCGTTGTTCAACCAACGTGTGATACATACACACAATTAACCAATATTTATTGGGGGATTAATCTACCTAATCGCGGTTGGCATTGGTTAACCCACCTTATTGTGTTGTTCTTATCACATATATACAAGCCATTCCATGAGTTTTGTTTGACTAGGGAATTTGTTAATCTTAGTGTTGCAAATAAAATAAGTCAAATCTCCCAAATGTTAGGAGTGCTGTTTTGTGTTAGAATTTGGCCAACCCAAAAGGTTAAACAACATCATTATTATTGTTCCATCTCCCTTAGTTGAAAAGTAATGGTCAAAAGACAACTTTGTTTACTCTTTTGCAAGAAACATGACAATTAATTAATAACGTTATTAAGTAAGTATTTCGATTTCTGAGTGATGTTTCTCTTTATTGACAATTCACTAGTTCAATTTTTGAGAAAGACGTGAGAAATAGATTGTACAACTAAACAAAGTCATAATCTAACATTGATTGTAAAAATTTTGATTCTACAATAATAGAATTCATTGCATCCTTCCGCTTTCAATAATATATTCCTATAATATAGTCAATTAGAATTTAAAGGTTGTTCTAGTCGTGACATACATCCTCCTCCAAGTAGAAAATATAGGCATATCACATATTGGATTTATGACTCATATGGGTTTACATGCAAGCACTGATATCGCCATACCACCAAACTGCAATCCTTTTAAGCATATATGTTTATTCATATATGCACAAGGCAACTAGTAAAAATTGCACTCTGCTAATGTAGCTCCACAATGAGAGTATGGTATACGACACCCTAATCAAATCTTATTTTTATGTTTCTCCCCTAATTGAAGATCTTCTGGCCGGGGGACAGGATGAACTTGGGGTCGAACTGGGCTTTCATCTGCTGAAAACCGGCCCACTTCGGCCCAAAATGCTTGATCCAGTCTTGCTGCGTGGAATGACCCGCCAGGTACTGCTTGACCTCAATCCCAGCCTCCTCACAATGCGCCAACACGGCAGCGTTTTGGTCAAGATACTTCGGCCAGTCATCCACATTGCTCTGACTCAGCAACGAGAACGCGTAGAAAATCTCCTCGTCTGGTATAACGACCGACATCTTGTCATCCCACCTGAAAAACCCAAAATAATCATCATCATTAGAAATTAATACGAGACGAAATGAACCGAATCCATCGTTGTCCACCCCTAATGGCGCTTACTTGTTGCGGTTCATCGGGTAGAAAAGGACGGGACCGACGGTGATGTTGGTTCGCATGATGATGTCCCTAACGACGCCGTCATTGAACTTGGATACGCCGGATTTCGGGACGAAAAGGTTCAGCCACGGATGGGAATGCGGGATCGAGGGATCAGGCACCGGGATTCTGTCTAGAAACTTATAGTAGGTCACGTCTTTCATGGCAGCTAGCCCGCGCTCGTTCTTTAGCTGCCTGATCAGCTGTTTCATTTGCTACAAACAATAACATACACAACAACACAGTACGTACGTAAGTAACACTATTACTAGACGAATGCATGCATCGTTATTACGGTGCCGTTTTAACGTTTTGATTAGGGTTTTATTAATTATTACCTGGTCCTTGATCTCCTCGTTGGTGGAGTTGTAGTAGATGGCCACCTCCAAGGCGTAAACGACGCCCTTTTCTTTGACGAGGGAGGTTATGGTGGGGACAACCTCTGTCGGGAAGAAGCTAGTCTCCCACAGGTTTGGAGTGCCGTTGTCGAGTAACACTTGGCCTTCTATGTAATCAACTGAATCGGGCTGCGAGTAATTGGCGATAATCTTCTCTTGGTCGTTGCTGAAAGTGGTGAAATCACTGTACAAAAGTCGCATCCATTTCACCTGTAGAAAATTGTGTAGCGAAACGAATGAGATTCACGATTCAATGTATACTACTACGAGAACAAACATAACAAAACCGTTTGGTTAGATTCTACCGAACGGTTGACTTTAAGTTAAGTGCGGTTACGGCTGGTGGTGGTGGTGCAGACTGTTGCAAGGGATTTTTATGTTTGGTGCATTGCACGGGCTTTTTCATTTACAAGAGAAGAGAGAGACGACTTTCGTTGTTTTGCTTCAAGTTTTGACTTGTTATTTTTCTATTCACAGTAATGGCAATGGTAGGCAAATCATATACTTATTATAATAATAATTATTATACTTTAAGCACTTAAGATGAGACAAGGCTAGAAAGGCAAATGCCGGAGTTAATTGCAATCAATGAATATAGTACTAATTGAATCATATGCGGTCAAAACGTATAAAACATAGTGATTTTAATTAAGGATAATTTTCTATAAACAAATTTTGGAAAAAGAAAACTTAAAACCAAGTGACAATGACATCACTAAACTAATTGTAGTCAAACAAACCCCATTCAATTTCTTTAGCTCTAGAAATTGTTTATAATGATTTGTTGTTTGATGCTCAGAATTTTGAGAGCCAAATTCAAACCCTTGTATATATAAATAATTTCAGAGAACACTATTTTAAAAAAAAAAAACACTATTGTTAGATCCTTGAAAATACCTGAACCTGAGCAATGTTATATATGTTGTAAGTTGTAACTACCAAATAGGTAAGCTAGAGAGAGACAAATTCTTTAAGTTGGTAGCACATCACAATAATGGGTAGTCATACATAGAATATACATTTCACTGGATACGCTAAAGATTTGTAGACAATATATATAGTATAAATACACACAACAAAGTGGTTGACTTGTTTCATAAAATACAGTTTGACCATTTGGGAGGGGGTAACATACCCTTTGGGGAGCGGGAGCCAAGGCAATTCTTGCTCTGGTGATCACTCCAAATTGCCCTAAACCGCCCAAAACTGCATAGAACAGCTCAGAGCTCTTGTTCGCCGAGCAGGTCACTATCTCTCCCTTCCCTTCATCAAACAACCATATCCAAAATTCAGTACAAATCGCACAAAACATAACACACTACATGTATATGCACGGTTAAAAGCGAAAATCGATAATAAATGCAAGAAAAAATCACCCTTTGACATCCCAAAATCGCCCGACAAGTTTAGATGAAAACCCCTTATCCTAAATGAATGATTGATTTACCATTTTTGCAAGAAAAGTCGTTCATGACTGAGGTTGCTACTAATATATATTTTGATGATAAGAGCAATCTCGCCAAATAATTGAACGTTGGATGTCATAACAAGTTTCTTCCATAGTAGGATAATTTCTCACCCATTATTATCTTGTACTACATAATTATATATATAGGAGCCGTCCAAGATTAAAATTTTGCCACTATATAATAGCAAAGCTTAATTATTCGGTATACGTTTCTTCCACATTTGCACTACCGGCCGCCAAGCAAGCTAATGTAGTAATATATATAGCTTGCTCAGAGACAAATGAATCATTACAATTGGTATCTAGCTATTCACCTAATTAATTAATTATAAAATTTAAGGTTTACAGTGACGGGTTGGTTCGTGTAGGGTTAACTTGTTGGGCCAAATAACGCTTAAAAAAATGTTACGCAGGGAAATCCCAGTCATGACAAGAAATTTGATTACCTGTAACGACGTCCAGCTCGTGAACGTTGGCGATCTGGGGCCCGAACCGGAAGGTCTGGCCGCCGATCCCAGCATTGGACAGCGCGCCCCCGACGGTCAGGTACAAGAGGTCGGTCCACGTCACCGGCGCAACTCCCAGCTTCAGAGTCTCGTTCAGCACCTCGATCCACAGCGCCCCGCCGCTGACGTCAGCAAACGTACGGTCCGGGGAAACCACAACATTGTTCGACGATCCCGCGTTTCCAACATTATTACTCAAGCTCCGCATGTTGAGAACGACGCCGTTGCGCACCATCGCTTGTCCTTTAGTACAGTGGCCGTTCCCTCTGGCGGCTACGCCGTAAGGGTCGCAGCAGCTGTACGACGACTTTATCAGCAGGGAGATGTCGTCAACCGATCTCGGGTTGGCGACGGCTGCCGGCTGCACGTGGACCATGTTGCCGTAGTCCGTGGAGGCGATCAGTTTGGATGTCTGGTCGGTGAGGAGGACCGGCGACAGCTCGGGCGGGAGGGGACACGTGGTTGTGGTGAGACTGAGGGGTGCTACTTGAGAACTGGAGAGGGTGAGCATTGTTGCGAGGAACGAAACGGCAAGGAGGAGAGTCGTTTTGGCCATGGCTAGGTCTTGTATTTACAGGGGGGAAACTGGGAAAGATAATGGAAGAAGAAGAAGATGGAGATTGAGAATGGAAATGGGAAGAGGGTTGTATTTATAGGGGCAAAGGAAAGGAGTGCTGCATGGAAAACGAGAAGGAGTGCAACTAACCAAGCGGGCCAACGGTTTTGGTTCTTAATTTTATAATAATTATCGGGGGAACAATAAAAATAAAGAAGAAAAAAATTAAAAGTCATCGTTTATAATCTTAATTAATTTTTGGGTTAACTATGATTTATTAGTGGAGGGTTATGGATCGATCGATGTATGTCTGTTTTTCTTTGGAATTACCAATTAATTGCGAGTTAAATTATTATGTATAGATAAGAATAATTATGATGACTTGGAATATCTATAATCGGAAATGAATGTAGTCTGTACGTCAATATAATTAGGTAACAGTTTTTATCACAAAAGATATGGTGAGGTAACAAAGGAAAATCAAGTAGCCTTTCTCTTTCAGCACCGTTTTGGCCGAAATGGGTAATTAAGATATGGTAATGGGAATATAAATTGATGTAGCTTAGAATACGGTTGAAAACGATTTTACACTATTAATGTGATATAAACAGTAAAAATGATACGTAATGATTCTCAACAAGCTAATGCCCCTATCTGTATTGGGGGTGACTTCAACCTGGTGCGTAACCACGATGATTATCAGGGAGCAAGGCGCAGTATTGATCTCATGAATGAATTTAATTGTTTTATTGATAATAACCAACTGATGGATCTTCCTCTGAAGGGCAGCCTATTCACCTGGAGTAGGGGTTCAGATAGCATGTGTTTGTCTCGTATTGATAGAGTTCTGGTCTCTCCTAATTTCGATACTAAGTTTTCGGACTGCTCACTTACTAATACGCCCCTGGCGGGGTGTATGTTATCAAAGTCACGCAGCTAACGACTCAATCGAAGGATCGATTGAGCTCGAATCAAGAACGAAGCGTTCTTAATACGAACTTGGATAAAACGGAACCAAAAGGACGATTCCACACCTGGGGAACGCTCGATTGGTATAAAAGGTAGATGCCCGACCACGATTGAAGTGACTATTCAATCGATACAAGAGCTCACGAGCTTGGAATCCACCAAACTCAACACAAGTCGCAACTTGCACAAAAACCAAAAGGTTCTCAATTCGATTAATCAAAGTCCGAGTTTTTACAACGTAAATAAAAGGTATTTAAAGGCAAATAAACCTAATACAATCCTAATAGAGCTAGGCAACAATTAAGGTAAAAGTCTACACTAAAAAGGACACAAAAATTCGGGTTTAAACTCCCTTTCTTGAAGCACAAGCAAGCTGCCAACAAACAGTCAAAAAGCAGCTTTCGTAGTAACTTCGTGCCATTCGTTCGAAACCTTCCCGAACTCTAATCCTTCATCCAATTCCTTCCCTTTGTACATAAACATACCTAGTTTCATGTTGTGGAAGCCTTTGGTCTTGAATCAGATCCATACTCCTCGAATCAAGCTCCAAAGTAGGCTTCACAAAACAGTTTCCAGACTTAACCATTTTCTGGCAGTTTTCTAGTTTTGAGGTAGCAACTTGGAGGCCTTGGAAAACAACCTTAATGACATCATCTGGATTCATAAAGCATACCATTGAAAAGTTGGAAACTTTATCTGCAAAACAAACTATTAAAATAGAATTTCCACCAAGCCAATTGAGAGAACCATGCCTCCAAAGTATGTACCCTGAACACGGATTTTGACTTAGCCAAATTCTGCCTTTCTTCTTCCCAACTTTGATGGCTTCTTTGTCAAGTAATTGTGACGTGAATAGTTGGCAATTTGGGATCATATCAGGCCCTCCCTCTTGAAAAAGTGTTGACCTCAACACTTTGGCCTTTCGTTGCTCAAAACATACACAGAATTGATCCCAAATTGGATCGAAAGAAGGCTTCTCAAACTCAAATTTCTGCAAAACATTGGCTGCTTCATATGCTCGTGGCCCTGCTGTTTTCGGACGAAATTCCATCTCCTGCATCAACATAGGACTCCATTGTGCACCTTTCTTGCGATCAATTGGCACAAATACGCCCAGAATGCAGTTTTGAACTTTTCCATATCCCGACAGCTCGCGGCACCGCGACGAACGTCGTAAGGTTGGGGTTTTTGGATCAAGCATCGCTGGGCGAGTTTGAAGCTTTTTACAGATTACTGGGAGTACGCCTAATGATGCTACATTCGCCTTTGGCGTTGACTCGCGCCGGATTGCTCCAACCATATCACCCAATTTTTCTTCATGTTCGAACACCTGCCATTGCCCAGAATCCGAATCCCAGCTTCTATTCTTCAATTCAATGCTTGAATCTTCTTGTCTTTCCTTCAAATCGATCTCCCACTGCATTCCCAAGCTTCGAATACCTCTGGTAAGTGTCGACCCGTCATCTGCAGTTTTCCCACCGTTGTAGTTTTCAAATTCTTGCGTATCGAGAAACCCAGAATCAAATTTGGGCGTTTTTGTTTCTCCGTTGATTTGATCAATCTCAGGAGCTCCACACATTCCTTGGGTCTCGACGAATAATTCTGCAGCGGCCGTTTTCGTCGGATTGCGCCCAATCTTCCCGACCAATTCACTCGCATTGTCTTCGGTTTTGAGCATATGCAGAGCACTCTCTGCTCGATTTTGATTATGAAAGACACTATGATTCGTTTTCATTTGATCAAGGGGAGAGCTTCCTGAGGCGTAAGGGAGTGTGCTGATCTCCTTGGATCGGCTCGACGCTTCACCAATCAGTCCGGCCAATTGTCCCTCTCTCTTCCTCTGTTTCGCGGTAACGTTGTAGATTTCCAGCGTGCTCGTTGACGGAGAGATGCGATCGCTATCAGCCCCATCAAGAGATTCTACTTGAATTCTCATTGTAACTTCAACCTGCAGAGACTCCTTTGGTCCAACTTCGTGCGCCATCTTCCCCTCTGCGACGTCGGCAGGACTGCCAAGTTCGGAACTCTGTTTTGTTGGAGCAAAACAGGGGCTTTTATTGCTGAGCGAAGTCTGGACTGAGTTGCCTCCCATTGACGAAGATTTTGCTACCAATGACGACTGGTACTCTTCCTGGAGTCCTTGCAGCACCCTCAAGTCTTCAGCAACTGCTTCTGGAGTCAATGGACTTAAAACAAACACCTTATTTCGACTATGAAATCTGAATTTCTTGCTTCGTCGGCTTGCAAACCGAACTTGACGATCTCGGAACCATGGTTGTCCAAGAACGATGCTGCTGGGGAGATTAAGAACCACGTCACACAGCACTCGATCCTCGTATTGGCCAATTGAGAACGTCACGGCCACCTGGGAAACGACCATGTTGAATTTGTCTTCGTACGGTGATTGCACAACGTAGGGAGCTGGATGCGGCTGCAATTGAAGCTTCAACTTGCTGACAATCCGGAGGGAAATCAGATTGCTCTCCCTACCTCCATCAATGAGAACCAAACCCAGCTGATCCTGGATTAAACAACGTGTGAAAATCATTGATTTTGCAAGCTCTGCTGCCGCCATTGTTGCTTTGTTTCGTGCCTCGGTTTGCCACTGAATTTCGTACAAAATCACAACCCTTTAATCCTTCCTCGTCCCTGTGTAGAACGGGGCTCAGATACCACTTAATACGCCCCTGGCGGGGTGTATGTTATCAAAGTCACGCAGCTAACGACTCAATCGAAGGATCGATTGAGCTCGAATCAAGAACGAAGCGTTCTTAATACGAACTTGGATAAAACGGAACCAAAAGGACGATTCCACACCTGGGGAACGCTCGATTGGTATAAAAGGTAGATGCCCGACCACGATTGAAGTGACTATTCAATCGATACAAGAGCTCACGAGCTTGGAATCCACCAAACTCAACACAAGTCGCAACTTGCACAAAAACCAAAAGGTTCTCAATTCGATTAATCAAAGTCCGAGTTTTTACAACGTAAATAAAAGGTATTTAAAGGCAAATAAACCTAATACAATCCTAATAGAGCTAGGCAACAATTAAGGTAAAAGTCTACACTAAAAAGGACACAAAAATTCGGGTTTAAACTCCCTTTCTTGAAGCACAAGCAAGCTGCCAACAAACAGTCAAAAAAGCAGCTTTCGTAGTAACTTCGTGCCATTCGTTCGAAACCTTCCCGAACTCTAATCCTTCATCCAATTCCTTCCCTTTGTACATAAACATACCTAGTTTCATGTTGTGGAAGCCTTTGGTCTTGAATCAGATCCATACTCCTCGAATCAAGCTCCAAAGTAGGCTTCACAAAACAGTTTCCAGACTTAACCATTTTCTGGCAGTTTTCTAGTTTTGAGGTAGCAACTTGGAGGCCTTGGAAAACAACCTTAATGACATCATCTGGATTCATAAAGCATACCATTGAAAAGTTGGAAACTTTATCTGCAAAACAAACTATTAAAATAGAATTTCCACCAAGCCAATTGAGAGAACCATGCCTCCAAAGTATGTACCCTGAACACGGATTTTGACTTAGCCAAATTCTGCCTTTCTTCTTCCCAACTTTGATGGCTTCTTTGTCAAGTAATTGTGACGTGAATGGTTGGCAATTTGGGATCATATCACTTACAGCTCTTGATCGAGTTGAATCAGATCACAATCCCTTGCTCTTAAGATGGGGTGACGATAGAAGAGTTAAAAGGCCTTGGCGCTTTGAAAACATGTGGCTTGAAGACAAAAGATTCTATGAAGGTTTGAATACTTGGTTGAAGATACCCATTGAGTGTTCTGGTTTCTCCTTCCTTTGGTGTAAGAAGCTGCAGGTTATCAAACAAAAACTCAAATCGTGGAACAAAGATGTTTTTGGTAACATCCACAAAAGGGTTGATGATCTACTGAGTATGATTCACGAGATTGATATTTTTGAAGAAAACAGACCTCTTGATAGTGATGAAGTAATTGAAAGATGTGTTCTTAAAGTCGAACTTGCTCATTGTTTAAATATGCAAGAAATTTGCTGGAGGCAAAAGTCGAGGGAGACTTGGACTCAAAAAGGGGATAGCAATACAAGGTATTTTCATCGCATTGCCAACTACAGGAAGAAGTTCAATTCTATAGACCGTATTAGAGTGCAAGGCATCATGATGGAGGGTTCTCAGGAAGTTGCTACGGGTATTCTTGGATTCTACATGGATCTCTTTAAGGAACAGATTCCTTCCAGGCCTTTCCCCAGCGTTTATTTTGGCTGCAGAATCAATGATTCCGAAAAATCAGATCTTTGTCAACCTTTCAGTGAAACGGAAATCTGGGCTGCTTTGATGGACAGTGATGGATCCAAGGCTCCTGGGCCTGATGGATTCACTTTTGACTTCTATAAGAGATGTTGGATGATGATTAAACCCGACATTGTCAATGCATTTGTGGATTTTCATACTTCTTGCCAGCTTCCTAAGACAGCTTCGCACTCTTTCATCTGCTTGGTCCCGAAGAAGGACGCTGTTGAAGATGTCAAGGACTTAAGACCAATTGGGTTAATGGGAAGCTTCAATAAACTGATCAACAAAGTTTTATCAAGGAGATTGAGTAACATCCTTCCTAATTTAGTGTCTGTTCATCAACAAGCTGCTGTGAAGGGGAGACAAATATCTGAAGCTGGTCTCATTGCTAATGAGCTGGTGGATAGCAGGAGAAGAAGCAGGAAGCCTGGTCTTATGTTCAAACTCGATATTGAGAAGGCCTATGACAATGTCAATTGGGGATGTCTTTTCAAGATTCTGAGTAAGTTTGGTTTTCCTGATTTATGGATAAGATGGTTGAAAAAGGCTGTTTGCTCCCCTCTCATCTCTGTTCTGGTTAATGGAGAAGCTTTTGGCTATTTTCCAGCGTCTAAGGGTCTCAGACAAGGGGATCCCATCTCCTCAGCTCTCTTTGTTCTGGTTATGGATGTTCTTTCATTCATGCTATCTAAACTCAAAGCTGAGAACAAAATCAGTGGTTTCTTCATGAATGAAAGACTTCAACAAGGTGAAGTGACACATCTTTTATTTGCGGACGACACTTTGATATTCTGCGATGTTTCCCACGAGCAGGTTATCAACATCTTGTCCACTCTGGTGTGCTTCCAAGCAGTTACTGGACTAAAGATTAATCTGGAGAAATCAGTAATGTATACTGTTGGAGATGTCCCAGAGCGTAGCTTCTATGCTAATATTTTTGGTTGCAAATGGAGCGCGAATCCTCCTAAATACCTTGGATATCCTCTTGGAGCGAAGCCTAATGCATCATCAATATGGGAGCCTATTATAGCTAAATTCAAGAAGAAACTTGAAGGGTGGAAAAGCAAGTATTTATCAACAGGAGGAAGACTTGCCCTTAATAAGTCAGCTCTCACCAGTCTTCCTGTCTACTACTTTTCTCTTCTCAAAGCTCCTAAGAAAGTTATCGAAGACATGGAAGCTATACAGAGAGACTTTATTTGGAATGGTAACAATGATAGTCGGAAATCTCCACTTGTGAACTGGGATCTTTGCAAGACTCCTAAAGCTAAAGGTGGATTAGGAATCCGAGATCTTACTTGCTTCAATTCCGCCTTATTAGTGAAGTGGCTTTGGAAGTTTGCTACTGAGAAGAATAGCTGGTGGAGGGAATTGATAAATACGAAATATCCGAATGACCTTTCCCACTGGCAGACTGCTCGGATAAGTTCTGGATATTCAAGTTCTGTGTGGGCTAATATTGCAAAAGAATACAATCTATTCTGGAAATACACTCTCATTGAACCAGGAAGTGGATGGCACATCTCTTTCTGGTACGATAATTGGTCGTCGACCTCGATCCTCGCTGTTGACTACCCAAGAGTTGCTGCTGCTGCTATCGAACCTGCCGCTCGGATCAGCGACATAGCCTCCTTCACTGACAATGAGGTAACCTGGAATATTAACTTGAGAGTTAGCTTGAGAGGGGGAGCGGAGAGAGAAAGAGAGAGACTTATGTTATTCTTAAATTCTAGAAATGTGCATCTTGCTCCTAACAGTCCTTGCAGGATCACTTGGATTCCGAATCAGGAAAAAGGTTTTTCCTGTCAGCTCTGCATATGAACAGCTTACCATTGAGAAATTCCATGGATTCCAGAACTTTGAGGCGTCATATATTTGGAAGCCCTTCATTCCCAGCAAGATTTGTTTCTTCATATGGACTCTTTGGCTTAAAAGGATCTCCACTTTAGACGTTGTTAAGAGAAGAGGGACGCACCTTGCTAATCGCTGCACCCTTTGCTACAAGGAGGAAGAAAATGCTGATCACATCTTCACCAAATGCGAATTTATACAGGATACTTGGAGTTTTATCAAGAGGAAGAAGAGCTACATTGGCAATTTGCATGGAGATGTTTCTGCTGTCATTGGCAATAGACCTTCACTGTCCCCCATCAGCATGGATGAATGGTTCAATATCAGTATTCTTCATGCTCTATTTTGGTCAGTTTGGTTACAGAGAAACCAGAGGATGTTCAAAAATTCTGGTACTACCGCCAAGATCATTGCTCGAAAATCAGTCAAGATGGTTGTGGTTTGGCTTACTGCTCAACACAAGATCGACAAGGAGCATGCGGTTGCTTGGCTTGCTGAGTTCTTATCCTAGTTTTAATGCCTTGATTGTCTGCTTTCTGGTGTACTTTCTGTTTGTCTGTTGATTGTAGTTGGTTTACAGCAGGGTCAGTTCGGTCTGATTTGCTGTTCTTTCTTTTGTTATTCTTTCTTTTGTTGATTGGCAGGAACGGTTCCCAGTCCGTTTAGCCATTTCTCCATTCTTCCTCTGTTTCATTTTATTTTCTGTCCTCTTCTTTTACTTGTCTTGCGGTCTGGTTTGCTTGGGATCCTGGTTCTTTCCTCTTGAACCATTTCCCGGGTTGTGACTTCTTTTTGTTTTGCTTCTCATTAATAAAATCACCATTATCAAAAAAAAAAAATGATTCTCAACCAAGGAAGATCACATTATTAAGGGGACAAGCCCTATAAATATTGCTCAAAGAATTTTTTTGGAGATTTTATGGTAAAAAAATGTGGAAGTTTTTTTGCGAAAGTTGGCGAATGAGCTTTTACTAGTAGCAGAAGCTCTGAATTAGAGAGCTTTTACAAAAGACATGTTTGTTACGTATTTGTTATCTTTTTATTTATTTTGTTAAATACTTTTTCACATATGATTTATAGTGTTGTTTTGATCCTAATTTCATATCTTTCTAATTTCACATGAATTTTTCTTATTCTTCCGAAGAATGTAAATTTGAGAAGCTGCAGAATTAATATCGAGGATAATCGTTGGCTAGCTTGGACAATGAGAAATTTTACAATGCTATATAGTATTGGTGCTATAGGTTTTTGCCTTTATGGTACAACTTAAAATTGTACATTTATGTTATGGTACAACTTCAGATTGTACCTATACTTTTTGTACAAATTCTTTTATGGTACAACTTGAACTTGTACCTTTATGTGATGGTACAACTTCAAGTTGTAAAGTTGTACCATAACATAATAGTACAAATTGCTTTATGGTACGACCTAAACTTATACATTTAATGTTATGATACAACTTTAAGTTGTACATTAAAGCACCAATACTATATAGCATAGTAGAAGTGCTCTTGGACA